TCATTGTTCATTAAGATATTAATTGTTGAATGCAGCGCATTGAAAAAGCGTGTTCCGCGCCCCCGTGTGTTCCGCGCTCACGTGGCCCGCGTTACTTTCTCTCAGCTACACGAAAATGCAATTTTTCGATCTTCAGACCACGCTCTCACCGGTGATGATGAGGTGAAGTTTAAGCCGTCGTGCCACTCCGCCTTGTGTTTCTGATCTTTCTACAAACTGTCTACTCAGGTATATATGCAATATGCGCGTGAGCGCTGCATGTCGACATCGTGCTCAGCCTCTGCAAGGACATGTCTCGAATCTGCGCGCTTGTCCATGAAATACAGACATGTATGATAATCCCCATAGACACCGGGGATTAGAGCCATTTGCAGGCCAGATTGTAGCAAGGACCACTCGAGAATTCTGCGACGAATGTCTCAAGCGAATGCTCTATCGTTGGTACTAAAATGATAAATGAAGTTATGCAGATGCTTTCACATTCGAGCGAATCATTACGGGACTATAATGTGCAGCTTCTTCATTACGAGATCAATCGGATGCCAGGCTAGACAGCGCCTCAAGACCGCCAAAAGCTCATTCTCAAACAGACTTTCGCAAAGCTGCGGTCCATCTGATGACGACCATCCGCCGATTGGCTTCCAAGCAGACAAGCCTCCCGAAGGCGCTGTGATTTTGGTACGGCTGTGTGGTCAATCCCGCGGACGAACGATCAATGGATCTGGGTTGTCAGCTGTCAACTCGCATGCAGATATGCAGTTCCTCGGATAGACTTCCGAGCATAACTGAACCAGCCTTCGGATAACTCAACCAACAGATGCATCGTAGCAGAGAGCACGAGACGGAGCATGCCTTTATTCGACCGCTGCACGTGGATTGCAAGTCGTTGTTTCTTGACCTACCTCCGTTTCGACGTTGCACATGTACACACGCTCAACCCGCGATCTCATTTCCCATTAATCATATCGAAGGATCCGGTTGCGATCAGAGGGCTTGATCAAACATTGTAGAAGACAGTGCAGATCTCCGGAAGAGTCTTCCGTCAAGGATGCGTTGTATCAACGGTATTTTTGATTGAATAGGACATGCGCGTTTGAGCGAGGCTTCGGTATCGTAGGTCCTGCTTGTGTCCAGTATGGTGATGATATAGGGGTCGGTCATATCGGACGAGGCATTCCGACAGCTTCATCAATCTACTCGATTTTCTCCGCTTACCTGACGGATGTAGTCTTGATACCGTTTATCGCACAAAATGATACTATACGTAGGACAACCTACGCCTCCTGTGCGCCGCAGGCTCGTCTCAAAGACAGAGGGATGCCTAAAAGCCCCTACACATCGTAGAGACGTACAAGATTAGCCATCAGAGTGAACGTGTTTCGGATCAGTCATCGCAGTGGCCCGTCAGCGAATACCCCGGGCCTGTAGCAGAAAGGATACTTGCGGCGCGCACTTCCAATCACGAGGCGGGTTGCAGCTCGATGCTGATGATCATCAATAGTGGAGGTTCTTCGATCGAAGTGGAGCAACAAGCACCACTTCGAGATTATTGGCGCACTCCAGCTCGGATTGACAAATGGCTCATCATGAGCATGATTCATGAGCTGGGTGGGCCGAACCCGTGCAAATCCATCTCGTGGGGGTCCGCGATCAGCGGCTTCGAGAAGTCCGTTCGTGTTGTGGTGGTGCATCCACCGGGACAAGTAACATCAACAAGGATCGTGATCGAGCAGAACGACAAACGCGGTCCGGGTCCATTCCAGCTAAGCTAATAAGCGAGGGTCTTCAATTTCCTACGAGAACCAACAGAGAGATGCCGCCAGGCCGACCGAGCATGGGGGAATTTGAATCAAGCTGGAGAGGACCAAATGACTGCGTGGGGGCCACGGCATTCGCGGTAGTGCAATCGAGAAGCGTGTCGTTGGGGATCTGCGAATAGCGTGTTCCAATTCGGTATTTTCGTCACGTTAGTGAAATTGAACAGGGCAGCACAACAACAGAGTTGGTAGACATGTAGAATGTCTGCACACAAAAACTTAGTGCAGTGAGACCTTCGTATCGAGGTAATCACTCCCGAGGGGGATTACAGCAGATCGTCGCATGATCGCGTGCAATGCAATCGCCTCAAGCGGCACGCCGTCGGAATCGCCTCGGGTCGCCGCCACTATCATCATCACCATCAACATGGTTCCCTCCAGAACTGCGTGGCGGCAAACAAGCTCAGGATAATAGACTTTATTGTTATTCTCAATAGATCAACCTTATTCTTGTATTACAGCCGGCGTGTTCGTCGTCGCTAGTATTCTTAGACATGCTTTCGACCATTGTGGAGCGTCATTTACTGACCTGTTCGTGAAACAATAGTGCGCACGCGGCATAAACTTAGGTGAACGGGGGTCGCAAACTCAAAGACATCGTCATCTGTATCGTTGACATGTACAGTACGATGTTATGGCACCCCTGCAGCCTGCTTGCAGAATGCGCTCGCTCACGTCCACGTTGATCCAGAAAATTGATCAGCGGGGATAAGCCTTCATCACGTTCGGTCGGTTTCCACTGTTGCCTCGTCGACGGTGATATATCGCGCACTTTTAGTCAAGGAATACAAGATTGATTGGAAGGCCAATCTTATCCAAGGTTCGCAATACACATGTAGCACACGATCAATTCATGAGGAAGAACAAGGAAAGTTTAAAGACGAAGGCGAAAAGTGGAACAAGTTTTGATTGTACATAGCAAGCACGATGATAAACTCGAAACCCTCAGCTGCTCCTGCTTCTTTGTCCAGCAGAGAAGCAAGCCATTTGACACTGCAACTGCGGTTTGGTGGTGATAATAAGTACATTGGTAGTCCTCCCAGAGGAGCGTGCTCAGCTATGACAAAGAGAAAAAATGCCAGAGGCCAACGAAAGAATTTGGGTAGTTTAAACGAACGCAGAATAAATGGCAAACAGTCTTCTTGTCCCTGTCGGGGAAAATCTCCAAACGTTTCGCGTAATGATACAGGTGTGGCGTACAAGCCAAGAGAAGGGTAGAAAAAGGAGACGTGACGGTCGGAGAGACCATCTCATCTGAAGGATGAAGCGAAGGGCATGGGTCGTCAGGTATTGTCTACCTGTGTTTCGGGTTGGCACCGTTCCTGATCTATGGTATCTCCAACGTGGCGGCATTAGTATCGTAGTGGGTCCATCCATGCGAGGATGTCCCGAATTGGTCGTCATGTAACCCAACAAGGTTGTGGATCTCTGTAGAGACATCATTCATCTCGCTTGCGCTTCTGGGTTTTTGAAAGTTTTTGATCCTCACTTGGGCTGAAGTCGCGATCCGAGAAGCTTGCGCTGCTCGAAGAGCTTGAGCCAGATCCAGCAGCCTGGGCAGTCACATCGAAGAGCATGGCACCAAGCTCGCCCGCTGCAGGGCTAACACGCTGTTGCATGAGAGGCTGAGGCGCGAAGTGTTGCTCGTTCTTAGGCCGGATGAGGCTACCGGCGTCGCCACCGTTCACGGCTTCCATGTGTGATTGGTGCATGTGTTGGTCATTGGGCTGTGAGAAGACACCCATCACCATTGTGCCAGCACCATGAGTACGTTGGTGTTGACTCAAGTTGTCCGAGCGGGAGAACTTCTTGCCACAGTCGGTACACTCGAATGGCTTGTCATGAGTGTGGAGAGAGCGGTAATGACGCTTCAAATGCTCCTGACGCCTGAAGCGACGGCTGCAGAGTGTGCAGACAAAGGTCTTGCTCGGGTCATCGGTCAACGACTGCTTGCGTCCGCGGCGAGAGATGCTGCCCGATCCGGAAGGAGTCTGGGCAGCGGACTCAGCCTTGTCCGAAGTGGTGCTAGGCGCCGTGGAGGTGGTGACGGTGTTGTTCTCTTGGCTTGTAGCGTCGGTGGCATGCTGATTGGACTCGATCTGCTTGGGAACCTTGCGCTTAGAGTTCAGATCGACGGCAAAGGCGTCGTCAGGGACGGAGAATTCCGACGGTGGTGAGTAGGCGGCGACAGCGAGGTCATCTTCGTCGCTGAAGCTTTCTTCGCTGAAGAAGGCATCGTCGTCGATAGTGCCGGTGCTCAGGTCAAGACGCTGGCGTTTGCTGCCGTTGAAGTGAATCTCAGGTGCCATCATGCTGGAGAAGTCGTCGCAGTCGTCAAGCTCGAAGATAGGCTCGAAAGCGGGGTTGGTGCCAAAGGCAGTGACGAATTCGACCGGGGACGCGATTTGCACGTGCGGCTCAGCCGGTGCCAAGACATTCGCACCCTTGGAGACAAGCTTGGGCTCCTCTTCATCGCACAAGGCTGACATGGCGATGAACTCGGTGATAGAGTTACCAACGGTCAGGTGTCGAGGATCGCAAACGTCTTGCTCCGAGACGACCGAGCGCGGCACTGGAGAAGGAGACGGTGAAACGTGTGAAGACCCGGGAGCAATCTGGTATGAGACATCGCTTGCGGCGGAGATCGAGCCCTGATGCAAGAACACGGGGGTCATCGGCGGCGAGCCCGGGTGTGTCCAGTCCCCGCCAGCGAGGACTTCGGTGAAGACTTCATCTTCGCATCCCTCCTTGACAGCAGTCAAGCCGGTCATGATCGACTTTGAGAAGAATACTCCCGTGACCGGAGTCGGGAGAATGTCGCAGGTCGATGGCGGGCTGGACATGGAGCTAAACGATCCCGAAGCTGAAAGAGTCGGTGTCGCTGGAAAGTATGATCGGCAGTCCGTGTCGATGGGCAACAGACCGTGCATCTCGTGCTGCATGAGGTAGTTTGGCTTTTGCTCGTGGCGAGGCGATGCTGCCGGTGTAAGCATGGCTTGCGAGCCATACATGTGAGCGTGCGGGTGGAATGCCATTGGCGCACCGGCGGAGGGCTGCTGGTACATGGGCTGCTGGAACGACATGAGCTGCTCCTGGCTGGATGGCAAGATGGCCATTGGCAAGACCTGTCGCTGCTGCGGGTGAGTCGAGAAGCGTCCGTGTTGTTTGGTCTCTGGGCTCGGGTCTGGGCTGTAGTAGAAGAATGGCGATTGGCCCATGGGCGGCGTAGAGTGTGCAGTGTATTCCATCTTGGTTGAAAGCTAGCAGATGCTGTGGCTCGGGTTAGTATACTCATTGCTGGCTATAACTCACACCTGTAGTGTCGAACACTGACATGGTTATATACTTATCCGTATGCCAAAGCTCCGTGGCATGCAAGATGCTCCAAAGCTACGTATGGGGTATTGCTGATAGTTGTACAGTTGGTTTCGATCACCAATAGGTTTCAAGGAATGGCGGGTAGGTCGTTGAAATGCGAGTAAGTGTTTAATTCTCCGAGCAAGAACCAGAAATATCCGGTTGGTTGTTTGTGAGATCGATGGCGGGTAGCCGGTGTAGGTGTCGTTGGACAGAGTTGCGCGGAAAGATATCGATATAGCGGTTGGACAGGGTCCCAAAAGAATGACGGGGCACGATCGAAGGAAGACTGTGCGGAAATGCACAGATACAGACTCGAGTAAGTACCGAAAGGAGACCAGCAAAAGGGAAGGACAAATATGACGATGATGAGGATAAAAGAAGGGAAGAGGGAAAAAGAAGGGACTCGAGGTTGGCGATCGGGGCAACTTATTATGATAAGCCATGACAGGTTTCGAGAAAGCGAAAGAGTACGAGGCCGGACGGCGGCGCCAGAGGCCGAACGCGAGGAAAGTCTATAGTGCAAGTGTGTGGCAGAGCAATGGATGGACAGACATGCACACCAGAGACGCAACCGCAAACTCTCTGTTTCCTCACACCCGACTCCACCACGGCACACACACAATACTTTTGCCATGTACTACAATACAACAGCACCACCACCACCACCATCACCCACACAGGCACCACACACACAATCACAATGCACATACCCAACATGCAACACACTAACACGCACAAGTTGGAGCCAGATCAGCGGCGACGACGCGGCGTGCGAGAGTTTCGACCGAATCCATTAGCCAGGGACAACGACTAGTGAGTGGGAATAGTCGACTGCGCGATCTGGCTTGGCTCCTGGGGCACGTCGGGACGGAAGCTGGACCCACATGGCAGTGGGAAAAAGACACGATCGCTCCACTCTTGGCTGTCCGAAAGCTAAAAGTGTCTCCCCCAAGAGGAAAGGTCCTGGGATAGCACTGGATAGGTAACTGTGACCGTGTGACAGAGGCAAGGGAAAGCCTCGCTGCAGGTACCGTATTCTTTAGCGTCAATGGGCTGGGACCCGGGTGGAGGTGATGGGGGTGGTGGTGGTGGTAAGCTTGGAAGCCCTGCTGTCCACGAATGCCGTGTGCACCACACTTCCGTACAGCGTGTCCTGCTGTTTGTTCTCTGCGTCGGTGTGCCTGATGTCCGCTAAACGGTACATACAATCTTGTACTTCCGATCCTACTGTGCCTCGGGCTGTGACGAGAAATGATATTAAATGGCAAGTGTGAGTCTGTATAGTACCCAGGTACCTATATCGTGGGCGGGTGTGACGTCTCTCTCGAGCGTCTATTCCGATTGTCCCATAGGATGGCCACATCGAACACATCAGGTCAATAGCAATCGCGTATGGGAGCAGCGGGCGTGACACACGTGTGATAATGGTGTCGCCTGTGAACGAATCCTGTGTGGTCTTGAGGGGATTCCGGTGCGTGTGGACGGATGCTTGATGGTGGCGGAAGTGACGACGGCCGTTTTGCTCGTTCGTTCGTGCGTTGGTTCGTGAGGTGGTGCTTGTGGTGTGTTGACCGGCTGGCTGGCTGGTGGTCGAGCGGACGGCCGAGTGGACGGTTCTGTACACTTCACGCCTCTTCCCATTACCAGTGGCGCCCCAATTCTCGGAACAACGATACTAATTTGTTATATAGTACTAGCACGAAAATCACTTCCACATGAATGACAATTACTACGACGATGCAGGTACCATTTCCATCCTTGCAATGCAATAGTATACATGCAGTACGACCTCTATGGCGGAATCTCGAATGGCCTGAATGAAGAGCACTCCAATGACATCGCGGTATTGCTTGAGAAGAACCGGGTTTCTTCTTGAGCACCCATTGCGTGACGTATGGCCCACTGACGGACGGACTGCCATCTCTGTTTTCGCCGACACATGGTACGGGAATACAGGTGGAGGCTTGTTAAATCGACATATCGAATCCACGTCAATTTGATGGCCGGATGCGGTCCTGTAGATCTTCCCAGCATGACGGAGGTTTGAAATCACAGCCATTCCACGACCTGCTCAGGCCTCTACCGAATCGCACTCGACGGTATTGTTACGATGCCGTGATTACACTCGCAGATTGTGCTCCAGCAATCTTCATGCCAACGATTAGCGATACGATCATTGAACTTCCGGTTATGAACTTTGTGTGTAGATTTAGGCCATTCCTAGGAAGAGATGCGCATCCTCCACGGCCGACCCCAAAGAATGCCTGTGCTGGAACACCCGTCCACACACACACACACTTTCTCTCACGTTCCCTCGGACCAGCGGACCATCCGATCATATGGGAAATCACGCTAATGCACTTCATCCTTAGGCTCGCTGCCGCCGCGAATGAGAACTCCGCACCCGGCTGGCGTGACGGGAGTGGACAAAAGTCGACGGGTGGGTGCAACCAAGGGCCAGCCTGTGAGCAGCCTCACAGGCTGTGTCACGCCCGCGGGTGGTGGGCGTGCTGCGTGCTGCATATGTGCCATTGTGCCCAGTCACGACACGCGCATGCTTGATTGAACGATTTTGCCGCTCTTCTGCTTCGCCTCTTCTGCACGGCGGCGTTTCATTCTCAGCTGGCATCGCTTGCTCCGATTGTTGTTGGGAACTGCCCACGAGCGTGGAGAACATTGTAGGCGGTAGATTGTGAAGCTTACCCTGTTGCCACCGTTCGCTCGTCATGATGGGAATGACAAGCTGGCCATGCAGCGCTGCTCACGCGCGCCGTTCCATCGTTCTTCTCGACTGGAATTTTGCTCGCTGCGCTCACCAGCTGTGGCTAGTTGGAATGTTGGCTCACATGGCGGTCAGTCTGACCATTGTGTATCATGACTGATCAGTGGACGTGATCCGGCGGGCCTCAAGCACAAGACGTGTTCACACCATACAGCAACGCCGCACTGCTGAATTCCCAAAGGTCGTCCTGGAGAGCAGCAGCCCGCATGTCATCCCAAGCACAACGTGCTGTAGTTTCGCATGCATGCAGCTACAGAAGCCAGGCACATTCGAGGTCGCCAAAGCGGTCGCCTGCACGCCGATGCCAATTGTGAAACGTCAAGAGCGTCCATGAAGTGGGGTATGAGTGGTCGAATGGTCGAGAACAGCCATGATGGTCGCTTGTCATCCTCGCTCCACCAAAAACATAGCCCAAATGCAGCATGACGAAGGTCACGGTGATCGAAACTTTAGCAAGCGCGGATTTTATCCACAAACAATGCAGGTGGTTTTAGAAGGTCGTATGCTGTGATGCGCCGCTCAGTGCAAAGCCCTAGTGGTGATATGGACTCGTGCTGCAAAGTGACGATGCCGACGATGCAGCTGCTCCATTCGGCCAGGTGCGAACTACGCCGCCCGTTGTCGTTATTCATCTAAAGCCCTTCTCTTGTCCCGACAGCACTCTCAACAGTACAGTACAGTACACGATCACGTACGACCATATCAGTCATGATGCAATTAATATATGTACGGCACCGCTTCACCTGGACAAACCGGTCGACTGCACGCAATGGGCATGTGCTTGTCGAAGTTTCGTGGTCAGTGGGACGTAATGGTCGGGGCTGAGCATTTCCTACTGTATCCCTCGTCTGCACTGCTCCACGTGCATTGCTGTTCACATTCCACTCCATCTGGACCACATTGGCACGACCTTGGAGCGTTCCACATGCACTTGTGGAACTTCGTCGCCTGCAAGAATCGGCACGAATGGATGTCGCTTGTTTCATCGTCGCGGCTACTGTATGCGAGTGCTCAGATGGTTGTCAGAGATTTTTCGCAGCTATGCTTGTCCTGCAGCCTGTATGCAGTAATGCCTGGGTCAGTTGCAAAGTCTCCGCTCCAGACACCACAAACGCAGGTACGGAATCTGAGACTGCGGGTGCTGCACGAGCACATCAGTATACCTCAGCACAGTGGGGTTGCATTGGTCACAAGCTTGTTCCAAGCGGAATGCGCCAGTGTTTCATCTTATTGTCATCACCTGCAGTCATACGTACATGAGTTCAAGCCGTACCTGCATGCCGCTTGCACTTCATCACTTCGAGTCGCCGATAGCTCTGCCATTCATCACAACGAGAAGCAGACAGCAATCGACATTGGAAGACGCACCCCGCGTCAAGAAGCAGACCGCCATCAACAAACAATAGCAATGATTAGCAAACAGAGTTTGATGCATTGGGCGGATTTTGTCACCGAGAACACGCATTCCCTTATTGATGATCGGGACCGCCTTCCTTCCCAACATGGCCTCGGCGCTCAGAAGACGCTTTGATGGAGGTACAGCACAGCGTTGAGGGCACTTTGAATGCTTAAGTTGAGACTGTCCCTTGTTGTGTGTGATATAGGTCCGTAGGCACTAGCCGGATGAGGATTGATGGACCTCAGCCGGCAACAACCAGGACAAGACCATCAACGACTTGCGCGCGGGATTGTGGCAAAATTCGCAGGTCCCTCTCTCACGAAAGCAAGTCCCGCAAGTACAGAACCCTCGTCAACGGCCGTCCAGCCGAACGGGTGCACGTTGATACCAAGATCCGCTCGTTTGACGTCCCGCGCCGACAGGGGAGGTACGGAGGTACCTTTGCCCATCATCATTTCTCGCAATTTCGTTGTGCATGACGCAGCTCGTACACACCTCGCATTGGTTTTTCGGTCACGGCTTGACGTTGTTGAATGCACTTCGATTTCTCCGCGTCATGTCCGCTCGCCTGACGCCTTCTGCAGCCTTGAATGCCACAATGCGCACATTATCACGAGGTTCGTCACGAGGACTTTGTGTCAACGTCTGGGATACGTTCTGGAACGACGGGCGGGACGGTGGCGGAAAGATTGCCATACCGCCATGGCGGCGTGGGCGGCAACATCGTAGTGAGGGAGTCGACGTGGAAGTCTCCCGCCGAGCGATCACTATGTTGAGAGGGTCTTCGCATAGACTTCAGCTTATCTTGATATGATTTCGTCCCGCTCAGCTATCCACCGTTGACTGCCGCCGTTTTGCAATCGCGTCTCCGGGGAAGAACCCTGCAAGCCAGCACGGTCTCGCCTTAGTACTAGTAAAACATGCTGCGCGAGGGCCACCTTTCCGCTCATCGTAGCAGACGAAATTGCACCTCGTTGTGAACTTGTGCGTGTGCTATTTCTCCAGTAGGTGGATCATTTTGGTGCCGACGGACAGGTTCAATAGTCAAGAGCTAATGATGGGCCCGCCGCGGCAGTGGAACTTGGTGGTAAGCACGCGCCTCTCCCTGCCTCGCACATCAATTCTGTTCCACCACAGCGGGATCAAGAGAATCACGACAAAGATACTCGCAGAATCAATAAACTAAGATTCCGGCCTGTATGGCGAGATTGCAGGCTATATCGCGAGTCATAATAGAAGGTGGACGTTTCGGTACCGAACACTCAAGTCCAGAATCCAGAGAGCAGTAGATGTGCGCTGTGCGGAGATGTTGAGCTTAAACAATCTTTCCGCTCTCAAAACACGAAACCAACGAGAGCCCTCAAGACCTTGCCCTGACACAATATATGCCATGCAGTCTGCGTTGAAAGGATTCCAAGGTCGCTCGAGCTTGAGCTGCAATGCAGTCCAGGCGAAATTCTGCAGGCCTCGCCCGCCGTTGAGACACGGGCATAAGATAAAACTCCGATTTTCACTCGTGAACATGCACAGTGCAATATGGCCAAGCTCGACATCTGCTGGTGAGGCACAGATTAAATGCATGCTCTAAAGATATGTGCATTGCATCACCAGAGGCACAGTCCTCGAGAGGCGGCGTAGTGCAAATGCGCCGCTTGTACATACCAGGCGAGCCATTGCTCGGACTGTAGACCCAACTCAATCGTCACACGGACTCACACGGACTCACACTGATTACCATGCACGGTGGTAAGCATTCGATGTTGGTTGACACAATCATCGTAAACATGTTGTGAATTCTGTCGAGTGCGCAACCGGAAAATGTCGAGTCGGCCTCTGTTGGTCTCACCTCGGCACCTACATGCAAGGCTCAGTGACACAGGACAGGCACGGAATGCCGTACCTCTGGGAATCCTTCCTGCACAGATGTGACAACCTCTGGACGCTTACACGCTTGGGTCCTCAGCCGACTACAGTCACACGATCTGAGGTACCATGTTATGAATTCTTCGTATTCCTGCAGGCGGCGGGGTTTCTTCCCATGCAAAAACGTGTCGCGCATCGAGGAAATCCTTGCCATGCAAGCCACGGCCGGGCTGTCCACGTCCAGATGTCGCGGCAACATCCCTTTTGGGAACCATCGATGATGGACTGGCCCCTGGTCGCCTTTGACAGATATGCCTGAGAGCCAAGAAACAAAGTAGCTCCTCCAAGCAATATAATCGCGAATCAACAGTTTGTGGCTTTTCGTCTGGAATTCACCGGCAGAGGCTGTTGCCGATCATCAGAGACTATTGGGAATGACGGCAATGTCACCAAATACCAGGATACTGTGCGATGGGCATACACCTTGCGGGTTTGCGATCTTGTCATGTGGCACAACCGATAAATTGGGATGACGAGGACATCATGACCATACATGAGTTCACGAAATAATTCCAGATGATAGCGCAAGAGAATTCTGCTATTGGCCAGATTGTTGTCAATTTGGCGTCATGGCCTCATATGTAATTTCACCTTGCATACAGGTACTCACCTCTTATTACTATACCAAGTAGGTGACACTGTGGTCCACTGCCGACAAAATACAGACGGCCGCGATCTTGCAATCTCCTCATGCAATGCATCGATATATCTTTTTGCAGATCCGTCCTTTCAACCTCAGTCACCTCTCTCATGCTATTTCTGGCTGTGTCCTCCGTACCACACATCTCATTAAACGGGCCGCTTCCGGTTCGGTCTTAAATCTCGGCGCCGTAGGGCCAGAGCGAGGCATGCTGTATCAAGACCTACAGCCGTGGTTCACAATTTGATGGTGCCAACAAAGTATTCACGCTTGCAGTATCCAAATTTGCAGGTGCTCAAAGGCAAGCCACGATGAAGTGTCCTTCCATCCATCTATCTGTCTACCTATCCACCCATCCGTCCGTCCGACCAACATCCATCAGGAGCCAGATGAAACCCGGCTCTGGCTATGGATCACCATCGTCGGATGTGGCGTTGCGAAATACTTCTTCCCCGATGTCCGTGCAGTGATCTGGCAGAAGGATCGTGTACTCTACACACAGCTTTCCAATTGTTCTGCACAATACGGCGTCGCACGGTCGCTGATGCTACACGGAAGGATGCCGGCTGTGGCATATGTTGACATTTTCGGCGACCAGAGCTCTTGCTGCTCCACCAAACCCGACTAGACATAAGAGTGGGTCCGTCCCGATCAACTAATTCTACACGATGGAGCATCGGAGCGGAGCCGGCATCCCTTTGGGGAAGAGCCAGGCACTCTATTGTTGAGACGGCGCGGTTGGTGGGCATTCCAACTCGTCCTGCTCTTCCTTCTTCAGGCATAATGGGCGACGTAAAAGTATTCCTGAATAGCATCCTATGTGGCGGGACCAACAGTTCGAACACCACTTGTCTGACACTTCCCGAGTCAGTAAGTCTTGGGTACCCACTGTGCCGTGGGAGCCGGGGCAGTGTAAGCGAGCAATATATTTGCGGCACTTTCATCAAGTGTACAGTCTGATGAGTGCCCTCATTCTTGGAAGTTGTCCCGCGCTATCCCAGGTGGAGACATTGCTAGGCAGTGCCGCAGACCACAGTCCATGAAGATATTGATGACAAAGTTCTGAAGCGGGAATATGCCCGCCGGGGAACAAGAGCGCAACAAACGGCACATACTGCCGCGCAATCAGCGGTCAGAGGTCCATTGCGCACTCAGAGCATGTCAGCTTCATCACTGCCATAACCCAACATCTCGCTGGATCAACACGAACTACATTGCAGAGGGACTAACATGTGAGGTTAGCGCGTGCTATGGAAAGTTTGCGCACAGCTTGACGTCTGAAACGGTCAATCCACAGTGAAAACACCGCCCGGTGATACATCTGCTGCACCTGGTGCATCGATCACACCATTGCACGGCCCACAGTCGACAGATGCATCAGAAACCGTCGTCTGTCTCGTAAGTATCGACGTCGATCAGGCACAATGCAGGAGATGAGGTAAGATGGAATTTCCCCACTGCAGGACGCAGCTTTTCGCGTCGCGCCAATGCAGGATATGCAGTAGCCAGGGCTTCAATGCTCTGCATCACGAAGTGACTTCAGCCTTGCGATGAAAAGACTTTTGCTAGGCTTTCACACTGCGTTTGCTACTGCGATGTCTACTGCAGGGGTACGTGTCTGATAGATGGTCGTCTGACATTCGATCGATAACGCATTGAGGCGAATTGAGTTCCTCTAGCTTCTAGATCATCTTTTTGCTCATCATTCGTATGCAAATATCTCCGAAGTTTCATGTTATGATATCTAATGCAGCTCAGCTTAGGATGCATCGATCAACAGCGCCAGAGGAACCAGACCGCGACTGCCATTTCCGCTGCCTTCTGCCATCTTCTACGCTCCTTTCCTACACGGTTGCATCATCGCTTTGCTCTTGGCATGGACATCATGACCCTCGTCTCATTGCGAATTTGCTACTGTGTTGCCACCGCCCTTGCGCTTCGTCCGCCGCCTACGCTGACGCTTTCTTACCTGCCTTGATGATATTTCGGAATCATTCAAGTCGCTAGTCACATCATGGCCATCGTGGGGGTCGCTATGTTCGTCATAGAAGTCACTGTGTCCACGGTCGCTGTCGCTGTCGCTGAGTCCATAATCATAGAAGCCATCACAGGTAGAATCTACCTTGCCGCCTCGCTATATGGTACTCGTGCTGCCTCCGATGAGGGAGGCGACAAACTGAGCAGCTGGACCATCGCCTACAGTCTTGCACTCAGTGATGGTGAGTCTTGGCCGTGCCTTTGACAACGCGTTCAGCGCCTTTGCAGACAAGGATTGATCCATCAGATAGAGCTTCTGTAAATCAGGGGCCAGTGTTGGGTCTGTTGCGATTTGCGTAAGGCTGTCGCCTTTGATTCCACCGCGACATTTGTCGTGACCGGTGATGCTGATGGCTTTGATATGTGGGCAATGCTCCGTCAGCGCAAGCAGGGAGAGGTCTGTCAGCTTCGTGGCCGATTCAAATATCGTTTCTTCCAGCTGCGGTGCGGCTTTCGCGAGTTTTATGATGAACTCGTCCGATATTTCGCTCCCTCTCCCAGAATCGGTATCGCCGAATGTGAGCTTCTTTAGACTCTGAACGAAGCTCGATGTGGTGATTGCTTCGATGTGGTCACTTTGTGCCTCGTCAGCTTTTCGTGTACAATGTGTGATCGCTCTGATAGGTGCAGGGCAGCGGGATAGCGTTGCAATTGGTCCTACTTTTTGATGTCGAAATCTGAACCAAAATACACTTCTGTCGCTTGCGCTCGTTTCGCATCCTCACCCCAGCGTACCTCCCATTGTGATGTCTGACTGTACCGCACGCGTGACGCGCCGCCAACTGTGTTTGGCATGGTCAGTGGATATAGAGTGACGATATTCCTAGACTGAACGGTACAGGTCGCGTTGTCGTCGCGAGTGGGTTGTCGTGTCTGAAATGACAGAGTGCGCTGATAACTTCCATCATTGCTTTCACTGAAATGTAAGCATCACTCTGCATTCCGAAGCAGTCACATCTCATCATTTGCATCGCCCAATAGCATTGACCAGAGTGCAAGTTGTGGATGAATTTGTGTTCCTTGCACACCAGGAATCGCAAAAGTCGCATAACCCAAACCCTAAATCCATGTCAACCCTCAGAAGACAAATATCTTGATCGTATTGAACAAGTACATATTCAAACGGAAGGTTCACACCAAACCCTTCGTTCTCCCGGCTCCACAAAATAGTCGACAACTATCCAAAATGGCGACTCCTGCGCCAAAGATCTCGCTATCGCTGGCAGGGCCGAAGAGTCGCACATCAGCACCCAACGGATTAAAGCGATCCCATGCCGCCGCGCTTGATGACGAGGAGGAGCAAGAGAGTGAAAGATATGGGCGGGCACAAAGAGTTTCGCACTTTGATCGTGCTGCAGGCGGCGCGATCGACGAGAACAATAAGAAGGACGAGTCGCCGCTGATCATTCCACGACAATCGAATCGTGACTGGCGCGATGCTGCGCAGCAGCGCAGCAGGCAGAGGCCCCAGCATTCGACACAACAAGCAGCGACAGCGCAAACCAACCAGATGAACGCAGTGGAGGCGAATCGTCCTGCCTTCGGGTTGAATGTCTTTGCGACAGAAGCTGCAGCCACGGCGTCAGCGTCGAGCGCCGATGCGACTGAATCGGACATAGCTCATTCCATACAAAACGTGCCCTCCGAGGCCGCTCACGCAAGTGTGAATGCACCTGTACGCCCAAGGACTGATGACGAGGTTGCACTGGATGCGCTACTAGGTCGCACGGTGGAGGACACATCGCTTGTTCTTCCGCAAGCGACAGCGGCCACAAGTGAGTCGGATGCCTTCCGGAACGACTTCTCCCGCGCGCCGCCCATGGCCTCGCTCGACGACTACGCACGAGTCCCGGTGGAGCAATTCGGCGCTGCACTCCTGCGCGGCATGGGCTGGAAAGACGGGGAAGGGCTTGGCTCGCAGAAGGGTCAGAAAATTGTGAAGACGGCCGTGAAACCACCTGAGCGTCGTGGAGCACTGCTGGGCATCGGTGCGAAGGAGGATGCCGCCATCGCGCAAGAGATTGGAGCATGGGGCAAGGCCGCGAAGGGCGGTAAAGGAGAGATCAAAATCTACAATCCTGTTCTGCTAAGGGATAAACAGACAGGCGAGTTGTTTACCGAGGAGGAATTGCAACGCAAGAAGGAGAGGGAAGAACGCGAGAAACACGAGAGGGACTTCGATCGCAAGGAGAAGGACCGGAAGAGACGGGATCGTGAAGACAGGGACGAGGATGGAGGCCAGAGTCGAGAGAAAGACCGGGCCCGGGAGCGAGAGAAGGATAGAGAACGTAGCCATCGGACCGATGACGGTCGACGAGACGAGCGACATAGACATGAAGGCCGACGGGAGCGCGCGGATAGCGATGACGAGCATCGCCGCAGTAAGGACAAGGAGCGACGCCGACGGCATGACCGAGAGTCTGAAGAAGCGTCGAGTAAAGGTTATGACCGCGACCGAGATCGGGATCGGGACCGAGACCATCGGTCTCATCGCCATGGAGAGCGTGAACGGCACGGACATCGTCACCGAGAGTCCGAGCGGCGGAGATGAATGTTAAGAATCATCAGGCTGATCGTATACTTTTCATGCTACAGGGAACACGCAGTCAAACTTGACCGTTTGACGAGCCTACGCCAGAGTATGGCCCTCTGCCCAACCGTGCTGGACCATGTCACGCTCATTTTCGATGGCATATCAAGCTCCAAAAATGTGCAGGCTTTTGCTGGAATAACTCCCCGGAATTCTCCGACATTGTCTGTAGTATCACCAGCCTCCTCGATCAAGTCGCTTATCGCGTTAGTATCCGATTATGTTTCCCAGTCGCTAAGAGGCTCCGCTCCGCCGCGATGGATAGAACCTCTCGGCTCTTTTCCCCAGCGGCTTTCGTCCGGCTCTAACAGGAGCGGCTGCGAATCGGTGCCCCTTGACACTAATGCTGGGAAGTTGTTTTGCGGAGTGATCAACAATGTCTTTGGCTCTGGCGAAATCGTGTAGGCTATCCTGAGTTATCTGCGTTTGGTGAGCAATGAATTTCGCCTTCTCGTCGACCGTATCTCCGGTCGCGATTCCAGCCTTTTTCTCTTTGTGACGATACCAATACATTATGTGTCTGATGGGTTTCTGGCCCTCGACAAAGTCAGGAAACCTGAATATCATCTGGACAAAGATAGCCAGTTCCGTTGATGCCTGTGACTCCGGCGCCAATTGCCCTTGTCACCTTTTGGATCGTTGTCTTGTTGTCGGACCACCCACCCCTGGCGATGGAAGAATTGCTCTTATTTTAACTAAGCTCAATTTGCCTCTATAGCTCTGTCGTCAAAAAGTGATCAATTCCTCCAGGAGAGGTTACACCTCCAGATGATTCCACCAGGATGTAAGCTTGATCTACCAATGCGTAATGCGAAAATGTCGGCGCCCCGTAGTCACTATTCTTGTCCTCCATTGTGGCTAAATCTTAGAAATAAGTATTCAAGGACCGCGACAACATTCTACTTCTCGTCACTTTCGAGAACCGAAAGAATCGCCAACAGATACGTCGCAACCCATTTGCGCCCTACCGTCCTCACTCGTCCACTGATGACTACTCGTCGATGTGGGACGTGATCAGACTCTGCCCTTGGAGGGTGAACCTACAGTACTATTTCACATACAATACACCTGTGCAAGGATGAATCGTTATCGATATGCCGGTGGTGAAACATTTGACGACAACCTTGGAACCTTGCAACCTGAAAATGTGCCCCGAGGAATGACGTCGACGGCGGGATAAAGTCTTAATTGATTGCATGCGACCGACGCGTCCGCACGTGTACAAATCCATCGATTACAATTCTGGCGCCCCGTGCACGTTGTTGTGTTCTGGCACTCTCCCTTGGAATTCGTTGTCTGAATGGTATATACCGCGCAGCATATCGGGAGGGTGAATCACACTTGTACAAGACGATTCAATTCTATGATTGCCCGAGGATCAAATAGAGTCTATCTACAGTATTCGAGATCAATATGTAATGTCGCGTGGGACTGATATTGATTACCAAAATGCTGGAAATGATATAAATTTGTTGTTTTGTGATATCGTCATAGTTCTTCTTTGTCTACCCGGCATTGACCGGACTAGCTTGAAACCTTGGAAAGGCTGCTGCACTAAGACAGACTTCGCCTGGTAATTAAAACACATGCTCTCCTCCGCCTTGCTGTCATTGCTCACCCATCTATCCTTATCGGCATCCACAGACTTGCACGCGGTCGCTTCGACATTGTCGAGCGCTCAACTTGACGCGACAAATCGAATCGGGCTTCTCGTCATCGGCCATCGCCTGCGTGCGCGCGTTCTCAATTGCGATCAACCACCACCCCTCCTTGACCGTTGACATCGGCACCGCCATAACGCCAATATGTTCGGCTTTTCGTACTGGTTCATTCCGCTGTTCGCGGGTTGCGTCTGGCTTGGTGAGTCCAACAACAAAGCCATGGACGGGAGGGCCGAGTGATTTGGTGGACGTAGCACTGACTCCAATCGCGTACAGGCACTCTTCTGGCCATGTTGGGTCGATGGCTCGTCCTTGGATCGCCGCAATACCCATGGATGGGCGACGGATCCGATATTGCCTACATCTCGAGCATTGGCGCAACAAACTGGGGCTACCCTCTCTTCATCGCCGGCAGTGCGACTGCGATCTCGAGCTTCGTGTTGGCCTTCATCTCTGAGCGATGGCTGCGGCACAAGGGACGCCTGGCGCAGAACTACTCGGCCGCTGAAAAGATCCTGAGCATCTGCGCCATCATTGCCGCGATCATCGGTGCAGCTGGGTTGATCTTGCTCACCATCTTCGATACCGCTCGGCACCACTCCGTCCACTACGCCATGTTGGTCGTGTTCATGTGAGTTGATTCGAATGGAACTGGAAACAGCGCAAACGAGCTGAACTGACTTTCCGTTCCTCTAGCGCGGGCTTCTGGGTCTCGGCCATTTTCGTTTGTGCCGAATACCAACGTCTCGGCGTCAAATACCGAGAATACTCCATCCTCGCTGCCAGCTTCTGGATCAAGCTGTTCTTCATCCTCATCGAATTGTTCCTTGTCATCGCCTTCGGCGTTCTGTCGTACTTCAAAAAGTACAACGCCGCGGCGCCGATCGAATGGGTCATCTCGCTGATCTTCATCTTCTACATGTGGTCATACATCATCGATTTCTTGCCTGCGACCCGGACGAGGAATCGGGAAGATCGCTTCCCTCCGGTCAAGAAGAGTCACGATGAGATGGCCGAGGATACGGAGCGTGGCGGAAACCTATTTGGCGGACCTGTCTACAGCTCTGGCGGCCATGCGGCGACCAACGGCCACAACAATGAGCCACCTTCGGCCGCGAGGAATTTTTGATTTGGCAATTTAATACACGCGTTGCTGAAAGGTTTTGGGAAGGAGGAGAGTTTGCAATTTGTTTTGGAGATAAAAACATCTGACGGCGACGGCATTGGCCGCCGGAGCGCTCGAAGCGGCGTGTGCTTATGACCTGTGAATGAACAGAGAACGAATAATAATTTAAACTTAATGTCTGCTCGCCTTCATCTAGATGCGACATCTGGCTGTAGGCCGGAGCATGAGAATGCTGGCACTGCCATTCCAGCAGATGCCGGGAACGGTAGATCTACGTATCAATCCCATGGAACGGAGGAAGATTGCGACTCTCCGCAATGCCATTAAACAGCATGACCGAGCGGACATGCGCCTGGATCTTTTCATAAGCCCATGAGACTGAACGTATTTGTGTACGCTGTTGCAATTACGAACAACTGCCAACCAGCGCCGCTTTTTCAGGAAGTCCCACTTATCAGGCGACGAAACGATCTGGTACATAATGCACATCTAAATTGATACAGCAGGTGGAAGTAAAATAGATCCTGGTGGTACAGTGAAACATGGTATAGTGCAGCTCGCTCGCTCGCTTCAATACTCGCTCGACAGGCCCGGGAAGAGCTTCAACTTCGCCGGGTCCACATCGCCGTCCTTCCACAGCGCCCTGCCAAAGTCATCATCAGCACCCATCCGGCACCACTCCCACCCTCGTCGGTCCTCCCTCACGCCCAGGAGATCCAATTGTTGCCGGGCCGCATCCGGAATGAAGGCCTGCAGCATGATGGCCACGAGGCGGAGATTCTCCGCCACCAGATATACGACGGCGTCGACGTCCTTCCATGCAGCGGCGTCGTCCCCGGCAGGAGCCTCACCTCCGTTGGCGGCGGTCATCTCCTTGACCATGTTCCAGGGCGCGCGGTGTTGCAGGTAGCCGTTGCCGCTGGCGACGGACTGCATGATGATCTGCAGAGCTCTGTTGGGCAGAAGCTGTCGCATCTTCTCTTCCACCTGATGCGGGAGCACGCGTGTGCGGCCGTAGTCGCGGGCGCCGTCTTGGCCGGACTCGTGATATATGCTGGGCTTCTCGTCGCCCTGATGTCCCGGATGGGCGTAACGCTTTACTGCTCGCGCGACGTCCCATCTCTTGTTCTGCATGATGCGGGATGTCAGGTTTCCGAGGCCATTCTGGAGGTGCTTCTTGTATTTGGCGATGATGAAAGCATTTTCGTAGTCGGCGTCGTTGGCGATGCCTCCATCGTGGATCAGGTACCATCGCATGACATCCACGCCGAAGCGCTCGAGCGCGAAGAACGGCGAGACCACATTGCCGGTGCTCTTGGCCATCTTCTCCTTGCCGATGGTCCAGTGAGCATGTGCCAGGATTCGCTTGTGCACGGGAATATCGAGCGCCATTAGCATCGCTGGCCAGTAAATGCAGTGAAAGCGGACAATATCTTTGCCTATGATCTGAACATCGGCGGGCCAGCCGCCTTGCTTTTCAGCTCCTGGCGTGAATGGATATCCTACGGCTGATGCGTAGCTTAGCAGAGCATCCAGCCAGACGTAGATCGTCTGCGAAGCGTCCGTTGGCACAGGAACTCCCCACGAGAGACGTTCCCGTGGCCGGGAAATGGATAGATCTTCCAGCCCGGCTTCGACCTGCGAAACCACGTCGGCCAGTCGGGTTTTCGGCTGTATGTAGTCAGGGTTACTGGCATAGAATTCTAGCAATCGTTCGCGAAATGCGCTGAGACGGAAGTGATAGTTTCGCTCGCTTGTCCATTCCACCTCCTTGCCCGTCTCCATGCTGACAGTCATCTTTCGTCCCGACATCGGATCGATCGCCGGCTGTATCTGCGACGCTGGGTAGAAGGTCTCGTCAGACACGCTATACCATCCCTCGTGCTTCTTTTCATAGATGAATCCACGCTGTTGCAACATGTGCCACGCATATTCCACCGCCTCTTTATGCTGCGTATCCGTCGTCCGGATGAAGAAGTCATGGCTCATATTCATTCCCTTGGCAAGCTCCCGGAATGTCTCAGCTCCTCCATCGCAGAACTGCTTTGGTTCGACGCCCGCCCTGGCGGCTGCTTGCTGTATCTTCATTCCATGCTCGTCTGTGCCAGTGAGCAGGACGGCCTTGCGACCTTTCAGCTCTTGCCAACGTTTGAGGACGTCCGCCAGGACCATGGTATACATGTGGCCGACATGAGGCGGGGCATTGACGTAGAATATAGGCGTGGTGACATAGTAAGGCTTATCTCCGTCGATTTGTGTGGTGACATCTGAGCTCTCAGTCGCGAATGAGCGCCGTGGATTTCGATGTGATGTGGGGCGTGAGCAACATATCGGCCCGAACGGCCGTCGATGTGATATATATGAGATGGATGTTGTTGTAAATCTCGACACTGTCCGGATGCGCAAGGACATCGTGAAAGTTGAGGTGTAGTTTCTTTCGCATGAGAGCTCTCCATTCTTGAAACGAAGCTAATTCCAGCACATGTTCCCATCTTCGGCAACGCCCCAAGCGCGGATCTGGGGTACACGGCAGTGACGGCCTTTACCAGTACGAGACGTACATGCGAATATATGTCGGGCAATCTTAAAACGCTTGACGAAGATGAACTGGCCGAGCAGATGATTCCAGCAAACGGCCGTTCACGTTCTAACACGGCGAAACGTCATGATGTCGGTGCCATCTCGACTTCCTGTCGAGCTGTGGCTGCAAATCTTCGAGCACGTCGAACCTTCCGATCTATGGCTTTCAGTCCGACGTGTCAACCGGACGTTTCGGATGTGTGCTGAAGACATCGCAAAGGCTCACATAATCCACCGAATATCGCTGAGCATGAATCTTAGTCTCGGATCAGGAACTCATCATCGATGGTATGACGTTCGTGGTAGCGTCAGATTAGCTTTCAAAGCAATATCACAGCAAAATCCTCAATATGCAGAGTTCGAGATTACTGCCTTTCTACCTGTAGGCTTCTCGCAAAGCGCAGAGGAGAAATGGAACCGGATGTGTGCCAAAGATACCGGTGGAGACACTCCCTGGAACGTAAAATTGGATGGCGGGAGCCCAATCGCTATGCTCCTGCCAGACAGTACGATCTCTCGAGAGCAAGGCTTGTGCTGTAACTGGAAGTCGATGTTGTCCGGCTACTTGGCAAGGCTCAGAAGCTCTTGAAACAGAAGCGTGAACGCCATCAGCACACGTGAAGCCGAAATGGCAGCATTTGGAACATCACGCCTACTTGCACAAAGCCCCACCTCCTCATTGGATGAGGTAATTTCAACGCGTCACAGGCCAAGAAGTCGCGAAATTGAGTTGACGAGGTTCTAGTGTCTTTATCAAGTCTTCGCAGTAGCTTTGAGCTCTATCAGCATGCCATGTTCTCCATCTCATACGCTCGTGAAGCATTGACAGCTGGCTCTACGCGGTGCTCTCAGGGAGCTTGGCGCACTTGTCCTTGAACAATTTTTCCGCCTGGGCCCACACCCTTGCATTCTTCCAGTCGTTCAGCTCCAACAAGCTGGGGAGAAGTGCCGAGCTGAAGGCCTCAGACGCTTCGCGCGGTAGCAAAGAAGGCAGATGGTCAATGCTGATGACGGTCAAGGGCAAGTCCGTCGCATCAGCGCCGAGCTTGACGGGAACAGTCGGCTCCGAGAAAGTGGTGTTGATGTCGTAGATCGGGATCGGGTTGTTGGGGTTGGTGGTGTCACACGAAACATCGCATACCACGGCCAGCTTGCGTTGCGGCGACGCCAGAGAAGCCTGGTCGATGAAGGGCGGGATCTTCGCAGAAAGGTAAATGCAGTTGACAAAGATGTCTGACTCGACGATCTCTTGGTATGGTCCCTGCTTGGCCTTGGTCTCGGCAATATCCCATTGCTGGTATCGATGTTAGCGTTGAGCCGTGATTGCCTTGACAGCAATAACTTACAATGATATCTTCAAGTCCGGCCTTGACGCAGAGATCGACAGCGCCACGTCCGCAACGACCTAGTGCGCCAATGACGAGAACTCGGGGAAGGCGTCCAGTCTTAGCCTTGCCCTCTGCAACCGCTTTCTTGACATCGTCAATCAACAGGTTCTCGTTTTCGTAAGGCTTGACGCCCGGTAGGAGCGAGTCCTTTCCGTGGACTAGCTGATGGGCCCAGGCCATCAAAGAGAGAGCAGCGCCCGCAAAGCCGGCATGCTAGATGAAGTAGTCAATAACAATGTTGAGCGAATTACATGACGGCGATATGAACTTACGTAGCCGAAGGCGGCAACTCGTCTGCCATTCTCTAATAACCGAATCAGCTTTGGTCTCCGGCGAGTGTATCATTAAAACTCACCATCCTCGAGGAATTCGAGATCCAGCAGAGTGCCATTGCCGCGAGGAAAGCGACTCAGCACATTCTGCCAGCCGCCTTGATCCTTGTAGCCTGCCGAAGCCAAGTTAATACATCTACGTGTGTTTTGGAAAAAACTGAAGATAGCACGACTGACAATGAGCGAATTGAACGTGCTGCCGACCATGTTAGAAAGTTGTAGTCGAGATTGCGGTCTTTTTACGTACAGTGTGCTTGAGTGGGAAGTCCTCTTCCGGCAGCTCCTTCAAGCCGATGATGATGTGTTCCTTGGGTACATCGGTCCAAGAGCCTTCGGGGACCAGCGAGGCACCGGTACCCTCATATTCTGAGTCATTGAAAATGCTCAGAGACGAACGCTCGACGTTGACGACGTAGCCAGCATCGACGAGTTTCTTAGCGATGGAGGGGGTGATGGACGACCGATGCTCCAATGGCTTGGTCTCTGCACGGACATGTAGAACGGTTGGTGACATGTTTGAAAAACTTGACCGATAGAAGTTTGTGTTGATTGACAAGAGTATCGAGATAATATTTATTTGCTCAGTGAACGAGCTTGCATTGGGTTTTGCTACTGGAGCTTCAGTACCTGCCTGTCCTACCTAGGTACAATGGTCCCTGACGATGACTCTTAGGGTTTCAAGAAGTCTTTCGTCACCTGCAGATTTCGAAATAAACCAGGTTGGCGCTTTTTGCGCTTACACTCGGCTGACATTCCGAACTACTTGCCTCGCTGGCGTAGCAATCACGACGGTGCTCCCTTATAATACCTCAGCAAGTATTCAAGTTGACATCATGACTTTCATGAAAGGCCACCATTGACTTGGACCGCCCGCAACAACACTCTACTGGCATCATGCAGCGCGTCATGCAGCGCGTCGGCAATCATTCCACGCCGATTTGGCCGCTTCTATGGTCTTGGTTGCTTGATACTTATGTTCTCGACCGCGAGTCACGGCGACGTGCATAGCAAGAAGTGGCGCAGACAATCAAGTCATGATATAATGAATGAGTTATCAAGAACGACAGGTAGCTTGTGCTGAACGACAAATTGTAGCCCACAGAGTATCTCGCGCCACCACCAGTAAAACCAACACCGACGAATAGTTGTAGTAACCCAAAGCCGCTTGCTTCACAATTTGTGCTGCTCGACTCGATATTCGGGATGTATGATGCTCAACTCATCGCCATGTGAGTAGTGTTGGTTCTTGAATGACTGATGCAAAAGGGTCGAATGATCTGAATGAAGGTAATTGAATTCAAATGTTGCAATGCTCCGACAGAAGGGGGTCGCTGGCCAAAGAATGAAGACCACCAGCACTCTGACGTATTGACAGAAATTGGAAAGAAAGTCACGACGTTCTTCATAATTGCTGTGCGTTTGTCAGCAGTATCCAGGTCGTGTTGGACGGTTATTGCCGTACTTTTAAGACTCAAAGTCCGGGATCCCTCAGGTGAGGATCTCCTTCCTGCTCGTTATTGTCGTTGGCAAATGATATCGAAGCGTGCTTGGGGAGCTCGAATTGTATCCAGTGTTCAGCGGTAGAGCTCCTGTAGGTCGCCTTCCCATTCGACCCAGGATCTCGGGGCGTAGGTTCGTCCCCACGGAAAGAGGACTTGCTGAGCACGTGGCCAAGGGAAGAAGCGGAGTAGTTGAACATGCTTGTGGAAATGATGTCTGAGGAGTTGTAACAAACGTGACGATGTGGCACGGATGTTCAGATCTGGAGAGCCAATGTCTGACTATATGTCTTTTCTGCCCAGGTGGTCTGCGAAGTGGTCGAGTTCGTACATCCCATTCGAGACTCTGTCGCTCTTTGTAAAATAAGGCATGATGGCAGCAGGCCGCCCGTCAAAGGGGATTGCATCGAGTACCAAGGTAGCATTTCAGGCGTAGACTGTGTCGTTCTTAAGGGCAACGGGACCAAGGAAGGGAAGGCTTGTTGACCACCGCCACGAAGGCAACCAATTCATCGATGCTGACCGATGCCACAATGCTTCAGTATTACACTTGTCTGCGAAATTTGGATCGCTAGTATGCAAGGCAGCGGTTTCCCTTTTCGCTCAGACCGAACGCGGTGTTCAGGCTACCGGATGGCCCGTTGCGAACCCAGTAGGTCAAAGGGCACTGATGCCTGATGCTCGAAAGGGCCGCTGCAATCTAGCAATTGGATACGGCGGAGTGCGAGGGCACGCATTGGCGAGCTGCCAAGTTTCACCCTTCGTGTGTTGCATGCGGTTTATTCTGTTCGCCGGCCGAAGACAAATCGGCCAGAAATTGAAGTGCTCCCATACTGCTTGAGGGCGGCAACGTCATAGTATAATTTTCTCACGGCAATACATCGCCAGCACAGAGCTTGCGCCCTTACCGAGGGCGGCGTGAGCCTTGGTCAGCGGCGGCGACACGATGCACTTGGTCGGTTGTTAACTAGGAGAAGCTGTCGTATTGTGAGTGTTACTATTGTGTGGCATTGTTGCAGCGGGCGGGAGAGCTGGCATTGCTGGCGGAAGAAAGCTCCGGCGGCGCAGCGGTCGGGAGAGGGCGACCGCGCCCATTCTTGAGGGTAAAGCGGGCCACCCCGTAGGGCGGCGTGGGCGGGTCGGGCTCGAGCATAGCGCGTGCTGTCTTGCAATACCTTGTCTACACGTCGTCAGCCTTCGGCCTCCTTGCCCTCTTCCTTTGATGTTGTAAATGTCGTGCGGTCGTTTGTATTTCCGGGCTCAGAATCTCAAGTGTTACGGCATGCACGATACTGACTGGAAATTGAAGCAAAGTGCATGTCATTGAGCATACAAAGGAGCTGATTGGGAGGATACCAACATCGTAGTAATTCAAACAAAACAAGCAATGAATGACGAACGCATGACCAAACCGCCCTTTCGCTTCCCATTGGCCCATTGCCCACAACTAGAGACTTGTCTTGATGTTCTCAGAGCCATACGTCGTATGATTCGGTTGTTGTTCACTGGGCCGAGAAGGTTTGTCCAGCTGGAAAGGGAGGCATTGACATGCTGAACAGAGAGGAGCAAGAGCCCCTGGCGACCTGTCGGATAAAGGAAATGATTGCAGAAATTTCATGATTCATATGAGCCCAAAGACGGATGGCGCTTAATGGTCGTTTAATCGTTGAATTGTGATATAGCGTCGCTGGTTCACATGATAGCTTCGAAACGCAAAGTCGTAATACCATCAATGGCATGGCCTAAGAGAGCAGAGGTATCGGTGATCGATTTTTCCAGTGGAGAGTGTTGAGTGTTATAGGTAGACTTTGAAGACGAGGAGTGCTCAGCAACCCGAGTCACGAGGTTGTGGGTCATCACCGTAGTCACCATCATCTTCATCGGCATCGAAGTTCACGAGATCGTGCTCGTGCAAAAGTGTTGGTTTCTTGTTGGTGCCCGGGTCACGAGGGGTGGGCCCCGGGTCAGTCTTGCGACTGTTGGCCATGACGGCCGGGAAGGGGCACGCGATTGAGAGCATGGCAGGTAGCTGGATAGTCCTCTTGATCGAAAAGGTGTCTGAATTGTGTTGGTGTCTCAGATTTCAACATTCGCAAGTTTGCTCAACAGATTATATACACGCATTCAGCAGCTGATCTCCCTCTACATACGAGACCAATGGCCTTGAAGGGCCATAGCCGCCCTTGCTAGTTGATCCTGTGGGCTAGGAGGAAGGTCTGGGGGTTGACTCTGCCACACTCGCTGTTAAGGCAATCGTTGTCATGGGATCATTCTTGAGCAGCAGGCTGTCCAATTGGATCGACTCACTTCTGACTCTCATTGCACATCGACCTAGTGATTCAGGTACACCGAAGAGAAGTGTCTGATGTCAGCAGTCTTCGATGCCGGCAGGATGTTCAGGCAGGCCACGCCGCCCACAAAGAGGATGGGACCCTCCATGTCTGATGACTATAATTTTCCATGTTAAGCGCGCCTGAGAGAGGCGCAGGGCAAGCCTTGCCTAAGACATGACACAAAGCCATGGACGCAGACTTGGCTGATATCGCAGGTACGGGGCTGCATCTGGCAGATTTCGGAAGCGGACAAGGATCAACTTCGGGGCGCAACAAGGGCCAACGCGCTTGAGTTCCTGCTAGACGTGTGAGTCACGTAGAGTGTGAAGCCTCCTACAGTCGTGCGTTGTCGGCGCCTACGTCCACGCAGACGAAGACCTGGCGTAGTAGTGGCGAGATGGTGCCTCCCGTGGGATACTGGCGGCTTGTTCAAGGTGAAGTGCAGTCATGTCCGGCAATACGGGAGGAATGCGTCACAGTCATTGGTTTATAAAATGCGGAAGTAGCTTCCTTGCCCCTTTGGGTGGAGCTTAGCACACATCATAGCGCGCCTGGCGGATGCTGCCCGTGGTCGAGGTCAGCAAATTGGCGGCCGCCGGGGCAAGCTCACCGTACGGTCGGTACACAGTCACGACACCTCCAGGGCTGGCAGTCATAAGTACGGTAGGCCCGGGGCGCATGCAAGTGTTCTTTACGGGCGGAATTCGTGCTGGAGAGGAAGGATTGAGGGAGGTGGAGGTGGAGGGGCCGCAGCGTTGTTTGATGGGCGCCGGGCGGGCCATGTTCGTGGCCGTCAGTCATCAGTATGCACGCCAGCCCTCTTCGCTTTGGAGCCCGCCCGCCGCCGCCCCAAACACACCTCTAGCAGCATCATCGTCTGCCTTATTTACTTAAGATGCAGTATCTTCATGTTGACAACATCACCATCATCAACACCACAGAACCTGAGATGTTCAGGACCGCCACCAGCGAATATCTTCAGTACAGCGTGGTGGGAGATCGGCAACACATTGATCGTGCACCTGTGTTCAGGCGCTCACAACGCTGTGCCCTGATCACTGGGCACGCAGAGTGTACTGTATACTTTTACTGCACGCTGCGCATCCTTGCCCTTCCGAGGTCGAGTCGGTAGCCCTAATGCTTGCTTCCTGCTCATTACTGGTTCTGGCTGGAATTTCAGGAATAGTGCCAGTGGACGTCAGCAGTGTCCAAGGTGATGTTCCTCCCGCAGCTGCCTCCCGCAGCTGCTTGTGAGTTTGAAATTGTTCGTCCGTCCGGTCGGGTCAGATCCGTACGTACCGCAATACTGTGTAAGCACGATGCCTGTAATAAGGCCAAGCTATTGTCAGACCTGTAAATGGACCTATTCGTGGATATCTGATCGCCTGAGAGATCGTCGTGGTCGGGACGAATCGGCCATGTGCTCGCCGGAGTTGAGGCCAGGAGCACCAAACATGACTGAAGATACTTGACCCGACAAATACTTTCACTACCTCGCTTGACAATGATGCATCGCTCGAAGGGGCCTGTGACCTCCCTAAATGCTCTTCCTCGTCCGGCGCGGTGCAAAACGACCCAACACAACGGCTCGCGCGTGCATGTACTGTGCATGGGTCAAGCATACCCGACCTAGCACCAGCATCGATCCAGGTGAAAAGGGTGTTCAGCTTGTCATTCACTCCAGGCTACATCGGCATCGCGTCGAGCGTCACGACACGCTGCGTTGTTTAACCCATCAGCATTTATGTTTTGCAAGGCGGTGCACTAGCCCCTTGGGCCGCGATGACTGCATATTTCCTCATGCGGGCCTCGTGGTGGAAGCAAATCAGTAGCTACAGCGGGCCTTGACCTTCGCTGTCTCAAGATCAGATGACTTCTACCTTACACCTGCCAAAGATACGAGCCATAATAAGAGGCGCAGTCCTTTGCTGTCGTCAGTCCATCTTGACTTCAGATCACTCCTCGGCATCGTCGTCCTCCATCTCGTCATCGTCGTCACTGTCGCCACTCTCTCCCTCTCCATCCTCCTCCTCCTCATCGTCATTATCATCGTCATCATCATCGTTCCCGTCCCCGCCCTCGGGTGCATGTAGTCCATAGTCATCCTGGAAGTACTCCAGAGGCTTGGTCTGGGGCGTGAATCCGGCGGCTGTGAAATTCGCCACAACGGACTCCGCCATGATTTGCGCACAAGTTATCACCAAGTTGGAGGTGTTGGGCTGGAAAAGAGGCACCAAGTATTTGGTCATGACCTCACGGATATGCTCGGCTGTGATTTCGCCGACCTTTGCGAGGAGCTCAGCGTTATGGTCCTTACCGACGCCACGCAGAACTTGATTCGCAAAACTCGTCTGAGCCGCGCTTGCCATGGTGGCCTCCTCGCTTGCCATACCGTAGACCTAAATTTGGAATCGTCAGCGCTGTTGACTTCGAACGGTACCGTCACACATCGAGCGTGCACTTACAATTTCACTGATCGCACTCTCGATCGCGAATCGATCAATCTCGGACTTGCCGCTTGCATAGCCTTCAATCTCTTCCTTCGCGGCGGTGTATGCTTTGTATGGATCTGGCGATCGGTAGATCAAAAAGGAGAGTGTACCTGTGCTGCTCGACTTCAGCAGACTGACGCCATAGGCTAAACCGGTGCCGCGTACGGCGACCCATAATGGGCCTTCGGTCGCGGAGAGGAATCCAATGGCTACGAGTAAAGCAGGATAATCGGGATGTGACAAAGAATTGGGCCCTTTGGCGGTGAGTAGACCAAAAGAGGAGTCGATTGTCGACATGGAAACGACGTAGGCTGTTGAGCCTGGCGAGCGGCCGACCTTGCTCAGTGTCTCGGTAGTGCTGTCGAGGACCTCAAGAGGCTTGCTCAAATCCATATTGTGAGTGAGAACATCCCAAGTCGAAACAGGATTCGGCAGCTGCTCCACATTTGCGGCAACATACACTCTGAAATTCTCTGGACGATGTAAAATGTTGCAGAGTTTCGAGTACTTCTCAACAACGGCGGTTTCATCGCTCTTCAGCAGCGCTCGCAATCTTTTGAGACAGACGGCGCGGGTGAGAACATTAGTTGCACGCCGAACGCCGGATTGCTCGAATTGCACCATGTTGTTCACGGCGAACAGCATGCTCTCTCCATCTCGCTTGGACTCAGGGATTTCAGCAAGCATCTTGGTCAAGGAAGCATACAATCTGGTCGGGTCGTGGATGGCGTCGAACATCACCGTTCGTAAATGACCAACAGCGGTTTCGTAGCTCTGTGGCTCGAATGACATGCTCAACGCTAGCATCTCGCCGTTGCCGATGGCTGAATCGACGCCATAGTAGGTAGTATCCTTTTCGAGCTGAACGACCAGCTCTTCGAATTCGATCCGCTTGCCATCGCGCGTGACTGGTGTGGTGAACAAATTGGCAAGATACAAGGGCAGCAACGGCTTCAGTTCTATTGGTAGCGATGAAGTGCCGATCAGGATTTGTGCCCGAACGAACGTCGATGGGATGTGTTCGAAGTGAATAAATAATGGTGATTTGTTGTCAGATTTGTCGATTATGTCCTGGATCTGATTTTTCGAATCTCCAAGCTTTCGCGCGGCACCGGATCGCGCTGTTACGGTAGGAATGAAATGCACGGAGTTAGTGCTCGGCTGTGGCCATTGTGCGAGCAACTCGTCCGGAATCGGTCGGTTGTTTTCTTTTTGAGCCTGCTTCAATTGTTCCGATAGCTTCTTGAGTCCTTCCTCACCCAACCGGTCCTGCTGTGCTTTCACTCGAGTCTTTTCCTCGGCCGTCAGCCTGTCTGCCAGCTCCTTCGACGGCTCTCCCAGGACCACGACATGATTTGCGTCCGAGATCCATTTCTTGAGAAAGTCCTTCCACTGAGATTCAGTCCATGTCTCGATCTCGTCCAAATCTTTGAATGTGCACATCGGAGCAAGATTTCGACCGTCCCTGTCGCCGTACAAGTGATCCTCAATCACGGGTGTCGTGAAGAAGTTGCTGCCATCCTCTGCTTGCTGCTTGATTTGTCGGCGTGAGCGCTGGACACAGTCAAGCATGTACGCCATGTCCAAGGGCTTGCTTGCTGTATCCTGCAAGACCTCGATCAGTCGTTCATACACTGAACGTAGCTTGTCAGTATCGACTGAGACCAGACTGAACCAAATTGCTACGTCTGGGCGCGTATCGGTCGAATAGTAAACAGCGCTGCAAAGTTGCTCCCGTTCAACAAGAGTGTTCTCCAAGACAGCGATTGACGAGCCGCACAGAAAAATCAACAGAACGGCGAGAGCGCTATTGGAAACTTCATCTGTGATGTCGGGACCGACGAATCCAATGAGAGCTTCACCAGCAGACTCGTCTTCCTCCGGAAATTTGATCGTTTCAATTTTTGTCTCGGTCAGCGAGGGCGTGGACCCGGACGCCACCCAAGGTCGGGTAAATGGGCTATCCAGAGATGGAACATCCGCTTCGATCGTCGTCTCGAAATCGTCAAGCAGGCGTAGCAACTCCTTGTGATCAACTTCGCCAGTAATGATGACTCGAAGATTCTTGGGCTGATACATCTCACGATGGAATGCCCTGATACGCTCAGCAGTCAGAGAGCGAAGCTCTTTGGTCATTCCGCCAGTCTCCGATCGATAGCCGTTACCAGCAGGATACATCATTTCCCGGGCCCGACGACCCATGATTTCATCCGAATTGTTCTCTACGCCTTGCATTTCCGAATAAACTACACCAGCATCATTTCCTGAGCCATCTACATGGTGAACCTCGGTGTAACAGCCAGCGTCTGTCAGAGTTGGCACAATCACATGCTCCAAATAAGCCGGTAAGATCTGAGCAAAGCCTTCCCAACCAGCAGTCTTGAGCTCGTAACAAGTGTGGTCGATATCAGTATACGCATTGGTGTAAGAAAACGCGCGGCACGCCAGTCTGTCGAGAAGTCCCTTGTAATGGTAGCTCTTGGATCCCATGAAGCACAGATGTTCTAAAGTGTGAGGTGCACCCGAATTGTCGTGAATCTCAGTGGCAAGTGCAAACCATCCTTCGACTTTAGGTCCCTTTTGATCAATCACAACAACGCGCATCCCGGTCCTCGTCGACTCATATTGAGCGATCTTGACAGGCGCATAATCTACAGTGAGTTGCTGCACTGTTCTGAAGCGAGGGTGAGCCTGCGGGATGCCTGGCATGCTGTGTGATCTTTCAGTGGTCGTCGACAATCGGATCGGTGTATGGCACGAGATATTCTATACTGCAAGACCCGTGCCGCAGACGTGCTGGCACCGAGCTCTTCACTTTTGGCAGATCTTGTCTTGGTTGGCCTTGTATTTTTACGACCACTTTTTGGTCAACGGAATTGAGCAGGAAGCAACCAGACGACACTTCTGCAGAGAAGGATGAGAATGCCCAAAAGTGCTGTGTACCCAAATCTTGTGCTTGTATGTTGACTTTAAGATCATGACAGCGCATTTGGCTGCAGGGTAGAAGAACAGCCCACCAGAGTGACGCACCTTGAATAAAAACGCATGCGTGAGCCCTGGAGATGCCTGCCCACCTGCAGCTGTTGAGGGATGCATATAGCTGCAGCCAGGCCCGGGGATCCTGCATCCGACCTGACAGCTTCAGGCTCCTCCAGGGCTCATTTCAATACAGCCTGATGAGTGTTCAGCGTAATGGTGGACAAGAATATCATCACGGTTCTGATCGGAGTTGGGCATTTCAACCTACATGTGCTATCCAACTCTGGCGATAACGTTGAGAATTCAATATTGATGATGCATTCCAAGGTTGTCGTTCCTCATACTTGGAATAGAACACGAAAGAGATCGCCGCAGAGAGTTTGCGGCCAGAAAGGGTACTGCACACACATGGAAGCGCCGTGCGCCACGTATTTTACGCGATACCGACGTGCTCTGGTATCTCCATCATTGAACAGTTAGTTCCTAGCCTCCCGGTATATTGCAGGACGCGCGAGAGCCTGTCCTGCTCCATTTCCTCTTTACTTCTCGTCCCGTATTCCTTTCATGCTCTCATTGACTGCATCTATCCCGGGATGATACTCACAATATTCTCCCATATCCATATCAGATCTATCACGGCCGCGGTATGACATCCGCACCTCGCGTGCATTCCCGGCGCCTTCCTGACCGACCATTCTGTGCCCACCTGTCTTGAGACACATACGCCCGAGAAGCGCATCGAGCGGGAACAATGAGCGCGCTTTCGCACATTCTGGCATCCGAGCCAGAGCCGTCGTCAGCATCATCACCAAAATTACAGCATCAATCGGCGACATCTCAGTCTGACGCTGCGACGTCATCAGCCATCATGCCAGAACGAGTCGATAACGACAACGTCGACGAGCACGAGGACGATGACAACGACGACCAAAATGACAATGCAGCAACGCCAAAGCCTGCCGCTGATGCTGCCACGTCCACGACGGCCGCTTCCACTTCAAAACGCACTGGCGCACCGGCGCCGCAGCTTGGTACGCTCTATCAGAATACAAAGATGAAACATCTAAAGAAAGAGGACGGTATCCCTTTATGGAGGAAAGATATGCAATATGACTTCCTTCGCCACGTCCTACGCGACCAAACGAAGTGCTTCACAAAGTATAGCGAGCAGACCTCAAACCACACCTTCGCGGAAGTCTATATCGATGCTATGGCAAAGAGCAGCAAATGTAGCAAAATCCTGAAGGACAAATTGTTGACAGACCCCGAGAGCGCTATCACGATGGCTATGGTATGCCTGTTAGTCAACATCGGTCGGATGAACACCACGCTCAACTGTAAGCCATAGGGTAGAGCGTCGTAGCCATTGCTTTGTAGCTGATAATTTTTGCAGTTTTCCCAGAGATGCGCGCTCAGCTACGTACCTACCATCCTATCCCAGCACTCCAAGCACACCAAGATTCCTCGACCTACAAACAGTTGCAGGATGCGCCGCGTCTCAAATCCATTCTTAAGGGCGCAACAGAGGATACGCGTCAGCCGAGCACAATTGAGGACATCAGGAACGCCGCGAAACCACGGACAAACGCCGTGAACCTCATCTTTGTCATGCACCAATACTTTCCCAAGGTCACTGAGCTCCACTTCCCAGAGGACCAGGAGTTCTTCGATCTTGTTATGGGAACAAACATGGGCAGTGAGACGAGAGCAAAAGCTTTCTTGTGGCTCATGTGGTGGTACCTTGAGAGCGACTTCAGCTACGAGGACAGTCAACGCAATCCTTTTGGACCCGGTGAAGTCAGCGAACAAGACAGGGACACCGACCCGCTACCGGCTAAAGTTCCGAAAATTGCGATTCTGACCGAGGAAGAAGAGGAAGCAGAGAACGTCGACCCGCCTTCTGAATTGAAATTTGGCGAGGATAAGCGGAGAGAGCGAATCGCGATCCTCGCGAGCGAGCCGAGTCCAGCTATGATAGCCCTGAAGCGCGCACGCAAAGAAAAGGGGCACAGTTCGACTCCAGGTCTATCGCATGGTGATGATGGTGGCAGCGAGACAGGATGGGCCGAGTATTCCAGTAAATTGAATCGTGAGTGACGGCAACTAAGTCGAAAGGCATGTTCGATACGTAGTGCTGACATTCTCGACAGCTCTCACAGGCCGATTATCGGGAAGAAATTTGGAGACCGGAAGTGAAATGACGCGGTCACCTTCGCCAGGACGCAGCTATCAGTCAGTGGAAAGATCTTCATGCAATGACCTTCTACTAATCTAGGTCGTAGTGATGACGCCGGCTTGGATCAATCTCTCCATCTCACGACTCCTAGTGCACACTCCGGCAAGAAAGGACCCGGAAGAGGAAATTGGCGACGCAAAAAGGGCGACCTTAATGCTACTAGCAGAGCGTTCACGGACTCTTCACACCAGAAGCCCCTATTGCCCAGCACGAGTCACTTGAGCTTTATGCACGACGGCTCATTTGAAGGATGGGGCGACACACCACTGAGTGAGAGACATGGCGGCTCACAGTTCGGTATCGGCAGCGGCAAGAACGACCACGTTCCGACACCTTCATTTCAATCGACAAAACGGAATCGAGGCATGACGCAGCATCAGTCGGCTGTAGTCAATCACCGCAAGCAGCAAATTGATTACTCGCTCGACCGCCGTATTCGAAAGGCGCACGAGCGCGCAAGGGACAAAAGGGAGCAAGAAAGTGCCGTCATACGAGCATGGAAGCGAATCCGGTCCATGCCTCCCGACTACGACTCCGAGGAAGAGGCCATAAGAATCCGAAGGGCTCGAGAGCGTTCAGAGAAAGACACGGACGAATGGCGAACCACGAATCATCTCACGAAGGATGGCGAAGATTTCTTTGACAACGTAGATTTGTGGCGCCGACCACGAATGCTCTTCGCCGGGTTCGTGCGTATCAACGGAGAGGTCAGCGACGTAGGGGAAGAGTCTAAGAGCCTCGCAAACTCGCTGCGTCGGGCGTCGCGACGACTAGAGCGATGGCAGGACACTCCTCTACCCGGCGACGTGGTCCTTCGTCGCATGCAAATCGAGGCCCAAGGCGGATTCGAAAAACCTCGCCCACGAATTAGTTTGTCTCCCGTTGAAAATGTAGCCGAAATCGAAGAGCCTGAAAGCACGCTTGGCAATGGCCCGGTGCGAGGTAGCGCTGTGCGCGGTGGACGACGACGAGCAGGAACCTCGCGAGCTAAGGGCCGACGCGAGACCAATCAAAATGTTCAGCAAGAGATCAAAGCAGATCCCGAGCCCGCACCAGACGAAGATGACGGTGCAGCGGAGCTCGATGAGGAAGATCGAGAGATACTTGGAGAAGTCGACGCTGACGAGAGCGAGGATGACAATGAAGACGAAAATATGGACGATTGAACAGGGCTGACACAGGACATTTGCTGAATACATTTTAATCAGCTGTTCACCGCGAACAAGTGTATGCGCAGGCGCGATGTACTTTAGGGAGGAAGAACTGGGACAATGGAGTCGGTGTTGTATTTTGATTTACGGAATCTGCGCAGCGGACCAAGCGATCACACCGAGAAGAGGCAAAGGGTGACCGCGTAATCCATCCTTTCAGTGCTGAATTGGACCACGCCGGTCTCAGTCAGCGTTTCGGTCGAATGTTGTGGGCTTGTCCTTGATGGGAATGTCGCTGCCCGCAACAGAGCGGTATTTTCCACGAATGAAGTCGGAGATTTGCTCATCTTTGGCCTGCTCAACGGCTGTCTCATTGTCTTGTGCGCCCTGGCCGAGGAACTTCTCCTGCACGAAGTCGACACCTGACGCACGGCGAAGATAACATCCGGGTTAGCCAAGCACGAAAAGCGAACGGCTTTCACTTCATCAGGCAGATTCGAGACGTACCCTTGTCGAGATAATCTTCGTTCTTTTCGCTCTCGCGGCCACCCCCAGCAGCATTGTTGAACTTGTCGGCCAGCCCGCCGAAGAAACTACCCTCTGACTTTGGCTCTGTGGTGGATGGATTCTGCCCCGCTGACTGCCCGTGGTTACTTGTGTCTACTTCATTGTTTGCGGGGTTGTTGCCGTTGTTTTGTAAATTGCCACCGTTGTTGGCAAGGTTCTTGATAAAGTCCATGTTTGCTGATTATCACGTTGAGAAGCTGTGGAGCGCAGTGAGTTGTTCCAGGTCACAGTTGTCTATGTTCAAAGAGCGAACAAGAAACGGTCGTTGAGAATGAGACGAGAGATGAGCTTTCTATAGATGCTCCCATTTGCATGCCTAGACGGCAGCCGGATGAGCAAGTCGCGTGCCTCCAACGCCTCCTTCCCTGGCTGTTCCTTTGATGTCACTTGGCATGACGTTTCCGTGGAACGAACAAGGAAGCGGCTGCAAATGTCACTCTTGTGGGGGTCTGGAAGCGGCGTCACACTCTTCACCTGCAGATCTCCGAGGTCATCGTCCCAGACGAGTGCAAATTGCACGCATAGCTGCAAAACCTCATATTGCATGTGTTGCAGCATTAAACATGTGCGGAGGCCTTGCGAGGCGGGCGAGACATCATGCCGTCAATGCCCTTACACGTCCGCGGACCGTGTGTGAGATAAAGTGTGGGGCTGTCGCGTCGCTGCAGCTGTGAACCACACTGGCTACTCTTTCGAATTGATCCCTGCCCAGGTGGTCATGATATGGTCGAGCTCTAGGAAGACATAAATGATACCTTTACACATAATTAAACATTTTCTTCAGAATACCTCATACAGCAAGCTCATATTAAGACAGACTCGTCTGCAGAATTGCCACAATGAGTGAAGCAGCAGCAGCTACATGCGGCCGGATCCCGATCACGATCATCACGGGATTCGCAGGCTCTGGCAAAACCACATTAATTCTAAAATTGATTCCACAGCTTCGAGCAGAGAATCCTGGTTACAAACTAGCCTTGATCAAGAACGAAATTGGCGACCTCAATGTCGATTCTCAGTTAGCCGAAGCGGCTGAAATGACTGGAAGCAAGGAACTTTTGGGCGATTGCATATGTTGTACCAACGTTGGCCAAATCGGAGACGCGTTAGAGACATTAGACAAAGAGAACAACCCAGACCGAATTATTATCGAAACATCAGGCAGTGCTGAACCATTGAAACTTGTTCTCGAAGTGAATCGACTGTCCAAGGAAACTGGTCGCTATGATCTGGATGGTGTCATCAGTGTGATTGATGCCGAAAATTGGGGAGGTTATGCAAATACATCCTATACTGCCAAGCTCCAAGCGAAACAGACCGATTTGATCGTGATCAATAAGTGGGAGAGCTTGGGAGAGCGTGAATTCGACATCTTCCTGGATCGGCTCGGCGACCTGGACGTCGATACTCCGCAGACGAAGAGCGATCAGGGCTGGATCAGCAAGGATCTCCTTTTTGGTTTCGACCAGAAACTTGCAAGGGCATGGATAGAGGAGGGCTCACAACACGTTAACAACCACGACCATGGGCATGCTGAGGGCGATCACAAACATACTTCAGAGATTGAGTGTCTATCTGTGACATTGACCTCGACCACAACCGGCCCGAATTCCAGTGTTGACACCCAGAAGTTGGACCGTTTGCTCCGATCAGCGCCGAAAGACGAAGTGTATCGAATCAAAGCCGTTCTCTACAGCAATACGCCACCGAAAAATGGGGACGGCAGTGTCGTGGACGGCCCTGTAGCTGGACGGGGGCGTTACATTTTGAACTGGTCATTCGGGCGTTGGACGTGGGCTCACGATGCGATAAACGATGCGCACGCACCGACTCTCAGGATGTCGATCTTCACAGCGCCCTATGAATCGAATAAGTGGACGAAAAAGATCGAGAGTGGTGACTTCGTCGCTCTCGAAGGAAATTCTCAAGGTGCTCTTGGGGTCAAGAAGGTCCAATAAGAGTTGAGGCGTCGCAAGGCTCGTGGCGTCCGAGGTTGTCTTGGTATTTCGCATACGGCGGATCGGGAATAAAGTCAGTAGTTGTCCCGGAGCGCGGACACTGGCACGCAATGCAATCGGATGCCGCCCCTTTCAACCAGGAGGCCCAGTCGGCTACTGCGGCAGAGCAACAACGAGGATAGAATGACCGAGAGCTCATGACACATTCCTCGTTTGCTATTGACTCGTCTCGCTGCTGGGATTCAGCTGCAAATGCATGTAATGACACCTAGACGCCCAGCGCCGATCCAGAGAAAATCAATCCCTTCACGGCGCATACACAGGTGCACCGTCCTCATATGGCTCGTCTCTGATACCGTCTTTCGTAATAACCTTCACAAAAACTCCTTTGAAGTCAATCGGCAACCGTCTCTTAAGCTCATCTGTGCACATTCTCAGAATCTTCATGCCCTGCTCAAAGTCGATGTCGGGATGATGGTGCTTGTCAAGAGTGCTGAGACAGTAGTATTGCGCGTAACCATGTGCAGCATACGGTAAGGATGCACATGATGCGAGGTAGTCGATCCAGTACAGCTGCGGTTTGTTGGTAATGGAGTCGAAGCCGCCCAGGAGAAGGTTGACGTTGTATGGTGAACGTGATCGTAACGATTTTGCGAGCTCCGATCGTACGAATGATGCCGTCTCCGAGGGCGTCAGATCGATCGAGTTTCGCATGCTGTATAGCTGAATATTGGCCTGGATGTACTCTGCGAATTGAACTATAGTGATCATGAGCACGTGAGGATAACAATTCGAGCCCAGGCAATATCACTCATACCTGTGTCGCCAGCCTCTCCGACGAATGCCATGAGCGTCTGCTTGTTAAGCTTCCGGGTCTTATCATCGCTGGCCTTCAGGATGGTGGCACCTCGCATAGCCGCTTTTGAGGCGGCGATGATGGTGAAGTCCTTGCCCGTGATGCCTAGGAGTACCTCCCTGCAGTAATGTCAGCATGTTGTGAGGATATAGACTGAACCAAGACACACATAATGTTCTTTGCCGTAGGCTATGGCTGTACAGTCGAAGTCGATTGGTGAAACAATTGATCGTGTGGGAGTCTCGTTAATAAGGTGTTGTAGTTGCTCTCCTCTGTGTCCTACTGCTAGTCGCGGCATGCAGCTGTTCTTGACGCAGGCAACTGAACGTTGACGTGTAGCTGTCACAGGGAAGGTCTGCCGACCCCGGCGTTAGAAAACTTGCGACCGAACAAAAAATGGCAAAGCTTCAAATTTTGAACGCCTGCGCGCATCGCAAAACTTCAAGATTTGTCTCTGAGATTGACTGAAACAAGCACTTTCGGCAACGTTATCGTCGCGAGAGTCAGATTAAACATACCGAAACTGCAGGAACGACCTCTTTGACGACAACTCGGTGCGCCCGCACAATGAGCAGCCATTAATACATAGGCGAACTACTGGGCCAACGTCAATCATGGCATACAAAGCATCCTCCCGCACAACTTTCGAGCCTTCTAAAGTGATTCAACCAATATATACTGGCGGTAGTGTATCACTCAGCCACGATGGAAGAGCCCTTGCTACAGTCCTCGGCGAGGAGGCCCTGCTCACCGACCTGAACAACGGTCAACATTTGGCACGGATCGAAGGCGTAAGTCGTCATCCCATGATAGTCGCGAGCGCAGACTGACAATTGACAAGTGATTAGGATGGCGAGGCAATTACTTCTTTGCAGATCACCCCCGATGCGTCGCATCTTATTGTATGTTCACGGTCGCTATCTATGCGCATATATGCTCTCAGAGGTGCCTCATCGGACAGTGAAGTCACAACCAAGTTAGTTCGAACAATCAAACCGCACGCAACCCCCGTCGTTGTCACTGCGGTCGATGCCGCAAGCTCTCTGCTTGCCACAGGCGGAGCAGACGGCATAGTCAAAGTATGGGATATCCGAGGGGGGTACGTGACACACACCTTCCACGGCCATAGCGGCGTAGTGTCTGCACTTCATTTCTTCCAAGTGGAAGAACAACGTCAAGCGCCCTCAAAATCTCAAAAAAGGGCCAATCAGCCACTCCATCAAGGCGGCGAGATTGAAAACATCGCAACAACGACTACATATCGCCTGGCATCTGGTGGTGAAGATGGAAAGATCAAGGTCTGGGATTTGCATAAGAGAAAGAGTGCTGCGACGCTAGACGCTCACGTTTCAGTGGTTCGGAGTCTCAAGTTCTCGACCGCACGGCAGTTGCTATTGTCTGGAAGCAGGGATAAAACTGCCATGTTGTGGGACGCGAATACCTGGAAGCTTGTTTCGACTACTGCTGTACTCGAGACTATCGAAACAGTCGGATTTCTGGCCGATGACGATGCTTTTTTCACTGCTGGGGAGACTGCTCGACTAAGGATATGGGAGATCGCGTCAGGCAAAGAAATCACAGAAGAACAAGAAGCAGGCTCCGAGCTCGATGGTATCCTGGATGTGATACATTTTCCAAACCTTTCGTTCCTGTTGACCGTGCATGCGGACCAGACGCTTAAGCTCCATGCTCTTGAGTCGGTCTCGAAGCTGTCGGGTCGGAAGGTAGATCCGCTGCCCATTATTCGCAGGATCAGTGGAAACCATGACGAGATCATTGACTTAGCATATATCGGGCGGAAACGGAATCTTCTTGCTATGGCTACAAATTCGGAAGACATCCGAATCATCTCGTTATCTACAACCACCGAAGTCGAATCTGCATTACAATCTTCTCCTTACTTTGGAGCAGACGTGGCAGTACTCAAGGGCCATGATGAGATCATTATTACGATCGACACTGACTGGTCCGGGCACTGGCTGGCAACAGGTGCAAAAGATAACACCGCCAAGTTGTGGAGGCTTGATCCTGAAGCAAACTCATTCGAATGCTATGCAACCTTTACGGGCCACGCTGAGAGCATCGGCGCGGTGGCCCTTCCAAATGCTGTGCCGTCCGTTGGCTCAAAGGAACACGAAAATCCTTTGGCATTTCCGCCGAAGTTCTTGATTACCGGCAGCCAGGACAAGACTATCAAGCGATGGGACATAGGCGCGACCACTGGGAAAGCGCCGCGCGCCGTGTACACTAGGAAAGCGCACGACAAAGACATCAATGCCATCGAAACCTCATTCGCCCTCCAATCGCCCATGTTTGCCTCGGCTTCGCAAGATCGAACCGTGCGAATTTGGGATGTAGAAAGTGGCGAAGCTATGGGAGTGCTGAGGGGCCACAAGCGCGGTGTCTGGTCTGTTGCATTTTCACCACCCGGTCTACCTGGTCTGACAACCACCGGAGAGGGCGGTGGCGCAAGTACTGCACGTGGCATGGTCGTTACAGGAAGTGGTGACAAAACTGTGCGCATATGGAATTTGACCGATTACAGCTGTCTGCGGACATTCGAAGGCCATGTCAACAGCGTTCTCAAAGTGATATGGCTGCCTTCGTCTCGCGCAGGTAAGGACAGCCGCGGTGTGCAGGTTGCCAGCGCGGCGGGAGATGGACTCGTGAAGGTGTGGGATGCTCAAAACAGCGAGTGTGCAGCCACTCTCGACAACCACATTGATAGAGTATGGGCTTTGGCCGTACGGCCTCAGATTCCCGCCCTGGAGAAAGGGCGACAGAAAAACAATGGTTCGTCTGCAACAGCGACGAACGAGGATGACGATGAGAACATCGCCCATGATGGCACGCCTGATTCAGCCAGTTCGCTGGAGCTGGTGTCGGGATCTGCGGATAGCACCTTGACATTCTGGATCGACACGACCGCCGAGACAGCATTGCAAGCAACTACACAAGCGACAGCCCGGATAGAACAAGATCAAGAACTACAGAATCATATCCGCGCCAACAATTTCCGCGAGGCCATTGAGCTCGCGCTGCAGCTAAATCACCCAAAGCGGCTACTTGAATTATTCTCCACTGTGGTCAACGGGCCGCACACAGCTGGAAGCTTCACGGGCAGGATAGAGGTTGATGAAGTACTTGCCTCCTTGAGCAACAGCCAGATCTGGGCTCTGCTTAGACGGGTCAGGGATTGGAATGCCAATGGTCGCACGTTTCACATAGCACAGCGTGTGCTGTACGCCATGAACTGCACATATCCGAAAGAGCGGCTCTTGAGCCTACAGCGGAGAAAGGCATCATCCGTTCTGCCAAACGACGACGAGGAGCTTGTGAGTGCTATGTCGGAACTGAGCACCAAGCAACGGACGCAAAGTAAGGAGAGCGTCAAGGACGTCCTCGACGCTCTAAAGGCATACACTGATCGTCACCACTCGCGGCACGAGAAGACGGCTGATGAGCGATACGTTCTGATGTGGGCATTGCAGGAGATGGATGAAGTGAATGGTGGCCTGGATGGCTCCCTCGAAGTGACCAATGGCGTTGCACACGACGATGTTCTCATGCTTGATAATGTATAAGGTAGCTGCGAAGGAATGCAAAGCCTCATGTAATTCTGTGTCAATCGAAAGCATGCGCTTGTTCTAAGCGCACCGTTGGTTTTGGAGCAAGAAATGTCTGACACGTCTGACAAATGTCGATTTGTTGTTAATTGTAGCCTGATCATTGACTGGGCACGCATCGTGGCTTAGAACAACACCAGCATGAAAAAAGCTGGAGCCTACAAGTGGGACCTCGGCTACAGAACAACGCTCAGACGTCATGGTCGTGGCACCGCAAGGATAAAATTGACAATTCATCATTTAAACGAGCGACGAATGCTTCGCATTGGATCGTGAGAGCTACATTTCAACCACGAAGATTTTGACGATATACTCATCCGACAACAACCATGGATGTAGCGATCTCCAGCACGACAGGAGCTGCCCTGTTTTGGCTGTACATCGCTGCAGCACTGATATTGACCACAGCTGCGATCTATACCATTGCAAGCATCAAGATTGATCGGAAAACCGCTACCGACGTTGCAAACACCAACTATGATACCGCAGTATTCACAGCATGGGCTATTATCAGCTTTGCGACGATCTCATATAATATGCTGCAAGTGCTGGCGCAATCCTACGAAGCTTGGCCTTTGAGCCAATTTTACCCTTCATTGAGTCTCGACGACCCCTTTGGTGCGATCCAAAATCTGTGGGCGTGGTCGACGACATCGACGCCGTTCGTCAAATTTGGCCAGGCGATTGCGGGCGATGATTTCGGCTGGCTCTGGGCGCAATCGGCGTTGCTGAAAACTTTTTCTGTTTCGCTTTACATTGCATACGAGGGTAGGTCGCATCTTGCACATTGCTTCTGCATATGCAGAGTCTGACAGGAGATTCACCCACAGGTCCTCGCATAGCAGTTCCGAATACCTGGGTCTTCCTTGGTCTTGCACAGATCTTGCCGGTGTCATTTGCCTTGAACCTGTTTTATCTGGCTCAGATCCGGCTGCCCCAGAAGCCTCATTATCCCGTGGCCACGATCCCTCAGCCTGTTATTTTCGGCACGGCTACTGTCTTCTGTGCTTGCCTCATTGCCGCCCCTAAATTCGCAGCTTCGGAATACCTCCTTCCCATAATCTTGCTTGCGCGACTCGCGCTCCTAGTCCCCGCTTTTGCAACCAAGACGGAATGGCTCGCGGTAGATCATCCTGATCCAGAGCAATCCGGCTTCGGCTTGTACACGGCACAGATCGTCATGGAGACTGCCATCCTAGTGGTGACAGCTATCCAAGGGAATACCATCGTGCAGCGCGAATTCGATTGGGTCGACCTCTTCCGCGCCCTCTTTTTGAACCCGGCCGTGACGACGCTCGGCCTCGATCTTATTTTCAGCATGCTCAGCTATGGCACATGGATAGCCATACAGCGACACAGCTTTCCAGAGGACGAAGAGCCCAAGGAAGAATAATGGCCTTCCGTGGACGATCGGAGGTCTTTCTCCTGGTCGTTTATCTCGCGCTTGGCTCGAATACCGATATTTCATCGCCGCATGCTGCCTCACAACACGGGCTGACAGCAGTTATGACTGATTGCAATTCTGGACCTGCGACCATGGAATGCTGAAAGTTCCAATGCGTCAGCTCAATCCGGGGCGTGCAAATGCCATGAGCCGAAGTCATGAACAATGGCTTTCTTACGCCCGCTGATGCTTGAGCACTCTTAGATCTACACGAACTACTTGGAGGGCTATACATACCATAGTGTGCAATATATTGCAACCAATAGAAGTATTTGGATACATCGCCGCTTACACTTCGGCTTTGTTGATTCTGATCAATGCCATGAGCATGTAAAAGCAATCGATGTGTGATGAGCAGAATCGCAGTTTCGCCATGGCTGGCGCCTGTATAGTATGAAATGATCGGTCAAATCTGCGATTGGTTTCGAGCTGCTTTTCCCTGATTCCTTGAGCGCCAATGCACAGATATTGTGATGGAGCAACCGACTCCATTCGTCCTGTTGTCACGAAACTACTACATATCGGCATAGAATCTTTCGGAAAATCGTTCGAGTGTGCGAAGGACATCTTTCAAGTGGAATGATTCAGGCAATGCCATGTCCGTTCGTGCATGTTTACCCGTGCCCACCCATTCGATCGCGGCACCTCGTGGTAAAGAGTCGACCACGATCACTGTCAAAGGGCCACACGATTCATGGCCCTCGACTGCGTGAACGATGGTCTGTTGTCGTCCTGGCCCACGGCGATTTTGTAGATGCCAGACGTCGAAATCTTCGCGCTCATCGACATCGGGGGAATCATTACCAGCGGCCGTCGACTCAATGTATGCCTTCCAAACACATCTCGCCAGTTGGACCCGATGCTGAATATCGTCATCATTTGTTGAGGCTACAAATGCGACTGGATTTGTCCAGAAGAGAACCTTCATGCATTTACCGATGCGCGCAAGATGCTGCAATGCTAATACGGCCTCGTGCAGAAAAGAGATTGCCGGTGACGTGTGCGCAGGGCAATATATATCCATTGATGCAGGTTCCAATGCAATTTGTCCTGATACGAATACTGTAGCGTCCGTGGCCGGTGTTTGAGGGTTAGTGGGGAAGCGAATCGCTTGGGAATATGGTCCAATGTTGGCAGGCGCCCAATACGATCTTGATTGGACATGCAGACCTTCGCGCGAACCCGGTGCCACGGTCATGCTCATCATGAGCAGACTGTCTGCTGGCAAAACCTCGGCGCATGCGATGGTCAATCTCGCTGCTGGGTTAGGCTCCGTGAAGTATGTTCGATAAGCGTCGTTGACGGCGGCGAAATCGTGCATGTCCCGAAGTATGATTGTAGTGTATGCGATGTCACTGGTTTGCAACCCCATATTCGATACCCGTGCTACAGCCTCAGCCATGATCGATTGGGTTTGTTCGCTCGCCGAGGACCCTTTCCCGGTCAACGCAGATAGCAGAATCACATCACCTTCCTGTTCAACAGAGTCCGTTACGCTGTCCAGAGTCTGAAAAGGCTTTCCGGGCCGCAATGATTCTTTGATCTCGGACGAACTCTCTTGGGTTGTCTGATTTTCCACGAGTCGATCAATAATCTGCTGGAAGGGATCGTCTAGTATTGCAGGTTTAGGAACCTCTACAATTGGGCTGCAATCAGTAAGGGGCGTTACGCTTGAGTCGAGAACGCGGACTGCCGCAGATCCAGCTTCTCCGGGCACGGTCTGCATAGACTCCGGATTGATGACAATGCGACCTTTCCACAGTGGTGCTGGGCCTGCGACACAAAGCGTCTCATATTCACCGCCTTCTCCAAGTACAGCGCCGTCGTCTGGTGCCCCAAACCTCCGAGCGGCGTTGGTAAGACGAGTAATTGTACGATGATCCGCTACATTTTGCCAGAGAAAGCTCTCATCAAGGCCACCGGAGGCTACCTTGATGATGCGTGCATCCTGACCTACAGTCGACATGTCCTCCAAAAGCGAGCTTTGCGAATGGCCAGCTAGAGACGGCCATTGCCAGAGATATGAGAGCGGTACAAGTCCGAGGCGGATAGCAACGGACTCCACTCGGGTACGTTGATAATCGGACATTATAGCACCGCTACTGACGGCATTGATCTCCGGATGGGCTTGCAGGACTTTGCGGAGCAATGGCATGAGCGATTCAGTCTCGTCTGACTCGGTGGAAGTTGCCGATGATCCCAGTGTCGCCGGTCCATATGATTTGGCTTGGTTGACGGCTGAACCAAGGATCTCTTGTCTATAGAGTGGTAGTTGCAAGGCATCTTGATATTGAGGTATGACAGCATGGCCGATGGTCTGGTACATGTAGCTTTCAGAATCTTCAACGGCAGCATCACGGCCGCCCTGTGATGGATACAGATTTGCCAGCGCGACTATTCGATGTCCGTTGCGCTGGCAATGAAGCATGGAAAAGAATGAATCTTTGCCGCCGGAGATGAGTGCGACGACGTTTAGCCCACCCATATTGCAAAGATGCCTCGATGAATCTCGCTTGTAAAGATAACCTTCACGGCCAGGACTCTGGGACAATACGGCTTATGGTTCAACTAAAGCTCGTTCATGGCCAACGGGTAGGTCAGTTCAACAAGGTTTCGGACGCTGTCGCCTACAGCGTGGAATAATCGTTACTACTTGTGGACAATGAGGACAGTTGATATTGGAGGGATGAAGTTGCCATTCAATACACAAGAATATGTCATTTGAGTGATCCGAGAAGCTGTCCCAGTGTCGTGCTTGAAAGGCTATAGCTATGCCGACACTGGATTGGTCAAGGCATACAGGGCAAGAATTACATTGTTGATAAAATTCGTTCATGAAAATTCTCACGTCATTACGCAGGCTCTTCTTCCCAGGAAAATTTGAACAGCCTCCGCTTTTCGAGACCTCAAATGCAAGACCCTTTGCATTTTTAAACAAGATGTGATGAGACGAAATAGATCCCATCGTGTTCCTACGAGAGGATATCAAAATGGGGAAGAAACCGAGTATGTTCGGCCGCCGGCACGCCGTCAGGGCCATTCTTGCACAAAGGCAACGGCAATCGAGTCGGAAATGGCCGGTCAGAGGGACCGAGTTTTGCAATATATTTTGCTCTGTGGCGCGATCGACACTACGTCTTTCCACGGTGATGATGAGGTCGACGAGCAACATTATGGGAAACTGATCGATATCGCGCCGCCGCACGAAGGAAAAAAGAAGAAAGCGTTCCATGGCAGCCGGAGATGAGAACTTATAGGAAAGTCGGGTAACCAGGGCGGATGCGCTAGTCTTTCTTCGGACGCGCGGCTCATTTGGACTGCCCAGTGGACCAGGTAATGCCTGCCCGTGAGAAATGGATTGGATTGTATTGCAGCCGCAAGGGAAATGATCATTAAAATCGAATCGAACGAACGGTGAACTAGCTTGGAGACAAATTTGAGAACTAATCACGTCTGCAGTGAAACCGTGAAAGCACCGCCGATGCCACTGTCGCAATTCCCAATATATCCGGGCAATTCTTAGGTATTCGTGCAAGCGTATAGCAACAAGTGTTGGATCTGACATACAATAGAAAGACCTCCCAATGTGACGCACCATCTGGTTACAAATCCATCTATTCCGAGACTCCGAGGCCCATGACTGGAAGACCACACATGCCATGTCGGGTACCTCACTCGACTGTCACGGACTTCGCCAGGTTGCGTGGGAAATCCACGTTGACGCCTTCAGCGACGGCCAACCAGTAGGACATGAGCTGCAACGGGATGACGTTGAGCAGGCCTTGTAGGACATCGACGGTGTGAGGAACCTCGATCTTGTCAGTCTTCTCACCGGGGAACTCCTCGTCTCCGGTGTTGCAGATGACGATCGGTCGACCCTTTCGCGCAATGACTTGCTGGTAGGCGTTCAGAGATTTGGCGAAAATGTCGTCTCGTGTCAAGATCATGACAATAGGCAGGTTCTCGTCGACGAGGGCGAGGACACCATGTTTCAGTTCGCCAGACATGACGGCTTCACAGTGCAGGTATGAAATTTCCTTGATCTTGAGTGCGCCTAAGATTCGTGATCTGGTTAGCAGTGCCTCAAACGACGTGGGGTTGTCAAGATATCTTACCTTCGAGAGCAGTCGCGTGCTGAGCGCCACGGCCGAGCAGGAGCATGGACTTCTGATCCTTGAATTTCATGCACAGCTCCTTGATGCTCTGGTCCATCTTCAAGATCTCCTTGAACTGATCAGAGACCTTTCCGAGACCTTCCATGATATCCAAGCGGCGTTGCTGCTTGCTTGCGCGGTCTTCTGACAGCGAAAGCGCGAACATTACCATGCAGACGAACTGGGCTGTATAAGCCTTGGTGGAGGCGACACCGATCTCGGGGCCTGCGTTGATGTGCACACCACAGTGGGTCATCAGAGAGATGCTAGAGCCGACGACGTTAACGATTCCGACGGTCAGAGCACCGCGCTCGAGACAGTAGCGCAGGGCCATGAGCGAGTCGGCTGTCTCGCCAGACTGCGAAACAAACACGCAAGTATCATCACGGAAGACAGGCGCTTGACGGTCGAGGAAGTCAGAGGCCAACTCCACCGAGATGGGGATATCGGTCAGTTCTTCGAAGCATCCTCGAACAGCCATGCAAGAATGGTAGGAAGTACCACAGGCGATGAAGATCAGACGTCTACATCTCCGGATTGTGCCAATGTATTGTCGCAGACCTCCCAGGGTCACCAGCTTCTTTTCCACATCGAGACGACCACGCATCGCGTTGATGACAGACTCGGGCTGCTCGAAGATCTCCTTTTGCATGAAATGGTCGTAGCGACCCTTCATAATCTCTTGCAACTCGATTTCGATTGTCTGGATGGCGCGGACTTGGCTGGTTCCATCGCTCTTGGTCAGACGGTGGATGTTAAGCTGACCTTCGTGGATGTGAGCAATGTCGTCATCCTCGAGGTACAAGACCTTCTTGGTGTGCTCGATGATGGCGGATGGGTCGGAGGAGAGGAAGAACTCGGTCGGCTGCGGGACTCCATCGTCGGAGAGGAAGGCGCGCGATTGCGAACGGTGAAGTAGTGATTTGTCAGGAGGTGCGAGCAGGTTGGCGCCAAGAAGTCCTTGGTTCCTCTTAATAGCCACGTTTTGGCTCGCCTGTTCGGCCGGGAGCACTTCGCCGCCATCACCGAATTCAACATCGACAAAGTCGACCTTCATCTTCCGAGCTGTTCGCACACCCACGACCAGAGGCGAACCCTTACGAGCCGCAACAACTTCGCCTGGGTAGCGGACACTCTTTATCAACAGACCGAAAGCGCCCTGCAGCTCTTTGATGACCGCCTTAACGAGGGTCGTGAAGTCGATAGTCGGGTGGGCATCGTATATGTATTTGGCGAGCTTAGCAATGGCCTCCGTGTCGGTGTCCGTCTCGAACTGGAAGCCCTTGGTCTCCAAAAGTGCCTTCAGCTCTTTGTAGTTGGTGATGATGCCGTTGTGCACGACGGCAAACTCCCACTTCGGATCCGATCGATGCGGGTGGCAGTTTTTGCGGCTGGGCTGACCGTGGGTGGCCCAACGAGTGTGTGCGATACCGGCATGGTTGTCGAAAACTTTGGTGAGATCTGGGTTCTCGGCGGCGATGAGCTCCTTCAATTTGGCGACCTTGCCAACCTCCTTGTATGCGAAGACCTCATTCTTCTTGTCACCATCGATGGCGATACCGGACGAGTCATAGCCTCGATATTCTAGACGAGCCAGACCTGTGGTGGAAAGGACAATGTTAGACGTATGACGGGAAGATGGGAACAGCGACGAGCACGGTCTCAGTGACACTCGCACGATGCAGAGCCTGAACTATACGCGGGTCGCCGTCCGCACTTTCGCGTGAATCGAACTTACCATTTACCAGTGTGTCGAGGATGTATTTGCGGTCCTTCTCCACCAGGTAGTTGATGTAACCAAAGATGCCACTGTTCGAGGCTGGTGTTAGTTCTGCTTCTCCGCGAATTGATTCCGTTGCATCAGTTCAGGACGGCCAGCGATACTCACCACATGATTGCGCGAGGATTGACGAAAAGAATATGTTCGATATGCTCGGGAAGGTGAGGATTATCACCTCAACAATGTAGGCGGTGACCAACAGTTGGCCAGTTCACAATCGTGCTTTGTTGAGGCGAGTGAAGCGCGGGGTACGTTGACGGATGCGCCCTGAGTTGATCCAAGTGTTTATCAACGTGGAAATATGATCGATTCGGACAGATCCACAGGGAATTTTGGATCAGAAGAGTGAAGTGATTATAGAAATTTGAGAAGTAAGAAGACGAGGAAGGAAGAGTGTATGGAACGATGTGAGGTTTGGAAAGGGATTGTGACGTGTACAGTCGATGGCTCTTCTCGATGATTTATTATTCTTCCGTTGTCACTCGGTTTGATGCTGAGCCGCTCCTGGAACGCGGCGAGAGCTCCCTCCCCCAGGGTCTTCGTGGAGCTTTCTATTGTTACCATACATGCACCGTGCTTCACCGCACTAACGAAATACCGTATGAACCTAAGGTTTATTTTAATAAGCTCGGGCGTGCTCCGCCCCATTCGAACGAACGGGCTTGAATGCAGCTATCTCCGTGAAAGGGCACGCTGTAACAACAAGTTTCACTGGATAATTGAAGTCGGGCATCGGAGCTGCACTCACGAGGCTCAGCACTCCTGGCGTCCAGATGCCCATTCCAACGTCCAATGTGACCATCCGCATGGTATCCTTCTGTTCTGCATACAGGCACACCTGAGTGTCATGCCAGCTGCTTCCACTGCTTCTGGACATTGGCTTCAACTCTGAAACGCCGGCAGCTCTGAGCGAATGTGGAACTGAGGCGCGAAGAAGGTCTAACAATACTTTTCCACGGCAGGTCGAGTGCCTCATGGCGATAAATCTCAGCGCTGACGCAGGACATTCGACCATCATGACCTGTGTGGCACGAAAGGCCTTCATAGACAGGTCCCGTTGAATCGTTGGAACATGATCCGCGAACGCCCAGAGGTAACCTTGGCCAGTGGCATAACGAGCCATTCAGAGGACGACCTTCGGGGATCATTCAGGTCGCAACCACACGCTGGTAACGCACGGGGGTCCAAATACGAGCCAGCTCTGCGACTTGAACACGTCTTGGCCGTTAAATTACAATGGTCGATCTTCTGGTGAGGGAAGATTCGTTGTACGAGAAGCCGGAATGCGCCAGGCCGTACTTTCGTTGATTGCGGGCTAAAAATACACCTTGAGCCACGACCACCGCCGCCGCCGACGCCGTGGACTGAGCTTAACGTCATTTTCATAAGACAAGGGCACGCATGGCAAAGGGCTACTACTATACTTAGGCACAATACGTGTACACCTCTAATTGCTTCATGCTTCGTACATGTGAAAAGTTTCGACACTCCTGAACACTGTTCACTTCTCATGAACTGACCATGCCGCCGTTCTCGATCCCGTGCAAAGCCACGTGGAAAAGCGAGGGCATTCACTCGATTGTAGGAAAGTCCGAGCGATGGGTTTTAACGTAGCAATCCATCTGACATGACAGCTCGTCCGCATGGCATTGGGCACGTGGCAGTGCACCACGGAAGCCTGTTGAGTCTAGCATTTTGCAGGGGCGATATCGGTTTTTGATTATTCATGGATGTAAACAAAACACGTTCAAGCGGAAATTTGAAGAGCTGGAGAATTTTCATTGTCATGATCGTAATCATCATCGCCGATAAAAAGCACGTCTCAGGTGTTCTACTACTACAACACCGCACTAGCAGAAAAACTTATAGAAGCGCTTCCACGCTGGCCACGTCGCTTGCTCGGCCTTCTCTTCAGCGATCAGTTCCGCGAGGTTAAGATCACGGACACCAGTGTGGAGGTCGGCATTGTGACTGCGCACGAACGACGTCCTGAACCAAAGTTTCCAGCCCAGGTAGAAGACGATGACGATGGGTGCAGCAAGGTATGCCTGGAAGAAACTTTCGGCTTGACCCTCGGGACCCAATTCACCGTACCCAACGGGCCATGCGCCTGTCCAGAATTGAGCCATCAACACCAAAATGTTGAAGATGAAGCCCAGATATGAGCCGAGCAAGCCAGCCTGGCTGCGGAAAGCCAGCTCGCTGAGGCTGTGACCCTGCTTGGCCCAAGCACGACGGAAGCGAATGTGTGCGAAACAAATGCTCGTCCAGGTAAGAATGACCGACAGACCGGAAAGGGCAAGCATCCAGTTGAACGCATCCTTTCGCTTGTCAGATCCGGCGAAGAAGGCGAGAAGGCCGAGGGCGGATGCAACTGCGATTGACACGATGGGGCGACCCTTGCGATCGACGTAGCCCAAGATTTTGGGCGCCTGGCCTTGGTCGGCAAGCGCAGCGAGCGTACGTGAACTTCCGTAAATGGACGAGTTGCCCACAGACAACACGGCAATTAGAATGACCACGTTGAAAATGGACGGGAGGACGGAGATTCCGGCATTCTCGATGGAGATAACGAAGGGCGAGGCCGTCGCGTCCCAGCTGCCACCGCCGTTGATGAGACGCGGGTTGTCGGCATTGACCAAGAGGCCAACGAGGGTGAGCGAGACAATGTAGAATAGCGTGATACGCCAAAATACTTGCTTCACAGCCGTGGGAAGAGATTTGCGTGGGTTCGCCGTCTCGGCAGCAGCAAGACCAACAAGCTCTGTTCCGGAGAAAGAGAATGCAGCGGTGACAAACACTGAACACAGACCCTTGAAACCATTCTTGAAGGCGCCGCCGTTGGCCCACTCTCGGCCTCCAATGTATCCGCCTTGAGGGCCGCCACCGGCCGCGAGAATGATGCCCAAGATGATGTAGCCGACGACAGCAATGACTTTGATGATCGAGAAAACGAACTCGGCCTCACCATATCCTTTGACGCCGAACAAGTTGATAGCGATAATCAGAGCCAAGAAGATGGCCACCCAGGCGTCTGGATTGATCGGGCTCTTGCCTTGTTCCCAGTACTGAATGGTCAAGCAGGCGGCGACGATTTCAAGCGGCAGGACAACGAGCCACTGCAAAGCGTAACTACGAGGCATATGTCAGTACGCGTATATTGCAACCGTGGATACTACAGGAAATGCTTACTTCCATCCCATGGCGAAACCCCAAGCCGGGTCGATGAAACGAGTCGAGTAAGCGGAGAAGGATCCAGCGACCGGGAACAAGACGGCCATCTCGCCGAGAGCGTGAACCGTGCAGAACAACATGATACCGATGAGTCCGAAGGCGATAAGGAGCGACGCTGGGCCACCCGTGGCGAGTGCGGAGCCGGAGCCGACGAAGAGACCAGTTCCGATCGAACCACCAATGGCAATCATCTGCAGATGTCTGCCCTTCAATGATCTCTGCAGCGGAGATGAGGCGGTGCCGGCAGCAGCGCTCTCCGGGTCGTAAGCTCGACCGCTGACGCTGTCCGAGCGCTTCGGGGTCATATGCGCATTGGGATCCCGCTTGAAGCTGTCGATGAAGCGTCCAGCGAAACCTCGCGACGAGCTGGTGTTAGAGTCGTCATACTGAGGCAGCTCGGTCGGGCTGGAAGCCGACCATTCGGGGCCTGATTTCTCCATGCTCGGTTGAGGCTCTACTGCTATGTCGCAGTGTGCTGTCCTTGCGATCTAAGGTAAGCAGAACAGGTGAGGACTCGGCGGGCGAACATAGGCGCCTCTGAGGCGCGCGATGCCAATATATATACCATAGCTAGACACCCACCCGCACACGGATGCACATGAATGCGGACGAGGGCTGCGATACCTACTGAACCTTGTCACGCGCACATGAAAATGGTGGAGTGCGAGCTTGCTCGCTCGCTCAATGGACCGCCTTCTGGAAGCGGCATAATGGAAGACTTCAGGGCTGTCAGACTTCGGATGAATGCCGCCTTGTAGCGTGGGTGCCGCTAGTGCATGGCGAAGGCGCATGGCGAATGGGGAAGGACTGGCCGCCAGCGGGGCTGGAAGGATGCCGGGAGATAACAAGATGCTTTGTGACTCGTCACGTTTTTGATAGCGTCCAGGTGTGGCTCGGACGGGTCATATCTCTATCTCTACGACCGTAAGATCAGCAACACCACCACCATGACCACCACCACCGCCGCCGCCGCCGCTGCTGCTGCTGCTGCCGGAGACAGAGGTGGGAGAAGAGATTGGACATGAGATGTCCCATGGCCTGTGCGAGGCAAATATTGGCGATGGAGGTGGGTAGTGTGTCGCCGCCGACAGCTTGCGTGTACAATAGCTGATTAGTGCTCGCCGGGAAGCAGATATGCACAGTGCACTGTGCACACATGGTCTACAATCTAGCCGAAAATCTCCCCAACGCGTGCGAGACACGATAGACTTTTCGCGAGCTACTACGAGGCAATCGTACTGTCGGGTCGTTGGCCACCAGATATGCCTCTAGCCGAGAGCGCAATCGAGCGACTCTGTTGGACCTTCCAGATCCGCCGTACTGGGCTTTGCTCCGATTGTCTCAAGATAACGCGAGCCCACTAGAAACCTACCTTTCGGCGGAGCCGCCTAACGCTTCGGTGGTTTTCGGCGAATGTTTTACCTGCCATTCTTTCCCGACAGCCTTGGCGAGATGCCGACAGGTTTGATTCCCTCTGTAGAATTTCACCCGCGTCGATCGCCTGGAAGGCAAGCATGTGCCAAACGAAAGCGAGATGTCGCAGACATGTGCCCCGCGAGCATTCCGATAGTCTCTGCTGGAGATGTCGCTATGCGGCACAACAAAGTTTATTCACGCAAAAACAATAGTGCAGATGGTCGATATCCTGCCGTGATGGCTGGGATGAATGTCATGCACAGGAATGTGGGAGCTGTACAGTAGCACAACGCAGGTGGGAACATGACCCGAGTTGAAGGACAGGACAGGACAGGCAGACAGAGACACTGCGGACAGGGTCTGACGTGCCCGCCTGAACGAGAATCCTGGTAATCCATGGATTCCAGGATTACAATGACTGCATTGTTGCAGCTGCAGGATTTTAACTAGGAGTCGGGGTGAGCGATTGAAGAATGTCACACTGTTCTGGGGTAAAAGGTCTGTGCGGCGACGGCAAGGCAACCTCGGAATGCTACATTCCTACCACTAATAAGCTTGGAAGCTTGCTATCGTCGTCGAAACACTTGGCGATCCCGTCCCGAACGCTACTTGCCTGCTCTCGTGCTCATATTTGATGCTTCGAAGGATGCTGCGACTGGAATCTGTTGACCAGTGAAAAGATCCAGTTCCACCTGGTTAAACAATGGTGATGAAGTTGGGCGTGATGACACGCGACGTCACGTGGACGGCGGGACGAACAAGGGAAAGTGCCCCTTCATCTCTTCCTTCCGTCCATTCTTCCTTCCATGCGACGCAACCTGTCCAGCCTGGGGCCACTACTCTTCCTGCAGTACCAGCTCATGAGGGGAATGGGAACATCTGACTGCTCCAAAAAAACATGTCTGTCCTGCCATAACAACCTGTGTACGCCGACGAGGGAAGTGTCCACATTTACTGGAGAGTAGGTTGCCAATCTCTTTTCCTATGGTGGGATACTCAACATCGAACAGCGAGGAAAGCGCCTTCAAAGGCTTGCAATCACATCTTGAGAGCATGCTTGACCTCTCCGCCGAACTGTCCGATTGCGAATCATCGAGTGAGGTTTGCGGTATCTCCCTGCCCAGGTGGACAACCAAGTATCCTCGAGGGAGGGACCTGCCCTTTCCAGACGTGTGAGACGGGGTGCGCCGAGTCGCATAATCACTGCGATCGCCGCCTCCGGCTCGCAACCTCTTCGCCAGCTTCTAGAATGTCTTTTTTATCAAGCGAGGCTGGACTTGCCCCGCCAAACCCAAGGTCCTCGAAACCACCTGCATCTATTCGATACAACGGCTGCGAGTCCGCGACGAGGCATGCGCTAATTCTTTGGTGATCGGTGGCCGACCCCGAATGGAACTTAGCTCGCCCCATTGGTGTGTATACATATGTACTGGAAATGTACTGTACTTTATAGGCCCACCTGGGCAGGTGTGTATCGTCGGTGCAGGATGCATGTTTGTCGCACATCTGACTGCTCACCTGGGCAGCAGGATACTGATCCTTGAAGAGGCGGCCTCACTTCGCCATCCCTCCATCATCTCCATCATCGATGACTACTTTGTATTGGCTCGACCGGTCATCATGTCAGTGATGTATTCGTGTGATTTTTGGATGCTTGTGCGACAAGTCGACGAGTTTGCCGTATTTCTCATCGCTCATTCTCGTTTGATGTTCACTTTCAGATCAAGTCGGAAGGTGAACGCAGGCGATTTCCTCGATCTTCTGATAACCTCCAGGGCTGTGGCGCTGCCGAATAGGGCAATTGCGCCATGCCTTGTAGCACTTGTCCCTGCAAACAACCACAGCGTCGCATGGTTTGCAGCCGAGTGATGGCGCTTATAACCCTGGAGGAAGATGGAAACTGTCATTGTCATGATAATCATAATCATTATTATACCAATGTCAAGTTATTATCTTTCGGGCCAATAACCACTCCATTCATGATCTGCACTTATCATAATGTTTCTCAACATCAACTTATAGACTATCTTTGTTGCATCGCGAATCCTGCGATAAGCCGGCGTCATTTCGGCGTTGTTATTCCAATTTTTCGGCACGCGGGACACGGTCTTCTGAGCCCATCGCCGAGATAGACCTTGTCGATGCCATGTGAGCGCACGCCCATCGCGCCACGACAGCGTGACCATGAACGCCTCCGTTGCAGCACATCTCTGTTGACAATCTCCCCGTCGGCCTGGCCGGGTCTGGCCGAACGGCGACCTCAAGATCCATGGGCCGTCGGGTCAAAGACGTCTCGCAGATAAGAGACACCCCACCCCGTACGAGCAATTCCATGGCGACGTGCCGATGCAGGTCCAGGCTGGCGCCAATGCACCACTAATACGGCCTGTCATCAATGCGAACTCAGATTACGCAGGGGATCGAGCCGATACTCGACAGATCTCCGATGCCAAATATGGACTACCTAGGTGTTTTTGACGGAGAATTAGTTCATTGGTCTCGCGGATACAGATTCTGCTTCTTTGGCGGCCAGAGCCGTATCTGTACCCACGTTGTGGCGCTCGTTATCTACCGTCGGCCCGACATAACTCTCGATCTGTTCCGCATGACAACCACCACGATGAAGGATCGAGGAATACTTTCTCGTCATACGTCTTTCGCGTTTCACCAATGCCATTCGTTTGCGACTGAGCCCTGGGGCTCGCAAGAGAGCCTCCTCCGTGCGCGGTGTCAAGCTGAGCGATACTCTTGAACACTGTGGCCATGGACAAAGTACTATTTGTTTCGCTGACTCCGAAAGGCTCATGTGCACATCGATCCGAACCGTTCATGTTTCCGTCTCGATGCCCGGCTCGCGTGTATGTCGGTGGAAGATCGATCCGATCTTAGCCTCGACACGCTCAGCCTTGCGCAGCGCCCATTGAGCGGTCCGAGGAGCCTACGAGAATGTTAGCATTTTGTCAAAAGACCTCCTTCTCCGATCGGGGCTAAGAACAGGACGGGCGTACCTTGTATTGCATCACTCCTCGATGTTGACGCTGCTTCTGTTTGGCATCCTTCTTGTAGTCCCGCATCTGATCGATAATAGTATAACTTTGAGAGCCGTCGGGTTTCTCGCCACTGTCGTTCTCGTCATCCTCGCCGCGGTCCGACTCGGAGGTATCGGAGTCATCCTCATCCGAACTCGATTGTGGTTCGCCACCGACTATGCCTGCTTCTCGTTCTGCTTTCTGATCATCAAGATGATCTTGTGCCACATTCAGAACTTCGAGAACATTGCGCAAGTTAGGATCTTTGTGTGCCCAAGAGCCGTGTGCACTCCCCATACCGCTCCAGAATTTGACGTTGAGTTTGATGCTGCCGATCTTCTCGCCGCAGTCATCCAGGCTACATGCTTTCGCACGCGCGAAATCGCCGGTCCACATTGGCAGGGTGATCTCTTCCTCCTCATCATCCCGGATGGCGTTTAGCCAAAGTATGGCGAACGCGTGAGTACCGTCTTTGCCTAGTGTCTTATGCTTGATCCGTATTGCAAGACAACTGCTGTAACGTTGGCGCACGGCAAGTTTGAGACTATTGCCTTTCCGTGTCTTCCAGATCGACGACCCTTCACCAGGACGCATCTTGCCGCTGGACAGATTGGTGTATAATTTGACATCCATGTCTCTTAGACGTTCTGGAATTCCTGTGGTCGAGATACCCGGCTGGATTTCGAGCGTGCCATAGTCCCATCCCAGAAGGCTCTCCGGCTCTTGGAGCTGGACGCTCCGCCAGATCAAAGATATTCGCACACGGCCATAACCCACGCCGCCGACCAACGGGTAGTACTCGTTGATCTGGGAACGTTTCGCAAAGACGGTTTCCAATGGAAGATGAACGATTCCCAATAGAGGATCGTCCTCTCCGACTCTTTGGTCGCGCACGGCAACGAACAACTCGGCCGTCCGCCAGTCGGCGATGAATCTCTCAGTGCCGGCATTGAAGAACGGGCGAGCATTCTTGGGCTTGGAGCGGGTCTTGTAGACCTTGTTGTGGTTGATGATGATATTACAGTACGCGGAGGGTAAGTCGTCACCGTCTTCTGTCTCCTCTCGATCCGCTGCCGTCGTGTTCACGTGAGACTTGCTGATGTTTGACAACTCAAGACCAGTGATTTGGTGAATTTGGATCCCAAGAATACCAGAAGGGAAGCCATCAGGCGGCGGCGCGGAGATCGTCATCGCGTCCTGAAAGTTCTTCAACTCCTGTGCTCTCATTTGCTGCAGTTCTTCGTCTGTCTTGGCATGTCGACCTTTCTTGATCTGCGCTTCCCGTAGTTTTCTTTTGGAAATGTGTTCCACCTTTTCTTCCAGCTGCTGCTTGGATCTGATCTCGGAATCAAAGTCTTGTGCTTCGTATTGACATTGCTGGAGCCTTGTTTTGGAAAAGTATCCAACACTCCATTTGAGCTTGCCTGGCATCTCTTCGCCTGCCTTGAGCGCTCGGAAACCATCTACACGATCACACATTTTGCCGTTACTTTCATCTGACCTCATTATGTTCTTGAGGTCGACTTCAATTCGGCCCAAGTCGTCATCTGCGGTGAAACGGTCCGAGTCCCATAATTGTACCCGTAATCGCTATTGCACGTTTTGTCAGTAATTGTGGATTGGTCAAGCATGGACAATCCAACACCAAGGCTCGATTCAAGAAACGACCAGAAGACTCACCTCATCAACATCAAGCTCTGCCGGCGTGACCAAGAGATAGCATCTTTCGTGCCACACTGGATTCATCTCCTTGCTCAAGACTCGTGTAGACCATAGCGGCTTGCCAAACTTTGCATATCCTACAGATACGTACGGGTCTGCGCCAGCTTTGCGAATCAACGGTATCGCAATATCACCACATCGGAAGTCGTGTCCGGATTTAATATCGACTACCAATACACCTCTTGCAGTCGTATCCTTCTTGAAGTCATCGCCAGCCAGCATGTCTTTGAGGTCCAGAGTAAGCTAGAGATCTGTCAGCATCAGACCGTCTTCACTTGACCTTCGATCTTACCGATTTGGGAGCCACATATCTTTGAGGGTGTGTCAGTATTGTGGACAATTGCAGTAAAGACTCAATAGGCGAGGATGGGACTTACTCAGACATGGCCGCATCTATGGAGCTCTGCACAAAGTTCTTGATGAGCGGCAGAGCCATGATGTTTGGTCCATACTTTATCAAGGGAATGCAGCTGATGTCAACTTTCGGCTGGCCTAGACATGTCAGAGTGCAAAGTGCAAAGAATGGCGGATCTGGCGTGAGCTGAAGTCGCAAGCGAGCAAGACCGACGACGCCCCGGACATCGACCCATATGGGAATCTTCAAGTTGCCGGGGAGATAAAATGCGAGTACCATGTGCACATCCTTGGAGCGGTCTTGCAGCGATGTGGGAGGTCGAGCGTGATAGGCAAAAGACACTTCGAGATTGATGAAATCGCCTAGGCTCGGTCAGCGTGCAAGACTTTACAGCTATTATTAATCGCGGAGAACACCAACCTTCCTCTGCTTCCATGCCACCTGATACCTGAGCTTCTGAGGGACCTCCATCGGCTGGCTCCTCTTCGACGGGAACTCTAGAGCTCTCAGACTTGGTCGATTCGTGGCTCTTCGTAGGCGGTGAGTCTTGGTTCTTGCTACCAACCTTCTCATCCTCGGAATTGAGATTGCCATCTGGGCCAACAGATCGCGCTGCTGCTCCACTGGGCAGCCAGCGAATGCCTAGAATGCGAAGCGCTTCGCTGCCTTGGCCAATGTCTTCCACGCCGACCATTTGAACAATGCCTGGTAATGATGCCTGCATAACATCCTCAAGCATATCAGCTACACTCGTGAATAAGTCCGGGTTGATCAGTGGCCAGACAGAGCTGACGAGCGAGTTCAGCCAGGCCACTGACTCCGTCTCCCGTGCTTTGGCATCTCTGATTGTGCTTTGACGATTCGCCTCCCAGATCTGCGAGGCCCAGATGTCTCGCACGCGATTGGCCATCCAAGCCCGCAATGTACTTATCAAGAAAAGTATTGCAACACAACTGCCGGTACCAAGGACCAACCACATGCTCAACCCGAACAAAGGAGTCGATTTTGCTAGGTCTGGGACAAATCGCTCCGCTGTCAAAGCTAGCGTGATGATGAGCGTGCATCCCAGCAGACCCACTGTGACTACTCTCTTGAGAACATCGATGATCTGAATGCGGAGTTCTTCGTAGTGTGGCGGCGGGAATAGCATGTTCATAGAGTCAAGGCCATCTTGCATCTCGCGGGTCTCGTCCCGCAGCTGCCCGAGCGACTTTTGTTTGTTACTTAGTCCGGTTGCAGTCCTCAGAGTCGATCCAAACGATGGAGGGTTTTCTTCAATCTCCTGGAGTGCATGCTGGGTAAAGTCGGAAATCTTGACCGGAAGATGTGTGACGGGGTCGGTGACTTCACGCTCTGCGCCCTCATTGCGTTTTGCGACCTGTTTTCTTTTCTTCTTAGGATCCTGCGGGCCCAAGGTACCCTCTGAGGTGTCGACTGCATCCTTTAGATCACCTCCGCTATCGTTGTTAGCCTCACCATGATCGGCAACGTCTTGATTCGCTTGTGTCTCGGCGGCCACAGTGCGGGTGGCCGACGGTTTTGTATCAGCATCTGGTGTGTCGTGGTCGGCTGTGCTTGGGTGGAAGCTTTGCTGAGCAGCGCTAGCTTCTCGGGCTTGCTGTTCAGCACGATACTTTTGGATGGTGGGAATTGGTCGTGCATTGGAGAACGGTGTGCCATATCGCCGCCGCGACTCATCGGCATCTTGACTACCCGACATTCTGAGGGGCGTGAGTCGGACTGGATAGCGATTGCGTTCCGTCGATGCTACATCAATCAATGCCAAACTCAATGCGTCAGAGGTAGCGGTTTCATTCGGGATGTATCTATGCTGGAGGCGTCTTTGCAGGCAAGGAACCTAGCTGTCTCCGAATTCATCGAGCACTGCGTACAGACCAGTCGAGTTTCAAACATCAATCAATTTCGGCTCATTATCGACGGCTACTAATGGTATTGTCATGAATATGCTTGGCACACAGCAAACCAGTAAACTTGAAAACTGCACAAATGACACTTCCGGGTTGGCCTTGTTACGTCACTCCTGCGTACGTACACATGCCCAAGTTGTCAATGCACAAGAGAATTCCCCCGTACATCTGCCGAGACGACGACGACAATGATGGGTGACGAATGCCCAGGCGCATTCACCATCTGCTGGCGCTCAAAATCGAGCAAGACTTCGTCATCAGTATGTAAAAACATGTACGATATACCAACGCATGTCGCATCGTTATTATGAGGCGTCGCGAGAGCGTAATATTGCTTGACGTGCTGAAATGATAAAGAGAAAGAAATCGCGGGCGCATCGACTTGAGAGCCGATAACAAAGAACCCTGGCCAGGTGATCGATCATTTTCACTTGGAAGCCCTCTAAAAGGGCGGTGGTATTGCTCATCCACATGGGTACTAATGTAACGAGGTACTCGGGGAAAGAGGCCTACCTGCTGCATTCTCTAGGTAGGTAGACCACACCTGATCTAATAGGTCAACGCGTACCTAAGAAATGGGTAGATACATGCTGAACTGCATCTCATGCTTCCTCTATTATTACCCATGTACAGTATCATCACTCCTCAGTTCCATACCGGTCTCGTAAATCCATAACTTACAAGAAAGAGATCGGGTTGTGTACACGACCGGATAGTTCTTTGCTGCCTCCGTCTGGTCAGGAGGCCTGGTATGTAGCAATATAGCATTTCTATAAGAGCATCAGAGTATGCAAACCATCATGCCATCGGGGATAACACGGGATGTGAAGCAATGCGCTACGTGGATCATCATCACCATAGTCGTCCACGGGTTACACTTCATCTCATCATCGTTATCATTACTAACAATGTGTCTCACGGCCCGCTTCAAGCAGAATCGGATGCTGCTGAGATGATCGGAGAACTGGTTCCGAATCTGATACTGGGTCGCTGGGGGGATGAATGTTGAGATGGGTCAAATAATACTCCCGTGTGTGCTCCTGCTCCCAGGCTGAATTAAAACAACAGTGATAGCTACCTGACAGTTCAGCAAGCCAATCATGCTGTTGTCCCGCGGTGCCTTGAGAAGGACCCAGGATGGGAGCTGCCCAGCTGTGCTGTATGTTTGAGGCGTTCAATTCATCACGGTCCGTCTGGACTGGCTTTCATTCGGCCAACCGGGCTGCAGTGTCCGGTGCAGGTGTATCGCGTGCATAATTCGGCGCGGGCGGCCTCATTCCTCTCGCCAGACCGTCCAGGCTTGCACGCGTATGCATGTCCTGCACTGATGGTGGTTGCGCGGGTCTGCGCGGTTTCGTCAACACCGACGGCGATTTTTGATACGCCTGGTGTCCCGGATGATGCAGATGGGCACTGATGGCTGGCTTGCCGCCTTCATCACCCAGATTCCAAGGGTTCCAAAGTTCCAAGGTTGCCATCAATTCACCGGCGGAAGCACCGCCCGGCCTCTAGCGTCCGGCGAGTGAACTAGGTTCGTCTTAATTCTGCGCGTGTGTCTTGTCTCCCTGCGCTACTCTCGCCATGTCCACGATCAAGCGACCACTAGGCGAAGTCACAACACAACATTGTCGACCGTGTACTAGAATCGCGACGACGACGACGACGACGACGACGACGACAACAACAACGCGCGCACAGCTAACGATTCGCATGCATTACCAGCGTAGTGGGGGCGGAGATTCGCGTCGGCCGCATGGTGGAGTATTTTTCGTACTTCGTCCCCTCCCCCACTGCCTGAAGGTGGTGTACGTACTTTGCGCTCATGTCATCCTGCCGTCGCCGCTCGCTGGCGTGTGGCAGCTCAGCGATGGCGAACAGCGTTCTTGACCAGGGTCCCTGATTCCGAATCTACACCGGGGTCCCTCTCTTCTTCTCTCCCTCTTCCCCCGTCTGGCAGATCACGCAGGTTCCGGTTCTCCCGCAGTATATTGTCGCTTCGATTGCTGACACTCTACGTTTTGCTCAACTTGATGCTGCGCCTCATCTCCACCTGTGATACGCAAACACGACAAAAGGATCCGACCTCCTTTGCTCGATTCGGTACAATCTCTTGGCCTGTTGCATGCATGAATTCCTCCTAGTCGCTCTCGGCCACTGCTGCGCTAGATACACGGCCTTGTCTGGCGTCACCGCTGACTACTAAGGATACCGGTGTGTTAGGACATCATCGTAACAGTTCCACAACCGGTCGACCGGTGTTCGGACCGGTGAGATAGTCAATCAGACCGGTGACATCGCACGATAAATATCATCATGGCGGTTTGGACTCCTGCGTCCTTGGGGTACGGCCCCGCTTATCTTCTCGACGGCCTTGTAAAGCAGGATCACGAGGATCCCGAGTGGAAAATGTTCGTTGGAGATGCTCAGCATTTGGAACCGCAGTTGCACCACGACTTTGTCGTTCAGCGGCCCGACGTTGGCAGAGATGACCATTCCATGCGACACGACGGGTCAATCGCACCCAACCACGAGCGACAGCCCTACGGATCGACCAGCTATAGTTCCCCTCAAACTATTCAGCAGAACGGGTCATTCGTTGACCACTTCGAGCCACCTTCGTACGCATCGACTAGCTATAGTTCTTCTCAGACCGAGGGTTTCAGCACCCCGTCATCGACACCAGCTCCTGATCATGCGGACGAAGCTTTCTCGCCCGGAATCGACGAAGATGCATCAGGATCTGCTTTTATTCCGAACGATGCCGCTGCTCAGCAAAGTGCCGTCCGACATGAGCGACTTCCACTCGCGTACGCCGCTGATTCACAAAACCTTTCAAGCTTGCGCGACCCGCTGTCAACGACACTACAGTCCAGTATCGCGTCCGAACAGGCGCGCTTCGTGACGCAGCCGCCAGGCTTCGCGTACAATGCTCCAGCCTTAACACCATGGTTTGGTAATGTACATGACATAGCGCAGGGGCCGCATGAGTATGTATCAACGTCTTTGAACAGAAACGCGCTAGATGAAGCAAGTCTCGAAACTCAATTCCACTCCTTTCAACCATTCCGCGGGCTTGACGATGCCCACGACCTCGGTAGTTCACCAGCTGGCCCTGATCAACACATGGCTTTTCTTTCGTCAGAGCAGCTGAGACTTCAAGCGATACCACATCATCAGTCCAATCTCCTTGCGCAACAGCTCCTGGACAGCTCGGTCAATATTGGGGCGCAATTTGGAAGCCCCGGTGGCACTGCGCTGCCGAATGGGCGCAACATCGCTTCCCCGAACGACTTCGGCGTCGAAGATACTCTCAACGATTGGCAAATTGTATCGCCATATACCCAATCTCACGCGTTCCATGACATCACCACATCCTCGGTAACTGGTGCAGAACACGCGAGTGCTCCCTCACCAGAAATCACCATACAGCCCCCAGCGAGCTCTGCTATGAACAGGCGTACCCGAGTGCGTGTACCCTCGGAACCAAATCCAAATACATCTAGGCCGAGCCAGTTTCGTGTCAATAAGGGAGGTCGGAAGAAAGGCACAAATCTGCCACAAGCTGTTAAGGTCAAGGCAAACCAGATGCGCGATTGCGCCGCGTGCTGGTGGTGTAGATTGCAACGGATATCTGTAAGTGGCTCCCATATACCCGCTATGTGTCACACACTGACGTTACCCCAGTGCGACCGACCTGAAGGAGCGCCTTGTTCCAAGTGTATAATTCGAGCACCATTGGGTACTTCGAATTTCTTCGGATGCGATCGCACTAAATTGCCCGACCTCGTTCATGACTTTCTACCTCGTAAGAAGATTCATTTCTCTCCACGATCCCATCGTCATCCAACTTACCCAATTTTGCAGATTCCGCGACCGAGATGCACCAAATAGAAACAGTGAAAGCTACAATAATGCGAGATGTAGATGGTTTTCTCGATCGAGGCATCGACGTATCCCTCTCCTGTGGCTACGGGCCACCACTGATCTGGAAACTGTACGAGTTTCGTCCACAAAATGCAGCACTTCTCGAGCAGTGGCAGTATGTGCAGGACAAGAGGACTGGTTGTACCACGCGAGTTCCAAAATGGTCGCCGCCGCTTGGAGTCAGACAATTCGATGAGCTCAATGATGCCAAATTCGAGAGTCACCTGACTCGGCTCTTGCACCCGAACGAGCTCATGCACTTCGGACGAAGTTTTTACAAGGAAGAACGTCGCCGAGATAAAGCCATGTTCCAAGCAAAACTGCTCCAACACATGTGTGATCTGCACACCAACAGTGGTGATGGCGAAGTTCGTATTCCTGACAAGAAAATACACTACCGGTGCGCTGCTGACTAGTTCCCACAGCTCAAGACACTATTGACAGAAATCTTGCGCATGCTTCTAGTCACTTACATCATGGCCCATGTGCTGACCATCGAGCGTGATACTGTACACAGCGTCATGCGCTCACTGCAACGCGCAAAGCCGCCCTCCAACGTGCGAGGCATGCAGCATATCTCGCCTCGTCTGGCCAATCAACAGTTGAAGTGTTATTTCAGCAGGATTCGCGCCAAAATGTATGAGCAGCTCTTGAAACAATTTCAAGCTATCCTCATCAAATTCCTCCCTGGCGCCAAAGAGTCGACTTGGACGCAATCCTTTTGCCTTATGCTGGGCTTCGCAATGGTACTCGAAGAACTGCAACATACGCTTTTCATACAAGCAGATGTCTCGGCCACAAGGGGCACCGCTTCACATGCTCAAGCAAATCAGCAATGCGCCGATGCGTGCCATCGAATCGACGAGCGCTTTGCGCTGCTGATCGGTATTTATCGATGCAAATATCGTGACAAGACTTGGACAGGTCTCGGGAGCTTTGGTCCTGGTACGCCCAGGCTCGAAGATCCAGCTTCCGATTACTTTGCCCGCAGGGTTCGCCACTTACTTGATCAGCGAGGTAAGCTTCCCGTTTTGAACAGGGATGTTTGGGCCCAGTTTGAGATGAATTCACTAACATTCACTATTACCCTCATTTAGTCGACCACTTGAAGAATCGCGCAAGTGTCACATATGCACCTGACTCGCAACAGTTCTACACGACAAGGTTGACCGCAAGGTTTCTCCTCGCTTTCCGCGATCTGCCCCAGATGTGAAGACTTCCATCACGACAGAGATGCTTCTAGAGTCCCTGTGCCGAGGGCCGGATCCCCCGTACATACTGCTGCTTGTGTGCGGCCTTGTAAGGAGCTTTGACGTCGGGCTCTCTTTGGGGTGATATGCACGCAGCAAACTACAAGCAGGCGGTAATGATTATGATAGAATTATGACAACCACGCCTGGTTCAAGCAACCCTTGGCGCCCTATTACAAAGGTAGTCCCACTCGGCGTGACAGGATACTGAGAACTGTCGAGGAATTTTGATACTTTATACCCGCCTTGAAAGCAAGTCAAACGACGCCATCCCAAATTTTTACCATCGCGTGAAATTGCTTTTCGTAAAGAGCATATCAGACCCATCAGCAACGAGCTACGAAGAATGCACTCGCTCGCCAGCGTACAACTGTGATAAATCGCATTTTGATCAGCTTTGCTTCCCGCCAGCAGGAGACTCAAGCTTTGCGTTATGTTATGCCCAACATTCATGTGCCCGCCAGAGAAAAACACAGTATGCCGATCAACGCCCCTATCAAGCCTATTCCTTTCACTTCATGTACCGGAGCTGCACCCGTCTGCGCGGGTGAGGCTGCGCTGGTCGTTGCAACAACCGACGCACTCGTTGCAGCTGGAGCAGACGTGCTTGTTGTCGATAATGTAGCGTTGCTAGCACGTCCAGCATCGGCAGCACAAGTAGCTGTCTGTGGGAGATCGGTGACTTTTGAGCCTTTGCAGATGAGTTTGGCAAATGCGATCACAGCTATCGAATTCAGGTGGTCAACGCAAATTCACGACGTTTGAAAACATGGTCGCTCGAAATGCAAAAAAGGAGACTTACCAGCCTGGTCGGCGGTGTTGCATCGTTTGCTCACACAACACGCCAAGTCGTCGATCAAGGGCTTGTTGCTGCAGATGCAATTGACATCGCCGTTCTGACAGCCGGCGAACCCACCGATACAACTCTGGGAACAGGCAGGCAGGCCAACGATTTGCGAGACGGTTCTGGTGGCGAACAGGGCTGCGAGGAAGACGATATTCACCCTCATCGTCGGACCTATCTCACGTATAGGCGGGCTTCAGGTTGTTCGAAAGTCATTTGCAGCAGAGCCAATGTAAAAGGTAAAAACAGAAACGAATCATCCACTGCAATCGTGATCGAAAGATTTCGCGAACGCGGTCGAAGACTTCCTCACTTGGGGCAAATGCGCATGCGAGGCAGAGAACCTCCCCCTCGATCACTTCTTACATCACCGTTAACTTAAAACGAGAACTTCAGCCAAGTCTAGAGAGTGACAAGAGTGTTGTACATATTCTCCGGGAGATTTGACGTCGAAAGCACCAAGCGCGATCTACCGTTGGACAGATCTTGTTGGACTGTGGAGCCAATGACTGTACATGGACGGTGTTTGTCGACGGCACGCAGTCAACTCCAGAAGTACTACGGTAGAATTTCATTGGTGCCGCACGACAAACTCCCGTCTCGATCGCGTGGTTGGACGAAATGGAGCCGCTCTACCCAAACCCTATCACCTAGCTCGGAATAGTCTCTCCATTGTGATTGTTCCAAGGTTGACACGCTTGTTGGCAATCTGGGGTTCAGATCATGCTCGTCGATGGATACTCTAACTTCAAATGTCCATTATTTAACACTCCAGATGGGCCACGGATACGATACAGGCCGGAGAATGTGCTGTTCGGCGAATCATTTTTTGTGACAGGCTCGCGCGACAATTGGGGTCACAAGCCACCATTTGCGATGGAGCTGTGGACCTATTTCTCGTCCCGGTGTCCCACTTTGCATACGTCTGGACGATTGGCAGACGTTGATAAAGGTTAAGGTGTTCTGCTGGAGGCTTTGTGTCTTTCTGACGCATAGGTCGGTGTGGTCGTTGTTGTTGTTGTTACTGAGGCAGCGTGGCAGAATGGCAGCATGTTTGGAGGCATGGCTGTGATGCCTAAGGCAAAACTTGAAATCTTGGCGAGCCACCGCGCGGGGCATTACTGATTGGGCGGGCGATGATTTTCTATCTGGGTAAGAGTCACGAGTCAAGATTCCACAGTTGATCAGACAGAAATCATAGTTCGAGTGCTAGTGGTATATTTGACTACGAAATCAGCTCAGGTCCGACCCTCAGAACATCGAGCAACCTATCGCAACAATGGTGGTCAACGGTGATATGCCCTCGGACGACGACAGCGCCCCTCCCTCACCAGTCTTGGAAGCACAGAAGGACGAGGAGGAAATACGACAAAAAGGCCCAGCACCAGCACCGAAATCAGCGCTCAAGAAGAGCAATGCTGCTGCCGCCGCTCTTGCGTCGAGGCCAGAACTTCCAGAACAACCAGAGCCAGCCGACCTCGACGTTGCGTCATTAACACCTTTATCGCCCGAAATCATTGCTCGGCAAGCAACTATCAACATCGGTACGATTGGACATGTCGCTCACGGAAAGAGTACGGTGGTCAAGGCAATCTCGGGAGTGCAGACGGTCAGATTCAAGAACGAGCTTGAGCGAAATATTACAATCAAACTTGGATACGCGAACGCGAAAATCTACAAATGCGACAGCGATGAATGCCCACGACCAACCTGTTATAAGAGTTTCAAGAGCGAGAAAGAGATTGATCCACCGTGTGAGCGACCAGGTTGTGAGGGTCGGTATCGTCTACTGAGACACGTTTCGTAAGTATTGCGGTGGACACACTTGTGACAGAGATACTAAGACGCCTTCAGTTTTGTGGACTGTCCCGGACACGACATTCTCATGAGCACTATGCTTTCAGGTGCTGCGGTCATGGACGCTGCTCTGCTACTCATTGCAGGAAACGAGACCTGCCCTCAACCTCAGACTTCAGAACATTTGGCCGCCATCGAGATTATGAAGCTTCAGCACATCATCATTCTGCAGAACAAAGTCGATCTCGTACGAGAGGAGGCTGCTGCACAGCACTACGAGTCGATCAAGAAGTTCATCCGCGGCACTGTTGCTGATGATTCGCCGATCATCCCAATTTCCGCCCAACTCAAATTCAACATTGATGCCGTCAACGAAATGTTAGCCACAAGGATTCCAGTCCCGAACCGGAACTTCCAAACGAGCCCTCACATGATCATCATTCGTTCGTTCGATGTCAACAAGCCCGGTTCAGAAATCGATGAGCTGCAGGGAGGTGTTGCAGGTGGATCAATCTTGACTGGTATTCTGAAATTGGGCGACGAAATCGAGATCAGACCCGGTATCGTTTCAAAAGATGAGCAGGGCAAGATCCAATGCAAGCCAATCTACTCACGCGTTGTCTCTCTATTCGCTGAGAACAACTCGCTCAAGTTTGCTGTTCCCGGAGGTCTTATTGGTGTCGGAACTCGTATCGATCCTACTTTGTGCCGAGCTGATCGTCTTGTCGGTCACGTTCTCGGTTTGAAGGGACAACTACCGAAGATCTACACAGAGCTGGAAGTCAACTATTTCTTGCTACGACGGTTGCTGGGTGTCAAGACGGCCGACGGCAAACAGGCCAAGGTCGCGAAGCTCACCAAGAACGAGGTGCTGATGGTCAACATCGGTTCTACTGCCACAGGTGCCAAGGTCCTGGCCGTCAAGGCTGATGTCGCCAAATTACAGTTGACGAGCCCAGCGTGCACTGCCAACGGAGAGAAGGTCGCGCTCAGTCGAAGAATTGAAAAGCACTGGCGGTTGATCGGTTGGGCGACGATTCTGCAGGGAGAAACTCTGGACCCACAGGAGCCCACGGATTGAGAAGATATTTTGCATGACTGAAGTAGTCGGGATTGAGGCAATGGATATCCACGGGCGTCATCAGTCCCGCAACCAAATCTGATCCGAACGTGGGTACTGTTTCGTTTCAACTTGCGAGGATGAATTGAACGACGATATGTAATTGGCGGCGTTGTAGGTGTCGTGCGAGGGTATCCATTCTTTGTCATGTTGAGCCATAGACAGCTAGTTATTCAGCACGATGCTATGTCTGCACAATCAAGCTCTCGTTTGAAGGTGAAGCAGAATGACTTTTCCATCAGAGCTGTTCTGTTCATCACACATGAGGTGCGGAGATGGCAACATCGATGTTTTTGCCAATAGAAAAGCTATTCCTGAGGCTATTCTATTGCTGTCATTAGATTATGGAGAGGTTGTAGCCATCGCTGAATCAGCATCCAACGGATTCTGATAGATTCCACGATCCAGCCGGGATATAAAGAATGCGTGTAATGAGTGTAGAGGGAGGCGTCGCCAGGTGGGGCGAACAGCGTTTGATGCGGTGACGACGGGTGTGTCATGTGTGTGCACAACGTCGTCCTGCAATCATTTTTCAATTAATATAGGTATTGAACACTTTAATAACATACTAAGCTACTCCGTCTCAAGAAGTGATATTGCTTCGATCGGATACGGAGAGGCTCGGCCGCGCAAGGTTGTTGAAAATAACACAACTGCTATTGTGCGATTTTACTGGCAGCCACGACGCCTCGACCTCATGAACGACTACATGATAAGCTTGAGATTAACAAGAAGTGAGCGCCTCATCCTCATCACGCTGGGTTACATATTTTGCGCGCCTGTTGTTTACAGGAGAGGAACGCTGCTCTTGAGACTCTGGTCTGCGAGAACAAGATTCGCAAGACAGCGGATCCAACAGGCTGCACAGGCGCCACCTTCGTAAGCGATCTTAACGACGGCAAGGCCCCAAAATTACCGCAATGGCCTCTTCACATGTCATCGTCCTCGACTCTGCTCTCAAGCGCACTCAGATCAAGGTCACACCGGGTCGTTATATGCGCGAGGTCTTAGAAGAGGCATGCAAGACGAGAAAGCTAGACCCTGAAGGCTACAATCTCAAAACACAATCCAACAAGCTCGTCGACCTCTCTCAGCCGTTTCGCTTATCCGGTCTCGCGGCTGGTGCCAAACTGCAGCTGGTTCAAGGGAGTCGCTCGCCGACGGTCGTGACCGTTGCTCTCCAGCTTCCAGAGAGCGAAGGCGGTGGCAAACTGGTTGACAAATTTCCAAGCACAACCAGTCTGTGGCTTGTCCTCCGCAAGTACGAAGATGCCGTGGCTGGGACTCCGCCTCGGCGGCTGAACCTCACCCAACGAGCGGTGCCCACCAATGTCGGGTCCGGAGCAGGGAGATTGGAGTACGAGCAGCCGTGTTTGAACGTCATGGGCCGTGGGCTTGAAGGCTTCTCGGATCTCCAAAAATCGCTTTCCCAACTCGGTCTGACCGGCAGCGTCATGATAAGGCTGTCTTTCAAGTCAAGTGGACAGCCGCTAGAAGAAGCCATGAGGCAGATGGAGCAGTATTTCATTGTGGCCGAAGCTTCGAGTTCTGCTACCGAGGCGGCAACATCTGCAAATGCTCCATCATCGACCACAGAAGCGCCGCAATCGCAACTGAATGACACAATTTCCAACGCTGACCTCGCTTCAAATGCCGCGCCGATTGACCAACAAGTGATGGATGTGCCAAAGGAAGAGTCCGTCACAAGTGGCTTAGTCGCTGCTCCTACAGACATTGCATCAGAAGCATCAAGCTCAGATACTTCCAACACATTGAATGGCATAGCAGTATTTCGTCCGCCGTCGTCCAATACGCCTGCTGCTGCACTGCAGGAGGAAGACTCCTCCACATTTGAGCCTGGTATTGAACATGCCAAAGCTCACCAAGCCGCTCTGCAACGTGCGAGCCGAAATACCAAGTTACTCTCGGACGCCGAGCTTGCTGAGCAAGCATCTGCACGTGAAGCCAAGATCGCAACGATTCAATCTGTCAAAGTCCGGGTGCGCTACCCTGATCAGAGCATCATTGAGACCAAGGTCACAGCCGCCGACACGGCGGCTGATCTCTATGCAAAAGTTACGGAAACGCTCGCTAACCCGTCCGAATCTTACGAACTACGATTTGCAGGACCGAAGGGCCCACATCAGGTGTTGCCACACACGAGCTCCCAGCTTTTAGTTCGAGATTTTGGTTTCCGGGGCAGCATTCTGTTGACACTTGTCTGGGCAGCCACGGCGAGTGTGCAAGCGAGGCAAAATCCCAGCTTGAAAGAAGCTTATCGTAGCCGCGCAACAGATTTGAAGGTGGAACTGCAGGGGCAGCGCGAAGCAGGGCAGGAAAGCCACCGCACGGCGATGGCACGGCCGGAGAACACTTCGGGTGGAAGTAGTGGTAAATCTAAGATCGATGTGGAGGCAAAGATGAAGAAGTTTCTCGGGTTTGGCAAGAAGTAACTGTATGGTAGTTGAGCGTCACCGTTAGCGATAATCCGAAATCTTACACGCTGTTGACAAGTCTCCGAGCGTTAAAAGACTGGTTTTGGCACAGACGGTGGAGAGCAATGAAAATTGTGTCGAGAATGATATGAACTGATATCTACATGACGGAAAACCCAACCGAAAGCAACTCCCTACCATTTTGCTGTACAACATTCCCCTGAAATCGATGGATTACGCAAAGGCCATGCTCTTCTTGATCTCGGCAATGGCCAAAGCTGGGTTCAAGCCCTTGGGGCAAGTACGGCTGCAGTTAAGAATGGTGTGGCATCGGTACAAGCTCATGCTGTTGTTGAGAGCATCCTTACGTTCCTCGGTGCGTTGGTCACGGGAGTCGGCGATCCATCGGTAAGACTGCATCAGCACGGCAGGTCCGAGGTACTCCTCGCTGTTCCACCAGTATGAAGGGCATGAAGTGGAGCAGCATGCGCAGAGAATGCACTCGTACATGCCGTCCAGCTTCTTACGGTCAGCCTTGGACTGAAGGTTCTCCTTGCCCTATAATCAATTCGTCAGCTCCATCCCAAATACTGGGTTTCGACACATGCCAAGACTCACGTCAGCTGGTGGTTGGTCCCGCTGTAGGTATGGCTTGATCGATTTGTACTGCTTGTAGAATTGGGTCATGTCCGGAACAAGGTCCTTCACGACGTAGGTGTGAGGTAGAGGGTAGATGCGCGACTCCTTGGCAGTGTCGGTAGGAATACGGCCTGTCACAATTCTGCATCAGCTAAATTCCTAACTTATACCATTCTCTTTTTGCCCACGTACACAAACAAGCCAGGGTGTTCACTCCGTCGATGTTCATGGCGCAACTTCCGCAAATTCCCTCTCTGCAGCTCCGTCGGAAGGTAAGAGTCGGGTCAGACTCGTTCTTGATGCGAATGAGGGCGTCCAACATCATCGGGCCGGTCTTGTTGAGGTCGAGGGTGTATGTTTGCATGTAGGGCTTCTTGGTGGGTTCATCTGGGTTCCATCGGTAGATCTGGAACTTCTTGTTGCGAGCCTGCGGATCCGCCTTGGGCTCGGCGACGGTGCCGGTTTTGGCGGGCTCGACAATGGAGGCCATTCCACGGCGGAAGACCTGAGGCGCAACCATGCGCCGCGATGCGAGTCGAAGAGCCATTGCTGCGATGTTGTCGATGACAATTGACGTGATTGAGTGGAGATGGTCGCTGTGAGGAAGGAAACAAGTAGGTCCAACTCGTGGCAAAAGTGGTGACATCTGGGGCAGCGCCCGGCGTTGCCAAGCCCTCCACCCTGATCTGCTTTGGTTACCGAGGCCGATGGCCAATCCGCTTGCAGGAAATGGTAAACGAAATCGGAGCCGCTGACAGATTTGCATTCCTCGAGTGTGAATTCGTTCTTCCACGCGCAACATGGTGCTCCGATTTTATATCGCTACAATACGTTCCAATCGGTCTTCTATCGCAAATGAATCACATTTACCAAACGGCAAATCAGCACCTGAGCAACCCTGGCGGTTTACGTCTTTATGCAGAGAGTGAAAGTCGCGCGCATTCGTAGGGGATACGTTACACACAAGCTGCGCCGAGAGCGACGGTATTCCGTAGACTTCTCTCCAATGTGATCTGGTGGCAGAATTGGGCACATCCCGCCCGATCTCGCTTCCACAGCGCTATCGAACTCAATCTTGCATATCCACACTTTCATGACTCTTCCATTTTCGTTGGTCATCCATCTCGACATTCCGGTCTGCTACGTGAATGATGCGCTCAATGGAGATTGCCTCATGATGTGAACGCACGTGAGTCACGCACGTGACCTTAATTTTGCCATACACACCACCGCCACTGATGGGTTCTCGTACCTGAGGGGCATGTAGTAAGAAGTATGCCCTCTGGGATCAACAGTTCAGCTAGGCCCTTCTATCACTACAACAATAAAATATTGCGTCGAGACTTACCGATACTAAGATCCTTGTTGCAGTGGCGACCACACTCAACGTCGCTTCGACGTCAAGGGACGACAATGTCCACCATTGGGGCCGCATCCCGTCGCCCTGTCGATCTGATACTTGACTTCGATGGCACACTCACAACATCGGACACGACGACAACGCTCGCACAGATAAGCGAACAGTCTCGTAAATGCTGGCAACATGTTCTCGATGGTTGGCTGGTCGATTCAAGGCAGTTCAAGCAAGTTCCGTATGATTGGAGTAACCGCGGGCACGAGGAGTACTCCCGTTGGCTGGATTCGCACCGACCCCTAGAGATGGCGAGTGTACGTCGTGCTCAAGACTGTGACATGTTCAAGGGCGTGACGATTGAGCATATGAGGGCCGTGATTAATGCCTCGTTGAAGAACGGAGAGATACGCATGCGAGACGGCTGGCAAGCGTTGTTTCGTTTGGTGAAAGATTCTCATGTTGTCGGAAGTCAGGTCCGCATCCTGAGTGCCAACTGGAGTGAGACATTTGTTCGAACCGTTCTTTGCACCGCTGTACAGCAGAATGCAATATCGTCGTCCGGAGACGCAGAGACTGTATTGCATCAGTATCTTAACGACATCGAAATTTTTGCGAATGAGATCCATGGTCTAGGCTCGCCTGCTGGAAGTTCAGGACGCCTCGTTCGTCCCTTTGATCTTGGCATTCGAACGAGCGGTGATAAGGTCAAGTACATGCAGCACATGACGAGTCGAGCTGCTGAGCACTCGGCAGGACACAGCGACACGGACAGGCCGCTGATTGTATATGTTGGCGATTCTGCAACCGACTATGGCGCTCTTTGCCAAGCTGATTTAGGTATATGGCTTTGTGACATTCCGGAACAGGAATTAGGCGCCAAATTCAGCAAGGCATTTGCCCCGCTCAGAACAGATTTACCTCTGTCTCTTGCAAATTTGGGTGTCACTGAATTCATCGAGTCGCGGAAAGAAGCCAACGCTTCGGCTTCGAAGTTCTATTGGAGCAGGGACCTGCCCACGATAGTAGCCTTCCTTCAAAAGTATGACGCTTTTCGTGGAGGCATCAAATCGACATGAATCGCATAGCATATGACTAGGGCCGCGGCCACTTTCTCCCCTCTCATCGAGTGTCATGGCCGCATCTAAACTTTTGATGTCCCTACGACAAATTTGCAAACTCCTTAACGCCTACGCTAAACTGGTGATCATCCTATCATCTGGGTAACATGAAACTTTCAAAATCTTTCCTTCATTCTCCCAGCGACCGTCCTGAGGTTACCGTAAACCTTGCCAGGTGGGCTTCCCAGAATCAGACTGACCACTGCCTCCCGCGCAACATGTATATTCTTGAATCCACCGAGAATGTGCACCTTGTGATCTGCGAGAACAATTCTGGTTCGGCTTGCGTTCTCGATGGCAAATTTTGTTTTCCCGTCCTTTCCGGCAATTCGGCCGATCGCTCTACTGAGGTGCTCGCCTTGAAGAGACTTTACGTCCTTCACCTCAAAAGTCTGGATGTACAGATCGTCTAATCGGAGAAGTGCAATTGCATCATCAAGGTCGAAGCCCAAACAGAAGGCCTGAATGAAATCTGCGCCTTTCTGAATCGCGCCTGTGTCCGTAGTGCGACTAGATGTGCGAAGCTCAACGGCCTTGCTGGCGATGTTCATGCGCACCTGTAGTTTGAGGTGCTCAACCAAGGGCGGGTATATTTTCGCCCAGTTGGCTTTGAGTGGAGACATGCGATGCGGTGGCACTCGCACTTTTCGCTCCTCTCTTCGATGTCTTGCTTTGCCCGCTTGTTCTGGGGCAAACAAAGCGGTGTTCTCGCTGTCTACCTCCATATTTGACTCAAATACGCCATCTTCCGCATCTTGATCCTCTGGAAGCGAAGTTTCAGTCGCAATTAGAATGTCTTCATTCATGTGTTCTTCTGGTGCGGCGATGGGCACGCCCTCGTTTGCCAACTCTTCCGGGGCTCTTTGCAGAGCCGTGGGCGCAGGCATTTTGAGGTTGTTTCAGTGGTCGTGCGAAGTTCGGGACGAAATTCTTCGAATTAATATTTGGTTGCGATCCTATCTGCAGGATGAAAGGCCACATGCAACTTGACGAGTATCTCTGGCGAATACAATTTTTTTCGCAATCGCAATTTTTCGTCACGGCGAAATTATCACTTGGGTTGCGATAAGAACTTCGAGAGTTGCCAAAATTTTGAATTGCCCTCCAGTGATGACTCAGCACATGATAAGACGGAGCGGTCCGAATGAGCTTGCCGATGGAGATCCCGCGATGACACCTGCGCGTCTGTCTGGAGCCTTCACAGGACTGGCTTGAATTGACCCATTATCCCATATATTCACGACGTTGATCCACTTTCCGGCAAGCACCAGGCACATTCACACTGATCTCATCTCCGTTGTCACCGTGCTTCATACCCAACAAAATGGCATCTGCCTTCGGATCATCAATGCTCTCTTCTGAGCCAGGCTTTTCCTTCTCACAAGCTCCACAGATGCGTTCAGAGCCACGACAGCACGGTTTCTACCCGTAAGCAACGCATATCGAACACTCAAATGACACGTGCTAAGATAACTTGTGTAGCTACACGGACAATGGTGGTTCAACGCTTGGAATTACTGGTCAAGATTTCGCCGTGCTCGCTGGTGACACTCGCTCTACCTCTGGCTACAACATCAACACACGCTATGCGCCGAAATTGTTTCGAATTGGAGGAGACGGACCGAACAATGAAGGAGCTAAAATTGTGCTATCTGTGGTTGGTTTTGCGGCCGACGGAAATGCGTTGAAGGAGCGCCTAGACACTATCGTCAAGATGTACCGTTACCAGCACGGCAAGGACATCTCAGTACACGCATGTGCACAGCGGCTCAGTCACATCCTCTACGGCAAGCGATTCTTCCCATACTATGTCACAGCGATCCTAGGTGGACTGGATGAGGAGGGAAAGGGAGCTCTGTACAGCTATGATCCTGTTGGATCTTATGAGCGGGAACAGTGTCGTGCGGCCGGTGCAGCGAGTTCTCTCATCATGCCCTTTTTGGACAACCAGGTAAACCTGAAGAACCAGTACGATCCGGCATCAGCGCAGGGTCTAGAAAAGAAGGCATTGCAGCCTCAGCCTTTGCCACGGGAGCATGTCATCGAACTGGTACGTGACGCATTCACGAGCGCAGTCGAGAGGCACATCGAAGTCGGTGATGGGCTACAAATGATGATCATCACGAAGAACGGCATTGAGGAGATCTACTCGGAGTTGAAGAAGGACTGAGCAAGTACGAGAACAATGCAAACTATGTGAAACGAAAAGCATGTACAATACCCTGTAGCGACGACAAATGTGATGATCATGGTTCCTCACACAAGATGGCATCGCAAGGCACGAGACTGCGAGGTTCAAGTCTAGTCCTATGCAGGTACGGGACTGCGTTGCGTACGACAGAACGGATTTGTGCCGCCTCACAAGGTGTATGATTTTCGTGTGACGAGTTACAGGTTTAAAATAAAACAGGCAATTATCGTATATCTCTATCGCACAGAGGGACGCCGCCCTTCGAATGTCATGAATCTATGCAGTAGACGCCGCAAAACATGAAATATCCTCCCAGCCATCAACGCCATAAAATTCCCACATGAAATGACCCTTCCGAAACACCATCGCTCCAAGCATTGGCAACGCAGCGATCATCATAGTCGATCCGCGAAGATTGTTGAAGTGGAGAATCAAGCCAGTTGCCCTGCTAGTCCAATAAACAAAGCTTGCGCTGCAACCGACGCCGCCCACAATGTCACCTTCTTTAGCCGGCGATTGCGATGCTTGCGATCACCGATATCGCTTACAAACGCGCGATACACTTCTTTGCTGACGTTGTTGACTAGACCGCAGTCAAAGACCGTCCACGATCCATCAAAGTCGCTGAGCCGCTTCACAATGCGGCAGGAAATGGGAATAAAGTTCGATCCGCCATGAGAATGACTGTTGATATACGCAATGATTGGGCGTACAGCGGCGTTGTTGACGTACGACAGAGTGTTGTTGAAGATCGGAATGCTAGCTCGTACATCATTGAGATGAAGCTTCAGATCTATAACCACCGGGCGTTTGTCATTTTCTGTCAGGAATGCAGGCTCGACAGACGCTCCGTCAGGTGACTCAGAAGAGTTGTGAATGACATTTTGGGCGTTCGAGGCATCTTCTCGTGGATGTGAGTTAATGACCGTCGTCTCCAAGCGCTCATATATGTCAGTGAAAACTTTGGCAACGCTATCATCGGCATCATTTGGTATCATGTAGTCTGCTACAATGTCGATGTTGCCTTCATATATCCAGCTGAAAGGTCCTTCCACACCGCGATTGAGGTGATCGATCTTGAGGCCGTCAACTCGAAGTCTGCTGTGCTTCTTCCATTGCGCAGCGTCTGGATCACGCCCATCAACCAGCGGCGCACCTGTGTATCCATGGACTTGTCGGGGGTGAATTGTGAACAACGATTCATCAAAGCTGCCACTGATATTGTTCGCGTTGAGGATATCGTAGAAAAGCCATTGCTTGCGAAGTCTGGGCAATTCCCCATTGAAAACGCTGATCGTGTAAGGCCGAAAGCCACCCGGTTGGTACATTGTCAGTAGCACATCATCAAGTTTGAAACTGTCGATTTCAAAGTCGCCAGTGTTGTGCTTTCGCCGGTTCTTGGTCGGATCTTGTGGCACTTTCACAGGCTTCACATTCGTTCGGTCAAGCACTCCGCGGACTCCACGCACTTCGACATCTCGTAGTAAGCCCTTGCCGTTGAACCACTTAGTGAATGAGAGCGAAATTTCAATCGTATCCACTTGAAGATCAAATTGAGTGTAATTCCCGTCGTCGAGCTCCTCCAATTTTGTGGCCTCTTGAGGAGAATCTTTCAGCTTGTCCTTTTCGATCTGTGCCTCTGCTGCCGCCGCCGCCGCCGCAGTAGCAGAAGAGCCCTTGCTGACTGTCCGTCGTCTTTTGTTGGTTGGCCGCCGACTGATGAAGACGTTTCGGAAGCGGATCTTGCCATCGCTCCAACGTGGCACAATTGCGCTCTCGAACACTATTTGAACACCCACGCTTCTCGTTAAGTAACCCGCAACCCAGCTAGCAACTTGCTCTTGCGTGAAAACAGTGTTGAGTGCCCAGATGGTCACTCCAAAAAATGTTGTTGTGCCAATGACCACCCATAAGATATGTCCCCAAAATATCCAGCTAGCGAATGCGAAGATCTCGTCGAAATTGAATGGTCGACTGCTTCGTATTGAAAACCATTTAAAGCGAATCTGCAGTCGATGCCAGAAACCTGTTGCAGCAGCAAGGAGCTCCTCCTTCGTCGGTCGGTGCAACGCGGGAAGTCGATTCAGAAGGGTCTTGCCGGTACCAGTTGTCGTTGCTGCTGGGTTAGGTGATGGCAGATCTGATTTCGGGCTTTCAGTGGTTGGTGATGACCTGCTAGCCGTTCGCAGTTCGTCTGACTTTTTATCATTGCTATTCCATCGTCGATATCCCGCGAGCAAGTTTATGTCGAGAAAGGTGTTAGGGATCCGATGATGCGCAGAGAAACCAAGACGAGTTCTGCATCGTAGCTGTTTTACAATCACGGAGGAGGCAAGGGGCGGTGGTGAGCAGCTCCTGATGACGGTGATATGCAGTTGTCGGGAGAATGTGTGTCCCGCGATGCAGCTGCTCAATTTTGATGAGATTTTGCTATGTGTCGGCCTGACGGTGGACCGAATAAATGTAGCAGCAATGCTCCTCTGGAATACCGCGCTCGCTAAGCCGGGTACACTTGGGAGTTGAAACCTCCTGCGCCCAACGTTGAAAGCGCATCCATTCATGATCAATTCATGTTGAACGATTGCAAAAGGCGCTGTTGAAGAGCACGACGATGAAATGTGGGAAAAACCCGTCCAGTTCGGAGTCGGAATCAAGTTTCATACTTGGACCTCCATCCCGGGGAAAATTAAGCTTTCTACAGATGACGCTCCATATTCATGGTCGCGACATTTTTCACGTGATCCAGCTGCACCCGCTGCGTCAGAAATGCCAAGCCACCCTCACGAGTCGCACTCACGCTAAGCGAATTTCCTGGATGCCACCCTAAGCGGCATGATATTGACTACTGCTGCTTCTTGACGCTGCCACAACCTGATCATTTCAGCACACATCAGTCAAAATGCCGAAGGACGTCAAGCAAAAGTCTGGCTTGATTCTTGGAATCAATGCCGGTCACGTAAGTGAAATCCGCTCGATGATCTCGAACTCTTGAGTACAGGATTTCAGCAGGAAGGCATCGACTAACCAGCCTGCTCCTACAGCAAGTAACACCGCTTCAGCCGAAGCAGCGCATCTCGCGCATGAAGGGTCATTTGAGCAAGCGTACTGCCTTCGTCCGGGATATCGTCAAGGAAGTTTCAGGGTACGTGTTAGCACCAACGAGCAGCCCACCAAAGTAGGCTCTCAGGCGATGGTGTCAACGGTGGACTGACAACTGGGTGTGAACAGACTTGCACCATACGAGCGCCGCGTTATCGAACTTCTCCGCAACAGCAAGGATAAGCGTGCTCGTAAGCTCGCCAAGAAGCGATTGGGAACTTTCGGTCGTGCGAAGAGAAAGGTCGACGAGATGACCAAGGTCATCGCTGAGAGCAGGAGAGCTGGTCATTAAGCGTGCAGGTGTTATTTGAGAATACTGGGATGGCATGCAAATTCGGCGCAAAATGGCATGATTTCTTCTTCAATACTTGACTCCATCACGACTATGATGCCCAACCAGTTGCGGCTCAACTCGATCTGATCGACGGCATGACGGAACTTATGCAGGACGAATGGAACCTTTCTCGACCGTTTGGTGCACTCACGATGAGGGACGAAGACTGTCCAGTGAGCTCGGCCAGGAGCAGTGATCGGAATACCATGGAGCACAGCAACACTGCATGGCACAAATTCCGTGCTATTATGTTCACGATAGCGACGACAGAGCGTCTCAGTGGAAAGTACTTTGAACTCTTTCGTCTTAGTTATACAAGTTGTGTCAATTTGTGGTTGAGTTACCTCCGATCCTGTGGACGTGAGTGCGGTGATTTATGACATTTGTGAAGTCTCACACGTTCCGGGCCCCTGTCAATGTCTTCTATTCTCGCAACAGCCACCTTTCATGTCTCATTCTTCCAAGGTTCTTGTAGATGGTCTGTACATATGGCCGCACGTCTAAACTACGAGCACTTTGACTTGACGAGTCGCTGCTGCACAATTCGAGCATTCAAATTATCCTGCGATGTGTTTTCAGGCGACGCGAAAAAGGTCCGCAAAATTCGTATATGAGTCCGGACCTTGGAGAAAGGTGCAGAACAGGCCTTCTACCGCTGTTCAGGAAAACAAACTTGAGCATTCCAAGGTGGGCAAATGACCTTGGAAGCATGGCGAGAAGTGGTGAACTCACACGGCAGGCGGCCGGTGAACTGGTGGAATTTATTCTTAGCTCCGGCCGTGCGCGAGAATTCCACCTCCAGGTGTGACGAAACAGCTCTCAACTTTGCAATCCCACAACATCACACTCTCTCCTGCGAGTGATCCTGCAACGAAAGGCAGGTCCCTTCAATCTTACAATCACATTATCAAAAGCAGCGCGTTCTCCAAGATGGCAGCCGCAATCAAAGCGATCAATGCGCGCATTCGCGCCAATCCGGTGACGGACTACATCTGCTCAACTCGTAAGTCATCGTTGGCGCTTCAGGATCGGTTTGAGCTATAGCGACTGACACTTTAATCATGTGCAGACTTTTGGGGTCCCGCAAGCAATTTCGGAATTCCCCTAGCTGCGGTGATGGATACTCAGAAGGATCCCGACTTGTACGTTGAGTAGCCCGCTCCCCTACAACGCACACTCTCGATGCATTCCTGCTTACAGGCTAAACTTCAGCATCTCTGGACCCATGACTGGCGCACTGGTTCTCTACAGCGCAACCTTCATGCGCTACGCCTTGGCGGTGTCACCCAAGAACTACCTCCTGTTCGGCTGCCATCTCGTAAACTTCTCGGCTCAATCCGCACAGGCATATCGTTATGTCAACTACTGGCACCTCGGAGGTCGGGAAAAATCTCTCGAACAAACGGCGAAAGACGGGTTATCAGATGCCAAGGCTTCAATTGAGGGCGCGGCGGCGACTGTGAAGGATAAGGCTCAAGATTTGGCAAGCCAGGCGAAGGCGCAGGCAGAGAAGATCACAAAATGAGGTCACGTAAAGAAGCCGATACGCAGGCCTAATGATGGATAATGAATCCAGCCACTACCAACTTTGTGTTAGCATGTTCTCCCGGCCGCGGCGAGACAGCGCGTGGCATTTGCATTATATATGCGTGGAGTTCAGGCGATCGTAGGTAATGGTTTGGAATTCTTTTTATGACTTCGGGGGGCAATCTGAAGAATTTACTCAGAGCCGAGTCGATAGCAGTACCGACATCGCGACTAAACATAGCAACGACAATTTTGAGAAAGCTCTCGTCACACTGCCAGCATTTCCTGCTCCACCAAGGGACCCCGGAATGTCCCCTTGCGATCTTGGCGCAGAAACGTTCCCTGCGAAGGCGCCGATGACGTTTCCTGGTGGATAGTACTCGCAGACTAGAAACCAACCTTTGATATCATTGTTGTTGCACCGGGCGGCTCCGCATCCGACCGCGTCGGTCCTTTGCCAGACGAGCTGTGTGAAATGTCCTGTCTGCTCTGAGAAACTCGATTGTCGGTAGCTATACATGCTTGATTCCCGGTACCATCCATCGATAGCCCGCCCAGGTGAGGAGTATCCGGCCGCGAGATTCTCTCCGTATGGACTGTCCTTGAAATCGAGGATCAGCACACATTCAGTCGGAAGAATGATCTACGTGTGTACCGAATGCTCCCATTTGCATGTCTGGGCATACGCCTGTGCGAAGTCTGCGAGCGTGGAATTCCAAGTAACAGTCGAAGCATTATGTTGCAAACGATACGTGTTTGTACTGTTCAAAATCGTCGTCTCCAGCGATGGATCCCCATACGACGACATGACTGTTGTAACTCCGTCGATCTGGCTCGAGTTGATGAAGTTGGTTCTCAAACTCGCTTTGTCTCGAATGGCTCTCGGACGACTATGCGGATTGCCAATTATTCCGAGCGTTGTCCATCCTCATATAGCTCTTGGAACGCCGGTTCGTTATGCCGCGCCCAACAGCATCTTGACATGCAGCGATGGCTGCCCATCTGCTCTGACGTAATGAGACGATTCGCTGGCGCTCCAAACCTTGAAAGTGACAGAGTGACAAACGCCACGGCTAAGCAGGCGAGGTCGCAGGCCATTTGCGACACCAAGATTGGACACACATTCAAAGATCGACCACGACGACTTTTCCTCGTAATCAAGGAAACTTGGGCTGAGATGTCCAGCTTATGAGTACGACCTTGAAAACCTTCGATATAGTTATTAGCCCCAGACGCTACGTCCTAGTTGGTAGTTCATATTCTGTTCTGACTCGACGAGGCGCGGAGAAGTGCAGATGAACTTCAAGCCTGAGGCGTCCAGTACACAGACCTCTCGAGCGCCAAGCCCGTCGTCCCGCTGGAGGTCTACACATAGATGCGAATTCAATGTGCTGGACTTTTCTTCTTTCTCCTCTTTCTCTCTTCAGATCAAAACAACGGAGCCAGCCACGACCGTTACCGCGCTTCCTCATGAGCACGTTGACTAGGTATCGGTTGCCAGCTCTCCTCGGAGGGTGTGGTTCTGGAGAGAGATATCTCCTGGATTATAGGAAGCCTGCTCCTCGATGGGTCACTTTATTGTGGCGATGGGGTGGAGGTGTCCGAGAAGGGAGGACAAATTTATCATGGAAAAAAGCCCTTGCCGTTCTTTGGGGAATTTACACGACGACCCATTCAATGACGCTGGCGATATCTGCCACAAAGGATCTGCCATGGCGGTGAAAATTACGCCGCGTTACGTTGCTGCATTCAGGCAGGAGAACGGATACAGGCGATGCCAGTGATGCTATAACGACGCAGCGCAGCGTCAAGCTGTGCAAGTCTACTCTAGCAGATCGCGCATCTTTTTGCGAATTTTCACCTGCGCCGTGATACGTAGCAATTGTCTTAACAATGTGGTTGCTGGTGACTCGAGTTGGATGTCGGGGTACCTTAGCGGTAAGGTAGGGAGTACATGCCTATTTGACGTTGAAGCGGCATTCCATACGGCTTGATCGTGACCGAGACTCGGGGCTGTGAAAACTACAGCGCCGTAGAGATTTCGAGACAGCAGAGAGACCCTCCGATCGCGTATAGTTCGTCACGCATGGCCCATGGCGCCAGCTCTGCGTGAACATGACTTCGAAATTGTTTACAATTGAGGCACTTGAACGAGACGCAGTCGAAACAGTGACTTTGCTATGGACAGAATCTACACGATGATGGTCAAAAATCTCCCAGCGTATATTTACGCCGTTCTCTTCTGATGTGAGAAGCACCATCGTGGGACGTGCTTGTGGTGGACATCACGAATCAAGTATGTCAACCGTGAGGTCGCGTTTCTACATGACCGATTGTGACCTCTGCACTTCAAGCGCTGCATGACTGGGAGTGTATCAGGCTGAGACACTCGTGAACTTCCGTTCGCTTGACACGCACAGTCATCGGCCTGTTCTGATCCTCACCGCCCTCTAATGGCGACACGCGCAATTTTGGTTCTTCTCTAGACATATCCCTCGCTCAGCAAAGACCCAGGCCTGTGCTGTCTGCACTCACAATCAGCGGAAGACGTTTGCGCTGGCTTTGGCGAAAATTGCCCCAGCCCAACGACAGTGTCCAGTCTCGAGCGCCGACAGGCGCCTCATGGACGTCCGAACAGCAACTGTCTCGGCTGAGGTCATCTTCTCTGATTGTCTATCAGCCGGTTTGCATCCACATGCTCCTTGCTTCCATCTTTTATAGCACGCTAGACCAGGACCCATGCGTGGCATTTGCGCTGCATGCTAGGTCGCTTGGATTAGCCAAAGTTGGCTATGCCAATGACAGACACATGGCATTTGGCTCTATAAGGCGACATTGCGCCTGCTCTATTCGATATGGTGTTTGGAATTTTGCAGTTCAGAGTCCGATCTGAGGGTGGTGTGCCTCCTCCACTTGCATTGTATCATAAACTCATTTCGGGAACAGCTCGATTCGTGTGGCGTTGGGGTATCGTCGAAAGAGGCGAGGTGCGAAGAGAGCAAATACACCTGGGCATGCTTGCACGCACGCAGGTAGCCCTGCGAGTTCGCTTTCAAAGCTTCGCTCCACGTCGTTGCGCGCCACCTGTTGATATCTATGTTAATTGTGGATCCATATTGTTTCAAAAAGAACGTGCACTAACTCTTTTCATGAACGGTAGGCTCAAGTAGCTCAGGCAAGTCCTCGGGTCGAGCTTTGCCTTCCAAAATATAATGAACGGCGGTGAAGAGTGGGAATTCGCCCTCTTTACCATTCGCCTTCAGAAAAGAATTGACCTCCGCAGCTGTGCTGGTACCTTGCAGCTTCTGTCCGTTCAACTCACGACGCTCAATCTCGTGAATGTCAACGCGCTCGGCGACGCTCATTTTCGCGCAACGGAAGTTGCGGCCGCCCGAACACGATGTGATTAGATCGGCTACACCACAACTCTCCTCGGTGAAGGTCTCTGGTTTGCTGCTTGAGCCAAAGAACATTTTACCGAACTTTACTTCCTCCATAATCCCCACGCGCATGATGGCCGCCTTGGCGTTATCGCCCCACCCTAGCCCGTCGACGAAACCCGCGGCAAGCGCCACAATGTTCTTCAATGCACCACCAAGAGACACGCCCGCCACGTCATCGGTCACACGTACGTGAAAGTACGGTCGGTGAAAGAGCTTCTTCATGCTCGCATGGCAGAGTTCGGGGTACTCGGCTGGAATCGCTTTTAGGCCTGACTTGCTGTTGCTGGACGGGGCCGAAGATTCGCCAGGTTCGTGGTGGTCCATAGCTGGAGGAGCGTACGCAATAGTTGTCTCGCTGAACTTCTCCAAAGCAACCTCGTTTGCGATGTTGGCACCGCTTAACGCGCCGCAGTAGATTCCCAACTTCTCGCCGATGCGGTCAGAGAATAGATGGCAGCCATCGTCTGTGACTTCAACGCCCTTGATGCAGCTGATGCCTCGTGCGAAGGGCACTACATGTCCTTCGATATCGTCGCACGTCTTTCCAATGAACTGATGAGGCAGGTTGAAGACGAGAATTGTCGCACCCTTGACCGTGTCCAGCAAATCTGCGTTTGCGATCAAATTGGTGGGAAGAGAGATGCCGGCGAGGTATTTGACGTTCTCGTGGAGCTCGTTGATGAGGTGTGTAAGTTTTTGCGGTTTTGATGCGAGAGCCGAGTTGGCCTTGTAGTGTTTGCTGTCCTTGGAAAGCTGAACATCTTCCTCGAACACCCACATTTGCACCTCTTCCTCGAACTCATCGGGATGCTCACGAGTGTTTTCGGCGACCACTTTGGCGATGGTGGTTCCCCAATTTCCGGAGCCGACAATGGCCACACGGTGCTTCTTCGTAACGCCCGACATGTTGATGTTGGTGGCTCTTTGATTCGACCTAGCAAGGAGACTGGTATGTGACGTAGGTGCTAAGGTGAAAGCTGCGGAGTCTGTGCGAAGGTCTGACCGCTGTTGCAAGAGGCGCGCAGGGTGATGATAAAGTCGAGATCCAGACACACCTTTGTCCCAAACAATGACTCGAGCAGGAGAGGATGGGGTTGAGACGCGGGTGAGGTGTTTCCAGCAGTCGCGTGCCCGAACGGTTCCGAGGCTCGTCAGTCGGCGGGATGCAATTGGGATCTTCCAACCCGCGAAAGCAGCGTGCATATATAGCGGCCGGCCGAGAGAGAAGGGTGGTGCGATAAGAAGGTGAGGAGGAACAGAGGGAGGACGAGACAGCCGCGGCTTTGAAGATATTTGAGAAAATGGCCTCTTCTCAACTTGTTCCCGCGTTGTGTGACCAAAGCAGGCTTTTTTGGTTGAGCTGCGGTGTTTGATGGGACTTTCTGGTTATCCTGAATGATGATGCCTTCCGCTATGACCTCAACCCCCAGGAAAGGCAAAGCACGGCCCTCGGCTGTATGTACCACAGAACCACAGATGCCCCAGATGCCCTTCGGCCGCTCGGGGGGTCACAAAACTTCCCCAACAACATTTTGCAGACGCTTATGTGGAAGACATACGGACACGATTCGTATACCACCTGCACCATACCTTGTAGCTGTTGTACACAACGCAGGGATACCATTCTGTTCAGTAATAATTGGCTGCATATCCGTCCGTGGCGCGACGTCCCCGCCTGCGACATTCCCACCGATGCCCTTCTCCCAAGGCTCCCTCACGATATTGATTTGAAGCAATGGGATCGACGACCCCACGCCAAGTGCGCGTTTGCCTGTGTGCTTGCGCGTTATGTAGCGGTATGAGAAATGGTGTGCCTGCAGCTGAACACTTTACAATGCAAAATAGGTATCTTATATACATGCCCGTATTTGGTTGGGGGTCGCGCGACCATCCCTACGGCCTTATTGCACTATCGCGTGGATTGGCCGGCTTTTGCGGCGATAGCCTCGTTTGCAGACACGACCTCGGAAGGTGTAGCCGTCGACTGGGCGGGCGGCGAAGGTCTTTCAGCTCAATGTCCGCTGATCACCTGGGCACCGATTGACTGGAGGATCAGGTCTTGCGCGGCCAGCATTTTCCACCGGTTCAAGTACCCTGCTCAACCACCCAGAACACACCCATTCATTCATTGCAGCATTTGAGTGAATCTGTCGCCTTGAGTGAAAATGTCTCTTGACCCTGACATTCACACTCACAGTGACAGTTCATGCTGAAATGAAGCATAAAACGTGTAGAATACTACTATCACTTTTACACGTACTAGCATATCAGACAAACGATAATGCTGTGGGCGAAACCAATCGATAAATCCATCAAAATGTAAATTCCGGTCGTTCTGCGTCGCTTTATCAACCCTAATTCGACCCTAGCCGTACGCCTCAGTCAAAGACGGGGCAGACAGTATTTATGGACGGCAATACCAGCACTTGCCCCGATCGCTCACTGCCTCGTAGGACCGTGGTTCCATATGTATCAGCTACGAGGGTGATCGCGATCGTCTTCGTACAGGCGGAGGAAAATGCTATTATGCGCATTACAAGCCCCATTGATCAACATTGACAAGAAAGCGCAGTCTACCCAGCGGGATAAAAGCAAGATAAAGCCGACACGCTGTATACCACACCACAGTCTAGTGAAACTCCCGTTTTCCAAATGAAGTCAAATGCTTGAAAGGTCTCATGCAATCTGCCCGGATATCGGATACTTGAAAGAACCCCCCAAACGCCGATGACCAACCGCCCTCTCTCATCATCACAAAAAAACCCATTGTCATTTCCATTGCGAAAGCCGTGACATTCGCTGCTCATGGTCCGTTCCACTTCATTTCCAATGTTGGGGTGTTAGGCATATAGATGGAGCAAACAGGCCTCGCGTCACAAGATATTTCAGCGTACCACCCAAGAATGCAAAACCCTGCGCCACCCTCTCGCTTCGTCCAATAGTCATTGATGCGTGTAGGTTTTTTTGATGTTGCGAATGCCATTGATTTTTCGGTAACATGTTCTCGAAATTTGAGATTCCGTGTCAAGATGGGTGAAGGAGAAGGAACGAAAGCTCCGTGTCGAACAAGCCGGCGGATGTGTAGCATCCCATATCCTTGGAGCGGCCAAGAATCACAAGTGTAGATTCATCGAGGTGAAGATCCGGAATATGTCGGAGGATGTGCATTCATCGTCGGCGATGAAGCAGTCCGCGGGGCTCTTCCATCGCTGAAGGAAGCGCGTTTTTGTTGAACCTGCGCAGCATGGATTTTCTTTCGAAGTGCACTCAGACGAGCCCGGGTCCCGTCAATGACTATCGACAGCGTCAGCGACAATGAAAACCAACGAATGTGTATCCAGGCGTCGTCAAGCCGAACTTACGTTTCACCACTGTCTGCCGATCCTCCGACTCCATGCCATTTATGATCTCGTCCGCGGACTTGTCCCTTTTCGCACTCGGCCGGCGCATGAGAGGCTCATCATCATTCTCCAACACAGCCTCGAGTAACATGATTGAAGTCCGATATCCCAATTCGCAGTCCTGAAAGTCCTCACCAACCAATTCTGCGACGGCAGCGCCTCGGCTCATCTCTACCGCACGATCGAACATGAGTCGCTCCGCAGTGACGCCACTAGTTATCCGGATGTGGTCGACTGATGTTGTGATCGCCGCAGTGGTACTGGCGGACGCATGGTTGCTGGGATGGCCGGGATGTGCCTCGGGGAGCTTCCGTTGCGTGGCCTGCAGTTTGCGTCCGACTACTTCGGACTTCTCCAAGCATTCATTGAAGCGCTCTCGAGACCACTTGACGACACCGAGGATGCGCGTTCCGACGTTGGACGTATTGGCCGTCGCATCGGCTGCTGAATGGTCACCACTCGTCTGCTTGTTCCACCAATATATCGCCAGATCAATAATCTTGGTCAGGATGGCCAGCGCCTTCACATAGAGAACTAAAGCCTCCTCAGCAACTCCGACAATGGCAATGGTGGTCATGTCCTGGTCGCCGTCTTCATTCTTCGAGCCAGTCAGGATGTTCTCCTGTGCCTCAAGTTGAAGGATTCCGAGAGGGTCCTGGGACGAGGGTGTGGCTGGAATGAGTTGACGATACTTTACCTCAGCAAACCCGAAGATGACATCACTGCGGGTAGCCGCCTCTTCCACGATCCGAACAATCCTGCCGTCCTCGTCTAAGGGCAATTTGGAATCTTGGCCATTGCCGATCGCTGGGAGGCCTTGCGTCAGGGGATAGGCAGGAAAGGCACCAAAGCCCTGGGGCGGCGAGGCACCTTTCGCTGGAGGGGATGTGCCCAACGCGCCGAGCAATCGCGCATTGGCGGCATTGAGCGCCTTGCTAAGCATGTTTGTCGCGGACTGGGGCGATGGAGCATATCGCCTTTCGAATGAGCCCGCACGCTGATGAGCCGAAGTCCTACCGGTTACCATTTGCATCGTACGTGATGGACTGGCAGGCTGCGCGCCTGTGATGGAGGTTGGCTGACCTTGGGTTGTGGCTCGACGTACCATGGTACCCCCACGAGCCTGCAGATGAGGCTGCGCATCCAGTTCATCTGCGAATGCGTTGACCTCGACAGCTCGCTTCTCAATAACCACATACTCCTTTTCGAACATCAGATCTTGCGCAGTCTTTTCCTTTGCTTCATGGGCAGCGTGTGCATCTCGCGGCCTTTCTGCTTCTAGAGTGGGCTCGCGGACTAGTGGCGGGCCAGCGAGTGGTGACGATCGGCTTGGACGTCGTTCCATGCGTGTTGCCGAAACATGCTGTACTTGCGGCTGTGTGACCTCTTGACGAGCGGGCGCAGTCATATGAGCAACCATTGGCGGCCGTCGTGACTCGCGCTGACTGCTCTGACGTCTCATCTGTATGCCTGTCTCTTCCGGTGTATGTTGCGCACCAGAGGACGACCGCCGACGTGCGTCTATTTGCTGCTGCTGATATTCTGCGTCGTGAGGACTCAAGGACGCTCGCCTCTGCACTTCGTCTTGGGACCGCCTGGGTTGTGCTTGAGCGTGTGAGTGATCGCTTGCAGATCGCTCTGCATCTCCGCCTCTGCTCGCCTTTAGACACAATTCTGTGGCTTCCAAGTCTGGCAGTTGTGTGTGAGCAATGTCCTCGCTGGCCAAGTTGGGTATGTCGCCAGTCACGACGGGATCATTAAACAAGTCTTCATAGGTCATTCTCTCCACCGGGCTCTTCTTCAATAGTTTCCGAATCAGGTCTTTCATGCCTCGACTAATGACCATGTTCTTGTTGTCGAATATGATCACGTCGTTCGCCTTTTCAATCTTGCGCAGCAATTCGACGTGATTCTGAGCTCGGAACGGCGGTTTACCGACCACCATTTCGTGCAACACAGTTCCAGTCGACCATAGATCAGCACGCGCATCGTACTTTTCGTATCGCAAGATCTCCGGCGCCATGTACAGAGGCGACCCGCATAGCGTCTCGGCCATCGACGTAGAGGGCAGATGACGGGCAAACCCAAAATCAGCAATTTTGAGCATGGGAAGCGACACGATTCCTACTGCCGGGATCAATGAGTTCTCGGAAGCTGCGAGCGGGACGTCTTCGGCCTTTTGCTTGGACATGTACATGGGCGCTGGGTTGAGGAGTAGGTTTTGCGGCTTGATATCTCGGTGAATCATATTGCTCGCACGGAGATACTGCAGTGCACTTGTGATTTGTTTGAGGAAATGTCGTACAAGAACCTCATTCAAGCCTCCAAATTCCGGATTAGGATATTTTCGAAAGATGTCAGCGGTCTCTGGGAACGTCGGCAGAGTGTGGCGCTTCTTCATAAATTGCGCCAGATCTGAGAGCTGACAATATTCCATGACCAAGTAGATATGGGCGGGTGTACTCGTGCATGAAAACAACTGCACGATATGCGGATGCTTTAAACGTTTGAGGATGTCAATCTCTTGAGCGAGATTCTCTTTGAGCTTCTTGGTCAGTTTGGCCATCTGAACAACTTTGACCGCGGCGAAAGACTTCATTTTCTGGAAGATTTCGTGTCAGCATCAATGCTCGCATCAGTTCTGTTCCCTTCACTCGATCGAGAGGCCTGGTGCGTGTGCTGAGGGACCTACTCTATGTTGGGCGAGGTATACTGCAGCGAAACTGCCCCGGCCGATCTCCTTGCCTCTACGAAACTCTCCTATTATTTCATCTGGCTCTTGCTCTGGCGGCACCTGGGCCGACCGCCTCGACGAGGACGGCGGTGCCCGTGGTGCTGCCATGACTGGCTGGGTGATGCTTTACCACGCCCGAGCGGCGAGTCTTGTGTTCTTAAGCACTATGTATCGTCGGCAAGTTTGGCGCGAGGTCCAGAAGGCATGGGTGGTCGATTAACACAGCGAGGCGGAATATGGCGGAAGGGAGCTGAAGTCGAGTTCGAGATGTCACGGACGACGAGATGGATAGCTACCCAGGCAGGCGGGCAGGCAGGCGGATGGATGAGCGAGTGGACGTCTACGGTGCACAGAGAGAATGCTTTGCTATGTACAGTAAATCGATTGACGTGCACGCGGTCGGTGACGATGATGGTCAGCGAGGTGGCGCTGGTGACTGGGCGGTGGAGCGTGGAGATCGATGGGTGATGATATATGTATGGTAGGGTCGAGATGGATGAATGACTGGACGTCTCACACGGCGTTTAGGTGTCGGCGATGATGTGATAGCGGCCGTTCGAATTGCGGAGAAGCAGGGACCTGCGGGCTGCGCGCGGACGCCAGGCAGACGAGCAGCTTATCGATCCAGCGGAGTCCAGGACGAGATGTTTGAGTTTGAACGACGAGGAAGTCCCGAGAGAGGAAGAATTACTAGGTATATGTGACGGTGGCAAGCCACCTGCAATGAAGAAGGGGCGTTGATGATTGTGATACAGATGAGGGGTTGCAAATGCTAGCGATGAATGGGAGAGTAGGAAGCGAGAGATAGGACAATACAATAGTAGTAGGGCGGCGAGACCGCGTGCGCGCCAAAGAAAGAGACGGGAGATACAGTAGATAGAGCAAGAAGGTGGGTGGTTGGAGGTTGGTGGTGGTGGAGGTGGTGAGTATGAGCCCTGGAGCGATGGATGAGCGCCCGGGGCCAGTCATCAGCGGATGCGGTCAAAGGGTCGTCGCATCCACTTTATCACTCTTGTTCTTCTCGGGCATAGGGGTGTAGCCCACGGGTGCATATGACAACGAGTGGGCGACCATCACGCTCAGATGACCACCAGGTGGTTCAACCGTCTCCGCCATCAGAGATGCTGATGCAATACTGGACATTATACACGACGGTGCACTCAACACTTTCGAGCAGTCCACGGGTACTATACCTCACCTGCAGTCCAGTACAGAGAACATGCTGCATGCACGCAGTAAGAAACAGCAATGCGGGTGGGGAAAGCTTCTTGGGGATCCATCGATAAGCTATCGATAGCATGAATTCATGGACACCGCTGGCCGTAACCAGCTCATCAAAATATTGATAATTACCAGATTGAGGCGCCGCCCATGCTTTCCCTCTCAAGGTCGCAATTTGGTTGAAAGGTGTTGATCCCCAGCCTCGATGGCAGTCATACCGGAATATTACAGGACCTAGGTACTCTCCTTTCCAGGTGACATGTCTGGTTCACCGAGTCCAGTCCGGCACCGAGTCGCGAGAGGACCAAGCTAGGTACGGTACATGGTCATCTGCACGACAGCCTGGGGAAGGAGCACGCATTTGAGGTTTGTCGGTATGTCAGGTACTCCACAGGACCTACTGTACTGATTCACCTTATATTCTCAGCTCTGCATATACACGATTGAGTGCATCCTGATCGAGTCTCCAATGTCTGGCGGTGTTGTTCACACGAATTACCCACATTGTCAAGAGATCGTGTCGGCAGAGTTGAGCACCCGACCAGCACGCAACCACCATATGTGTGTCGCGTGTTGTCCCGTTTCGGCTTCGCGGGTCCCGCTCCGAGCACGTGCAAGTTCCCTCACCCCCGGCGGCTCGATCGTCCACCGCCCAAATTGGTGTGAATCCTGCTGCAGTCGATTCACAGGGATACTCAAATACTGCCAGTAGCTACGGCAGCTGGGTCATGCAGGCAAACATGGAACAAGTGCTTTGCTGCTGGAATCAATAGATGCAGGTGGTATTGCCTGGACAAGTACGACGTCATGTCAGTATCCTCCAAGCATACGAACTGCGTTTGTGGAACACCATGCGCAGAACCGCAACCATTTGTGATCAGTTGTGACCGTCCTGTTGCCAGGATGAGACCTGAACACACGAGAGGATAGCTGTCACGTGAACAGTGTATGGCGATGGTAACTCACAAGTCTTGTCACGGCCCGCGGTGCCCTGAATCGATCAGTCGTGTGTGTACTGTCCCGTGTGCGTCCACATCCGCGTGATAATTATTGTTCCGATCGCTTTCTGGTAAAACCGCGATCTGCCATCAACACATCTAAAAGCGTCCTTTCGTTCTGAATCCATCGCTATTGAGATCGATGTTGTCATCACTTCAGGTTTCGCACCGATTGGAATATCGCGCTGCAAGGGGCAGGATCCAGATGACGGAAGCAGGAACCAGCGTGTCACACAGACTCCCCACGTGCGGAGACAGCGGTCAACCAAGTTGTGGGCAACGATCAAGCACTGCACCGCGTCCTCGCACGCCGTCACATAGTCGACCTCTCACATCGCTGTCGCTGCATCTGTGTTGATTGAATGTCCGAGTGAATTCTTCGACGCAACTTTTCCAGCAAGCAGCCGATGCTCACAGCGCGATCCGAAACTTTCGAACTTTTCGTATAGCACCCATCAATGACTGTACGAGAAGCATATTTCCAGAACGAGCTCACTGTGTCGGAAGTGAGTATCATTGGACGCTTGGATGTGCTCGAATTCTGCCCTTTACTGAGGGCCACTCAATGTCTGTTCACCGTGCCTACGCGCAAGCCGGTTCGGTTCAGACCTGGTAAGAGTGGCATAACCGGAATTTACTGCTTTTCGCAGAACCAGAACATCACCGAACTCTGACGTTGGTGCAGCGTCTCTCCCGGCAGATGTGAGCGGAACACGTCAACTCGCTTGTTCACTCAACAAGTCTAGCAAGAACATCAAAACTTTTTGTATTACTTTAAATAAACATTATGCTGAGATCCAGTCACTCACGACCTTCCCCGTATTGCAAGTGGTGTCCGATTCCGTTGAGCCGCAATATCTGACCGAGAAATGTCTTTCTATAGGAGGGCGATGACGGCAAGACCAGCGCCGAGCAGACCACCAGCAACAGCGGGGACAGCAGTCGGGTAGGCTGCGCCTGAAGGTGTGCTCGTGGAAGTGACGACCATGATAGAGCCGTTGCCGTTGGTGGTTGTACGGGTGGTGGCCGAGTTGACAGCATTCGAGATTGTGGTTCCGGCGCCTCCAACACGCGAAGAGGCAGTCGAGGCAGCTCCATTCACGGCTGAAGTGACGGTGGCGACCACGCCGTTGGCTCCGGTGGAGAGCGTGGTCGCTACTCCGCCGAGTGCGGAGGTCGCGGTCGAGGCGGCACCGGCAGCTTTTGAAGTTACGGTCGCGAAGGCACCGGCAGCATCTGAGGTAACGGTCGCAAGGACACCACCACCAGCGCTTGTAACCTGTGTCGAAGTTATTAGTACAACTTGCAGACCGCTGGGGTTGTTGTAGAAGTCAACGAACAAAAGTCGCAACGTTGCCGCCGAGAGAAGTGACCTGGGTGGCGATGTTACCACCGATGGAAGTGATGTCACCGCCAATGGAGGTGATCTGCGTTAGAATGCCATCGAGCTGAGCAGCGGCGAGCACAGCGGGCACGAGGACGAAGGTCTTGATCTGCATGATGTTTGCTGGCGAATGTTGATGGTAGTGTAGAACAAAGTCGAAGGCCTGAAGAAGTGGTGGAATGAGGAGATGATTCAAGTGTGGTAACTGCGTTTGCTGAACAAGCGAATGTCGACAATAAATATCCAGATGAGAAGGACGACCGGTATGACTTTAAGGAGTGACGTGAATGAAGGAAGGTGATTGAAGATCAGGGACACCAGCCAAGGTGAGGAAGGAGGAGGTGTCGTAATGACGGCCATGGTTTCCAGCAAGCAGGATACAGTAGTGATGCTGGAAGCGGATCGGCCAGGCACGAGGGCGACTCAGGGCTGCTGATGAGAGATTACGTCGGCGCACGAGCCTCCCGGCAAAGTGGTCGTCAGCTCGGCGAAGTCAAAAGCTGCAGGTGGGAATTTGTAATGACCCTAGTACGCCTGATGGAGTATCGCCGCCAGTTGCGCAGCCGTCCAGCCCGAAACTCAGGAGTCACCTGCGCAGAGGAAACAATCGTCCTTAACACTTCTGAGCAGCGATGGACCAGAATTGCTGACAGCTCAACCCTCACAGCCACCCAAGCACACGTAGGCGTTTCCAACTCCTCCGTGACAGGCCCAGGACAGGAATGCGTCTGACGACGAATGTGAGCGGACTGTTGTGCAAAGCGTCGTCAGCACTGAGCCCAATCTGTGGCTCCGCGCGCAGGGCTTTGTGCGATCGTATGCCAAGAGAGCCAGGCAGACGAAAACACTGGTTGGTGATGATGACGATGACGGCGATAATGTTGTGATTCACAGCGGCGGCGGCGACGAGGACAGTGGTGTTGGTGTTGCGACGAAGGACAGATGTTGCAGGTAAAGATCAAGAGAACGGTGAGCGGCGGGTCGTCGCCTTTTCATGCCTTCTCGCAAACCATACCTCATGTTATTACACAGAAGCCCCCCAACCACTGATCGCGCGCGCACGGAAGAAGGGTGGCAGCCATGTCGTTCACGGCACAGTCGCCCTAATGTTCTGCACCTTTGCTCTGCCAATAGATAGTGGGGAGCGCGATATAATGAATAGTCCAGATGCGTATCTCCGCCTTGTACAACGTTTCGGACGAGCCACATCCGCCGCGCCTCGCGAGCACATCTCGTGGTACATACATACAACCGTTCCACAGATACTTATCGTCGTTGCTATTTCCCTGGAATACCACAAGGCAACGAAGTGGAACGCCGGAAATTCATCAGCCTCGTTCAATTTGTCTGCGATGCGCGAGCGCCCTGCCAGACGGAGAGCGCCGTGACCAACTTCCGCTGCCTTTTTCCAGCAAGACCAAGAGACATTTCGACAAGAAAATGGGCTTTTGTTAGCGCGTCCACCACAATCTAGGCGAGCGGCAGGCATGACTCGCAAAATTTACACCAGACTCATGCAACAATCACTTCAGCCTGCTCTTGATAGCCTGGTCGCTCACACTCTTGCCGGTGGGATTCATCAGGAACGGGCGATTTGAGGTCGAGTCGACGGAAGTGGTCGATGGAAGTCAGTCTTTCCCATAATAACGTGATGACAGCTGAAATCGAGGCGACAGCCCCTGATTATTAGGCATTGGAATGGCGTCGCCCAACGGTTATTGACAGGGATGGATAGATGCGGGTACCGGCGCGCCGCCCTTGTCACGACGGCGCATCAAGTGTGTTAATGTAGCTCACGCGAGCAATTTCTCGTGCTTGGCATTTAAATTATGAGTTGGTGACAGCCTTAGAAGTGGCACGGCAACACATTTTAAAGCTTTCCGCACTCCAGACAGTCTAATAATTCTCCTGATGTCTCCGGGAGGCTGCCCAGGTGAACATGATGTCCAATGCTGAAAGGCGGAGAAATTCCTGCCATCATAGGCTTCGAGAGACTTGTTTGGCTTGACCAAGACAATGCTGCCAGGGCTGAAATTGGCACTGTGAGCTATTATTCCTGCAACGGGACGATGAACAATGGTGCCCATATTTCTAAAGCCTGCGGGCGGGGGTGGATGAACTGCGAAAACGTCTCGAGCGTGCCGATGAAACGCCTGTCAGGCCAGGAACGGCTCAGGTCTCGAGGACGCTGGCTCTTCAAAGCGTACGGTGTACTGTACAACAGTCGACTACCTGGCAAGCCAGATGTGCCGGCACGGAGGCTGGCCCCACACGTGACCTCGGCTTCACGACTCTCGATACCGATGTTCGAATACAGGCTCGTGTGAGAAGGCGGCAACAGATACGGGAAGTCGAGTCCGTCATTGTTCGTGCTGTCATCGAGGCGATCGTTTCGCGTTCTACATCGTCTCTGAGGTATCGAAAGAGATCTGAAGTCGTACGTGACGTGCTCCAACACCATGTCGGATTATGTTCGCGATGGTCCGAGACCGTTCGAGGAGGAACCCACGAGCGACTTCAATTATCCCTGGGCCGCCGCCCCGGACATCATCCGCGCAAACCAGAAGGACGCCTATTTCCAGTCAGTACTGCTGAGCCAACTGTCATCGGTCATTCGATCTCTATATGGAGCTCGAACCGAACACAAATGGTCGCGCGAGGCCGGCGTCTTTACCGAGCTGCTCTATCTCGGCCTCACTACCTTCATCGGCAACCGAACCCTAGGAGAGGAGTACTGTGATATCGTCCAAGTCGAAGACGACACGCATAGCCTTCCTTCTGTCGTCCGTCGCGGAGGATATATCATCTCCAGCGTCTTGCTGCCCTATGTTCTGACGCATTTCCTGCCGGCACTACGCCGTCGTTTGCGCTCGAAACTGGAGAAGACTCTATACCGATCTCATCGGAGGAGAGTTTCGTCGCCGACGCGCCGCAGCCAGCCTCCGAACCGTCTTCACCAGATTCAGGAGTACGTGCTCAAGCATCTGGACTCAGTCACCTCGCCGGCCCCAATCTATGCCGTGAGCCTGGCCATTTTCTACTTCAGCGGAGCATACTACCAGCTGAGCAAACGCATCTTCGGTCTGCGATATGTATTCACTCGTAAGCTCGAGGAGAGCGATCAGCGAGCCGGCTACGAGGTGCTCGGCGTCTTGCTCGTCGTGCAGATGGTCGTGCAGACGTATCTCCATCTACAGGACACCTACGAGACCGCCCAGCAGCAACTCAGTGTTCCAGCACCCTCGGCAGCTGACGTCCTTGAGAACCAAGGCGAACCAGGGCACGACGATCCCTTCACCACACCGCCGCTGCTCTTCAACGCTCCGGCGCCGCGAGGTCTTGATCCTGAGGCGACGCGCCAACGCATTTCCCACATGACCAACACGCCGCTGGCCACAAAGCCGCGAGTCGATCTCCGCGGCCCGGAACCCCTGCAGTGGATCGAGAGTGGACCTCAGCGAAAGTGTACGCTTTGTCTCGAAGGCATGAAGGACCCGTCCGTGACGACGTGCGGGCATGTCTTCTGCTGGAGCTGCGTCACGGAATGGCTACGCGAGCAGCCCATGTGTCCACTCTGCCGACAGAGTGCTTTACCGCAACATGTCCTGCCTCTACGAGGTTGAATCCGACGGTTGTGGGATCGATGATGGACCCACCGCATCTTTCCTGCTGCTGGACCCTGCGATCTGATGCGCAATGTACGAAAACGGCGAAGAAGACACAATACTCAATCATTCATCTCGCGATTGCAGCCCTATCTAATCCCGGTCCATTAAAAAGCCCCCGAGTCATTAAGCCATTATCCATCCTTTCGGGCAACTTCTATTCTGTTATTGTGATAAGAGAGCCATGCAAAACCCCATGACTTCAAGAACAAACACGAAGGCCCAGCAACGGCCACATGTGGTCATATGCGTGAGCATTTGCAGCATAACACGTAATCCAAGCCCTTTTATACGTGTTGGCAGATCATGAGGCGCCCTTCTTGTCGCTCTCGGGCTGCCTCCCAGCAGGAACAAACTCCGCTTGCTCCTGAGCTCCCTCCGATGGTTCACGAAAGGCGCAAAAGGTCTCATAGATGCACCGACTCTCGCCTCTCAACGAGGTTAACCGTGGAGCCTTCCAAGTCCCTGGCCACCCCTTGGCAACTCTCCGCTTAATGACTTCCTGCTTCGTCAATCATTCGTTGATGGGCGCGCGCGCTGGCGTGACATCGCCCGGATGCGTTGCACCAGGCCAGACCGCGGTTCTGAAGCATCATGCTTGCTCGAGGCATACTCACTCTCGGCGTACGCCTCGCCGGCTCGCAAGACATCTACACTGACGGCGAGCATCGTCCCGTCCAGCCCTGGCCAATGTTGTCGTAAAGAACGCATGCTAAGATGCGGCCGCGGTCGTCGAAGGCGATGGATCTGTCCGAAGGCTTGACCTGGGAGCGCCCGGTACGTGGCGTCGCGAACAGTGTCTGGAGCTGGAGGCGTGGATGCTGCCAGTGCTGTCGATTTGGCGCGAGGCAAAAGCCCCGGCAGCCCTGCAGCAGGCATCGTGGACGATGTGGCCAACGGTTCAGAAAGTCGGAAGTGCTGCTACTTCTTCACTAGACCTTCCATGGCATCCGTAGCAGGGCTGGCACGGCTGCGGGGCCGATCACGACTGTTCCGTTTGAGGAGCCGCTGCGGTGCATCTCGCGGCCTACCTTCGAAGCCCGAGCCATTTATTCCACCGGTGCCGACGATGCTGCCGTTGGGAAGGACCTGAGGCAGCGCCGAGAGATTGTCGCCGTTGGAATCGCGGCCGGCGCTGACCTGGCTGCGGCCGAGCTTCTGATCCGTCTTGAATTCGAGGTAGAGTCTCGCAGCTGTGGTCAATGGTATCGGAGCTGGCTGAGTTGGGATATCTGCGCCATTCTGCAGGAGCAGCTCGGCCATTGCGAAAGGTTTGCGGAGTCCATTTTGGGGCGAAGAGCTGGATGGCGCTGCCGGAACAGCCGTAGTCATCCGTAGACTTGATGTTGACGGGGAATGACTATGGTAGAAACCGCCAGCGGGCGCTGCCGGGTCGGCGGCTGCCAGGGCTAGGTACACAGCGTGTGTTGAGCGCGAGCGGTCGTGGGCGTTAGGATTTGCCCGCTGTGCAAGAGCATGTAGCACACTATGTATATCATTTTTCTTGATCGATGTGATGAGGTGATCATCTGGCGTAAGAGCGCCCCCGCTGTTCTGCACGTACGTTCGATCGCCGTACTTGGCCGTGATGAAGTGTAGCCTTTGATCTCGTGTCGAGTGCGGCGCCGGCTTGAGGAATTGATCGAGTTTCGATTCCCAGACCGTGTTGCTGATGCGGTTGCCCACGAGAAGCATGATTTCAACAATGTCTGGCGTGAAGGCAGACGTATCAAGCGTCAGCGAGCGGACCTTGGAGATGTGGGTTCCCAGCGAGCGATGAATGCCACTGCATTCAATACATAAAAGTATCCCCAGATTGATGGAGCACCAGTCGACCTTGCTGTCGGATCCACAATCCGCGCAGAACCTGTTGCCTTCGTCGACGTCTCGAATGCGTTGCAACAGAGCCAGCGACTCGTGATCGCTGGCCTCACTTCTTTTATATTGTGGTTTCTCAGCGATCGTGGAATGTCGACTGACCGCCGACGCAGCAGCGTTCCTGTTGGGGTTAGAGATTTGCCGGTGGCCCGAGAACGACGAGCTCTTCCCAGTCAGGACCGCCGCGATGTCCTTTCGGGTCGAACTGGGCTGCCCTGGCGTGGGTGACGCTGGCAATTGCGAGTTCTTGTTCTCGAATGCGCTCTGCAGGGCATTGTTGATCGCAGCAATCCACGAACGCATGTCCTCCTCCGCAGGCGCCTGGTACACACGCATGAATTGCGGCGTGATCACCTCAAAGCAGAAACGCCGATCAGAACTTCGAGCCTCACGGACAGAGGCCATGCGCAGATCTATTGACTCTCGATGCAGGTCGAGCTTGTCCTTCCAGTTCACGTATTCGGAGAGCTTTCCTTGATCGAGGACAATCCAGAATTTGTGCCATCCAGGTTTGATGATGCCCTTGGGATCCACATCGCTTCCGGGTCGACTGAGTGCCCAGAGCAGGCCCTCCTTGCGATGTGTGCCGCTGTTCGAACTTGGATTTTGTTCTTCAAGGTCGCGGATTCCCTTGAACTTGGAGTTCGGACTTGCGGTAGGTAGTGCTGGTGGAGCCATTGACGAAGGTGCCGAAAGTCCAGTGTGGGCCGTTGGTTGGACTGGCATTGTGCGCGAGACAGGAGGTGATGTCGACATTAATAAGCCATGCGCACTTACGCTACCCGACCGTGAGAGCTCTACATCGCTCGGACGCGATGTCTCTTTCACCGATGTGGAGTGCGCGAGACCCGGAGCGCCGCTGCCCCCGTCCTCACCGCCCAATTTGCTGCTCGTCTCCAGTGCGCGGCGTTTTTCTTCGCGTTCCTTACGCTGGAGTTGATAGTCCTGATCTGCTATCCGTACCTCGGAGACCAGAGCATCCAATTGGGGAACCATGTCTTCGATCTTTTTGGCGGTGGCCAGGTAGCTTTTGGCTTGTGCATCAGCGTACTTTGTCAATTGCGAGAGCACCTCCTGATCCTTGCGGCCTCCATGTAGATCGTGCATGAAACTTGAGTAGTCGAAGCGCTTGAGCTCAAAGGTCCTTCGTTTCGCTTGATATTTTTCATCGCTTTGCCTTTGCTTCTTCTCCTTGAGGGATTCGGTGCGCTGTCCAAGATACTTGCCCACATACGAGTAGTACTCCTTGCTCTCTTCATCAAATTCGCGTTTTTTGTAATCTGCCTGCTTGATCTCGAGGTTGTACAGCTTGCTGACCGGATCGATCACAAGCCTTTGCAGATTGACCGTATTCTGTCGCTCATACTGTAGAATCTCCCGAGCGATCTTGTTGAAGTAATGCTCCAGCGCTGGTTGAACCGCATTGGCATTCGACGTGGCCGCATCTTTCAAAGCCTGTGTGAAATCGCCCACAGCTTGATTGCAGGCTTGTTGCGCTATCTCGGCGGCCTCAGCCGTACGTAGAACCCTCTTCATGCGCAAGCGCATGTTTCCCGTCTTTTGCTCCAGTGACCGCATCGTCGCGCGAAACAGCGGGCCATCCTCGTTGAGTGATGGATCATCCTCTGGTTTGCACACCGGCACATCAACTTTGACTGTCCCGGGTGCAATCGTAGTGGCATTTGATGTCGAGGTGGTCACTGGTGCCAGACCGAGGCCATTCTCAGGTATTGTTTCGAAGATGGGTGATGTCGGTTCACGAGGATCCTTGTAGCTGCCCTCGCCTTCGGAATCGCTCACGTTACTGATGCGGGACTCGATCGATTGCGTCGACGGCACTCTCAGCCTAGGCGGAAGATTAAGTTCGAGTCGTGGCGATTTGGGCGCTGCCAGGTAACGCTGTGTGTTCTGAACCCAAAAGGTGAAGTTGGCAAGGGTTTCCAATCGGTCCGCGCGCGGATTGTACTCCACGAAACTGCAGCTATTGCGCCAACCTCCTCCTTTGTCCTCGGACGACTTCGGTGGTCGCCATTTCCACGTCCATCCGAACTGTACCGAAGGGCTGCCGTCAGTCGCGTAGTCTCCAATCAACTGGACGTTTGGATTTCTGTGTAGGTTGGGATCCGAGTGGAATTCCCGAAGAACTAGATTCTCCACCTCTTTGGCGCTCGACGCGAAGATGTAGGTCAAGCCTGAGATTTGTGTGTCACCAGCGCTGCTAGTGGTGGTGGATGCATTTGAAGGTACGGGTACGCCGCCTATTGAGTTTGTGGGTTGGCGAAGGAGGAATGTGAAATGAAAGCTGAGCTCGTCGCTGTTGGATAATCTGAGGAGGAAGGATGGTGGTGATCCACTCGTGGTTGAGTCGGGATCCTGACAACTCCGTCAGCCAAGGACTCGCGATTCACGAACAGCGCTGCCTACCTGGATGTATTCGATTGGGGTATCGTCGCCTATATCTCTGCTTGCGCTGAATCTAGTCGCTGGAAATGCATTTGGAGTGATTCGGAGTAAGGTTTGGCCGCGCGAGTTGGTGACGTTCACGTTCGCAATGGTGACTGCAGCATCCGTTGTCAGTATTCGCTCGAGTCGCGGAATGGTCACACGGGTGAAGATTACATCTCGCCTGGTCGGCCAGGCTGAGGGGCGATGCCTCATCAGGCCTGCTGCCGACGTTGCCCATGATCAGTCGGCAGGCTGTAGAGGCTATAGAGCCTCAAGATCGGTGGTGCGACACAATGTGATGATTCACAGGGCGAGACTCTGTTGTGAAGATGGCGAGGACGTAGTGAGCGGGATGCGGGGAGTATTGGTCGCTCCACGCAATCACGGACGTTGCGGTGTTGGAAAGGATGCGCGCGCGCGCCAGCACAACCTTGAGTAGAGCCGTGAAGGATGGTTGGATGGTTTGCTGAAATAATGCTGCACAGGGTGCGATTGTGCTGTGCTGTAGACCTGGAGAGAGGGTCGCATCTACAACTCCGCTTGTACTGTATGGACAGTGTAAAGAGAGGAGGGCACTTGCGGCGACGAATGGTGGACCCTGCCGCCCGCCGTCGCATCACCATCTTACAGCAATTACAGCGCGACGCATTTGATCATTACATACAGCCTACTGGACGAAGAAGAAGGCGTCCGTGTGTCACTAGTCGCCCGAAGGCCGAAGGGAAGCCCATGGGTTCGTATTCTTTCTACTACTGTACAATAGTGTGTCGAGGGAGTGAGCAGTACCTCGTAGTAGATAAATCCCGAGTCCGTGGATGCTGACGATCAATTATGCATCATTGCCTAGGTAGGTACCCGACTGACGATGAACAATGTCCGCTTGTGAACATGTGGTTTTTGTTATATCATATCACAAGCGAGGAATGACCTCAGAACAACCACGCGGAACATGCAGATAGCCGCCATGCGCGAAGCACTTCTATTCCTTCCTCTACTTTCCCCTTTGTTGGCCGTCGTCATCATCAACATCGGAAGTCATCATCACACATCGTGGACAAAATGGAGTCCGGCCCGGCTGATTTATTCCCTCCTTATACTGTAGCCGGTCCAGGAGGCGAGATTGTGCACAGTTCGGCAGTTAATTTATCTGGCCGCGTGTCACTGAAACGTGGTATAGTACGTGTACCCTGGGTTTCATCTTATCTTTGTAGTCGTGTTGGTACGCTATCGACATCCCTTCTGCCTCATGGCCTACTTCATTGGAGACTCTCATTCAATTCTATCATCGCTGGGAGAATGATCAGCGTCGACTAATAATCAGTCCGTGTTCCGCGGGCGCCTGCTCGTGCATTCGGGCGCCCGTCGGTGGACAGTACACGTCACGGTCGTCATCGGGCATGGCGCGCGTGGTGTGCGCGCCAGCAATTCCTTTCCCCAGCAGCCCTGGAGCTGACTGCGAACTTCGTGGGCCGTTCCTTCCAATACTCTGGCAATGGAAAGTACGTTGTCTGATCACCATTCTTCTTGTCGTCCTCCGGCGCCAATTTCGCGCCTCATCGACCTAGGTATTCACAACATCGATTTTGGTGGTATAATTGCTATTTGGGATCGATGCCGTTCGGTGACACAGGACGATTCTAGCGTCAGCTTCAACATCTATTCTTTCCGTCGCACTACAGGCGCGGGCGAGACTGGGTCGATGCACAGTACACCCAACGACTTGGTTTATATATGGGCATCCATGTGCATGGCTGCCTATATACTCAGTAGCTGAGCAAGCTCATTGGTGTCGCGCCATCACGTGTCGCTTTTGTCAGCTCCCACAACGACGCAGATAGATGGGGAGAGAGACATATGGTCCTGAACCTTGTTCTGATCTCGAGCTGCAGATGATGCACAGACACCTTCGTCATCAGTGAGAAGAAGTCACAATCAGGCCAAATAGCCGAGACGGAATATTCATCGCAAAGTGCCTGGTCGGCCGGAGAGATTCTCCATTGAAACATGCCGTCTTTGACGATTCCCGTACCGAATCTGCATACCAATGTTGTCGATTGCCGGTTTCGTATGCGAGGGTGCTTTGAACACCACGGCACTAAAGAGCACGAGATCATCACGAATGTCGTCGCGTCGTGAAGCATGAATAAGATCTCACCCACATGCACGAACAGTGATCATAACCTAGACGAGATCTCGCCATTTCATCGTACTGCGGACAACGACTCCGACGACACCGAAAGATCGTTGCGCCCGCCTCAGCTACACATGATTCCGTCGCTAGGCAGCGACATGTACCAACCGCTTCGCAAGGCTTTGCACTCAAAGACAACATACTTGGTTTTGATAAGGGGACTCTTACGATGTCATCACGACGACGGGCAACGGTCGTCGTTCTGTCGCCGACGTTGGACGGTGATCATCATCGGCTCAAGGGTATGTCCTCAATCTAGCAACCCGTGCCGAGAAATGTGTGATGCTCCACGAACGTCAAGGGCAGACACTATAGTCGCGAGTGTGTTTCAATGTTCAGAGTCGGCGTCATACCTTGTCGGATGACTTTTGGCCTCAGTCTTTGGCGACAGGGTCGCGAGGATTCGGGGAAGTACCCGGATAGCTTGTGATGATGTAGGACTGCCCTCCTCAGTTGTGCCTCATTGCCTGCTGACCGGCGATTTGGAGATGACACATTACGTAGCCGTGGGCGCCCCTGGACCGTCTGAGACATGACAGTGGTGCGGGTATCAGTCGATCGGGCAACCGGTGGTTCACTTGTCGGAGGCATTGGCGAGGTACCATGCTCCGGGTTCACCAGCAGAGCCCTGATGGTCTGGCACGTCTCAGCAGACCTCCAAGATATTCTCACCTGTAGCGAGCGATAAGGGAAAAAAATCTCCCTTCACTCGACCTATGCTCAGACCAAGATGTGACATTTCCCAGACGGGATCTCGCTTTTTCACGTGGCATGAGTCAATTATCTCACTGTTGGTACAGCCGCCGCCAAGATTATACTGTAGAAAAGCCTCGCTCTGTGCCATCAGCAATCACGGTTGAGGTCCGAACGGCGAGAAGACTTATCTGTCGTCGAGACGATGGTAGGGCAGATGAGCGGACGTACGCATCACCCATAGCGATGAACCCCTCTGCTGCCGCTGCGCCAACGGTTCTTCAACACTTGACTACCGTAGGATGTAGCAAGAGGGCATATCATACAATGACTGGAGCCACGACCGTCATTGTTCCAGACTGACATGGCTTAGGGTCAACGACGGGGACAGAAACTCGTGTGCATGTCGTCAAACGGCCGCGTGAGGGGTAGAGGTAGATATCGACCGTTGCTCTGGGTCGATAGAGATAGAGAGGACCTCAGCAACAACTTGAGATAAGCGACTATGCCGTATGTTTTCCCTGCTTCAAGTTGATCAGGTAACGTCGCTGTGTAAACCCGTCCCCGGCCTAAGCGATGGACTTGAAAGGAGCGCCACGTGCGATGGTCCCCACGCTGTAGCCGTGCTGGGCATATGCTGCGACAAAGAAGAACGCATGCAACCATCTCCCTACTAGGTGTAATGTAGGTAGGGCAGTGAGGATCGGGGACGAGTGCAGGTGCAGCCGAAGACCGTGGGCATCTCTGGGGCTAGCACCCGTGTCACCACCCAAAAAGTTGCATGCAGGCCGGGGCAGAGAGATCTAGACGGACCGAGTTATACACAACAGCGATGGGACATTCTCCTTCGAAGATGCATGTCCACTTGTAGTGATAGGAACTGCAGTATCAATGTCTAGACGATCGAATCTATGTGTGCTGCATTGCATTGCAGTGCATCGGACCGGACACGAATGCGGAAACTCACGTGTTCTTGTAGCGTGTTTTTCCGTCCTCGGCGTGCGCCATTGTCCATTTCAAGGCCATTATGATGCACTTCCAAGGTTGATAGGCCTTTCCAGAGAATGATTCAAATCCAGCGTCTGGTCACACTGCATACTGCGCCACTTGCGTGCGTTCGACGGTCGAAAGCACGACGACCGATGTTAGCAATTCGTGCAACACCACTTTACTCTGAAAGATTGTATTCGCTGTGAACTCACCAATGTCGAGAGGTTGTTGGGGCCCGTCACGTGAATCTGCAGTAGATGTTGGTGCGGCCTGACGCGAAATCGAACGATACATCCAGGCGGCGCATTGTGGCAATCCAGATTGATTATCGCGCGCGTAATAGAAGCCGTTGATACCGTTGGAATTCGGCGATCCACATCCGATGAGAGATTTGATTGGTGATGTGATGATCGTGATGACTTGGACTAGTGGCCGGTATCATGTACATGTATGTAGGTGATTTTTGAACGGATACGGAGTTGCTGTACTTGGGCTCTTACTAGCTGCTCCTACCATCATTTCCAAGGTTCTCGTACGAGGGCGCCATACAGTGCCTCTTCTATTTTCTCCCGCATCACCTCCGTTCAGGCCGTTGATACGATAGATAGAAAGATCTTCGTGACATTCGGTCAGTAACGCTCGAGACACGCGGCGAGGGCTTGGCTTCCGTGTAATCCTCCCGTGCACTGTGTCAGTTCCAAACCTCCTGAGACACGCCAACAGCAAGAGAGGCGACCTGTCTGGACGCTGCGGGGTACTGTGTCGTGTGTGTAGGTATCCCAGCACATGCGCGAAGGAGAGTTTCCACGGTTGTATGGTGCGCATTTGCCTCCGTCCAGCGAGGTCAAAGCCATCTCGTCCGATGGTAGACGGAGTGAACGAGAGCCGCCCAGATCCGGGAAGGAACGAGTTGGCTGTTAGCTTTTGTTGGAAGTGGGAAGCACGCGGGCAGAACCTATCACTTGACGGATCGATCTCCACTACTGCGGCGCTGAAATGTATAGCATGCAGGTGACGATGAACACCTGGGTACCAAATCGGATTGTTCTTCTGCCAAAGGCATCTACTGTATAATCATAAAGGGAGCGGCAGGAGTGTCCGTAACCTCGTGGTACCTATGAGAAATATGTGATCATCAGTGTAGATGTCATTCCTCTCTCTTCCACCCCAAAGCCTGTAGAGATCACAACCATTGCCTTCCGCAACAAGCCGGCGTGTAATAATAGGAAGGAGACCAACACTCTGCTGCTGACTGCCGTGCGATTATCGTGATCACAAACAGGTGCCCGCAAGTCTCCGCGTCCGTGTGTAGTGCGGTCCTCGATCTCTGGGACATGGGGCAGGTGCGCCCTTGTAAAGAAAGGGTGAACGGTCATCCGCAAGCGGAGTGCTATCCTGCACCATCTGCACCTGTCCACACCTGGGCAGTCTTACACAATGTGACAATCGTACGAGATGGTAAAGAACAGTATGACCTCATCGCCTATCACAAGACTGTGAGAAGATCATCGCACGTTATGATAAGACAATGAGGATTGAACATGGACGACGCTTCATCGATCATCGTCGCTCTCTACTGTATCATGTACACCTGATACAGTACGGTCCATGTGTATGCGGATGGGCGGGCAGAACCACCGATGATCGAATTGATGGATGAATGATCGACAAACACACAGCGAGTCTAAAACATCAGCAGCGGCCGGAGAGACTCGCCCAGTGAGACCGAAGCTTGGAAGACACCATCACACGCGCGCGTGGGCGCCGCCGCGGCGCTGCAGGACCAACTTTAACCGGATCCGCAGAGGGTAAAGTGCGAACGCCTTACGAACGCCATAACCGTCGCGTTCCAACATCAATTACTCTTGTTGTTGTATACTCCAGGGCCTGTTAATACAGGTTGATGATCATCATATCTGTAACAGGAGCTACACGCAGTCATCATTGCAATCACTGTTGTTGGCGAGCCATTGCTTTGAGGTATCTTTGATTAGAACAGGACGACAGTAACAACAGTTCATCGTCTCGGGAACTGCGACCGGCAGGACGATCGACAAGTTCACCAGGGGGGCATGATTTTACAGTGCTATTAGTCGCACGACTACTGCACCATTTTCTGCGCCGTCGCCAGGATATTGGGCCCAACTATGTGCTGTAATCAGTAGAAAATGAACCCATGTTGGCCGTGTCGTTCGATTGATGATGCATACAGGATGACATTGCAATTACCGGTGCAGTTTCATTGTCAGAGAGGACGAGCATCTGGCTTGGCAGTGACCTCTTCGTCGTCGTCGTCGTCGTCGTCGCCCTCCAACAACGGTAGGGACACACCGGCACACATAAACCTGGACCATACTACACCATACTGTATTCTGTATACTGTACACATACCAACACACACCCAGAGCAGGTAGCTGGTCACACCCACACCCATCCATCCATCCATGCTCTTTCTCTCTCACACTCGCTCACACTCACTCATCACTCACACACACACACACACACACAGCACACAGCACACAGCACACCACCGAGGAGCACACTTTGGCTCGCGCGTAAAAGACGGAAGGGAAGGAGCGAAGCTGGAGGCATCCACATAACGGGCGTCCACCCCATCCATCTATCCATCCATCCATTCGTCCTTTGCTCCGCCGCTGCTGTCAATGGTCTCGCCCTATCTTCTGCACCTGATAACTTTCTGTGCTGTACTTCCCGTCCTGTACCCACTACTGTGCCTGCCAGGTACCACGACTTCCACCACCACCACCACCGACACCTCTCTCTCTCTCTCTCTCTCTCTCTCTCCCTCTCTACCACCTGCCTGCATTTGCGTTGTCGAGAATCAGTCCACTTTCTCGTTGACACTCCGACACGCAGCAGTCCCATCATCTGGACTTCCACCTCGCCCGGAAGCCTATCTACACACCACCACCACCACCAATTGCACCTTCTTCTTCTTCTGCTGCTGCCGGTCTCTCACCACTCTCGCGTTCGTTCTCACCACTACCACCGCCGCCACCACCACCATCGGAATCCACCTCAACTCTGGTCGTGCTGCCATTGCTCTTCACCTTCTCTGTCCCTCACTTTTAACATCGTTGACTTCCGTCCGCCGCCGTCTCGTCGACCGTTCTATCCTTCTCGCGCTCATTCAGCCCAACCCTTTATCTTGACAGCGATTGCATTGTTGCAACATCTCTCGTCTTCTTTCAAGAATCGATCTCGTTGTCCCCGTTGTCGTGCTGCCCTCATTGCTCGGCACTTCACACATCCTCCACCCAATCACTCGACTCAATCACTCGACTGAATCACTCAACTCAATCACTCATACATCACCAGCTCTAAAGTCTTTACTCAGCGCCAGCGGGAAGGTCTGACACCTGCATCACTTCCCATCTCTGCAGCCAATCGTTCGACTTTGCACACGCACATCTGGCCCTGCAGTCGCCATTGACGCTCGCTCTCTCTCGCGAGGCATCATTCGGCGTGCACTATCCATCTCCCGGACAGACGCTCACACACACATCACATAGACGTGTGCAGCTTACGCCATGACAAATTCACGCCCCATCACCTTCGGGGCCACCATCGTCACCAGCCAGCCCAATGCCAACGCCATCGCTCTTAATTTACCAGAGCAACATCTCGACTCACCGGTACTTACGCCAGTTCCCTCCATAGACGGCTCCCGTGATCTGGAAAGGGGTCCATCCGCAGTATCACCATTCTACGAGCACCCGGCCGCATCACATGAGTTTGCTCCGTCGAGTCAGCAATACCAGAGCCTCAAATCATCTGGCAGAATCACCGAAAAAGAGCTGGAGAATGGACAAGTCAGCCCCATTTCGAGAGATACCGAGGTCAACCCATTCACGAGTCAGGTGAGCATCGGCCATAATAAGGAGTGCAAGATGTGGCCTTCGAAGCAGACGCTCTTGCAAACCCGAGCTGCCCAGAAACAACAACGTCGCGCGAACCGCACGTGTGCTCCATTGCGTGACCGCTGGGTTGCATTGACCAAACGACAACGTCTGATGATCAAGATTGCTACGGCTCTACTCGTCGTCGGAATTGCCGTAGCCATCGGTGTTGGCATCAGCCTCGCCGTGAACGGCACCTACTACCGCCCTGACGGAAGCACGACGCGTGTGGGACCAGCGTGATAGGAGCCGACGCCAATTTTGCAGGTCCATGCTCCAGCTCCGTCCCAACCTCGGTCACTCATCAACTCTACGCGAGGATCCCATACTCGCATCACAGGCCGCAAGGCGTCCAGCCGAGCGCGCCAAATCTTCCAACACCAACACCGACGATCTCGATCTGTCGATGGATATTTCCCTCATGCATTGGAGACTACGCGAATTCTGTAGTCAGGCGTTACATTAGCATTACGATCACCGCTTTCAAAGGATCCTTTTGAGCATCGGACCATTTCCCTTCCCACGCCAGGTTAGGTCGCGCGGAGGGGAGTAATGATCCAGGTCCGATATACTCGGTTTGTTTTTCGTCCAGGGGGTTTCATGCCCTCAAGCAGGGTTGCTGTTGGGAAAAGGCTTTATACATACATGTTGCTGGGCATGGGAGAACGGCGTTTTGGTGGGAATCGGATGGGTTTTCATTTTTCAATCCATATTTGACATGAATTGTCTGTGTCCTTTTATGTTTCGCGATTCCCTTATCGCAGCTACTTGAATGAAAAAAGATTTCAAAGGGTCTCCAGCAGTCCGTATATCAACCTACAACACATGATCTGTCTGGCGCCGTTGACATACTACCCGTCAGTGATCGCCATTGCGTGCTCTGCCGGCGAGCAAGTCCGCAACGAGGACGAGGACTGGTAGGTATCCTGCTCCAGCCCGATCTCAGAATCCCGACATCAACGTGGGCCGACACGAGAACGACAGACCGCCGCTTCCGCCACGAACACGTGAACGTACCAAGGTCTTCAGAACGAAACTCGGGCGACCCTGGGCTTCCCTCCTCCCCACACACAACGCCCTCATCCGCCGCCTGGTCCGTCTGTAACGCGTCTTGGCCGGAATCGGCCGCCGTCGTGGTGAGCCCGTGTCCCCGGTGCGCCCCCGCGGGGCGACGTTGGTCGTGGGAAGAGGGAGAGGGAGAATGAGGGGCCCTCCTCGGGTGCCATGGTCGGGGAGAGAAACGGAGAGTGGTTGATGCAGCCCGCCCGGTCGCTCCTCCGTGGCTGTGCCTGTAAATCATGCAGCCCCTTACCCTTGGATACCAGGTGTTCACCCTGCCTTCTCACGGCTTTCACGACGTTCTAGAAGGCAGGACACATCCCCTTTCGGGGACCATAAAGCCCGGCAATATCAATGGTCGTCACCGATAGGAAGAAAAAAAACATTGAAACTTCAAAAGTCATCATGATATCATGAATTTCGTCGAGGGCGGTCGAGATTATCTGAAGGGAAATGATTACGGATTATTCCAGAGCCTGCTCTGGCCCTCCACCGACCGAGGGACGATGGATGAGGATCCTTCTTACAGCTTCAGGCGGCCGCTGCGCAGCGCCTCCCAGTCCTCGCGGCGGTAGGGCTTGTACTCGGCGGCGTCCGGCGGCAGCCACAGGACCACATCGTTGCTCCCGGACTTCTCGATGAGGTCGAGGTCGATCCCCTCCCGCTTCGCCTGGCCCTTCTGGATCTTGAACGTGCCCGTGTATGCGAGTTGCGGCGTCACGCGGAGGAAGACCGGCACGGCGTACCGCGGCAGCCGGCTGCGGACATGAGCGGCCAGCCCGGCGCGGTTCAACGCAGTGGCGTCGACGCCCGATTGCAACACGACCGTGGCGCAGCCGCAGCGACCGTCGGCGTTGGGTACGCTCACGCCGTAGACGCTCACTTCCGCCAGCTGCGGGTGCGTGCCGAGGACGTCCGCGACTTCGTTGGTCGAGACGTTCTCCGATTTCCATCGGAATGTGTCGCCCAGACGGTCGACGAAGTACAACCGGCCGTCGGCGTCCTGCCGCATGACATCGCCGCTGCGGAACCACAGATCGCCCTGTTCGAACACGTCCCGTATCCAACGCTTCTCCGTCGAGGCCGCGTTGTCGAAGTAGCCCTTGAATGCCTGTGGTGCGAGTGCAGGGTCCACCTTGATCAGGACCTCACCAGGCTCGCCGACGGCGCTCTTGATCGCGTGGCCTTCCGGCGTCCGCATCAGTTCCTCGGTGTCTGGATCGATGCGTGCTCGCACTTCACGATAACCCATGACGCGGTCCCATATCTTGCCGCGCACACCGATGGCGCCACGACTGAAGGCACCGCGGTTCCGGTTGAAGGACGAGCCAAGGCCGTCCGTGGCGGCGTAGAGCTCGTGAATGACCGGGATGCCGAACCGTTCGCGGAAGCGCTCCCAGACGTCGGCGCGCATCCCATTGCCCCAGGCGACCTGCACCTTGTGCTGTCGTTCCAGCGGATGCGGCGCAGAGTTGACCAAGTAGCGGCAAAGCTCGCCGACATATTGGAGATGCGTAGCTTTACTGGCGGACACTTCGGGCCAGAATGTGCGCTGGGAGAATTTCCGGCCGAGGCACACCGATGCTCCGGCGTGGACGGCGGGTCCGAAGGCGAGTCCTTGCGCAGCAGCTAATCATCCGGGTCAGCTTCATGAGCAAAGAGCAAAGGTATTAGCAGTTCTCGCTGGCTCACCATGATACATTGGCAGACAGGTGTAGAACCTGTCCTCCTGCGTCAAGTTCAGCAGTTCAGCAAATGCGCGACTCGCGTTCAAGACACGCCCTGTCTGCATCATAACACCTTTAGGCAGGCCTTCAGATTGTTAGTGTCCGATCCATGACACTTGAGTTCTTAGCCCTGAAAACGGCATCATGGCTCACCTGTCGTTCCGGATGTGTAAATCAAGCTTCGAATGTCGTCGGGCTTCATTCCAGCTGTGCGCTCGTTCGGTATCGGTGTGGTGTCGAGCATGGTCTTGAAGAGCGCCTCATCGTAGTACACAATCTTGATACCATTCTTCTCCAGCTCTTCCCGGCAAGGCTCGATGCGTTCGGTCGTGTCCCGGTCTGCCAGCACGATCCGAGGCTTACATAGCTTGATACAATGCGCAAGCGAGGCACCGGTCAGGTTGTGGTTGATGAAACTTTCACGTGCCCCAATGCCCTCCAAGCCATACCACAGCGACACCCATTCGGCGGTGTTGGGCCCGTTTAGTGCCACCATCTCTCCTGGCGCGATTCCAAGGTCGTGCATCAACCAGTTGCCCACGCGTTGCACGTCTGCAAAGAACTGCTTGTATGTCCTGTGATCTCATGTGTCAGCCGAACGTCCGCGTGCCCATGAATGCCCTGTCTCGGCCTCTGTCATTGATGTTCGAATTCTCTACACGATTTTCTACCCTTTCCTATTTTCTCCGGCGCCCATCTTTCTTCAGTGCTTCCGAATCGAATGGATCCCGTCACTCACCATGATCGGCCCTCGAACTCCAAAAACGAATGCCCCGGCTTGTCTAATTTGGCCCACTTTTCAACGTCATGATAGAGCAGCGGCCGCTTCTGTATCCATCGCTCCGTGACGTATTTGAGACCTTCGGCGGCGGCCTGTTCGGGAGTCTTGCGTGCCCAATCATTACGGATGTGGAATTTGGCATCGACATAAGCTGCCGCCGCGGCGGTGCCCGCCAGCGCTGCCAGCGTCGTTGCTACATGGTGAGAAGAAGGAATTTAGCATGGATTGTCTCACTCGCGATCGGCATTTAGGTAGGAGAAGGTCTGTGAGAGCTGTCGAAAGTGGTGGCATGAAGGGAGTGGCCGTGCAAAAAGGTGAAGCTCACCAGCCATGGGGAATGACGTTGGCCGCTGGAATTCGGCAGGGCGGTTGTGGCTCCCAGGCGGCGTTCCTCGTTTGCTATGGGCGAGATCTCGACTCTGCTGAGCACCACTTCACGCGCAAAGGTCTCCCGGCGGTGTAATAATCGTGAGAGAAGGAAGGCACGATTCACAGAGAGACAGGCAAAGGAGGGAACATCGCACAGCCTGGTATGTTATACAGTAGCGCATGCGAAGAGACAGATCTATGCAAGCAGGACATTTGTGAGAGGGCAACAGACGGTGATCGCTCCTCCGGCGTATCAGAGCTCCGGATGTCCGGCATTCGGCATACATAATTACTCGCCAGCACGATCACGGTTGCTGTGTATAATGTCGGCGTCGCGACATGACATTTCAGTTCGAAACTAGCCAGTGATCGCCATACAGAGCTTCCTCGCCCGTTCGATTGGCTTTGAACCTCCGGTCAAAACGCGTCCGGTGTCTCGTGGCGATCGCGTCGAATCGATCGAAAGCCGAAGTGGGCAATGCGAACAATTGAGCCTCGGATTCTAAACAAGCGGGAGCGCAACTACAACCCAAAACATGTTGGTATCGCTATGCATCCGTATCACTTCCCATGCACGAGGACCCTGCTGCAGTAGTGGAGCTTTCACAATACGACCATCGCCTGCAGGGAAATTGTGGTAACGACAGCGATTGAAATACATCTTGAGAAGCATTTGATGGGCAATTCGACGCGGTGGCGCTCTACCTGCACCATTATCTTTGGCGGGCGGGAACTCCAGTAAATAGTGACGACAGACCGCCGCCGCATGTGTGGGGCACATGGCATTGACAGGGCATACGTCCATTCCAAGCTGTTTTCATGCACAATGCTGGCACGAGAACAAAAATGAGGGCGAATAATTAACATGGCAAGGGATTCCTATTCCAGACGGATCTAATGGACTGATGTGTCAAAGCACTGTCTACTTCCGACATGGATCACGAGCAACCGCATCCATCGCTCCATCTGATCGGTGTGTGGCGCACAGCAGGTGACTGTGGAACCATCGCAACAGTCACAGATCCATCGAAACGAGTCGTCCGTCTCGAGTAGTTGAGTCATTTATTACAGTGCGGAACAGACAGTACTTAATCTTCGCGATTGCTCGCGGGCAACCCTAACACTCTGAGAGATCCCAGCGATTTGACAAAGCCCGGCGGTTGTCTTGGTGTCGATGTTGTTGTTGTTGTTGATTATATCTATATACATATTCGGCTGAAAACAACGCAGTGCCGGCATGGCATCATCCAAGGAGATGTGTATCTGCCCAAATGTAGCCCTTCCAAGTCCTCACACAAAGGAAATCGATCGGTTGGAGTAACCACGTGCAGTTTCAACACAAAAAAGCTTGTTCCCAATCCTTCCCAACTCAGCATTAACAACGCTCAGGTCCATAACGGGGAGGGGGTTAACCGAACATCCCAAAATCAAATCTTCCTATCCGATCCCTGTATGCCCTCGTGGTGGGAGGTATGCGCGCGAATCAGAAGGCGATTCTGGCGCCAACGAGGACTCGCCATTCACCTGAGCCTCCGACTCTATGTCTCTGTCGGAGTTATCAAGTCTATCGATCCCGCTCCCGGTCGCCTGTAAATGTATACTGGAGGCGGAATGTCAAACCGCTTGAATTATCGGATCGCAATCGCTTCAGGAAAAAAATTCTTGCTGATGTAAACTTAAACTCCATCCCAAGAAGTGTGTATGTATATATCCGTCGTACGGCATGCTCCCTATGAGAGCTGCTCACGCGACCACGTCGTCCGTGACGAATTCAACGAATCTGCCAGTGCAGGTCAGTACAGTGGTGCACATCCTATGAATACGGGAGCATCGCCGCCAGTCATTGTACGTGGAGGTTTGGACACATCAACTTACCATCGCGGCATATCCTGCTCCGAGCGCGAACATCGCCCAGGCGGAGCCCGACAGATCAGGCCTCGCTCTCATCGCGCCGCCGCTGTTCATGTCATCGATCGTCGATGTGGGCGGCCGAGAAGTCGTGGTATGCGACGTCATCGGCGTCGTGGACGGCTGCTTTGTTATCGTCGGTGGAGCAGGGGTGGTGACTTTTGGCGGCTGAGACGCGACCGGAGGAGTGTCCGCCGGCGGTGGCGCTGGCTGCGGTGTCTCGACCGGGGGTGGCGGAGGAGCTGTGACTGTAATTGTGGCTGTATTCGGAGGTGGGACATCTGCTGCTGGCGGTGGAGGTGGAGGCGGCGGCGCTACGGCGTCGACTGTCGATGTCGGCATTGGAGGCGGCGCAGAGGGCTCGATGATCTGAGTTGGCAAGTGTTTGTAAGCATTCACTCTATCGAGGTCAAGGACTACGCGCTATCACTTACCTGTGTGACAGTCTCCGCTGGAGGTGTGACGAAAACCGTCGAAGCCTCGACACTACTTGGCGCAGACGTTGTAGGAGGTTCCGAACTAGTCATTGGAGGACTCTCGGGCACTGTCGTCATTGAGGATGTTTCGAATGACGAAGTACTCTCAGGAATCGTGGAGGTCATGGCCTCTGGTTCCGGCGGTGAGCTAGATGTGAAGACCTCTTCCGTCGAACTAGGAATCGAGGTCGCCGGCACCGAGGCACTCGTCATCGTCGACGTCGGTGGCTCCGTTGAAATCTCTGACGATGTACTCATGGTTGAAGACTCAGAAGTGCTACTCAACATGGCTGATGAAGAAGTAGTAGTGGCTTCCACCGTTACGATGGAAGAGGTCAAAATTTCACTGCTCGATACAATCGAGGATGAAGAGATTTCCTCGCTCACAGTCGATGTGGAAAACGTGTCGTCAGGCATGGTAGATGTGGAAAACGTGTCGTCGGGCATGGTAGATGTGGAAGAAGGATCCTCGATCATGGTGGATGTGGGGAAAGGTTCTTCGCTCGCGGTGATCGTGGAAGAAGGTCCCTCGGTCATGGTGCTTGCATCACCACTCATGGTCGAAGTGAGAGGGAAGTCATCATCCATGGTCGATGTTGGAGAGATGTCCTCTGCCATAGTTGATGTTGGAAAAAAGTCGTCGTTCAGCATCGCCGTGGAAGCTAGCTGGTCGGACCAAGTGGATGTCGCATGATGGTGCATCATCGAGTTCATACCACCGCCGCGCGCGATTTTGCCATCGTCGTGACCGGATGATTTCCCCTGCGGCTGCGATGAGTCGGTGCTGTTACCCCCGTTTCCGGGCTGAGAAGACTGGTCGCTGTCAACCCCAGTAGCAGGGGGAGGAGATCGATCATCACCGGGCACGTTCCCAGGCTCAGGCGGTCGATCGCTGTTCAGACCGTCACCAAGCTGGTTCGGTTGATCGCCACCGGGACCTCCTCCAGGCGGGGGCGCACCCTCACCGCTGGCATCACGGCTACCATTTGGAAAGGCTCCGTTTTCGGGATTAGTCCAATTAAAGGGAGTCGTCAGATTTGACCCTTCCGGACCGCTAGGTGACAGTGGCTCCCCAGTGGGTTGGCTGAGCGCACTCGTCGTATCTGCCGGCTGTCCAGATTGAGGGTCGCTCGTAAACGACGTTAGGGTCGGTTGTACGGTCGACTCAGGCACGCCAGTGGTGAAGATGGAGCTCGTTGTAGTAGCATCGGTGACTGGGAATGAGGATGAAGAGATTGTACTATCAAAGCTTGAGCACGGATGCCAGGGTCAGTGGAAATGTACGAGAAGCGAAAGTCTTCTGATATCCCACAGAAGGTTCAGAGCAAAAGATAGGAAGCAAGCGACCACTCACCTAGAGCTACTTAAAGTCGCGAATGCTAAAGGACAGACGGAGAGCAGAGTCAAATGGGCTAGTGCCGGTGTACTGAAATGCATTGCTGGTTAGTGATCGATCTGCACCACAGTGTGTGCTTACTGGAATTAGGTGGAGCTTCAGCCTGTCGTCAAAGGCGAAGTGAAGATTAGACTGGTCTGGCGATGATGACAATTCATAAGCAAGGAATCCTGAGCGTGTCCGATTGATGTGAACGAGGATGAGCATTGAGTTATATCTACTACAACAATTTATGCCAACATGGAGTCCTCTCCAATGTCAGTCGCGACGGCAACCTGGGTGGATTGATTGTTGTTGTCGTTGCTGCATCTACGCTCGACCCTGTGCGATCCTTGATCACAATGTCTCGGCCATTCATGAGAGTCCATCGGCAGTCGAATTACCGTCATGCTGGTGAACCGATGAGAGCGGGATGCAGAGTGCAAGGACTCGGTGCGAAAGCGGTGATTCAGGGCGGATCCTCGAGTGTCGTACGGCGACTACCTCTCAGCTTGCTGTCAGATCGGACGTGCATATGCAGCGACGATGACCGACCCTAGGCATTGTTCTGCAACGCTATGTCGAGCGTAGCTCGTGAGATAGCAAAGATTGCTTGTGGCTATCTGCACTCAACGTAGGTGCATCGCCATTGATGAGCAGAGTCGCCACAGAGATGGATCCTGCGGAGGGCAACAGGCCCAATGAGATCTGGACAGATATGCATGACCGACTCGATGTTCGGCCTGCTCATCGGATCATGTCGCAGCGTTGCATGCGCTTCCGATGCCGCATTATCAGAGGGCGAGAGCTGAGATCAGCGGAGGTGCGCACTCAGTTCTGCGAGGACACCACGAGCATGTGTAATGCTAAGATGCACTCCAAGCAAAACGATCGAGCAAGCCAGGACGACAATCAGGCCCATGACCGCTCCGGTGGACACGAGGATATACCACGAGCTCTGGAGAAGGACGTCAAAGCCGGTGCGGCCATTCCGCGTGGCGCACTGCGCTTCGGTGTCTGTGCAGAGTGGGACGGGAGAAATTAGCGGAAATGCGGGCGCAACGGATAACCATTCTTCCAAGCCATTCGTTTCCACGATCTATCGACATCGACAACAAGTGGCGGGGTTCTCGTTTATGCAGGAAATGAATGTGTCCTTTGTGGTAAGTGGCAGGCTGCTCCAATCACATCCGCTTTGGAGTGGCCACCACCAGAGACCGCAAGGTCGAGATGTCGATATCGTCGACAATGCTGATGAGGGACCATGACCGGAAAGCTGCAAAGGGAAATTTCACCTTACTCACCGAGTTTCATTCGATCCGGCCTGGCTGCGGTCGACAGCACAGAGTAATCGTTGTTGTCGTGAAACGCTCGAACGGTCATTTCGTGCTGGAACGGCCGGTCCGCCGTGCCCACCAACGATGACTCGGGCATATTTGATTGGAAACGATGCTGCTGATGTTGAGAAGTCGGCGGCGTGGTCGATGTGTTGCAGTCCACCAATGCCGTCCTGCTGCAGTTTCGTTGGGTGTTTCCGGGCCGATCTGTCGTGATCTTGTATGCAACAGTGCGATCCTGAGAGGCAGCTGACAACGACGTCGCTGAGACAGATCTCAGAGGCGGTTAAATGGCGTGGACAGACAATAACAAGTAAAGCAGGGAGTAGGGAGGCGGCTAATGATGTTGTGATGTTGTAGAAACGTCGAGCATGGTTTTGTATAGGATGTGAAGAGATGTCCCGAATAGGGAAAGATATGTTAACAATGAGAAGTCGAATGAACGGCGTGAGAATAGATCATCTTCTCATCATCAGACCAGGCCCCGGTCAGCAGTCAGGAGCAAGGCGGCCACTACAGACAGGACATACACGGTCTGTCTTGACCACCAAGCATTCCAGGGACTAGTGATCGACGGACGCCCCCGACATGAACCCACGGGATGTGCACAACCTACAAGAAGTACTGGAAGTGCGGTGGGCGCTGGTCAGCTGAGCCCGCAGTAACCAAATAAACGGCCTTTCACAGTCTTGATTCTCTACGCCCGCCACCGTCGACGCCGCCTCCTCCGCCGCCGCCGTCTCGCAACCATGTCTTAGAGGAGAAAAGAGGTGGTCGTGTGATTGACTGGACTGACACTTTCTTGATTATCACGTGAGGGATATTCTATACGCGTGTGGAGCGTGGGAACTTCCCGCCCGCGGCTCGACCTCGGGAGCCTCTTTCTCCGCAACCGCTAACCCACCACCGGTCTGGTTAGTGTCGATATGTCGTGTTAATTATGAAGACCCTTGAACGTCGCTCTCCTTCACCAACTGCAAGGTTGTCATCATTTGTTCAACGATAGGCTCTGCAGTTAGCGAACACAAACACCCGTTAAGAAGCAACCTCACTCGCCAAAGCTGGAGCGTTGGACGACGCGGTCATGGCCCCCATGCTGAGGATCCCGGCTCTCTCGGAGCTGTGCATGGGTCTGGCGATGTTGGAGACGATCATCCCAGGACGATGACGAAACGGCTTCGATGGAGAGGTGTCTAGACCTCCGATCATCTCCCCAATCACTTCAGAAGTCTGAGGCTAGGGTCACAGCATCCCAGCACGACGCGAAAACTTCACGGGATCGAGCATATGGGAGGACGTGATTGCATGTGCAGTGTGTCGATCCCCAGGCGTCTTGTCGAGGCCACATCGAGCGCTCTCGCATGAGTGGTGTCGTCCGGTAGGCCTTGGATTCTGAGAGGACTCGGAAGCACGCATCATTCAGACCTCATTGCGGATATTAGGTCATCTTCAATAATGGGCTCCAGAGTTGCCTATGCGTGTCTCCATTGGGCAATCATGAAAGAGTGATAATGATGAGTGACGCAACTTCAGCTTTGACACCACGGTATATACAGCATCATGACTGCGCGGACGCCTGGTATACGCACGCGCCAGCATCGCTACAACAAGTTCTCCAGCACCATGACAACTGTAATGATCAAGTATAGACTTCGATCGACGTCCTCTTTCAGTCGCGTCGTACGTGCAACTGTCGACGGGATATAAAGTCATGATGTACCTTCCGTGCGCGTGCATAAAACGCGTGCTGCTGCCAAATTCTTCTCGCTTTGGTAGGTAACTGTGTATACCGATGCTCCGTTTCGGACTACAGCGTTCGGTTGATGAAGCCTTCCGGAGCATTTCAAACATGGACTCCCGAAAATGGGCCTGCAAGTAGATGAATCAAGCAAACCGAAACATTGGACACTTTGACCTGATGTCGATGGGCAAATGCGATCGATTCGAAGGTTCATGAATGTCAAAAATCAATTTCTCAAATTGTGCTTCCGCGAAGACCTATCGCGACATCAACATCGCTCGTATATTGTGAAAACATGAAAAGATCAGCGATAAAGTCAATGGGGCGATTTCGTATTTCAAAACAACAACAGCAACAGCAACAAGAAAAACTATTTCTGCTTCGCGAAATGCTCAATACATACACGGAGACAAGCGCAGGAAGTGGTATATGTGTAGATGAAACGACGGCGCGGCGGAGATTCTCTTGAGATGGGACGCTGATGAATGGCACATGAACGAAAACAGCAACGGCGGCAAAACAGTAAGTAGCAAATAGCAGACATTCCGACCAACAGTGGAGAAGAGAGAGACCAAGATACCCCAAAACTCCCGAATTTTTCCAAAATGCTTCCGCATCAGATCGAAACGTGACATCCAGGTTGGAAAGACGATCCCTCCTTGCTTAAAGCGGATCCCAGGGAGGCGATATGAAGCGACGGCCATTCCCTCCCCAAAAGATTGCACGCCATACGCATCAAATTTTGCATCAGGCTCATGATGTATGCAATTCGTGACAGTCAAAGTGGGTATAAATAACCAAGGTAAGAGCAAGCAAGTGGGGGAGGTCTTGTGCTCGCTCCGGATGGCTCGGCCCTGAAACCAGGTCTTGCAGGTGGGTAATTATTGTTCCGAGCGGATATTGCGCGATCTGGTCGTGAAGCCTGGTTCGGGAGGTCTTTGAAAACCGACCACAGCCTGACAGTGGTGAATAAATCTATTGAGAAGATGTGAAAATCGTCATGTCGTAGCGTCGTGATTCGCATGCCGCGCCCAAACATGTTTGAGCGAGCGAGCTGGTATTAGCCGATGTCTGTGCTCGAGAGTGGCTTCGAAACTCCGCATGGCGTGCAATTGTTCCCGAGTAGAGTACAGACTATCGAATTGGAGAAGAAGCCAGAGGAGAGAACACAAGTGGACTCTCACTTCTTCTTACTGCTCGAGCTCTTCGGTGGAGGACCTCCCAGGAGACTGAACAAGCCACCAGGGGCCTTGCTCTTACTCTTGCTCTTGGACTTGCCCGATGACGATTTCTTCTTCTCCTCTGCAGGCCCGGCGCCAAGCATACCGTCGTAATACCCAAGGTCGCCAAGCCCAGTCATAGGATCGGGGTAGAGACCTGGGAATGACTGCGCTGGGCCGGCGTGCGACGGCGGCGGAACAGGCATGCCTGGGGGCATGCCCATGCCGGAACCGAATCCCATGTTTGGCACATCGATCACCCCGACAGGGCTACTGGTCTTGCGGCGCTCAGCTTTTCCGTTTGCTGACTTCTTGTTCTTCTTGTTGGCCGCTGCCGCATGCTTTTCGTGTAGGGCGGCCTGCGCCATCATGTGTTCCAATTGGCTCATGGTTTGCGGGTGGCCGGCAGGACCTCCCATACCTTTAGGCAAAGGAGGCATTCCCATGCCCATGCCCATTCCAAATCCCATGGGGTCCCAGACAGGATCGGCTTTGGGTTTTTCTTCCTTTTTCGCCTTCTTCGGGTCTTCGGGGAGTGGCCAGAGATGCATGTTGACTTCCCAATCGGGCTGGACCATCGTATCCCATACCTGCGGCAGGATGATCTCACCGTCGGGTCCGGTGAGGTCGTAGTGTCCTGCGCGAACGTGCTCGCTGACCTCGTCCATCTGCTGGAACGCCTGATCGATGAGAGCCTGCATGTCCTTCCATGTCTTGCAGCGCGCCCACGGGAAGCTGAACTTGCGGCCAACGGCGTCCTTGAAGCGGATCGGAGCTTTGGAAGCGTCCGGCGCAGGCGCATTCTTCTTGATCGTCTCCTCCAGCTCCTTCTTCTTCTTCTCGGACTCTTCTTTGGCTTTGGTCAGCTCCTCGAGCTTCTTGTCCGCCTCAGCTTTGGTTTTCTCGGCCGCTTCTTTAGCCTTGCCCTCGGCTTCTTCTTTCGCTTTCTTTGAGGCGTCCGCGATCTCTTCCTTTTTCTTCTTCTCTTGCGCCGCCCTCAGCTCGGCAGCGGCTTTTTCGTCCGCTTCACGCTTCTTTTCCGCCTCCCACGCCTTCCTGGTCTTCTCCGCGTCGGAACGTACCGACTCAAGGGCCTTTTTCAGAGTTTCAATCTCTTCGTTCTTAACAACGTCCTTCTTAGTGGCGGTATTCAATTGAGCCGCAAGCATCTCACGAATCTTCTCCAACTCGGGGTCCTTTTCAGGTTTAGGCGCTGGAGTCGGTGCGCTAGGAGGTGGACTGGCTACCGGTGCAACGGAAGGTGGAGCGGCCCACGGGTATTGCATTGGATGATGATAGCCTGGCATGGGGCCATATGGGTTGAAAGCCATGAGCTGATTATAGGGCTGCATAAGCTCCTGGCCTGAATAATGTGAAGGAGCGGCGTAGCTCTGGGGCCGTGAGTAGCCATGCGGCCTTTGTGGTGCCTGGGATGGCGCAACTGGGGCTACTGGCGCAGGCGGTTGGTCCGATGGGTAGTATCCCGGTCCCATGTCGAAGGGGTTGCCCTGGGGCTGCGGCGCGAAAGCGTCATGCCCGCCATGCGGATGGCCGGGATACGCGTAGCCCGTCAGCTGTTGTTGCTGGTAGGCTGGTTCGTAGTATCCGCCGGAGCTCATGTTGGGCGGGTATCCAGGATGGTGTTGTGGGGGTGCTCCTCGGTGTTGAGGATACGGCCGCGGCCCACCGGACTGGTGGCCCTGCGGGTACTCGTCTGGAGAAGCCACGCTGTCGCCGGAGCCGCTCGATGCGACGCGACGGGGATATATCGGTTTTGTGGGCACCTCACGCCGCTCGGGGCGGTATCTGATGGGCTCGATATGCCTCCGCAATGGGTCTTCCTGTACGGCCCGAGGATGGCGCGAGGAGTCGCGGCGAGAAGGAGCTTCCGGGACTTCTACGGGCGGCCGGCGACTGCGGTGATTGCGGGGATGTGATGCAGAGTCGGAAGGGTTGATATCGTCGGGGACATGAAACCAACTGTTGTCGCTGGAGCTGCGGCTAAAGCCGCTGGAATGCCGTGACCCTGATGCACTGCCGGAGGAGGGGTGTTCGGTGGGTTCGTAGACGTGCTCGAGGCGCTGGTTACCGGTCACGCTGTAGACTTCAATTGGATGTGCACTGCCGTGGGAAGAGAGAGGAAGTTAGCTGAGCTGCCGCAAGCGCGCTCACACCAACAAACCAGCGATGATGGTGGTGATGGTGATGATGGTGATGATGGTGATGATGGTGATATGGGTATAGCGATTGAGGTAAAACGGCTGAGCACGACCAGTGTGAGGGCAGTGCGCAACAGCGGGGATGTTTCCTGGTGGCGTGAGGTCTCGCAACGGGCAAACACGGCGGTGTGTGTTGCACGTTGGATGGAGCTGGAGTCGATGTGCAACGACGAAAAACAACCAAAGCGGGTGAAAACGGGGAATGTGGAGGAAGGGTCGGCGCAGCAGGACTTACGGCATGAAGCAGTTGCTATTGACCGTGAGCAGCAGATGTATCCTGGTCCAAGCGATTCCAGAGGCGCGGCAGAGAGTGAGGAGGAAAGAAGAGAGAAACGGCACAGCGCAGGGCGAAGAAAAGTGGAAGATTGTATGCGTGCAGGTGCGTGAGAGTGTGTGAGTGTGTGAGTGTGTGAGAGAAGACGGAGGAGAGAGGCGGGCAGGAGGGACGCAGGTGGGTAGGCAGGCAGGCAGGCAGGCAAGAACGGTGGTTTTCTGTGTGCATGTACAGTGAGAGTGCCCAGGTGTTGTGTGTGTGTGAGAGAGGGAGGAGAGAGGGTTGCAGCGAGCGAGGGGAAGAAGAGCGATTGTTGACAATCAAACGCCCACGATCGTGAAATTCGGCGAGGAAAGAGTGTTACCTAGGTAGGTAGGGATGTATTTGCAACAGTCGGGGGTACCGTACGCAGGTGGGCAGTCATCAAATCCACGGTTATTGTTATGCAAAACGACCACAACAACAGTGACAAAAGTGTTTGGGGGAATAAATTAGTACACTGACATGACATCGCTACATACACTGCCCAACCATTCACGAGAAATAATGACCGGGCGTGATCATTGAATGCCTTCATGGCAGTCAACATAGCGACGATGATAAAATAATAACAACATCAACATCAACACAACAGCCTGGCACCCTGGCTCGGCTCTTGGGCGCGCTACACTGCTGGCGGTCGGGTCCCAAATCCCGGCCGGTCGGTGGGGCGGCCGAGCATAAGGAAATTGTCCTGTAGCAATCTCAAGGATAGTACAGTAGTGTATAATAATAACAACAATGTGGCAACAGATCGTGTAGAGGCCCAAGAGAGAAAAGAAAAGGCAGTCATGCAGCAGTTGTACCATTGTTTGTGATGGTCATTCCCACCTGAAGAACGAGGGAGCCGTGGAAGAAAGGAGGGGGAAACGACCTTGGAATAACAATACAGGCCAGATTCCGCTTCTGGGCCGATGGTGGTGGTGGGAAACGTTTGATGTGAGGTCCCTCGGGTCATGTTCTGGACAGCACACAGACACATGGCATCAACGGATGGTATGAACAGTTTGTCCTCGCCAATCGATGTATTACAGCCCTGGAGGTCATGATTCCACTCCGAGATCGAGTGTGACTTCTACAGTGCACCCGGTTCTCCCAAAACACCCCAAAACATTCCATCGTCTTCTTATCACCAGCAGACCGCCAATTCCACCATCCGGTGTACATGCTCTGCTGTACATGCGATCTTTCATGAATGCACAGATGCGTGCATGCAGGAAGCACGACATGTACATATACACACATGGGATGGATTTGTTGCAGCAGGAGGCCAGGCAGATAGACCACACAACGGGCTATACGTCGATGATGCGGTGCGGCTGTCATGGTCCTCATCACAGTAACTGTGTGACGCCAACCATAGCAACGACTCGGCCTCGGCGAACGAATGTGTTGACGGGAGAACTATCTTTCAACACACAAAGTTGGGCTCGATTTCTGCAGAAAGCTTGTATCCACGTCCCATGCACGCCCGGCGATCGACCATGTCGGCGCACCTGTATTCACAGCCCGAGGTGGGAATCACTCCGGTGCGGGAGAGGCAGCCTGGATCGAGCATCTCCATCCAGAAAAGTCAACAGGAATCCTACCGGTGAAGAGGATTCTGGATCGATGCTGCTGTGCTGCATCTTCACATGCGTGTCTGCCTGCGCGCCTGCCTCTGCCTCCGCCTCTGTCCCACTTCGTTGGGCCTCCATTGGGTGCAGTAGCGTCGGAGGCCAGCCCTGCGGGAAAAGCCTCCCTGCTCATCGGGCCTCCAGGGCCCTCCCCACTCGATATTGTCCAGAACATTGCGAAAGAGAGACGAGAGCTTGAAATGTTGAGGCGAACTAAGCCAGATGTTCATAGTCGATGAGGCGCAATGTATATAGCGAGCAGGAGAGTGAATCCGCCGAGGAAGAAAACCTGGGACGCATGCACTCACGACATCAAGATGGATCCCATTGGCGGGGGCTCGCTAGAACTTCCTCCCAATTGCTGACCGTGCTTCTACATATGCACTGTCCGAGACACATGGATCCCTCCCACCAAATCGCGGCGCCAATGATTGCGTCCTCAGCCCAATGCGGACCACCGCACGTGTATGAAGTGACTCACCGATATGACGTACAGTTGGGCTGCATCACGGGAGCCAGTTTCGACGCTGAAGCCCAAAGGCAGCGAGTCCGCAAAGGAGCTTCTCATCGCACCAGGACGCGCAGGAAGGCGCACTGTCATGATGTCGAAGGCGGTCTCGTGTATGCCCAGCCGTGAGGACCCCTTTCATGTGTGTAGCTATGGCTGACATGGATATGCACCGCTATACACGCTGGGATCTTCGACTCAAGGCCGGCAGTGGCACGCTGACGCAGGCACATGCGCCCATCTCATCCTCTGGATGCTCGGATTCTATAAGCATGCCGGCAGTCTGAAAGCAAAGCAATTGAGGCTTAAGTGATGCTGTGTGACACGGTCGAGAGACCTAAACACGACCATTGTATCAGCTGCTTGAGTTGCGGCACACGATTCACGGAGCGACGTGACTCTGCTTCTGGTCCTGCTGATTTCCTCCCGAATCCTTCGTCTTGGTAGTTACTCTGGATTTGTCCGAGAGATACCCGTAGAGGTGGCGATCCGAAAGTCATGTCCAGGCCGACATATTCCATACGAATTAGGACGTTGGGGCCATCGTGCGAATACGCCCATACGCCACGGCGTCAGCATACCATCCTGGAAGCGCAGCATCCTTTGGGCTGCCACATCTTCCGGAAGGTTCGCTCTTGATTCTCCCAGACGACTGGTGCGCACCGCAGTGGTGCCCGACTCGGTGACTTTTGGCATCGGCGCTAGACCAAGTAACGGTCTTGCGATCCAGGTACGACAGCCCTGCCGGGTCATCTTGACCACTCGTCCCTGTAAATTGCCGAGATGGCTTTGAAACAGGCTACGAAGCTCTCAGCAAGCATTGCTCAACCTTCCAGGTGAAGATCCAAGACGTTCATGTCCTCAATTTCTGTGTCTTGTACTTGATCGCTTGGGGATAATCTGTCGCCATCAAACTCGAGATATACTGCTTGTTCTTCCGGAAGCTTGAATGTTTTCTTCGCAGCCTTGGTGATCTTGGAGATAACCGTGTCCTATGAAGCAGCGATCAACATCTTTCCAGTGGCGCCAAAACATCAATGAACTTACCGGCTTAACGAGCACTTTGAAATCATCGTGGCCCCTTGCCCTGATGACAACGCGCACGTATTGTTGGCCAGGCGGCGCATCTTGCGCGGTTTCCGCTGCTGCAGTAGTTGGTTCGTCCTCAGCTACCTCTTGAACGCCTTGTGCTTGAAGCGCCTTCGCCGATTTGAACTTCTTAAAGAGCTCCTCCGTCATGGCTTCAACGTGCACGGAATCCACGCCATCCTGGGTGCGGTCGTCGATCCTCGTCACGCGGCCATGCTCATCCGCCTCCAGACCTAGACTGCGACAAAAGGTGAGATCGTAAAGTCGATGGCCGCGATGAGTCAAGAATACCTTCGCCGAGAACTCCTTCGAGAACTTTTGCTTCGCGCACCATACTTCGCGCACTTCTTGCAGCCGTTGCGAAAGCTTGCGATAGATGATCAACGGAGCAGTGCCTTCTATTGGAGAACTGATGAATATTTTGATTGTCGCATCAGGGAGTATAGGGGCCGGTCGTGCCGCTTGCTCCTGGTCTTTGCTGCCAGCTGCGCGATCAGATCTGTCCGTTTGCTGTGCGTTATGCCTGGCTCTCGCTTTGCGACTCAGCTCCGCCAACTCAGGATCCGAGTCCTCCTCTTCTGCAGGAACCGCGGGTGACCTGGCTTGACGAGGCACTTCTGACACGAACTGCACATCTTCATCGTCTGACAGAGTCACCTGGTTTGCGCGCGTGTGCCTACCCTCTGGTGCTTTGCCTTTCTCTCTAGCGACAAACGATTGTCCGTCCAATGCCGTCGCTGTTGTAGGTGTCGTCGTGTCTGCATCGTCATCGCTGTCCACCGTCTCTTTCGATTCGCTGCGCACTTTCGTCTTCGACGGTGAGACGACTCCAATCATGCCTAAAAGGGCCGCACTATCCTCCGAGTTGATACGCCTCTTTTTCAGCTCGCCTTTGTCGTCGGTCTCTGCCCCCTCGCCTGAACTCGTGCGCTTCGTCTCAGCCTTGCGCTCTGCCTTTTCTGCACTCTTCTCTTGCTGTCGCTTCTCTCGCTCCGATTTCTTTTCCTCTTGAAGCTTCTTTTGTCGTTCCGAGTCTTTCATAATCGACATGAAGGAGCTCGAATGACTAAATAAGCCTGCTCCAGATGTTTCCTGACCATTTCCATCGTCATTATCTTCGTCGCTGGAGTCGTCCGCGGCTGTCACATTCTGTGACCAAGCCGGGCGTTTGAAGAGCGACATTTCTCCGAAATTAGACTTGTATCGCGAGGGAATACTACAACACCATCATTCAAAGCATTGTCAGTGCGTTCGTATCACTGAAACCTTCCAGATGTGTGAGCGTCGCACGAGTCGCTCAGCGGGTGGTCGCGCAGCATCGTCAACTTGCGCAAATACAAGTGGGGCAGGAGCGGGTTGACGCGATATTTTAACACGGCATCACGTGATTACATTCGTCCAAACTTTAGCATCTGTTCACACGCGCTTGCACGTCACTGCTCCATGCCCTGGTGACAATGAATTTGTTACCTGGCGTGCCTGGGCATTCACGTATTAGGTAGGAACGATGGGTTTTCAGTTTGATCGCAGGGGATTTTCTATTGAGAAATATGAAACAAATGACAACTTTTTTCCATCAGTCAATAGGATCTTTTCGGATCACAGTCACTCCTTCAACAGGGCGACGGCATCGGGCTCGCTGCACACGTAAATGGTCTCATGCTTGTCAGTGAACCCATTGAAGCGGGTCGCAGAGCATTTGGTGTAAGCTCCCATATCCTCAAAGTAGAGCCAATCGCCTACGTCGACCGTGTCCTTGGACTGCCACTGCTGCGCAATGCAGTCAATGCCGTCGCAGGTTGGGCCCCAGATGGAGTAGGTGATGGCCTTGCGCGCCAACGCTTGTTCACGACCGTGCGCTTCATCCTCAGCAGAGGTGTAGCCGGAGTCGAGGACATCGTCTCGGGAAAGAGAGTAGCGGTAGCCATCCTGCTTGGCCTGGGTGTTCAGCACCCGCGGGATTGGATGCTGGTGATCAAAGATGATGCTGGAGAAGTTTCCATAAACACCGTCGTTCATGTAGAGCATGTAACTGTTATTGCCACCAGGAGTGACCTTGTCTTCAACAGTACGACGAGCGATCACGTTGCACGCGAGGGTGAAGGCGGAGCTGGTGTAGTACCTTCCTGGTTCAGCAATAATGCGAACATGAGGTGGGAAGTGTTTGTCCACAGTCTCTGCCAGGACTGCGGCCATCTCGTCGAAGGTCTCGGAAACGAAACCTCCACCGCAGTCAAGAGTGTGCATGTTGAAACCAAGCTCAGCACCCTTGTCAAACACGGTGCGAGCGTCGCGCACAGCCTGTCGGAAGGCACCGGGATCGGATGCACCAGAGCCGACATGGAAGGCCACGCCGACAATGTTCAGCTCCAATTGCTTGGCAGTCTTGAGCAAACCTTCGGTCACGTCCATGGCAGCACCGAATTTCTGGCTCAGGCGGCAGAGGGAGGCGGAATCGTCGGTAGAGATCCGCAAGAACAGCTGGGCTGCAGGGAAAAGCTCCTTGATCTTGTACAGCTCATCGACATTGTCAAAGGTCATCTGGCTGACACCTTGCTTGGCGGTGAAGCGCAAGTAGCTTTTGGTCTTGCAAGGCTGGGCGTAGATGATGCGAGACGCATCAATGCCCATGGCCAAAACCTGCTCGATCTCGGTCTTGCTGGCACAGTCAAAACCGGCACCCATCTTAGCCAAGAGCTCAAGAATGCGTGGGTCGGGGTTGCACTTCACGGCGTAGTGCGGCGTGATGCGAGGGAGGTGGGCCTTCCATCGCATGTGCTGGCGGTACACGTCGCCTAAGTCAGCGACGAAAAAGGCATCTTCAGCGCCAGCCTCGCACTCGTCGGTATCAATGGATTGGATATGCTTCTGCAAAGCATTGCCGATCAATTCTCTTGCCAATTTAGCTCCATCGTGGACGCTCTCGACTCCGCTGTCGCTGCCCGAGAGGCTACAATAATCTCTTTTCAGAGACGGGTTTGCAAAATTGCTGTAGAGAGTGTCGGTAACGCAAGACCCCATACCCCTGTTGCGGGCAAAGGTAATCTCGGTGGAGAAGGGTGGTTGATTTGGAGGGGATCCGAAGATGTATTAAGGAGGCTTGAAGGGCACGAAACCCGACCGGATTAGCCCTGGGTGGCGAGGCCCAGAGTCTTCCCCGGACGGAGGAAGAGCTCTAGAGCAGCTCTTATGCGGCAGCTGGGGAGTTGGGCGGTCGAGGAATGGTTGTCCAAACAACTCAAACAGCAGATCTCGAAGCTCTTGAGTGTGGACTGGAGTCGGGTTCGGGTTGACCTTGGCGCGATGAGGTTGGATGTGTGAAGTCTCGGGGAGATGTTGCGCGCTTATTGAAGCCGTGTTGTAAGGCTCGTACTGTGGAGATGGTGAGAACTGTTCGAAACAAGTTGCGCGGTCTTATATGTTGGAGGGTGCGGGGGATTTCGTCGACTTGTCACGAGCAGGTGGTGCATCTCGTCGGAGTGTCGACGTCGACGGAAGGACGGCTCATGTGGTGGGTGTGGAGGAAACGGTCGGTGTGGTTTGTATGCGCCATTTCGACACAAGTGCGATGGGTGAAAATGGCGACAAGGTGAACGGTGGAAGGCTGTACCGTCCGCAGGTACCGAGGATGGCACAATGGGACTTACCACAAGATCGACACTTTTGGGGTCGACGCGAACGCGATGGCGTGGTTGAGTTTAAAAATGACCGAAGATTGCGGAGATCCGGTCTGGTAGAAGCGTCGTGAGGAGGATGTCAAGAGACGAATGTTTCTCAAGGAATGAGAGAAAATTCGAATGTACGAGCGAAGTGATGGAGGTGGGGAGCAAAAGCCAGGCGCCTTGGGGGGCTGTGACAGAGGGTGACGGCCACACACAACGCACGCACGCACGCACGCACGCACGCACGCACCTGGGCACGATTCGTTTCCACACGCAGCGGCGTTGGCCTGTGTTCGCCTTTGTCCACTACGTCAAAATGCCGCACCCACATACCGAGCGTACTGAGCTGTACGGGTCGTTCTGCAGCAAAACGCCTCGATTCTTCACAAATCACAAATCACAAGAGATGACCACTACCACCACCACCTGCAGTACTGTAATAACCGCATTATAATGATAATGACACCACACCAGTATCACGAATATGCTGCGCGTCCACCACGCATGATGAGTGCTACCCAGTGTTTTCTGCTGCACCTTCATGTACTGTACTGTACTGTAGAAGCAACCTTGGGAGTATTCGTCACAGTGGCACGACGAGCAGACCGTACATACGCCGATGTCCGCCCTATGCCGGTGGAGAAGGCATGTGAGGCCTGGTGTCTTTCTTTCTCACACCATTAGCATCGTCATTCCAGGTTACAGTATCATCATCATCAGTGAGGCTTGGTTGGCCCTGGAGCGCTCTTTACTTTTTACTTTTTATTTCTCCTGGCACTCCACGCATGGGTCTGTGACATATTCTCCGCGCAATCCTCCCGCTCGCCTATGAAACAAGCGCATAACCTCAGCGTTTGCATCGTCATTCATCCTGCAAATGCCATAAGAACAACCTCGAATACTGTAACAATACTAGCGGGTCCGCTATGGTGCGCATTCCGCTTTGAGGACAGCGCCACTCATCGCTGTATTCAGGTCCTCATCCTCGGACAGTTTTCAATGCCTCCGTCTTTTGAGACATCTCCTAGCAGTAGCCTGTCACAACGCTTCTGACGCGCGTTGTCCGATGATCCCCCTGACTCGATGAGGTCTACACAGTTCTCTCGATCTTAGTCTTCTACGGTATGGCATCTGGTTCATCGGAACGCTTAATGATCAGTATGGACGGCACTGAACAACCCTTCACTCTAGTGCTGGCGTACTTGTCCTGCGCACGCAACCACAAGCTTCAGTTCCGTCGGTCGACATGCAAGCGCGACTTGCTCGGCCTTCGGTGTGAACAGTTGGCGGCAGCCATTTTTGTGCCATTTCACATGTTTGCGTTGTTATTTCGACAGAGCTCGCCGCTCTCAGCATGGTTGCGCGCCGAGTGAAGAACGTAGAACACCAACACAGAAATGACGAAATGCGTCATTTTCCGTCAACTCGACGGCACTGCCGCAAAGACCGACTAATACGTTGAGTCAAACAACAAAAGACTTTTATTAGTAGCAAATAAACCCCAGAGCTGGTGCGATCCACCGCCGCTCCTATGCTAATGATACAGAGAAATTTCAACTGTGCGCGACATAATTCCCCGGTCGGTCCCAAATATCGCACGGCAGTACTCGTCCGGCAACGGTGATCGTGGTGAAAAAATGCCTCACGGACACATGACGTGCATCGACCAGGGACGACGTGATCACCTCAGCCTCAACAGACAGCAACGTACACTCCGAGAGGAGAGGGGTTATAGTCCTGGAAGAAGTTGACGTCTAAGCCGCCTGCACTCGAGAACGTGTAGCTGATCCTCTGTCCAGCTGGACACTTCTGAGTCAGGACGGAGTAGTTGTTGCCCGGAACGACTCTCTCAATGGATGCCTTTTGGCCATTGGTCGCAGGAACGGAGCTGAAGCTGGTTTGCTCGGTCGCGGGCGCCACCAATCCAGCAATGGCGAGTCCACCTTTGTTGTTGAACGAGTACGACGAGGTCTCGAGGTGCGAAATCTCCGGGAACAAGAACACCAAGGAACAGGTCTTTCCGGCGTAACTTGCAGGAATGTCGAAATTGAAAATGCTGCTCACGGTCGGGCTGATCGTGCCGTTGTAGGAAGTCCCATAAGCTTTGCTGGGATTTGCCGAATCGACCGGCACGATCAAGTGTGGGTACTCGTAAGGACCATTAAGATTAGCTGGACAACTCGATTCCGTAGGCGATGCCGCTGCTTCCGAAGTGCTAGTGGTGGAACTAGTTAAGGTTGCAGTAGTCGGTTGTGGAGAGCAGGAACTTGGGCATGCGGTTACGGTAACCAGTGTAGTGCGGTAGGCAGTCAAGATCTTGCCGTCGTCAACTGCTGGTGACGAAGACGTCGTCACAGGAGTCGGCATCGGTACCGGCGGAACAGATGGGCCGACTCCGGGCGCTGTAGCAAGAGAAATCGTGCTCGATGGTGCAACGCTGTTGGTCCCCGTGGAAGCAGCAACCGTCGTCGCGGTAGCGATAGTGCTGCCGGTAAATGAGGAGGACGGCGAAGCGTTGCTATTCTTGCAGCTCAAATCGTAAAAAGGGGCACTGTTCAGATCCTGGCCGACAATACCAAATGATGGCGAGGGAGTCGAAGGATACGCATCCTGAAGCGTGTACCAGTAGGTCGGGATATTTCCAAGAACGCGGCATGCGACATCCTGCCAGTAGCGAGCAGCATTCTCCGGCGAGGCTACGGCCTGGTTTTCTGTCGGTCCAGATACTGGCCATCCGGTCTCAGTGATCCAGACGGGTTTGCCTTGTGAAGCAGCGACAGTGGCATTGTACGACTCGAAAAGCAGCTCGGCGCCATTCTCAATTCCATTCGCCTGAGTGTTCTGGAAGTATGGATAGCCATCGAAGCCGAGCCAGTCCACAGCATTCACGACAGCAGCATTGGAGCCATTGACCCAAGCGGTCCTGAAGTATTCAAATGTCAGCTCGAGAACATGGCATAAGTCAAAGATCGCTCTTCTTACCATGTGTCTACATGGCCTATGGGCTTGCTCGCCGCAGGCGTACCCGAAATTGCATTTCGGACCTGTTGGATATACTTGACGAGATCGTCGGGGTTGGCACCTGCGCCGCTCTTGTTGATTATGCCAGTAGGGCTGATGCGATACAAATCCTCAGATCCGACCGATATGCCCTCGACAAGCTCGATGAATGCGTTGCCGTACTGCTCAATTGCTTGCTTGAGAGCAATGATCTCATTGTCAAAGTTCGACTGACCGGCACTCGTCCACAAGCCGAGCAGAAGGCCGGTGCGGGTGTTGATAGCAGCTGGGATTGCAGAGATGACGGTGTTGGCAGTACCACCTTGGATCATGGTGTAAAGCCTGGCTGAAGTGAACCCGGACGTGCCCTGCAAGTTCTTCGCACGAGTGAACTCGTTCTGAAAGTCTTGCTGTAGCTTCGGAGATCCATCATTGTTGGTCGACCCATAATTGAAGCCTTGTTGGACAGCAGCGACTGTACCCACAAGGGCAAGGAGGTTTGGAAACAGCATCATCGATCAGCGTGGTATTCTAGGAGTCTCGGCGAACGAAAGCGATTAGGTGGACTAGGATGAGAAGCTCGATGAGGTACAGAGAGTGCAAAGAAGATAAAGAATCAGAAATCGCCAATTTCGAGAGATCAGAGATTTCAAGACACGATATCCATGCCGTCACAGCATTCACGCGAAATGAATGAACATGACAGAAGGTGCGAACGTGCCTTGAGAGCCCTGTGCAGCTACCTCCACAAATTGGCCGTGAGTGTCTCATTGAGGTTGACTACATACCTAGGTAGGTGACCATCGTCGACGATGTGAGACCATGACCAATGAAATCATAAAGCTGTGCTCGTAATCGTCATCCTTGAGGACGCAAGGCTTCCGATGAAGGGCCGCAGGAACCACCTTTCGAGAACTCCGTGTCTTCCGTGTGGTGCAATACTGCAAAAGCGGCGGCATCCCAGAAATACAGAACAACAACATTTCACGTGCCTACATCAACCAGTGAGACACCTCTGGGAAGTGTGGAGCTCTCAAACATTTAGAAGTGCCAGGATGGGGACTCAGCTTCCAAGGTTGAACGAGCATGGCGATACTATACTTCTCCGAAGAGGTAACCTTCGAGACATATTTGCAGATCTCAGCTGCCGAATCGGTCACCACTTGCTGCGTGATCCGGATCGATAAGAAGACCATGCTCGTTATAATGCTTCTCGAATACATATGTACGCACCTTGAAATGTCTAGGTTTTTGGACTTGGCAGTCGTTGCAACAAGCCAGTGTGGCACCGGCCAAGCGTTCGCTGAAGCCGTTTCGTTCGTGGACGGAACTGGTCGCAAGCTCTCGAGGCCGCATAGAATTCTGAAGAGGAATGTCGCACAGTTTATTCGATACTCTGGTAGCAGGAGTCCCATCGTATTGAATAGGCTAGATGTAGCGAAAAGTCGCGTTGCAGTGCATTGAATCTATCAATACTGCGGCTGCACCTGTGTGCCATAGCACAAACAGATCTGGAACATCGACGTGGAGACCTCGAGGGCTTTCAGAAGGCGGCTCTGAGGCCCAGAGCACCCGCCCGCGCTAAACGATCATTGCAATTGCAATTCACGTGTGGTCGTGTAAATGGTCTATCCAAGTGTCCAGGGTACTAGTTAGTTTGAAGACTCCAATGGTGCAAGAGAAGACTGGAGGTGCGCACTTGGGCACGCTGGAAGCCGCCCGCCAAGGTCAACTCGGAAGCATCCGCCACATCAGCGCTCAAAGTCATCGGGAGATGATTCGAAACCTTGGAACATTTTTGACTCTAGCCCTGGAGGGCTTGCAAAAATTTGTTTTACTGACAAGATCTTGCCGCGTGGCCATCGTTTGCGTGCTCTCTGTGGTGCTGCTACCATGCGATGTTGATCATTGGCATCTCGTGATTGTATTGACATCTTAACTTGCTCGCATTGGTGCAAGCATGTCAAACCACGCACGGTCTGATATGTCGAGCTTCGTGGACTATTACGAGCTGCTTGGTCTTGGTGATCGACGAAACGGTGACGACAACGTTGGCACTGACGAGCTAAAACGAGGTTACAAGCGTGCGCTGTTGTCTCATCATCCCGACAAGCAATCCAGGTCATCCTCGACATCCTCCATCACTGTCGATACGATCACGATGGCATATCAGACCTTGTCCGACCCGCAAAGACGTGCTGAATATGATCGCCAGCTGCAAAGTCGAAGAGCCATTGAATTTGACAAATCACATGGCGCCGAGACGTGCACAGGCTTAGATGTCATCGACCTTGGCGATCTCAGTTGCGACGAAGACAGTGGCAACTGGACCAAAGATTGCCGTTGTGGTAGTCAGCCGGCATTCGTCCTTACCGAGCTCGAGTTGGAGGCGAATAGTCATTTGGGAGAGGTCATCGTGGGCTGCAAGGGCTGTAGCTTATGGCTAAAGATACTTTATAGCGTCGAAGAATGAACACAATCTTCAGCCGTCCATCAGGGACGTACTTGGACACGACAGCGATTCTGGCGGTAGTGGAGACGGATCACGCAACCGATACTGCTGTTTAAGATCTATTTCCTTGAGCTACCTTGAGAGCCCCAACTTGAGGGGGGATCAGATACCCCAATCCTAACTAGATGGCATAAAGTCCGTCGAGCGAAGTTCAGGCTTGCCTGCGGCAGAAGAATGTGCAGGCTCAGACGAAACTCTCCAATCACCATGGCTCCTTTCCAGACTCACTCACAACGCACGCGTGCACCTCCTCCTTACTCCCCAACAATGCTTTGACCAGCATTTTTGCTCCATCTCGCGGGTCTTTCTTGCCGGCGCCACCATTCAGGTTCGTGGCACAAAAGCCAGGGGCTGGTGCGCTTACAACAAAGCCTTCCTTCTCCAGCTCATGCACGTAATAGAGCATCACCATGTTGAGTGCAGCTTTTGTCGTGCGATAGAGCGGGAACTTACTCATCGGCTGACTGCCGTCTGCCGCCTTCTGTAGCGAACTCAGGCCAGTCGAAACAAAAGCTAGCCGTTTGCTCTCGCCCTTTTTGAGAAGTGGCAGGAAAGCCTCGGTCACGGCAGCAGCGCCAAACACATTGGTGTCGAATTGTTGATGATATGCCTCGCGCAAAGTCTGTTCTGCTGTCGCAGACTGATTGCCGGAAATTCCAGCATTATTCAGCAGCATGTCCAGCTTTCCAAAACGCCTTTGCACCTCTGCAGCAGCCGCCGAAATCGACTCGTCGTCAGTCACATCAATTTGCAAGACTTCGAGATCTTCTTTGCTGACTGCATACACCGGGTCTCTCAGTAGTCCATCAATAGCGGCATGTGCCTTCTCGACACTGCGGCTGCCAAGGAGAACATGGAACTGCCCCGTGGATGCAAGCTGTTGCGCAGCATAGTAGCCGAGTCCTTGGTTGGCACCAGTGATCAGAATCACTGGTTTGCTGACGGCCATTGTACTCAACGATCGATGTAATGAGTGTGTGAGACTAGGAAGTTACATGAGCGGCGACGGTAATTGTAATATGAACCATCATCAGCTGGAGGTTGCCTTGCGGCCGAGCGCAGACGGAAAGGACAGTACGGATAAGCTCTCTTGCCTGACCGATTGGGCAACATTCAGTGTTGGTAGCTCACGCAATGCATCGATAGCGGATGTTCGCTCTGATAAAGCTCCATAACTTTTCCCGTGTGAAGCAGGAGCCAGCATGGCATATTTTCTTTGATAATTGTATGTGAGCACCTGATTCTAATTATTTCCAATTAACTCACTATTGGCATGCGCAAGAATGCCTGATTGCGAAGCTACAGGAGCCTCTGTCGTGTTCGTGGACAAGCATTATGAACATCACCCACAGATCTGGCAGAGGGAGGCACAGGAGGTTTCTGTGGAGCCAGCCCTCGCCACAACCGGCAAGATGACGTACTACGGCGCGCACTGTCAAACCACATAGGAACGGAAGACGAATCTGGTGAGGTGACTATAGCATGCTGTATCCTTGACTTTGCCACGACGGAAAGTGCCTGTTCACAGTATAGTGCCCCGTACGTTCGACACCTGTCTAGCACGTTGCACAGTAGTGCCGGCATTCTGGTCAAGCCGCATTACGCGTGCGTATGCAACACACCTGGGCACTCACCACCTTCACATCTCTCGTGACATCACCCTCAATCGCATCCTTCCTTGCCTAATATGACAAGCATGCAGGCAGGCGTAGCTGGCGGCGAGAACTCGGCGCAAGAATCCAGTAGTATGACTCGAAGATTCCCAGACTATTCTTACAGCAGAGATCCGGAATTGCTGCAGCTTGCCAAACAGGTGGTAAGCTTCTACACGCCGTGATACACTTCGCAAGAAATTCGCTGACAGGCTCTGCTCGTGATGACAGCGCGATGATCTCGACGACGTTGATAATTGGGGTCGCCTTGTAGACGCTGCGCAGGCACAAGAAGGCGGACTCAACCGTAATTCCAATCCGCAGGCAATATCGTCCACGAGAGAAACGTTTGATTTTCTACTCGCGCGGTTTCCTCTATTCTTCGGTTTCTGGAAAAAGTATGCTGACCTTGAATTCACTATCGGTGGACCCGAGGCAGCAGAAATGGTGAGCAATCCTGCGCTGCGTCACATAAGCCAGACTTTGCTAATGACTTAATAGATCTATGAGCGCGGAGTGGCATCTGTAGGCACATCTGTTGATCTCTGGACAAATTACTGCGCCTTCAAAGTTGAGACCAGTCATGAGCCAGAAATCATTCGAGTGTAAGTTGTGAATGTTCCCAGCCCGGTTCTCGATCCCTTTCATTCTTTACCGTTCAGCATTTGGACTCTTCCAATAAGTTTGCGCCTCAAACCACTAATTTGATGCACATCTGTGCTATTCGCTTGGTGAGACTTCCATCCCCAAGAGATGAACCGCTGATGCCTTCAAACTCTCACATTGACATGATGGGCACAGTATGCGGTGCCCTTGATGAAAGCTACGTCGTAACAGACTTGGATAGCCGCAATGCCGGCATTTGACGCTGCTGCGAATGTTGAACATGATGATCGGACTCAGCGCTGTGCAGTTGGTTTCACACAAGATGTTCGCCACCCAAACAATCCCCCTTTTCCCTCCATCCCGAGCCCATGAGACGCCTGGCTAATAGACTGATACTCTAGACTATTTGAGCGTGCAGTCGAATGCGCTGGACTCGATTTCTTAGCACACCCTCTGTGGGACAAATATCTCGAATATGAAGAGCGTCTCGAAGCTCCGGAGCGTGTCTTTGCCATTCTCGATCGCATCATTCACATACCACTGCATCAGTACGCGCGCTACTTTGAAAAGTACTGCTTGGTTGCGCAACGACGACCTGTTGAAGAACTCGGCCCGGATGCAGCAATCGAGGGCATCAAGGCAAGCGTCGCCAGGGAAAATGCTCAGAGGGCCATCAAACCAGCAGACCTCGAGCGTGAAGTGCGAACTCGTTGCGGCGTTCTGCATCGACAGATCTTTGAGCGGACACAAGCAGAAACGACGAAGCGTTGGGTGTTTGAGCAAGAGATCCGACGACCTTACTTCCACGTGAGCGACCTGGACGAGCCACAATTACAGAACTGGCGCAAGTATTTGGATTTCGAAGAGTCAGAATGTCAACACGCCCGTATAAGATTCTTGTACGAGCGTTGTTTGGTCACTACTGCCATGTACGAGGAATTCTGGCTTCGATACGCTCGGTGGATTCTGGGCCAATCTGTGATCGAAAAGTACATTCGGTCAGAAGAAGTCCGATACGTATATCGGCGAGCATGCTGCTACTTTGTCCCTGTTAGCAGTCCAGCCGTGCGACTCAACTACGCCAGATTTGAAGAGTCTATCGGCAACCCCGAGTCGGCGATTGACATATTGGAGGATGTTCTCAGAGTCATGCCTGGAAATGTCGAGACTACCCTCGCGATCGTGAACACCCACCGACGGTCCTCGGGAGTGGACACGGCAATCGAGATGCTTTCACGCCATATTTCTGAGACCACAGATGTCCACGTCCGGTCTGCTTTGATAGTGGAGAAGACCCGACTTGTGTGGCGGGTCAAGGGCGATGCTGTCCGTGCGCGCGCTATTTTCCAAGATCACCACAGCCAAGCATTAGACAGCCGCAAGTTCTGGATCGGGTGGTTCGACTTTGAGACCGCGCAGCCCACATCAGAGGCGGACGAGGCGTCCAATTTTGAGCGCATCAAGCACGTCTATGAGTTGTCGCGACGAGTGGCTCAGCTACCTGCAGAAGTGGGCCAGGAGTTGTCGTCCATGTATTTCCAGTATCTGGAGGAACGTGGCGGCAAGAATGCCATGGAGGAATTCATCGAGCTCGACAGGGTGGTCAACGGCCCGGTCGGCGCAAATCGTCAGGCTGAAAACAATATCCTGCTGGATGGTAAGAGTGCAACTCAGCATGCCGTTGCTGGTGTCAATGGAACCTCCGGAGGAGCAAAAGTCGCCGAGTCTGGCATTCCGAGAACTGCAAACCCGGTCTCTGTGCCGATTGGCGGATATGAGATGAACGGCTCGTAAGCTAGATGGGACAACAAACCACCTGCGCCGTTCAGATCAAGAAATGCGACATATCGACTTCGCACTTTGCTTTTTGTATGATAGATCTCCCGCGGCGTGACAAAGCCTGCCGCTGCTGTACAATTTTCCGTGTCATATAGGTATTATACAATGCATTACTATCGATGCGTCGAGGCCTGGGAAATAACACAATCGGCCTCCGCCCGTCAACCAAACCAGCCCTTGCCTTCCCGTCGTTTCTGCTCCTTCATCTCATCCATCTAGAGCAAGGCCGTGTCAGTCTCACCATACCTTGTTAACACCATTCGATACACTGGCAATCTCACCCATTGCTTCTTGCATGCTTTGTATGCGCTGGGGGAGGAAACGTTAGCCTCTAAACGCGACAGAACTTTTGTCCCGATTTATGACCATGGCAGCGGACTCACTCGAAATAATCCTGGCACATGAGACGATCACCGCCGTTCCGGCGCAGACATTTGAGACTCCGATTGGCCGCATCCTGGCAAGGATCGAAATATTCGCTGTATCGTTTGCTGCGGCAAAGGTTGTCAACTCTCATGGTGTGGTGGCGGACGAATCATCGTGGGTTCTTGACCTTACCTTGTGAACTGGGCGGAGCTTTTGTCCCATTCGGTCGGTTCCTTTTCGTTGTCGTTGTTGCCGTCCGCCATGATGGCTGATTCAATTTTGAAAGTGAATGGGCTGGTACGATCCGTATAGATGGTTGGAGCGCCGCTGCTATGTCATGGCGGTCATGATGTCCTTGGATTTGGCCCATGCGCTGAGTTCGACTTTTACCCAAACCCTAAATCGACCCTATCGAGTTGCATCACATTGACGGGCACAAACACATACTGACTGTGTGACCTAGGGTCGGAGGTCACTTTCTTCTCCGACAAATTATGGGTGAATCGTGCGAGCGGAGTCATCATGGTAAACATTCGTATGAGCTTAACAGCTGTGGCAATCTGGCGAATGCCATATGTATCTTTCTCTCAAATCCAAGTGGGAATGTCAGGCGGACTGGACGATCGACGACAGCGACCAAGAGAATTTGACAACGGGATGTGAGAATGGTCCCGAGGCGCCACGATACACAGGAGTCAGAGTGTGTTCGTGAGAGTTGTAATAATACGGAAGGTATATGATAGCTATACTACGGCGGGAATCGAACAATAACCCAGGAAATTCAAATGCAAGACAAGAGGACACCCAAATGCGCCGGGCCGCTATGCAACATCAAGAAGCGAACAATGCGGCAGCCGTTATATGCTGTCGATACCACCCCTCTGCCCATCACGTCGATCATGTGCGATCCAAGTTGTTCAAACCAGCGACCTCAATGCCGACATTGATGATGGTACTGATGGTCCACAACGCGATCAGGCACCAGCCAATTCGTTTGCCAAACTGGTACCGGTTCAACGGAACGGCAATCATGAGCCCAACCAGCGTCAGTAGAAGCGTGAAGCCGGAAATGATCAAGGTACGCTCCACTTCGATGTGGAATGTCTTGAACTTGAGGTGCTTGTCGGGGTGTTTCTCGTGTCGGCGCTCGGCGCCAGAAATGAGAATATAAGAGCCCGAGAGGCCGATGCCAAGTAGGATGTTGAGCAACGGGCCACCGAAACATGCCGATAGCGCCATGACGGGACGTCCCAGCTGGGCTAGGGTCACGTTCGCAACCAGGTCACCGAGCGAGTTTCCGACGGCAAATATGGTCAGACCCATTATGGCATGAGACATATTGCAAATCACTGCTAGAGCCTTGAGACTGTCAACGACTTGGCTGGCGACGGTAGAGATCCAGGCGACACTGACAACAAAGCCGGCGTTGCTGAGGATAATATGGTACGCCTTAGGCTTGTGTGTCGGTGTGGTGGTGAGGAGCAGTGGAATCAACAGCGCCAAGCTGACGAGGAGAGAGATGAGACTGGGCCTGATCAGCCAGCGCAGTGGCAGCTCCGATGGAGCTTGTAGGTATATGGCGACAAGAATGAATTGTGGAGCCAGGAAGAGCTGCACTATCAGAAGCCAGCGATTCCAGACACGAGGGCTTTCATGGTCCTCGTAGTGAGGAGGTGGCAGTCTTGTTTCGGGGGTTGGGTGCTGCGAATCAGTGACCATAGCACCCAAGACAGCTACGGAGGGGCGTAATTCCCCTTGCGTTGAATCTAGGCGTGAGTTCGTAATATCTGGGCGGCTGTTGTCTTCAACCTCTATTAGAGGTTTCGTTGTGTCGCTCTTTGTAGGATGGCCAGCTGACGAAGGAATGTGCGGGTTCGCTTCTGCAGATGGCTTGCCTGACCAATGAACAGATCCACCAAGAAGTGGCGCGTCGTCCTTCTCCGTCATGTCATCCACAGGCACCACTGGTAGGGTCAGAGTCAACAGGAGCACGCTCGGCAAGGCGGAAACACCGATGAGTTTGCCCCAGATTGAGCGATCGTGCCACCGAGCGACGGTCGGGAAGAGAGTATGCAAGATGATATTAGGAGGGGGTAGCACGCTGTAAGGCCACCATTTGAGGCGTTTCTCGCTTGCCTCACATGGCCTAGCCTGGTAGTCCGAAAAGTAGTCCGGGGAACTGACTGGCCCCAGTGGACTGGCAATGTGTATACTAGGAGGTCTTGTGCTCATAGGTGACCTCGAGCCTCCGGATATTGACGACGTCGGAGAATCTCTGTAGCTTGGAAAAGGGTCTCTCGCATCTGTATCGTCATTCTCGTCGGGCACTACGATAATAGGCACTTCAAGGCTACGGTGTGCTGATGATGTGCGGCGATGTCCAAGATGATGCCCGTGCCGCTGGCCTGGGTTCTCTTGCTCCGTATGCATTTGTGGAATGATAGGCTGTAGTAATGATGTATGATTTATCGGGGTCATAGGACCAGGACTTTCGGTGAGTGCGATTGGTAGATGTTCTCTGGGAGTAGCGGACTCAACATTCAACGTCAAGGAAATCGGCCGGTCCAAGACGCTCTCGGAACCGTCGTGTAGCGAAGATGTAGAGGCAAGTGCAAAGTCATCCTCGCTTGCCTGATATTCGCGCTGTCGGTCTTGCACTTGGCCTGGACTGTATCTCTGTAAATCTGCATCGATGTGTAATCCCGCAGCATCGTTGGCGGAGACAGCCCGCATTCTTCCCCTGGGACCGACGTCGGGCACGCTCAAAGTTGCAGCATGGCCTCGCGGGATTCGAGGATGGTGATCCGGATTTGATCGTACGCTCGACTGTGATCTCGATGCAGGGTCAGATGCCGTCGATAGCTGATCCACGTCCGTAAGCACATATGTAGGATCATCAGAGAACCGTCTGGAATGCATCGCGATGGTCTGGTGGTTCTGTGCTCTTTTCAGAGATTTCAGGACCGACTGGAACTCCAGAGCTCCAACAAGTGAAGGTCTTATGGGTGTCGCGGTACTGCTGCGAGTCCGCCGCGTCGGTCGCTTGAGACGCATCTCGTGAGCCACGGTACTCATCTTGAGCCGGTCACGCGCCTCCTCGGCCTCGTCTTCCTCTACCTGCGCAGGATCAGAACCTCTTTCAAGAGCGGACCAATCTTCAATAGAATTGAGGCCGAAGCTTTGATGACGCGAGATTCCGCGCTCGCTCGGCTCATCATGATACGGCTCTTGGGCCTCGGGGTCGTCATCGTCTTCAGGCAAGATGAAGTGACCTCGAGCAGCGTGTTCCTTTGCCTTGCGCGCCTTCTTTCGAGCCTTCCACGAGCCCATAACCAGGACGACAATGACGTAAAAGATGTAGAAGCCAACCATGCTGATGCATTCCCATAAATGGAGTTTCCCATCCCATAAGAAGTACAGGCTGAACATGGCGGCAAGGGTGAAGAAGCCGGTGTCGCGGAGGAAATCGCTTCGCGGCATCTGAAAAGTCTGGATCAAAGCCATGGAGCCTGCAACCACGGCCGTGATGAAACCGGCAGCCCCGAACAGTTCGCCAACCGCCAGGGAGCCGCTGTTGGCGTTCATGGCAGCGAAGGTGGAGAAGACATCAGGGCTACCGTTCCCGAAAGCAACAAACGTCACACCCGCGACGTTTTCGCTCAGACCGAGGATGGCTGAAATAGTTTCCAGGTTTTCGCAAAAGAAGTCACTAGCAGCTATGCCAATGGTTGAGAAGAGCAGACCCAGCCATGTCATCAGTATGATGAAGGGGACCGGTTTCACATGAGCGAAGCGGCAGTAGTAGAGCTCGAGCCAGACAGAGAAAGCGCCTTCGTCTGTCGGACAATGTCGACGAATGAAGGCACATTGCTCGTCGACCGCGATGGTGTTGACTCGGCGGCAAACATCGTCGCTGTCTCGAATGCGTACAAGGTCCTCGCGCGAAAGACTTTCCAGCGAGCGGACATGGAGTGAGGAACCGGAATAATTGTGCTCTTGGTATGGAAGGGAGAAATGGGATCGGATGGCGAAACCAGCAAATATGATTCCAAGAGCCAGGGTGACGTAGAATGCCCGAGCAGCGCGATATCTGGGAAGTTTACCGGCAGGTTTGCGTCGCACTTCGACGTCGCTCATCGATCTTGTCGCGCGTAGACGAGGGGTTTGGTGCATGGTGAAATCCATCACGGAGATGTCGCGCGAGCTTGCGGAGAGAGTGCGTCAAGATTCACACCAGCGTCCAAACGCATCTTTCCGTACGAAAACCGCCGGATATGGTTTGTAGGAATATGCGCCGAGCCTTAAAACGGTTAAACCTGGAGATTGCAAAGACAGAGATGCACAGCAACGTGAAGTGTTTTGTAGATCGTGTGTATACTGCACGGCTTGTGCAATTGTGCAAATGATGTCGTTCAAGAGTGGCGGCGCTGCACAGCCACAAAGAATGAAACGCTGCTCCTCGGATAGTCGTGTGAGTTCTGAAGATCGGGATCGGGGGCCCAAAGGTACTAGGTAGCGAAGACTTGGTCTTGGATATAATAAGGAGAGACGTGGGCGCCTGGGCAGTTGAGTTGTGGCGACACAGCAGAGTCCAGGGCGGTGGTTTGAAGGTCACCTCACCTCGTGCATATCACCACCTGCAGGTATATACCACTTACAGTACTGTAGCGTCACAAAGAAAGAAGAAAGAAATACTTGGAAAGCCTGCAAAGCCACCTGAACACACACCTGAACACCTTTGGACGACTGAGATGAACGGGGGCACGACTTGCCGGGCGCGCCCACACCCACACCCACACACCTGGCACCCTATACCTACCTAATGACCTGTCACTGTCGTCAGCTCTGCCCACGCCAAGCAAGCGAGCAAGCGAGCAAGCGGTGGAGATGAAATCATACTCGAAATCATACTCGAAATCATATCTACCTGGGTAGGTAGGAGCTGTACATACTTATTAGGTAGGCGGATATTCTCACGGTATCATCAACATCTTGCTTCACAGCACACGGCACGTTCATTAACCTGCACATCATGAATAATGTCACGTGTCCGCGATGATTTATTTCCTATGTATCATCCGTTGAAGCGACAACCTCGGGAACCTGTATGTATATCGTGGAAGTCAAGAGATCTTATATACCGGCCTGGATTTCCCTGGGATAGACACACTGTCTCGCAGTCATCCACTCCATCCACAGTGCACGACAGTACGGCAGCACATACATGCATTCCAGCCATGGGACTACTACTGCATAGATAGTGTTCCTTTCATGCCTGTGCATCGTGAGAGACGACTTTTGTCGTGATGGGGAAAAGTGCATCGCTGGAACGGAGGCGAAACGTTGTGCTGTGCAGGTGATCCGCGCGTGCTCTTCCATGTCCCATGGTTCGTCCACCCGAGGCGAGCCGATCTGATCTGCCTCCCTTTTCAGGTTCCAAATTGATTGTCTCTGCAGCGCGTCGCGTGTTGTCTTGCCGTGCTTGCCCCTCCAGCTCCGCTCCAGGGCTTATTAATCACTCATCACAAACAGACACGCACCGGTGGACGTCGCCGCCGGCTGCAGCCGCATGATACAGCATACAGCCTGCCCAGGTGGAGTAGCGCGCGCCACGCGCTAGCGCTGTTTATCACCCTCGCCGCTTCTGGTAACCATTCACAAACAACCTTGGAACCTTGAAACCCTGTGGAACGCAGGCGTCAGCGAGCCAGCATCTCCACCAAGTGTCACGCACCACCCATGCATATGTGATAAGCCCAGCAGTGCTTTCACTCTCCGAACATGCCTCGTCAACGGCTCTCCATGGCGAACGCCTTCGCGTCGCCGGTCAAGGCCATGTCTTTCCCCCTCAATGATGATGCGCAGGAGAAGGCCACACGGTTGCAGAATCGACAAGCCTCTCATGTACGCAAGATGGATGAGCTCAAAGCCGCTGTGTCCACGCCGAAGCGGAAGCGCAAATCGCTCGGACACGGTCTGGATCCCTCCGCCCCGAACCAGGACGACGACGACCTGTATGCGACCACACGAGGCGACCACGTCACACCCATGAAGCGGGTACCTATACTCGCAAACTTCGAAGAATGGATGAAGATGGCGACGGACAACAAAATCAACGCTGCCAACAGCTGGAATTTCGCCCTCATCGACTATTTCCACGACTTGAGCCTGTTGAAAGAGGGAGACGGCGTGAATTTCCAAAAGGCCAGCTGCACGCTAGATGGGTGCGTGAAGATCTACACTAGTCGCGTGGATAGTGTGGCGACGGAAACAGGCAAGCTTCTGAGCGGTCTGGCCGAGAATGTCGCGAAAAAGCGCAAAGGTGCGGCTGATGGAGAGGATGAGGATGGTGAGGAGGGTGACGAGGAAGAGGTCGGAGAGGATGGCGTAGTGAAAAAGAAAGGCCGCAAGAAGACTCAGCGATCGGCAGAATCGACGCTTGTCAACTCCTTCGACCAATTGAGACTGAAGAAGATGGAGCTGGAGTTTTCTGTAGATCCATTGTTCAAAAAGGCCTCGGCAGATTTCGATGAAGGCGGCGCCAAGGGGCTTCTGCTCAATCATTTGTCGATTGACAACACTGGACGCATCGTGTTCGACAGCAGCGATGACGTAGAGGACGAACAGAACGGCGAGATGAGACGGGACAGCATGGAGCCAGAAGAGCCACCAGCCAGCAAAGACGTGCTTCCGGCAGAGATCGACGACAGACCAGTTGACATTGCTGGGTTACAGGCCCGTTTTTTCCAGGATCTCAGTGTACTCGACGAGCAAGACATCTGCCCTTCATTAAAGACATTCGAATTAGGCAACGGCGATGGATCTCTCGACTTGCCATTTCTCAAGGCTCCCGAGAATTGGCGTGATGATAATCAGGATTCCAACAAATCTGGGGCTGATATGGATCAAAGCGGTATTAACCTGAACGATGATCCAGCTGCATTTGGCATTGACGACAATGACGACGATGTGGCAGGTCTGGGCGGGTTCGACATGCCGGCAGACATTGGCTTTGGTGAGGGTGGTGAGGCATGGGCGCGAGATGCCGCCCTCATCCCACAAATGCGGGTCTACGACACTGGCGCACAAGCTGATGGTAATCAAGAGGAAGGCATGGGCGAGGTTGGCGCATTCGACACCAACGCACCTGCATACGGCGTGACCCTTCAGCATCGACCCGAGAGCGACCAAGACAATATCCTGAACTACTTCGATTCGGCGCTTGCAAAGAATTGGGCAGGACCGGAGCACTGGAAAATCGCACGAGTCAAAGAAGCCAACCGCGCATCAGCCGCGCCAGCACGAACGAAAAAGGAGAAAGAACCGTTCGAGATTGACTTCACAGCGCCCATGACAGGAGAGCTTGCCAGTCTTTTATATACTCGAGCGAAGGACAACACGGCTATCTCCATGCCAAAGAAAGAGCGCAGAAGCGCTACAAGACATCTTCTACCCGACGATAAACATTTCAACAGCAAGGACCTCCTCAAGCTCTTTTTGAAACCTAAAGCGAGGCTTGGTGCGCGGTTCAGTCAACAGCAATCCTCGCAGGTGCCCGTCCTTAAAGCACATGAAGATGTAGACGAAGCATACTGGGCAAAGCACGGAGCTGAGCATGATGGTCAAAATCAAGACGCTAAGGGCGACTACGATGCCGACTTCTTCCAGGACGACGGATTGCCCATGCTCGGAGCGTTGGAAGATGACGACGATATGGAATTCGCCGATGCCAGAGAGACATTCCTTCCTGCCAACGCTGGTGAGATTGATGCTGCAGCCGTTGCCGCACAGGGCGACGGTGAGAACGACGGTTTCGCTGCCAATCTTGTTGCGCAATCACGAAGGGTTCGACCAGAGTACGTACAGTACGCTCGTGTTGCGAAGAAGGTGGATGTTCGACGACTCAAGGAGGAAATGTGGAGAGGGTGCGGCTTTGACAAGGTATGTTCTTATTTCTTCCCTCCCCCAGATTTACAACACATGTCGTTGGCGCATCTCAGACTGCGCTTTGCGCATGTCCGTGGAGGCAGCGGATGAAGGGACATAAGCAGCGGGATTCCTTGCTCGAGCACATACGGCCACAGGCAATTGAGAACAAGGGATCCCGTCCGCTCTCCCATATTTAAGCAATTGACCGCGAGATTAGTACTACGGTGGGTGACCACGTGGGAATCCCTCGTGCTGTATGTTTTGCATTTTTGCTGGGCGTGTTGCGAGAGCGAGGGGCATGCTAGCCCTCGACTTCCGAGTCTAGCTGCCGAACCGACTTGACGCTGACTGTCGACAGGTCTTACAAACGCAAGCCCCTGCCCGTGCGCCCATCCCGACCCTGGCCGCCGACGAGTCTGCGGAATTACGTTTCACCGATATCATGAACAACCTGCACCATGTCTATCCGCAACAGCAGCTCTCGGACATTTCCACCTCGTACGGTTTCATTTGCCTACTGCATCTCGCCAACGAGAAAGGCCTTGTGATCGAGAACGTCGACGGCTGGACCGATTTACGAGTTCGGAAAGACCATGATGCGATCATCGCCGAGGGCGATTTATGATGATGACCTTCTACACGTTCTTTGGATAGACATTCGATCCTTAATTCAAAACGCTTACTATTGCATGATTCCACAATCGCGGTATCTACATGGATATTGTCTCGAAGATTCGAATATCGTCTCTATTTCCGTGAAACGGAACCCCGCCAAGATCGTTTGAATTGAATCATGTCCGAGTCGAGCCTGCATATTGATCGGGCCGGTCAACGATACTCAATGGTCATTTCGCAGGTGGTGTCGTATTCAGTCTCGTGGCAAGCTCTGAGATCATCTTCGTATCTGCCCTGCCGTTTCGCGCACTATTCTTGCAAACCAAATGATCTTGCGAGATACACATGTATCTCCCGATGTACCCTCGAACCCCGTGCCGTAGTGTTATATTCCTTCTCTGCGCTGTCTCTTGCTTTCGCTTCCACGAAGTGACGACTGCAGGAGACTGAGCTTCAGCACGCCTCACCGGATTTTCCCAGGGTTGTTTAGACATTGGCGGCAATCGGTCCTTTCCACCTCTGATCATACACAAATCGTTGGCAGCGAAAGACTAGCGCTCTGGCAGACGATGTCTAATCGAACACTCTTCAGTCATTGCAAATAACAGGAAGTATGTTCATCTCTTAAACGAGCCAATATGAGCGATGCACTGTATCCCTTCGCAACGACAAATGATGTGACGAGATGCTGCAGAACCAATGACAATGGTCGACGAACTCGCTTCACAGGAGCATTTATGGCCCTCGCCACATTCCGTTAATTTACAAGATGCTCGAGAGACATACTGTACATATCGTCATCCTGTCACAGTTGCATTATGCCACGACACGGAAATTTCTTGCCAAACGCAACCCAATCTGATCGATTTCATGGAGGCCGATCTTGTACGTGCGTTTCGCTGCTCTGCTGGGCGAGGGATGATGCGGCGAGACTTTGGCAACAAGCCGGTGCAATGTGCTAACGGAGGAATTGCTCGATTGATAAAAATTCCGATAGCATGGTTATACAGAGGTAGGCCTCGGCCAAACAAACATTTCTCTCATGTATTAAGATTGCTCGCGACTTTAGTATCCCGGCGCGCGGGTGATAGCGGACGCTAAAATGTCTCACCCGTCGCGGGCTGCGCTCTTCTTGAGGCCTTGCTATTGCAATCGCTGACATTCATCGAGCCGTTCGCAGCATCCAGCGGTGGACAAGAGGTGACGACCAAGCCGATTGGGAAAAGGCTTCGAGGTTGGTGAATCACATCCAAGACTGCTTATCAAGATGAGTCGCTGGAAGCGGCAATGCAAGGACGCGAATGTTGGATATGCCGTCGTTCAGCCGGTCATCGAAAAGGCGCTGCCAAAGGAACGACAGGTCCTAAAGGATTCTAGGATGCCGGTGGGCGCATACAGCGGCATCAGACCGCTGATGCGAGGTCGGAGGATCTAGTGTTAGCCCATGTACCGCGCCTCCGAGTTGCCCACGCTATTGACGCTACTCCCGCCGGCGTGGACTTGGCAATCAATCATCAGCCTACAGAACGAGACGGGAATCGTTGATGACATTGGCTTCTACGTTGCAAGCGCCTTCTCAAGGCTTCACCTTCTGAACCATCCGAACATTCAGCCCCCATTTGTGGTCGAAGCTTTACCTTTGCTAATCATCTTTAGACCTGGGCGGACCTTTGCATCGTCGCCTCGAGTGAAACGCCAAGTCGTTCTTGCGCGTAAATGAGGCGTCGCAGGTTTCACACCAGACTCGCGAGCAGCGTCGCTCGTCAATGACGAAGGACATTCTCGCGATTCTACAGGGCTAAGTTCGACGACTGGTGTTATGAGAAGAGGTTGCAGGGTAATGGATCGTCTATTTCCAACATCCGAAGACCAATCTGTAGGGCTTGGGCATATTTCATTGATAGACGTTTCACGGCATAGATGTGGATCATTGCCGCCATCGGTCCGCACCCAGGACCGGGTGACCACTCTGAAGTCCTTCGGCGTGCTTCCTGTTCTGCATATCGCGTCCCGGCGCCGGCTGCTTACAAGAAAAGCATGCTTGCAAGCACCAATGATGTTAACGCCACCATCAATTTCAGGTTGCTGGCAAGATTGGGCGCAGCATTGTGATCACCTGCTCGGCTTTCGCCTCGAATGATGCCAGCGCGATTGCAGAGCAGATTGAAAGAGTTGCTCTTCAAGCCGAGGATGTGTACATTGCTGACCAGTGGATCAAAAGCGGTGCGGTTGCCCGCTGCAAATGGGACGCTGAGAGAATAAGCATAGGGTTGTCCCTTGAGGGGCGATGTTTGATTGCCGGGACTGCTTGTATTCGAGGTAGACCTCATGTAGTCACCGAAACCTGCAAATCAAAGGAGTTAGCATCGATTACATGTGTCATCGGGCTGATCTCGTGTGCGACCTACGCGCATAGTTGAAGCCGTAGCCGCCTCCCAAGGCAACGCCAAAAGAGCTGGCACATTGTTCTTGTATCAAAGTAGTGGGAATGCTGAAACCCTTGCAATCGCCATTAACACTTCCTACCAGGGTTGTAAGGGCTTTCACGCATTCAGCACCAAGCATGCTGGTACAATCCGAGCTGGAGTCATCGAACTTGTCCGTTACATTTGTCGGAAACAAAGCGTCAAAAAGGACCGCACACGAGCTGTAATGAGTCAGGATAGACTCCTGCTCGGCCTCCGCGTTCAGCGCATCTTGGAGCGTGCCTTGACCTGGCCACGAGAAGGAGTAGGTCGTATACGCAACATGCGCATCTGGTATCAACTGCGACGCGTTGGGCATCGATACGTCGCTGACCCGCACCGTCCAGTTCCACAGGCCGGAGTTTGCGTGTTGGAAGTCGATGCTGTGAGTGGCATTAGGAAGCTGATCCGCCGCAGTGAGCGATGCATAGCCCCGGGACGGGAGTCCGGCACTGATGCCTTCAACGGCGACTGCCATCGAATAAAGACTGGTCAAGGTGAGTAGAAGGAACAACATGTTGACTTATGCCCAGGCGCGTGGAAGCAAGCTGAATAAGGAGAGCGTAGTAAACGTGAAGGTAACGATGCTTTGGATGTCCAGCAACCAAATATAGTCTCTGGCGAGCATTGGCCGCTTCTCGGACGAGACTTGACCCGTCGCAATATGCGGCATGGAATCATAGCGAACAGGTCATCGTCATGGTTGGAACCCTGCGATGCCGCGAGCGCTTTCACTCGTCATTTGGCGCGGCACAGCAGGCGCATGCATCGACCGTAGGACGTTTTCATCAAGTTTAGCCGGTTTTCGGTGGATGGTGAAAGTCTCCTTTCCGGTTTGAGCCAAGTGAATGCATCTAAAAGAGAGATCGACAGTATCCATCATTTCAAGGTTGTCAAGCTTGTAAAGCATTGTGTGACAATTTGGTGAGAATGAGGAACGACGTCAGCCTGCGCAGATCTACAGGCGCGAGTCACGCATGGAGTGACTAGCGTGGTGTTTATTCATCAGTTCTGTGGCTGTGGACTTGTAGGTGTTGTGTAGCTCGAGATTTGCCGCTTGTCATCAGGCTATCTTGGGAAATTTGCAACTACCTAGGCACGCAGATAACCGCTACAGTGCCCATGTGTGTATTCAATCATTGGTTGGTTGATTAGCAATTGTTTGATTACCTTTGTGATGAGGCATGAGAAGTAACGATTCAAGCACCCGCAGAGCCAAGACCTCTGGTGACCAGATCAAAGAAAGCGAGGATTTCACGACTGGCAGTGCCTGGACTGGGCCGCCCGCTGGTGTCTGCCCTACATCCACTCTTCTCATGCCCCAGATGCACACGACAAACCGGCACTCAGCGATCCAGCTACTCGTATACAAGAAACCGTCACGTTCGCCGTGGAACAACCAAAACGACATGAACTTTGAATAATCACCTTGGTACTGTATTCCGGCGACAACACAACATCTGTGTGCTGAATTTCTATGTAACGTAATGGACCCTATTTACATAGACTTATGTAACCGAACCCTAAAGAAAATAAATACTTGCCTAGGTAGGCATCCGGGTTCCTTTATCGTCGCAGATAGTGGTCCGACAATGCCGGAATGTCGAGTACTGACCATATCAGAGTTGCGAGATATATAGGAGTCTGCCAGACGGATGAAGTGGAATCAGTTGGCTCGCATATCGTTTAGATGTACCAAAAACCTTAGGAAGCAAGTGTCGTTCGATTATTGTTGCTGTGTGGTTACAAGCACTTCCGACGGCCCGCACCGTGTCGCAACAATTATGCCGGGTCTGCCCCTTGTTCACAAAAAGTCAGACCATTATCGTGAGCATGGCCATTGGTCGCCGGCGTGCGGCGATCAAAGAAAGCTTGGTCCCTGAAATATATCAATTCGCTGTTGCACGTCCACATCGTCCACTACCGACTCTTCACAGCCTTCTCGATCATACTCCTCTGAACACCTTTCAGGATGGGTGTTCTTCAGGAAGTTGCAGGCGTTCTCGATGCCTACTTTGGCACCACGAGCACCTCGACATTGATCGCTCTGAGCTTCGCGACACTCATCACATTCGCCATTCTTCTCAACGTCGCCAGCCAAATCCTATTCCGAAACCCCAATGAGCCACCGATCGTATTTCACTGGGTTCCGATCATTGGCTCTACAATCTCCTACGGCATCGACCCCTACAGCTTCTTTTTCAACTGCCGCGAGAAGTACGGCGATGTCTTCACTTTCATTCTTTTGGGAAAGAAGACGACTGTCTGCTTGGGAACAAAAGGCAACGACTTCATCCTCAATGGAAAGCTTAAGGACGTGAACGCGGAGGAAATTTACAGCCCCCTGACAACACCCGTGTTTGGAAAGGATGTCGTATATGATTGTCCAAACTCGAAGTTGATGGAGCAGAAGAAGGTAAGCATGCCATGCAGGCTGGAGGAACTCCTGCTAACCGCACGATAAGTTTGTCAAATTCGGCCTCACCTCTTCAGCTCTGCAATCATACGTCACATTGATTGCGCAGGAGACCCGCCAGTTCTTTGCCAAGGATGCCGCCCACAAGAAGTTCGCTTCGAATGGAGGTACTACCAACCTGCCTCCTGTCATGGCTGAGCTTACCATCTACACTGCGAGCCGTTCTTTGCAGGGCAAAGAAGTACGCGAGAGATTCGACTCGAGTTTCGCTGACCTCTACCACGACCTGGACATGGGTTTCACACCGATCAACTTCATGATGCCATGGGCACCCCTTCCTCAGAACAGGAAGCGTGACCGAGCGCAGCAGAAGATGGCTGATACTTACCGCTCGATTATCGAGCAGCGTCGCAAGGAGGGCGGCGAAAAGAGCGATGACCGTGAAGAGGACATGATCTGGAATCTGATGAAATGCAGCTACAAAGATGGAACACCACTCACCGACCGAGAGATTGCTCACATGATGATTGCCTTGCTCATGGCCGGACAACACTCTTCCTCCGCTACCATTTCCTGGATCCTCCTTCGACTCGCTTCACGACCCGATATCCAGGATGAGCTTCTTCAAGAGCAGAAAGACGTCCTGGGATTGAATGCTGATGGTAGTATCAAAGACCTGACATATGAGAACCTCTCAAGGCTACCCCTCCACAGCCAAGTCGTCAAGGAGACTCTTCGTCTTCACTCCCCGATTCATTCCATCTTGCGCAAGGTCAAGTCACCCATGCCTGTCGAGGGCACTCGATTTGTCATTCCAACCACCCACAGCTTGCTAGCAGCGCCTGGCGCGACCAGCCGGATGGACTCACACTTTCCACAGTCTGCACATTGGGAGCCTCACCGATGGGACGAGTCGCCTGCAGAGAAACACATCCACCTCGCTCCAGCCCATCTCACAGAGGGTGTCGCCGAGGAGAAGGAGGATTATGGATATGGATTGGTTAGCAAAGGTGCCGCCAGCCCGTACCTACCCTTCGGCGCTGGCAGACATCGATGCATTGGTGAGCAATTCGCCTATGTGCAATTGCAGACCATCATGGCTACTGTTGTCCGCGATTTCAGGTTCACCAATGTGGACGGTAGCGATAAGGTCGTGGGTACGGACTACAGCAGTCTGTTCAGCCGGCCACTAAACCCAGCTGTCATTCGATGGGATCGGAGAGAGAAGAAGTAGCGTTTAGTGCAAAGCAAATAATATAATATGAGTTGGTTTTGATGAATGCATATATATATATATATGTCACTAACGAATCTGCACCTAGTCTTCGTGGATTCGTGGATGAGTTCCATGTTGTAGTTCTGAAATACAGACAACGTCGTGGATGCTTCTGGACGACCATTAGGGTTTGCACACACTAGTCTCGCCTTCGCTTGACAGCATCATCACTCACGATCACACCCAGGCACACCTGGGCAGGCAGCTCATCGCCTTACGTGTCTTCCCGCGTGGCAATTTATGGTCACTGGAACCTTTCGAGGCACAGAGAAAGCGCTCCACTTCAAGTCTTCTGGTCTTGCTTATGACAATCAAGACAGTGGTTATGTTGGACGCATCTTGAAACCTTCAAGAACATCAACCGCGTATTTCGTCCACTATCACGAATCATGTCTACGCCGGCGCAGACACCAGAACAGCGCGAGCTGTCGCTCGTCGGAAAGGTCGAAATGCGGATTGCACTTGCAGATACTGATGCGAAGCTCGAAGCGCTTCTCAAAATGTACTGGGCTCCATTGCTTCTGAAACTTGCCTCTGAACACAATAGTGTTCGGAATAAAGTAGTCTCGATCTGCCAGCATGTCAATACAAGAGTTCAACCCAAGTCTATCCAACTCCCTGTTGCTGCCCTAGTCAAACAATTCCGGGAGCAGGAGAATGCCATCGTTCGCAATTTCGATCTCATGTACATTCAACAGGGCGTAGGCAGATTGTCTAGTAAGGAACAGGCCGAATTGCTTCCTATTGTGGTCAGCGGTATCGCGAAAAGCGGTATCCATAGCGCTCAAATTTTCTATCTATTGCTGCGGCTCCTTGATGCTTTCAGAATGCCAGCACGAGGCAGCAAGGAAGACGTAGAGATGCGCCAGAACATGGAAATTTCAGATGAAGATGCATCATTCCTGTCATCGCGGCTTGCAAAGTTCATTCTTTTCAGTCCTCGGAAGGCCAACGGAGTGTCTTGCCCTGGACTGACCAGCGATGAATTTAACTTCTTTTCTGTAAATGGTAAAGAGGACTCGTGGGATCCTGCCCAGGGAGGCCTCAATCTAACCAGAACCAAAACATCGGCCACGAAGCTCGCAGCGAGTGGGCTCCTGAAAGATGACGAGCGCTTCTTTGCGGCCTTATTTGCTTCGGCAGATGCGACATCATCAATTAGCGACACGGGCGATGACATGTTGAAACGGTCATTGCCAGCTACGGATCTCGAGGACAAGAAGCTAGTCCGTGAGCTATTCGACTTATATTTCGGCAACGGCTATCCTAGAGTTAAAGCGCCATTGCGACTCAAGATCCTAGGACTGTTGAGCAAATCTGTAAAGAGCTCCACTTTTGCCGCCGAAATACTTCAAATCATTGATGATGGCATATCAACTCCACAACAAGATGGCGAAGATACGGTCATGTCAAACAATATATTACAGAATCCAAAAGTCGGCCGAGAAGCGACCAAAGTTCGTGCTGCGATTTTCACGTACGTCAACTTTGTGGCTCGGCAAGGCGACAAACAGACATTGAGCGATATCGCATCGCCGGGCGTCACTCGATTACGCGACTTTGTCGAGGATCAAGGATGGCCTGCGCCAGGTGCCAATGAAGACCTCGTCTCCCGAGGCCATGCTTACGAGGTGATCGGGTTGTTGGCACGCGCAGGCCCGAAAAAACTCCTCGTAGAAGAAGACAGAACAAATCTGGACTTGCTGAGATGGCTATTTTCGTCTTTGGCGCAAGACACATCCGGCAACTCCGTCACCGTCAGCATAGAGGAGGCGTTATCCACCGTCTTAGCAGCCATGAGTCGCTTGAACCTTACTCCAAGTCACCAGGAAGTTCTCGAACAGCTCCTGATAGATGAGATGAACAGCTCCGCACAGCTCGAAGATCGGAAACGTTTTCGCAGTACGCGATATGTTGCTGTGCGACTGGCCAATCGCTGTCTGCCGTACTCGTCGATCCGGGCGCGATGGGTCGATTGTCTGGCAGCCGGCGCATCGTCAGATCGACCTGAAGTTCGCGAGGAGGGCGAACGAGGCCTGAGTCCATATTGGTTTCGTATGCTGAATGGATTCGTATCCGGGACCGCTGATACGAACGTACAGCAGCCACAATTCGAAGATGTCGTGCGCTTATTCTTCGTGCAAAATGCACAAGTGACGAGTGAGGATCCCGCAGTTCTCGTTCGTCACACTAAACAACTTAATGAGTCTTCATTCGTGTCTCTGACCGCCTTTGCGCGTCGAGTCTTGGTCAGCCAGGCATTTCGGACAGCCGACGTGAAGATCAATATCGACACGGAGTGGGAACGTCGCCTCGATTCGATGGTCGAATCCGACTTATCGGCAAGAAGCGCCATCAAGCAGCATCTTGCCAAGATTTACAACACTTCACCAAAAGCACTGGACCTGCTGCTCTGCGCGTTGTTCGAATGCACTGTAGATAAGATCGCGTCACCAGAGAGTCATCTCGTAGAGCTCCTGGCCCTCGCGCCGGAAGGCCTCATACAGAAGCATGTTTCTCGAACAGAGTTACTTATGCCAACATTACAGTCCAACAACCACATTCGTCGACTGTCGGCAGCCCATGCCTTCGGACTGCTCGCCTCGCACCCACATGCAGGCCAGCAGCAGAATGATCACGTTCAAAATCTCCTTGACGCGGCCCGAGATTGGCGCACTGCAGTTGGCACAAGATCAAACGTGGTACACGGCGCAGTTGCAGCACTTGGATACTATTTCAGCCGGTTCTGCTTCCGGAACGAGCAAATACTTCAACCTGATAAGCAATCTCAATTTCTCAAAACCCTCTTCGAGATCTTCACAGATTCGAAGGACGATCTCCTACTCAACGCAACCTTCCTAGCCATTGGACAGCTCAGCATGTTCCAATGTCTTACGCCTGCAACCGTGGAGCATTATACCAAGACCCGAAGCGTGAGCGAGAAACTGTACGAAAAAGCTAAAACTGGCAATGAAGAAGCGATATTGTGCTTGGGACGCTGGTCCATGATTCTCCCAGAGGGTAATGACTCTGACAACGAGCTTCAATTTGTAGGCGAGCAGTTGCACCGCTTGTATGAGATCCGACAGGCCGAGGTACATTTTACTGTGGGAGAGGCATACAGCTTACTCGCGGCTGGATGGAAATCAGATGCTCTTGCCACCAAGCTAGATGTTGGCGAATCTCCGCCAAAGGGAATGCCGCGCGTCGACACGATTGACAAGTTGATGGATCGTGTTCTGGCGAATTGCACAGACACAAAACCTGCACTCAAAAAGGCTGCCGTCATGTGGCTGCTGTGCTTGGTACAGTTCTGCGGCGGCCAGGATGAAATTCAGAGCCGGCTATCGAAATGCCAAAATGCTTTCAGACGGTGCTTGGCAGATCGCGACGAGCTAGTTCAAGAATCAGCATCACGCGGTCTCGGGCTTGTGTACGAAAAGGGTGACAGGAGTCTGAAGGATGACTTGGTCCGTGACCTCGTGTCTTCCTTCTCATCAGACAGACAGCAGCTTGCTGGAAATGTGTCTCAAGATACTCAGCTATTCGAACCCGGAGCTTTGCCAACCGGCGATGGCTCCGTTTCAACCTACAAGGACATTATGAGCTTAGCGTCAGAAGTTGGCGATTCGAGCCTGGTGTACAAGTTCATGTCTATGGCATCGTCGAACGCAATTTGGTCAAGTCGAGCAGCCTTTGGTCGATTCGGTCTGAGCAGCGTACTCTCCGACTCGAGTGTGGATGGCTATCTTGCTAACAATCCTAAGCTTTACCCAAAGCTCTTCCGCTATCGATTCGATCCAAATGGAGGGGTTCAAACCTCAATGAACGAAATCTGGAAGACTCTTGTCCCTGATCCTGCTGCAACCATTGACCAGCACTTTAACGCCATCATGGATGACTTGTTGGTCAGCATTCTCGGAAAAGAGTGGCGAGTACGACAAGCATGCTGTGCAGCCATTGCGGACCTTGTGCAAGGCCGCGCTTTGGAGAAGTATGAAGATTATCTCGAGAGAATTTGGACCCAATGCTTTCGCGTGCTGGATGACATCAAGGAATCAGTGCGTGCAGCTGCCGGATCTTTGGCGAGGACTTTGACGGGTGTCCTAACGCGTGCGCTGGAGGCGGATCACAGCTCGACGAAGAATGCTTCGACTATGCTCAAGCACGTTCTGCCATTTCTACTGTCGCCATCTGGCATGGAATCAAGCGCACAAGACGTGCAGCTTTTCTCTGTGCACACTTTGCTCGAAATCATCAAGAAGGCGAACGGCGCCACCATTCGACCTTTCATTCCTGAACTTGTCGAGCGCCTGATAGGTCTTCTTAGCTCCTTGGAACCAGAAGCTGTGAATTACGTTCATCTTAATGCCGCCAAGTACAATCTCACAGAGCAGAAGATCGATGACATGCGACTCTCAAGCGTGCGAAGCAGCCCTCTGATGGAGGCAATTGAACGCTGCCTGGATTTGCTCGACGATGAGACCATGCGTCTATTGCAGCCCAAGCTAGAGTCCGCGATGAAGAGTGCTGTGGGCTTGCCGTCCAAGGTTGGATCGAGTCGCGTGCTCGTCTCTTTGAGCACCCGGCGTATGATCCTGTTTAAGCCGTATGTGGATGACAATTTGAAGCTCATAGAGAAGTTGGTCATTGATCGCAACGAGACTGTGGCCAGCTCGTATGCTGCGGCTGCGGGTTATCTGGCAAGAGGTGCCAGCGACAAACAGATCGAACGTCTCCTAGAATATGTTCGGCGGCTGTACTTCGAGTCTGAGGGTGATCGCGAAGGCACCGTTCCACGCCGGAGCATCACGTCGGGCGAGATTGTCTACGCCTTCTCGAAGTATGCGACTGACAGATTCAATGCTTTCGCGACCTCAGCGTTGCCTTTCATATTCGTTGCAAAACACGACTCGCACGAAGTGGTGAAGGAGCGCTTCCAAGAAACTTGGAACGAATCAGTCGGAGGCTCTCGAGCCGTGCAACTCTATTTGAACGAGATTATCGGCCTCTGTACACGACATCTTGACTCGGCACAATGGACATTAAAGCACACTGCCGCTCGCGCGGTCGCAGCTGCCATAAATGCTGCATCGTCCAGCGAGGTGGAAATGTCAGCAGACGCTGGACGTGCGATATGGCCCGCTCTCGAGAAGGCACTAGCTGGCAAGACGTGGGAAGGGAAAGAGGTCGTGCTCGTTGCGTTTGGTCGATATGCTGAAGCGGCCAAGCAGTATTATATGCAGAATGATACTGTGCGCGGAGCGATGATCAAGATCGCCCTGCGAGAAGCGAAACGGCAAAACGCGAATTATCGGCCACATGCTGTGAAAGCGCTCGCTCGGATTTCTCGAGCTCGAGAAGACCTTGATATCAGTAAGGATGTCTTTGAAATTTCCAACGAGATCCTGAGTGATGGCGCCGATCCCGACGCTATGGAAGTCGATGGCGTCGATCAGAAGCGGAAAGCCGAGGAAACGTGAGTGACAATGCCAGTGTGCTAACGAGGCGAGAATATTTTACTGACGAATCACAGGCACGAGAATACGATAACTGCAGCTGTAGAAGCAATCTTCGCTTCGATCAATCCGAAGACATCATCCAGTCAGGAGCTCACGACCGCCGTGTCGCGTGCCGTTCACGCAGTAGCCGGACTTCAGAACCAAAGCCCTGCAGTTTGGCGTTATATCTATACCAGCCTTCAGGCTCTGTTCGAACGATTAAAAGAAAACGACGCGCATCTCATTGACGACTCAACTTTGGCTCGGGATATGCACAAGATTGTGCAAGAGACGTCGATCGAGATTGAAGCGATACGTCGGCTGCAGGAGGAGCTCCGTACCGCGATCGCGTCTTCGGAGCCGAACCTTTTACGACAGATGCAAAGCTCGGCCGACCAGCCGAGTTGAGTAGGAGGAATACGCGAAGGTTCGCGGACAAATTTGTCAAGGCGATAATTGCATACGAAGATGTTCCGAAATGATAGCACCACCGTCCCGCCGCACACTCGCCGAGAGGTGATAGAGTTCATGGCGTCCAGACGTGACAGCACCAAACAGGGCTCACGTCGGGCACTCCGGGACGCGGATCTGGACCAGGGCTGGTCGAAAGCAAGGCCCGCAAAGCCCATGTGGACGCCACGTGGATGCCTGTCCAATCCCACTCCCTCATCAAATTTGTCCCGAAAAATTTGCAGTTTGCGCCAGCGGACCTTCATGTACTGGACTATGCAGCTGCACTCTTCTATACTTGGAAAAGGCTTCGTACATAGACCTTTCATCGTCGTATGCGTGATGTGCAGGATCTAGCACCGTTCTATCCTACGTGGATTCCTATCATTTCGCATGGGGCGTTGTGCGTGGTGAGATCAATCGCGGTCTGTTCTTCTCGAGCTACCCCAGGGCTAGGTACCCAGGTAGGTCTGCTGACAATTCCTTCTCCACGCCATGGGCACCTGCACTTCATTATCATTTACTTTGACTTTGGAGACGACAGAGCAACGATACATACAGGGCCGCTTGACCGTTATGCAAATGCAAGTGTAAATGCAAATAATAATGACAGTATAAATGCAAGCGGATATTGTAGAGCAGCCAGTCAAGCATTGGGCTACAGTGGTCTGGTCCTTCTAGACCCGGACAGCCAACCCAGAAATTCGTGTAGATTCACGGGCGAGGCTCTCCGCACAGACCCGCGCATTTCCTCCGCAATTCGCAGGAGAGTGCCAACTGTCAATTTTTTTTTGGCTATTATCGTTGCATTATTTGCAATGCCCCACGCAGTACGACTGCTTGCACGTGCAGACCGACAACGATGATCAGATGGTGTATGCTGCTAATTTATTCTTCTCGATCTAGCCCTCGGAGTTCGGGCGAAGCTGTAAATACATCGTGACATGTTGGCATGGCATGGTACGGTATTGAGGTAGGGTTTCAAATGCCTTGCCGGCAAACTCGCCAGGCAAATTGCTGGAGGTCGTGCACTAATCTGTCAGTCGTTGTGCATTGAGTTCCGCAATGCCCCAATGCGTGCCTTGGAGTGAAAACGAGGAGACAATCATCTTCCTGGCGTTCAAAGACACCATCAAACGGTCGCTGTCGGAGGGACGCTGCTGCGTGCAGTACAGTACATGGACATTCAGAGCCTCCTGATTGTCTTGACTTTTTCCCGTTGAACGATATTGTCCGACTGCACCACTGGACTGGGTAGAGCAGAGAGAGAACGTTTCTTGGCATGCTTGGGTACTGACACAATTTTTGCACTCCTCGCGCATTCGGATGAAGCACTTCTCTCGTATGCTATACGGCTAGACAGCTTTGATGGCGATGAATCTGGGGCTTGAGCGCAACCCACGCTTGATGGGCGAGAGAGGCTAGAGTGTCTCCCTAGACTGGAGCGACCATCACCGCGCTTCTGGACCACGATTTAGACCCCCGAAGACAGATGCTGACAATTTGCACCACGATCGTAACTTTCTATGACAGACATACGCACCCAGCATTGTCCCGGCCGCTAGAGGCCGAAGATTGCGTCCGATTTGAGAAGGTTCACGGTGGTTTTAGCGGTTGCGAACAGCGCAGAACAAGTCTATCGGGCTAATGTATTCCCCGGTCAATGCAGAATCGCGCTCCCTCGCAGAGTTCGCGCCGCATTCCTCCATAGTTGGCGCCGGTCTTAGACGGCATTCTGTCGTCGCTGAACATCACAAGATCGAGTCGTCCGACCCTTCGCATCCCTCCTTGCAATCGTGGTCAAGTGCAGAAAAGCGAGAACGATCAAGACTACCACGTCGTCGACATGTCCACGGACAGCCATGCTAGCGTCCAGAAGTGGTCGTCCATGCACAGTGCACGTCATGCCTCCAACAACTACTTTATAGCTCCGTGGCAATTAGCGGACCAACGTGGCTTGCGCGGGCGCATCTGATGCAAGTGTAGAACCGCGCGTGAATCGACCATTACGTTGTTGAGATAGACCCCTGCGTGCCTTGCTCATGCGATTCAACCTCGACGCATGCCCACGTCGGACATGGCCCCGTTGTTCTGAAAGCAATGAACTCTGATGCAACCAAAAAGACAGCAACCGGTGCCGGCATGCACATGGTGCACTAGATACCGTCTAGTCGCTCATTTAATGTCCTCGACATGGCTTGTTCGTCCAGATCTTCGCACGATCAATCTTGTTACCTACATTCTTTTCTTTTTCTAATCTGATCAATGACTGCATATTCATGACGGCCATGCAATGGTCATTTGTCTAACGTCAATCCGGCACTTCACACCAACGTTCTCTCCTCCCGATTGTTCATTGCCCTCATTCGGTTCGACCTCACATGGCGGATTAGCCGCCCGTATCGACGTGTACCTCCTAGTGAGTGGACGGCGAACGAGTGTCAGCATTTGAACGTTGCAATTGTTTCTTCGACCCGTCGCAGCTACAGCACTTACTCCACTTGAGGAAGCGGCAAACTTCTCGGCATTTTCGACGGTGACATGCAACGCCATGACGACGTTGGAGGCGATACGCACGATAACAACAGCAGAATCCCGTTCATTGCCCCGCAAAGTCCACAGCCCACATCGAGCCGAGAGAGACGACCGACATCAGTCCGTGGGAGGCATGCCCGGCTTTCACATCGCTCTCGGCAAGGCTGCTGGACTTGTCGTGCGCGAAAGGTGAAGTGCGACGAGGCTCATCCGCGATGCGGTCCCTGCACCCGACTCAATCGCGATTGTGACTGGGATCAACGATGGAACTTTAGCGATGCAACACTGGCGACACAGGGTAAACACCCAAATGTGAACACTAACGGTAATGCGGTATGGGACTCTAACGTTCGTTCAAGCCTGCCGCTCAGCCCGACTCGTAGCGCCGACGAGGTAGACGATGATCCTGACTTTTACGTTCTCACTACGGATGAGGATCGTGAGAAGAAAGCGGAACAGAGACCTCCTGGGACTTATGCGTTGGTGCTCACTCCCAGATCATTTTTGAGATCGAGCATTCCAGAATATGCAGCAGCACGGATTGATGACCGCACGAGCGCCGACATGTTCGTCTTTCGAGGTTTCGAGCGCGAAGTGCAACCGCCTCTCAGCAGTCCGCCAGCGCACACGGCCCCCAACGTCGTGATCCTCGATAAGTTTGAGGACATAAATCTGGCACCAAGTTCCACATGGTCGATCCCGGAGAGCGACCGACGCGAAAGCGTATCAGATGCCACCAATGCGTCCGTCAAAACAGAGCCGCTGTCCGAGTTCAACACGGCTCCATCAACGCCGCTGCTCCGTTCCAATGATCACCTCATCCACCACTTTCGAGGATATATAGTTCCACGACTGGTGCAACCTCTCCTATCTACCGTTGGCCCACACCAGAGCTCGCTAGCTGACGCCCTCGAATACGAAGCGCACCGATTTACGCCTCTATACCACGCGATCTGCGCCATCAGTGCCCTCAACCTTGCATACAAGGGCGTCTCTTCACTTGAAGAAGCGATGCAGCATTATCATCGTGCATTGGATGCTCACACAGCTGCTTCAGCGCCTCAGAATCTTCTATCGGATGGAATTTTCTTCCGACATTTCCTTCTCTTGGTCTATGATATTTGCTTGGCTACAAACACAGGCGCAGACGGCGAGGTGGCTATGTGGGCGGAGCATTTAAACCAACTGCGCTGGCTCACGACCCAGCGGCATGCCATTGGAGCCAGTGGAGACTCGTACGCATACACAATTTGGAAGATTTATGAACTGGATATGTACGCATGCCTGCTGGGGTGTGGAAACGGCAATTTCGTGCAGACGATGATCAATGAGAGGATATTACCGGCTCCCGAGCTACAGATACCTATGGGAACAGCCGTCGGTCTGACATCGATTGGCCCGACCCCATTCGCGCTGAACGAAATGGCTTCCTTTCCTGCCATACTCGGGCTCCACCAGATCATCACTGCGCATGTGGCTCAAATTGCGGTGACGGCCCAAAGATTCCGTACGGAGTCACAGGAGAACGAGGTCGCACCTCCAGCGATGGTTGCAAGGTGGCAAGCGACAACTGTACAGCTCCGAGCCGCGATGAACGATGCCTGGCTGCAAGCATATCCACAGCAGCATGTCGGCCTCCTGGATGCTTCACCAATTCTGGCGGCCAATTTACCAGAGAGGGTCCGCCTTATGTTTGAAAATGTAGGTCTACTTTGATCATATCTGTATTCTCATTTCTGAGTGCCATTTACTGATTGTGTCAACAGGCTGTACTTTTGTATGATGCCGCAACAATCTATACCCGCACGAGCATGTACCCGGCTCAGGGACTCATGCCCATCGCGAATCGCCCGGCTACCACTGCCGACACTGATTTACGTGCCACCAGAATCCTCACGTTGGCATCCTTGCAAGCGACGAACCCCGTTCACCGAAACATCGTCTTTCCAATTTTCATAGCCGGCGTGGCGACATCGGCCGAGTCTAATAAGAGCGCAGCCATCGAGCTTATCGGACGTCTGGAGAGTACCGGGATTGGCAGAAACACCCATCGCACCAAACAGCTCCTCTCAGCTGTCTGTGAAGAGCAGAAGCGGCTAGTGGCCGTCGGTGGGTTCATCGAAGAGGTCGAGTGGCTCAACATTGCGAGGACGAACAAATTGGACGTGGTCAACTGCGGACTGTGATCTGTGAGATTCAGACGCATGCACGATATGCTGTCAAAAAGCTCTTCTCTACATTGAGTAAACATTGCGACACAATTGTGATGAACATTCAATCTGATCACGAAGGGTGCCAAAAAAATGGACACGGAACGCCAACGACGCCGAGGTCAATGGCTCGGGGAGATAGCGAATCTCCTCGACAATTGACATGTGCGAAGCTGCAACGCTCATTCCTAGAACAGCTCTTGCTAGTCGACTAGCTCAACGAAACATTCGGGATGGCAGCATCGCGTTACGAGCTTCGTATGCACCGACATGTGCATATGGTTTGCGCTTCGCCGTCAGCACACCGCATATGAATGAAGGAGAGAAAGAAAGGAAGTATATCGAGATATGCTCCCGCAACGATCAAAAGTTAATTCCTGTCTTGCGGTGCCACTTGCCCAATAAAGTTTCGGAACGTGATAATTATGGAGCCCACTCCGGTCGATGGTGTCCGATTTCCACCCGCGGTTGAATCTGACCACTTGATTCCCTCCACTGTGCCTCAACTGTCACAACGTACGCCTCGAGCGAATCTATACACCCATGCACCGCCGGCCGAAGATTGTGTCTCGCTAGCGTCAGATCTGTTTCGGACCATCTTATGCATGATCTCCTGATATCTAGATGCGTGAAGTGCAGTGGAACTCTTTTGAACCATGCAGTGTCACTGGCACATTATTCAAAACAACCAGGTCGCGTATCGCGGATCGACGCGAGATGCGGGCGCGCGGCAGGGCACGGTGCCGTTGAGATTCGGCGGTTTCTCACCACATCCTTGTTCGTTTGAACCGAAAGCCAATGTGACGACGATGGCGTTATCATCCCATTAGCTGCCCCCCTCCGCCAAAGTCCACCATCAGTTCTACACCTGTTCCATTGCTAGTGGTAGGGGTCCAGAAACCTCATTGTTTTCACCGCGAATCCTGTCCTTCAGCCTCTTGCGTCAGATATCGCTCGCCGAGTTGATGCCGCTGACCAGCCACACACAATAATCATGTTAGCATGCGAGGGCATTGGAGTTGCTGCCGGTAGCGGTTTTGTAGAGAATACTCGTGCGAGGCGTCTCCAGGCGTCATTGGAGCGGTGTCGGAATGTAAGGTTCGAAGGACATCTGCAGTTTTGGAGGCGTTTCTGCTGCTCAAAAGATGCAAGCCGAAGAGAAAGCATGCCTCGGCTCTGAGATTGATGAGATGTCCTGATAGGGACGGATTCACTTTCTGCATGTGTTGCTGTAGCGGTTCCACTGTGAGCTGAACAGCGCACAGTGCACAGACCGGAAGAGCAGAGCCGATTCAACTGCCATCAAATTCATCAAGACGGCGATGTGAGTATGCAAATAATCGTGTTCAATATGGAATGAGAAAAAGCCGTGATGATCAATGCCGTCGCTCAATACAGGTCGTAAACACCATTGCCCCATTTCCTCCCAGATGCTCAAGGTACGTCTCCTGATTCTTCCGTGAATGCAATGTCAAACCCGCAAAAAAGTGTATTCTTGCGCCGTGACCCATCTCGACGCCGTGTGTCCTGCCGTTCATGGTGACATGCATATCAACGCCCTACTAGTAAAATTACCGATGCATGTCACCACCGCTGTCTGCGGGACTCGATCACGGAACGGAGCAACCCGCCGCGCGGATCCGTCTCGAGAGGCAATCGTTAGCAAATTGTGATCTGATCAACCCGAGGAAACAGGATTCGGGAAGCCACAGCATCCATGTTCGCACCCATGCGCCGCTCGAACGCAGGCCGTGCAGCTACCTGTTATAGGTCTCCCGTGTTAATTGGCCGTGGATTGGCCCTTTCCCAAACGATGGGCATAGGAAAGATCTCCTCGCCTCTGTCAAGCATCCTCTGCCTCAACCCGACACAACACCTCCTCGAGGAACCCCTCCAGTAACCCACTGACGCCGTCGCCCATGCCGACAGGTGACTGTGTGTCCCAATGATCGATCTCCTTGAACAGTCGTACTACTTTGCTCATACATTTTCGAATCTGCTCGTGCGTCTGTCGCTTCAGCAGGAGCTCTTCAGAAAGCGGTGCCGTGAGATCGTGGCGTTGCGGGGCATGACTGGCGCCGCTGGCGCCGCTGGCTAGCTGAGCTTGCTGCTGCTGCTGCTTTTGTAGTAGTGCAAGTTGGTAGCTTCTTCGGTGGAGCGCGGCTTCCAAGGCGGGAATAATGACGGAATTGAGTGCAGTAATCTGCTGTGCTTCGGGCTCGCGCGGCCTCTGCGGCAGAGTCTGTGGTTGTAGAGATCCTGCTTGCGCTTGCTGCGCGGTTGACGCGATGGCAGTAGTCTGCCCTGCTTGCCCTAAACTCGGAACGTTAGGCATCATGGACCTTTGCTGCTCTGTGTGTGCGGTTTCGGCCGATGCACTGGCCCTAGGCGTTGCAGAGGATATCACCGGTGACTTCACGTCTGGGAACGAGTGGATGAGCGCTTCGTATTCCGAACCTGTAGTACTTGCTTGTGATAAAGGAGGTGAAGGGACGGCGGTCGATGGGTTTGGAGGCGGTGGCAGGATCGTGGCAGCCGGCTGCGATGACATTGGTTGCAGCTTTGGAACTTCGATGCGTGGACCATCGTCGAGAGCCAATCCTTTCATATAACGAGACATGTCGCTAGCTATGGACTGTTGCAGGAAGTCATCGTTCAAGAAGCGTGCATCCTGTGGCGTCGATGGCGGGTTTGGAGAGTTATTGGAGACTGCAAGGCTTTGGCGCTGTATTTGTTTGGAGGTCGGAGGTGTAGATGGAGTCGCTATTGCCTGGACTGGCTTCCGAACTGGTGATATTGGGAGAGGTACATTGGCCGCAACAGCAGATGGCAGAAGTGGTGCTGACTTTTTGGTGGGTGAGGGTATTTTGGGTGGCGGTGGCATCATCGATCCACGGATAGTACCCTTGTCAGGTGAAACACTCCCTGAACTGTGGTCATTCTCCTTGTTGGAATCGTTGCTCTTGATCGCCGACGCGGGCATCTGAGAACTCCTGGCATTCATACCAGAGTCGTTCAACGCGCGAAGTTCGCCCATTCCATTGTTTGCGCGCCGACCTGCCGGTCGGACTGTGCCGAAGTCCCAAAGATCTTCGTCCTCGCCGTCTCGATTTGGTGAATCTGCACGTCTTTCGTGTGAATTGTCATGGCCAGCATCGTGCTCCTCGGCATGTGACGCTTGCCATCGCTCATGTCTCTCGATCAACTCGGTCAAATAGGCTGTTCGCTTTGCCTTTCGTACCCACGGATGCTTGAGGAGTTCACGCGCGCTCGGTCTTTCGCGAGGCTCTTTCCGTAAGCACTTGTGCACGAAATCTTTGAAGTCCTTGCTGAAATTTCCCTCTAGAACCGGAGCAGGGTTTTTGGGAATCAAGAACAGCACTTTCATGGGATGAATGTCGCTGTATGGCGGCTCTCCAAGGGCCAATTCCAGCGCAGTGATTCCCAAAGACCATATGTCGGCTTTGTGATCGTATCCGGATTGTTTGATCACTTCCGGCGCCATCCAAAACGGTGTCCCGACAAATGTGTTCTTCTTTGTCATGGTTGCCGTGAGCTGTCCTGAGACTCCAAAGTCTGCCAGCTTGACCTGCCCATTGGCACCCAACAGTATATTGGCCGCTTTGATATCCCTGTGAAGCTTCCCGTCGTTGTGAAGATATTCGAGGCCCATGAGCAGCTCGCGCACGATGATGCAGATATAATCCTCTGGGATTAAACCAGGCTTCAGCAGATCCCCACAACTCCCTCCTGAGCAGTACTCCATGGTGATCCATAAATCTGAGCCTTTGAGATATGAGCCATAATACTTGGTAACGTAGGGTGAATTGAGACCAGAGAGTATGGATATCTCCTGGATGATGTCGTCCACTTCGTCGTCGGCATTCTCCACGTCAATAACTTTGATGGCAACCGACTGACCCGTGCGCTTATCGACACCCTTGTAGACCTGTCCGAAGCTCCCCCCTCCTATGCATGCTTGTCTGGTGTATATCGTCTCCGGGTCGATGTTGGACGTGCTCGCCATGGTTGGCGACTTGGCCGGCGACTCCCGCAGTTATCGTGATTAGTGATCGCGTGCTTCGACGAAGATCGATTACAGTTAAGTTCGAGCTGAATGTGGTGGCCGTTGACAAGGTGTCGCAACGTGGCAGGTGGTACTGAGCAGAGGATGTTGGGTTGCGCCGGGCACTGCAAGGTCGAAGAGGTGCTCTTTATTGATGAAGGTGAATGTTTGCAAGATCCAAATGCGCGGTCGACATGCTCTCCAACCGTCAAGCAGGGTAGTAGTTGACCAGAGAAGGATTGTTAAGTGATGCCGATCAGAGATGTCCACGAGGGCAGTGGTGCAAGTATTGAATGTGTTATACTAGAGACGCTGGGTTGTCCGGAGGTAAAAGGTAGTGCACGACAGAGAGTCCAAAGCATGGGTTTATTTATTGTTCTATCCAATCGTTAATGAGCCTTGGTGGAGCACTCCTCGGTCCTGCAGTAGACTCTTGAGATGGTACCTAGTATGTTGTATGTCGCATTGACAGCAAGTAACAAGTAACGAGGAAGGTGGGCATGTGCGGTGTGATCGCTATTGCGAAATTGTTACCCCAGCTGAAGTCCCTGGAAACGAGCGGGGATTGACGGGCGACGAGGCATTGAATGGGATGCGCTGGCGTACTCTCCCTGCGTACTGCATCTCGTGCCTTTACAACAAGTCCTTAGGTAGGTACAGGGCTGTCAACAAATACTATATCGATTGGCTGTGAGGCCCTCTTCGCAGACCTCATGTTTCATCAACAGATTTTGCGCTGCGGGTGCTTGATGTCCATGTGGAACATTGGGTCGATTTGCGCCATGTGTTTGTTGTTGATGGCGCCTGAATGGCGGGCTGGTTGCTACCCAAATTCATTGGCTGACAGGGCCACGAATGACGCCTTGACACCCTTGCCCGCCGGGACCTGCATGAATTTCTGCCTGAGATGCTCGTGCTGGACCATGATGAAACACTCTAAAAACCACGGCGCACGGGAATCCTCGCCTCACACTACATCATATCATCCCATGCCTATTTAGTGAGCTCTACTTTAGCTCTATCCGACCTGTGTGCTTCTGTGGCGCCTGTGTTGGTGACTCGTAGGAAACTACTATTGTCACCCACTCACTCCTCAAACACTGCGACAAGATGCACATTCAAGCATTGGCGTCGGTGGTCGCACTAGTATCCACCCTTTGCTCCGCTCGTCAGTTCGTAGAGCAGCGGCCGCTCAATGCCATCGACCGATCCGTGTCGGCCAACAAGCTCTCCCTGACGCACGATTTGATCGGCTTTCACAAAGGTCTTGTCGAGATCGAGTCCATCACAGGGAACGAGCAGGCGGTCGGGGAGTGGCTGGCCGCCAGCCTTCAGTCGCAAGGCTACACCGTGCAGAAGCAGTATTTGTCGAAAGACCCTGTGCGGTTCAATGTCCTTGCATGGCCAGGCTCTCAGCGAGACGTCAAAGTCCTTCTGAGTAGTCACATTGATACTGTAAGTCAATCAATTGGGTGCGATAGTTCAATTGGTCACTGATCACCATTTGAAAGGTCCCGCCCTTCATCCCGTACAAATTTGAGAAATTCGCCGACAACAATACTATTTCCGGCCGTGGCTCGGTCGATGCAAAGGGTAGTGTCGCAGCTCAAGTCATCGCGGTAAACAATCTCCTTGCCGCCTCGAAGATCAATGCCGACGACGTTGCCGTTCTGTACGTGATCGGCGAGGAGACGGGCGGCGATGGAATGAAGGCCGCCAACAGCCTCGGCCTGCGCCCGCACTCCATCATCTTCGGCGAACCGACCGAGCGCAAGCTCGTCTCAGGCCACAAAGGAGTCATGCATGTCACGATCCATGCCAAAGGCCGTGCTGCACACAGCGGCTACCCTTGGCTCGGCCGCAGTGCCAATGAGGTCCTCGTCGCCGCGCTGGCACCCATCCGCACTCTCGGTGATGATCTCCCGCAGAGTGACAAATACGGCAAGACCACACTCAACATCGGCAAGATCTCTGGCGGCGTGGCCGGCAACGTTGTGGCCGAATCCGCACTGGCGGAAATCGTCGTGCGGATCGCTGCCGGTACGCCGAAGGAGGTCCTCGCGTCCATCACGAAGACGGTCCATCGCGCCGTGAGGCCTTTCCTCTCCGGTCCCGAGGGATGTGACGAATCAAGAGAACACCTTCGCCCAGAGGATGTCGTCGAGATCGCCGCATCAGATTCAGCATACGGTCCAGTCGATCTGGAACACGACGTTCCCGGATTCGATGTGATCCCGGTAAATTATGGCACTGATGTACCCAATTGGAAGGTCAGCCGCGAAGGCCAGAGGCGATACCTGTACGGACCTGGGACCATCTTCGTCGCCCACAGCGATCACGAGGCTCTCACCGAAAAGGAACTATTTGATTCAGTCGAAGGTTATGAGCGGATCTTACTTTTCGCTTTGGAAAATGAGGCGAATTGATACGATTCATGCGGTTGAGAATAATGATAGTCACAATTTATTGAAGAAGATATATGTATGCGATCTTAACCAGCTTCATTTGATGGATTGCCGTATCATATATAAGATCAATTATCTAACTATATGAATGCCCCGACTGCCAGAAAGATTCTCTCGCGACATGAACCCCTTATGCAGATGATGTAGTGGCCGCGATAGGTGGAAGGAACGTCGTTGCGTCCGTCTTCGCCGTGCTGGTCGTACCCAGCACAATAGGTGGTAAGAAGACTCCCGCCTGCACCGTTCCGGAGTTCGGCGTAGTGGTAGTGCCCGTGGCCGTTGAGGTCGCCAACGACGGCGTGCCTGTCGTCGTTGGCCCAAACGTCTGTGTCTCGGTCACTATGTGAACAGGTGCTGTGACTGTGAGCACACCAGCGTCACTCTTGCTTGAAGTGGTGGGACTGGCGCTCGTAGTAGATGTCGTGGTTGATGTGCTAGTGGTGGGTGTGGTCGCTGATGCCGTCGTTGTCAAAGTCACAGTGACAGTAATGGATGATGCTGGCGCTGCTTGTGGCATGACGAAGTTGGGCGCAAAGTTCACAGCAGCGGGCTGTGGAGACGTTGCCTTGAGTGGTTCACACATGCCGTAGGGCATCGATCCTCCGATGCCTTGACCGGCCAGAGCCAGGAGCCGTGATGGTGTATTGTTGTACAGACCAATTACAGTGTACGTGAACAACACAGTGCTCTCCAAGAACAGCATTACGGCAAGAATGATGAATAGAGACCATGGCATCCAGATGCCAGACTTCCGCTGCGGTGGTGGAAAGTATTCACGCCGTGGGCTAGGAGTCGGCACCGATTGGACGATGGGGGGAGCTGGACCAAAGAGTGTAGAGAACCGAGGCGGGGCATCCTTCTTCATGTTGAGATCGTAGTCATCCGCATCATCTGCAGGTCCTGGCTGGGTCTTGATGTCCATGTCATCGATCTTGCTGCTAGAGCTCTCGCCAACCTCACTGTCCTGTTGCATGTTGCGATTGAGGCGCTTCTCAAAAGTCTTTTTGAAGGACATGATTCCGAATAAGATGATAGTCGTACTCGTGTTTTCGATTATCGTTGTGATTCGTTTCGTCGTTCCTCTTCGTGCGGTAGATTACCAGAATCACCGCGAATCCGTGCTGCTGAGAATAATGTAATAAAACGAAATGAAACGATTGTCGAAACAGTAATGAAAGCAAGCAATATTCAAACACAATGTGAGGCACGACGTCCAGCGCCTTTGCGATCCAAACTCCCAAGCAGAAAACGATTGTGTACAAAAGAAAGAAGGACAAACCGTTCATGTATCTTGCTCAGAAGAATAGTGTCAAAAAGTGCAATGAACGCACACGTCCAAGATAATGCTCTCCTGCGTACTAATCTCGGTCGCGTGGCCAAAGTCTACAGTCCTCATCTCTCCTCACTACCAAGGTATGTGTGTGTGTGTCGGGAATGTACTGCAGAGCATTATCGTAGCGCCAGGTCATATTGCGCGTGGATACACGCGGCGACACAGACCGCAAGACAAAAGTGCTGGAGGTAAAATCGTGTCACGAGAGCCAATCGTAATACTCACGGACCAAGGCCTGTCAGGTATTCAACTGACATTCAAATGTACCACGAAGCCCAAAAGAAACTAGATCCGTTGTATCGTCGCACACAAGAGGTTGTAAGAAAGCCGGGCGGCAAGGGCGTGAGGTTTCATTTCTTCTTGGGCGCGTATAACCGCCCGCCGCTCATTGGCTGGTATTTACGTCTCTCTCTCTCTGCGGACGTGCAACTCCATTCTCACTATTGTCTACTGGAAACGATTCGTTAAACTTCATAGCGACAACAGGCTGGACGAGGACAATGTTTTGCACGTGTAATTGCCCGATGGCCACGCACACTCCATGCGGTCTGTAACAAGGCTTCAGCACGGTCGCGTTTCATGATCGCGTTCGAAGAGGTTCTCACGAATAGAGAAATGTTAAACAATGCGTTTCCGTGCTAATAGTCATGATGCTCGTGCAAAAATTTCACCTTCCAGTGATTGCTATCGTACAAATCTAGCCTGCAACAGGGGCACCCTAGGTCCACATGTTCATGTCTCTACACTTGATTCAAGCTCTTTTTTGCACCAGATGCGGTCGCACTGCTGCCCCATTGTGAAACGCACCTTGCTTCATCCTCCTCTGACCATGCTCGCGGTAGAACGGCAAATACCAAATAGCTCGTGTGCGTCCTCACCTCAGGTTCGGTTCGATGGACGACATTGCCCTCCTTGTACAATTTTCGCTCTTCTGCCTCGCGCTTGTTCCTTTCGAGGCGCTGCTGCTTGCTGGAGACCTTTGGTGTATTCGTTTGATCTGCGGCCGCGTCGCTCTTCGCGGTTGCGTGGGTTTCATCTGACCAGCCAGGCTCCCGGCTGTTCCGATGATGAGTCGCGAGCTTGGCGTCCACCTCCCGTAGGCGCGCTATCGCTTCATCAACACTTCCTGCATTTGCATTCACTCCTCGGAGTCCCTCTTCTTTGAGCCCGACACGTTCGCGTCGTACATCTATCCGTCGATTTTGAACTTCTACCATTGATATACCGAGCCAGCCGGCTCGTCTGAGTGCAGAAACTGTGGCCATTACCTGCTCAATGCAAGGCGAAAATGTGCAGATGTGCACCGGCTGTGTCGGGTCCAGCGGAGTGTTCGGCGTCTCTCGAGCGAGGTGCTTCAAGGCCAGCCAGGGCGCCGGAAGATCCAGGAAGATGGCGGTCACACCGGGAGCAGGGGTTTGCTCACGGGCAAAGCCTGCATCACATACGTCGCGATGGGTCAACGTGACCACTTTTTCCAAGCCATGCTCGATAAGCTCTTTCTGAAGAATCTCGACACGAGGCTCGTGGAACTCATAGCTGTAAATTTGCCCACGTTTCTTGTCATGACCAGAATTTTGAGATGGGTCCTCGGGGTACCCATTGAAGACTGCTCTCGCTGCTGCATGGGTGAAACTGCCGCTACCAGCCCCAGCTTCAATCATGGAATCGCCCGGTCGCACTCTTAGTCGCTGAAGGACGTAGCTGTAGTCGGGCGTGTAGACGACTTGCGTGCGATGGTCAAGAGATGCCGTCCACGCTTCGGGAGTCGGAGGTAGGATGTGCACAAATCCCGAGCCTGCCTCTCTGGGCACGATCGTGCTCTGGTGCGGGCCCTGTTCGCGGCTCTGCGTTTGAGATGTCTTGGGCTTCTTGGCTGGGACGTCTACTGCTACGCGGGTTTGTTCATCCTGTTTCCGCTTTTTGGTGGATTCCTCAGCGGGCACGGCTTCAGACACATTCGATCCCTTCGTGGTCCTGGGTACAGCGTCCGTCGACTGCAATGAGGATGATGTCTGCTGTTTTCCCTTTCGACCCCGAGTGCCAGTGTCGACCTTGCTAGCACGGATCTGACTTCCCCATGGCGTGTCAATCAAGGTAGTATGCGGGAAGCTGCCGAAACGGGTGTTCGTTACAGCGCCTTCAGCGTAGCCATCATCTGCAGTCGATCGGAGAGTCAAAGGTAGTAGACTATCGCGCTTGAGGTAGAGGATCGCTAGCGAATCTGACAGGGCGGTGGGCGGCGGATGGAAGAAAGGTGAGGAAGACATGGTCCCAAAGTCACTGCACCGGCCTGAACTGTTATCACGCGACACACAAGCAGCTGTACCACAGCTACACTGAGCTGAACTCACACGCAGCTCGAGGCGGCGGTACTGGCGGGTCAGACGAGCGAAATATGACTGGGCTTCACGTCTGGGCCAAATGGGACAATGTCATTACAATAATGCAGGACAGTACTACATTCGTTACCCTATCTCGCTCCGCTGGACTGAGCTTCGATCCAAAATTTCTGCCCTGAGCCTCACTGCAAGTGTCACGGGCGGCAATCCATCGGCCGAAATCTTATCGATAAGGCTGCCATTGGAAGAGGGGAATTTCGATGGAAACGAGCCCTTGAGTATTGATCCTCCCCAACAAGTACGCTGGCATTCCTTTCCTTGATTCAAATCGAAGAACGGAAATCAGACCAATCTGGTAAATTATTAGAGCGTATCCTGCGCCTTGGTAAAATACCATCCTAACCATCGTTCTACATGAGGCTAACTGCCTCGACCACGATGATTGTTAGCGTTCGGAGGATTGACTGAGCCATTATCATTGGCACGTGCCATAGTCCTGCAAAATCCAAACAAGGCCGGTGCCTTTGAGTTCGTTGGTGATCATCATGATGTCATGTGAAAAAGTGTACTAGCCTAGCAGTAAACAACCGACGAAAACTTATCGACGAGCCTCGGAAGCATTCAATCGCCACCTGTAGGACAGAGACTTACCACGACCCGACCATAACGTCCCTCATCAATCGATCCCCTGAACATGGTATTATCTATGTGGACTCCAGGCGGAGCAGCGCGAAGCGTTCACAAAGTGCCCTTCAGGCCGTCAGACGCGGCTGAGGGTTGCTAGAACATTTTCGCAAAGTGCAGGTACGTGTAGTGGGCTACGACAAGCATCTCAAGGTCCTCAGCGCTCGCGGACCATGGCGAGATCACAGTACATTTTCTCCAGCGCGAATGTCATTTCATTCCTGGGTAGACATGTATCATTCGACACGTGAAGGCAACTGACGATCGGCGATGATCGTGCCTTGTTCCTGTCCGCTAAAACAACGGAGAACATTTGCGAGCCACCTTTGAGCGACGCCCGCCTAGCAACAGCGGTCAGCCCATCCCCGCGGTGCATGCGGCCAGGTACAGTACCTTGGCGGATATGTACCAAGGAAAGTAGAGCCGCAGTGTATGTGCATCCATGAGCGCTCTCAACACAAGCTAGAATGCGGGATATGCTGGAGTCGGAGCTTGCTTATTTCTCGCCGAGTCCTTTTTTCCCTCTTGCTGTGGAGAGCTCCGACTATACATGGAGTGTTGGCGACAGAGCTTCCCCGAAGCCCGGCTTGGCTTCGTTTTCGGCGATGCATACCTAGGTATGCTGCATCGTGATCTTAACGAATGACGCGTATGCATGAAAGACCTTCTTCCGCGTCGTCCCAGAGTACCCGGGTGTTACGCGTGTGGCGGTCATCGTCAATGCGCAATCGTTTTCACACTTTCCCACCACGATTTGTGTTCATAGGTGGTAAAGGGATTAATAAGCCGATGGCTCTGTCTTGCAAGCGCCTGCAACCTGCGTCAAAGAAGGTCGCATGTCCATGTCGCCTGGGCCAGAATCTCGTCCAATCCCGACCAATCCTGCTGAAACATCTTGCGATACTGAACGACCAGACTTCCGTCCGGCTACACCGTACAAAAGGACTAAATACCGTCGAAAGTCCAGCGGACCCGAGAGGACAGGAGGACGTGTGACATGAGCAGCACAATAGAAGCATAATGATGTTTTGGAAAACATTCTCGTGGTTGGTCGATGTGTTGGCCACATTCATACGCGAATCTCGGCGGAGACGACATTACCTACCTACGTACGGTCAAAAATCGAGTGCCGTCATACAGAAGTGGGCTGTAAAAGGCGCGTGCCCGCCTTCGCTGGGCATGCATGAACAGATACCGTGCGTGAGATCTGAAAATGGGTTGGCCGGCTGGGCCTCAGCATTTTTACTGCTGCTACCGTATGTCTTTGATGAAACCAGCACCGAAAGCTCGGAGCTCCTCCGTCATGTCTCGCTTTGGTTGGGTTTGCCTTTTTTGCATGACTTGGACTTATCGCGATCGCTCCACTCCATCCAACTCGTCAGTACACCGCTGAGCTCCAACTAGATACAATGCACTAGGCCGGCGCCTTGATCAAATGTGTACTATCATACCCAGGTAGGTAGGTAGACGCCTGGAGTGAGTGCAGGAGGCAGGAGATAGGTGCAGACGTGGAGACGAAGGAATGACGATGATATACCTCCATCATCACTGCCATTGAGTCTACTGCCGCCTTCCTCCTGCCGGTCTATTTTCATATCTTTCCGTTTCATCGTCGTCTTTGCTGCTTCCTTCCTTTCTTCTTCTGCTCTTCCTCTACAAATCTCTCACAGACCATCGCTCGCTCCGGTCTTCTCAACGTTCCTCTCGTGGTCGGCTCTTGTCTCTATCTTGACCCGACTTCGAAGGACAGAGACATTTCAAGAACCCATTGTCGCATAGCAACGCACTGCGTCAATTGCGACTCCTCGATTCATCATTCTCACCCGCGCGCACGTCGTCCTGCTGAACTTTCTACCTTCTGACAGGATCAGATCACGAAGTTCTGATCATTGACCTTCTACATACCCTTCGCAGCTCTGCGATCTGTCAGCGTGACCACAGCATCTCCACGAAATACACCATCGTTTCTCAGTGTTGCGTGACGAAATTACCAGCACTCACACCCATCACTCACCTACGTATTGCTTTCCTACATATCGCCTGTACGCACGATTCAGGCCCATTTCTTCTAGGACAGTTAGGCGCTTCTCAGGCCTTCGCCATCCGTTCGCCATGTCTCCTCCACAGGTTTCCAACACGACCATCTACCACCTGCCACTCAAGGATGACGGTTCCCCGAATCTACACGGCGACACCTCATATATCTACCTTGCACCACCCACCAAACCTCATTACTCCATTCGGTTCGAAATCGAGGGCACCAGCTCGATTTGCAGAGACGGCAGTCTATGGGTGAATCTGCCAAAGAAGGGCGAATCCTTTGATCGTGCCAAATTCACAGAGTACAAGCTCAAGCCTACCTTCAATGAGAACATAAAGATCGATGTGCCTGTCTACCTTGCTGGAGCTTTCGAGTTCTACTGCTCATACACGCCCTTGCCGCCTTTCACGACTGGGACATCGGAAGTGCCCAAGCCAACTCGCACGCCCAGTCACTACATCGACGTTTCGCCTAACCTGCGGCTCGACAATTCACACTTGCCGCTTGATGCCATTTCCATCATCTCGGTGCTGTCCAAGTTCATGGGCAAGTTTCCAGCAGACTTCAATCGCCATTTACACGGCATTAGCGAGCGAGGCTACAACATGGTGCATTTCACACCACTCATGATGCGTGGTGACAGCAATTCGCCTTATTCGATTTACGATCAGCACACTTTCGATAAGACAATTTTCCCCCGCGGAGCCACGGATATTGAAGAGTTGGTCAAGAATATGGAACAACACTACGGCCTTCTTAGTCTGACGGACGTTGTGTGGAACCACACAGCCAACAACAGCAAATGGCTTGAAGAGCACCCTGAAGCTGGCTACAACATTGAGACGGCACCGCATCTTCAAGCAGCGTATGAGCTTGACAGTGCCTTGCTCCAGTTCTCGTCTAAGCTCGCTTCATTCGGCCTGCCGACACATCTGACTGGAACCGGCGATCTTCTCAAAATCATGGACGGCATCAAAGTTCATGTCATCGCACCTCTGAAGCTCTGGGAATTCTACGTCTTGGACGCAGATAAGGATACCCAGCTGACCGTGGCTGCATGGTTGGAGAACAAGGTCGATTTCGACGGCGAAGTTCCAGACGATATTGCCAACGCATCGTTGAAGGACAAGGCAGATTGGATCCGCAACCATTGCTGTCCTGGTACCGATCGCATGGGCGAGCGATATCGACGGAAGGTGGCCCCAGAGCGGGCAGCGGCCATCCTCAAGAAGCTGTTCGGCACATACAACAAGCAGGTGAACAGCAGCGCAGACGAGCGGACCGCATACAGTGCCATGCACCAACTCCTGAATGAGGTCAATTTGGAATGGTACAAGGAGTACGATGCAGATTTGACTGTCATCATGGAGCAAATCTTCAATCGTACGAAATACATGCGACTGGAAGAGAATGGGCCCAAAATCGGCGATATCACCATTCAAAACCCGCTCATCGAGACATACTTCACGCGCCTACCGGTAAATGAGACGACCGAGAAGCACCATCCTGACGCTCTGGCTTTGGCAAACAACGGCTGGGTGTGGGCAGCAGACGTCATGCGCGACAATGCCGGTCCGAAGTCAAAGGTCTATCTTCGCCGAGAACTCATCGTTTGGGGTGACTGCGTCAAGCTCCGCTACGGTAGCAAGCCCGAAGACAGTCCCTTTCTCTGGAAATTTATGACTGAGTACACCCAATTGATGGCCAAATATTTCCATGGCTTTCGCATTGACAACTGCCATTCCACGCCTTTGCACGTCGCATCGCACATGCTCGACGCTGCTCGCCACGTCCAGCCAAATTTGGTCGTCGCCGCTGAGCTGTTTAGTGGTGATGAGAAGATGGACTTCTTGTACTGTCAAAAGCTGGGCATCAGCTTTCTCATTCGAGAGGCGATGCAGTGTTGGTCGACAGCTGAGATGTCCAAGCTGGTACATGTCAACAGTGGGCGCCCTATCGGGAGCTTCGAGGTTGACGATATCTCTGGCGCGGACAAGCAGGCTCCAGTCAATGGCACGGCCAATGGACAGCTGCCCCAAGGTCGGGAAATCGTACACAAGATTGTTCCTTCCAAGATACACGCGTTGTTGATGGATTGCACACACGACAACGAGACACCCGTTCAGCGACGCGACGGTCGCGATACTCTTCCCACGTCGGCTTTGGTCGCCATGTGTGCATCGGCATCGGGATCAGTCTTTGGAATGGACGAGCTGTACCCACAGTTGATTGAGCTTGTCCATGAGACACGGCCCTACACCTCGCCGTACAGCGACCTCAAGGAAGGTCAAAGCTTACGCATAGGTCCCAGCGAGGGAATTGGAGGCGTTAAGCGACTTATGAACCAGCTTCACACCATCATGGGCAAAGACGGCTACGATGAATCGTTTGTACACCACGACAACGAGTACATTACAGTCCACCGCATGCACCCGAAGTCTCGGAAGGGCTACTTCCTGATTGCTCATACAGCCTATCCTGGCTATGGCAACGGCAACGGTGGATTTGGTCCCCAGACACTCACGGGTACGAAAGCAAAGCTTCTGGGCGCCTGGGCTTTGGAATGCGATCAGAGCGAGGCTGCGAAGAAAGCAGCTATCAACGACAAAGTTCTCCGCGGAGTTCCCAGCAGTACCAAAGACTTGCGGGGCGTGAACGTTGAGCAGCGTGGCGACAACGCTGTCATCACCGTACCTAGCCACTTCCCGCCCGGCTCCATCGCTATCTTCGAGACATGGATCCCTGGTGCCGAGCACAGCGAGGGACTCGATAAGTTCCTCACATCTGGTGCACGGGAAGCATTCAAGGACTGCAATCTCAACGACATAAATGCTATTCTCTACCGCGCAGACTCGGAAGAGCGAGCTTTGTCCAACGGTGCTGACGGGACATACTCCATTCCAGGCATAGGAAATCTGGTATATTGTGGTCTCCAAGGTTGGCAGTCCGTCTTGCGTGACGTTGTGCAAGAGAACAATCTAGGCCACGCAATCTGCAATCACCTTCGCGAGGGTCAGTGGTCGTTCGACTACATCGTCGGCCGGCTTGAGAAGCTTGCTCAACGTGACATTTACAAACATCTTGCCGGTCCGGCCGATTGGTTGAAGCAACGTTTCGACGCTATCCGCCCTGTTCCGAGCTTTTTATTACCGCGTTGCTTTGCGTTGGTCATCGGCACTGCTCACAAGGCGGCTGAGGAGTGTGCCATCGAGCAAATGCATCCGACGATCCAGAATGGCCAGCGTTTCCTCAAGGAGCTTGCCATGGTGTCTTGCCAAGTTCAAGGTTATATGGAGAATGCCAAGCTGTGGCCCGACAAGCTTGACCCATCGCTCGCCGCGGGTCTGCCGCACTTTGCACAGGATTGGGCTCGTGTCTGGGGTCGTGACACCATGATTGCTATGCGAGGTCTACTGACTTGCACCGGACGCTACGACGAGGCCAAGGAACATCTCCTCTGCTTTGCCAGTCTCGTCAAGCATGGTATGATCCCGAACCTGGTCAACTCCGGAAAGTTGCCTCGGTACAACAGTCGTGACTCTGTGTGGTTCTTCTTGCAGAACATTCAAGACTACGTCAAGTTGGCCCCGCATGGCGATGGATTCCTTCAAGAGCGCGTCCGCCGTCGATTTCTTCCCTACAAGGATGACTGGTTTGCGTGGGACGACAAGCGTGCATATTCGGAGAGCAGTAGCGTCGAGGACGTCATTCAGGAGTGTCTGCAACGCCATGCATCTGGCATGCACTTCCGCGAGTATAACGCTGGTCCTGACCTTGACAGTCAGATGAAGTCTGAAGGATTCAACATCGACATCGAGGTTGACTGGTCCAATGGAATCATCTATGGCGGCAACGAATGGAACTGCGGAACCTGGATGGACAAGATGGGCGACTCTGCCAAGGCTGGCAACAAGGGTCACCCAGGTACCTCTCGTGATGGTGCACCAGTAGAGATAACTGGTCTACTGTACAGTGCCCTGCACTGGGTAGACACTCTCAAGTCGGCCGGCAAGTTCAAGTACGACGGAGTGACCACCAGCGCAGGAAAGCTCATCACATATGGCGCATGGGCGGCGAAAATCAAAGACAGCTTCGAGCACCATTATTACGTTCCTACCGACGAGTCACAATGGCCTCAGTACGACGTGAACCCGAAAGTCGTCAACCGTCATGGTGTGTACAAGGACGTGCACCGTTGCAAGAAAGAGTACCGCGACTACCAACTCCGCCCCAACTTCCCCATTGCCATGGTCGTCGCACCAGAGCTCTTTGATCCCGCCCATGCTCTTGGTGCGCTCGCTCTCGTGGACAAGCATCTCCGAGGTCCCACAGGCATGGCCACCCTGGACCCCGGTGACATGGAGTACTACCCGGATTACATCAACAGCGATGACAGTGACAACTACCACATCGCTCACGGCCTCAATTACCATTCAGGCCCAGAATGGCTCTGGCCCACTGGGTTCTTCCTGCGTGCTCTCCTTCACTTCGATCTCAAGCGCCGGGATACCCCCGCCGGTCGCGTGGAGGCCTTCCAGCAGGTCACTCAGCGTCTGCATGGCTGCAAGGCGATGATTCGCGATACGCCGTGGCGCGGTCTCACGGAACTGACAAACAAGAACGGCTCCTTCTGCAGTGATTCGGTAAGTTTCATCCCTTCGTCTTTCTTTCAATTACCTCCATTTGCTGACTTTACTTCTCATCTAGTGTCCGACTCAGGCGTGGTCAGCAGGGTGCATAATCGACCTCTACGACGACGCCAGTCGCTACAAGATCGATCCTGCGCAGTAAGCATCGAATCATCGTTTGAGAAAAATGCTGATACGGTTCTCATGTTGACGTAATGATTTGTGGGCTCATGATGACGAGTTGCATCGGTGTGGTCGGTGGAAAAGTTTTGGTGATTGAAGACATTATTTGAAGAGCAGGAGAATATCCCCCTCGAGTCTATTGTTATTTCCCTACGTCCATCTCTATCGTCCTAGTTGAAATACAAATCTAAGAAATAACGTTCGGCCTCATCGTGTCTCCCTTGTATCACGGTGCACAAGATGCATATTCATGTGTCGTTTTAGTACGCACATATGCTGCAGCGACAAACATCATCGTGCCAAAGTCTTCTGCAGCATAATGTTCGAAAATTCGGGCGTTCATTCGTTCGCTGATTATGGAAACTAGCTATGCAAATACGTACTGATCTGACCTTCATCATACGATGATTGTCTTCTGCTCTGTCGTGTTGTTCTTTCCAAGATGTGGGTGCGCTGTTGACTAGACAGACATCGGCCTGCCGGTCTGTCATAATCTATACCAGCGCTCCTCCGCTTGAATGGATACATGGCGAGGCAAATCTGTGCAAAATGAAGAAACAAACGTCGGGAAACATCAATCCGGAAGCCCGACAGAGCGAGCGAACAAAAAAAACACTTTTCGAAAAACAATTGTACAAGCAACTGCTCCGACGGTCTGAATCGTTCGCTTCAATCACATCAATATTATATAGCTGGCCACACAGCAAGTTGCTACGGCGTCCAAGTTGGCGTGGCGATCCAGCTCTTTCAATGCGTGAAACTTCATGGTGCCATCATAAAGCGGAACGTTCTGGATTCCGCGGTGGCTGCAGGACGGACTCGAAGCTTCGGAACAAGCCTGTGCGGCGAGGATCACCATCCTCACTGCTGCCGCCGAGTACCTCGCCATTGAACTGCTCGAAGCGATGCTGGTGGACGGTCAGGTGAGAGCCTGTGCTTGAGGGATAGGCGAATGTGGACTCTTTCTCGGTTGACTGGCGCTTTGTTGGAACGTCCGGTGACACAACAAGGGCTGTGAACGAAGACGAAGTGCTGTCAGTGGCAGTGCTGCTAGTCGTGCCATTGGAACAGAATGAATCCGACGAAGATGAGTTGGAAGAAAATGAAAACGGTAGCGATAGCAATGACGACTTTGGCGAAAAGAAGTCAGGTGAAGCCACTGGATTGGTGATCGTGGCCGTAGGACGCCATGGGGATTTGGTCGTTATCAGTGGTAGAGGAGGTAAATTTCGAACGACACGACTGCTACTGATTGGAGGAAGATTGAGCCAGCTGTTATCAGCGAAGGGCTCACGGACAAGGCTTTGGGTCTGCTTGTGAGATGGAGTTCTGAGGGCCAGTAATTCGAGATCAGGAGTGCTGAAGTGATTTAGGGACCGCCGCGTTTTCCCTGAATGAGGAGAAACATGCCTTGTAGATGTTGTCCGTACGCTCGAAGTTTGGACGGGAGTGGTGCAGTTCAGAACTTGTGGGTCTGAAGAACCGCTTTCATTGTCATCCTGCTCTTCATCGTAGCAATCGACCGCTGAGGGGGCGTTTTCATCGTCTTCGTCGACATCGCTGTCGACAAGGTCATCATCAATTTCAGCTGAGCCATCGTTTTGTTGGAGACCCAAGGCAGCCTGGTGCATGAGGTTCAGCGTCGCACCAGCTGATATTTCAGACATACGCCTGAAGCCTGGCTGCAATCCGTTTTTCTTGCGCTCGTCATGAAACGTACGCTGAACTTCAGCCTTGGGACGTCCTTGACGCGCCGCGACACGATCGATAGCCCGCGTCAGTCGCTTCTGTAGCGCAGCGAGTGTCACAACCCCTCCCGGATGTGCAGTAGAGTGTGCAGCATTGATAGCGTTCTTCAGAGCCACGACTGGGTATCACGCAGCTAGTCGGATGAGATTGTCGCGATCTATGAGATCGGGACTACCAGCGAGCATAGTCGCCTCGGATGTGTCGGCAGGATAGGTGAAATAATTGCGCGGATGTCGACCGCGAGAACGTGATGGCCTTGGCCGAGCCTGGACATTGACAGTTCCAAGGCTGTGTTTACGCTTCGTTGTAGCTGATTGCCCCATGTGTCGAAGAGAAGTATTGCGAATGCTTGGCTTTCGATGTATATCCGTCATGAGTACGTCTCCATCGATATCGCAAGAAGGCGAAGTGACTCGACAACGAGGGACGTGGCTGTCTCGCCGGTTGTCGTTGACGTTTTCGATGCCCTCGTCGTCAGATGTCGAGCAGGAAGTCATGCGTGTAGTGATAGAAGGCGAGCTTGGATTGGTTACTGTCCAATCTCCTTCGAGAGCAGACATCTTGACTGCGACAAATTGTAACGTCACCTTCTGTCTTGCCCAAACGTCGTCAATGGATCGGTAAGAAGGAACAATGACCGCGCTCCGATGAATGAAACAGTAAATTTGTGAAGGACAAGACCTTGAAGTGTTTGGAGAGGAATGAAAAAGAGCGGATGGGTCATAATGATGTTTATGATGATTGAAGAATGCAAGGTTGATTGCCCGGGCTGCCAGCTGACAAGGTGAAAGCTTCAGTACTAGAGCGGGCAGCTGGACTACCACATGAAACACACCAGAAGCTCCGTTCTCTTCATTTGCTTGTGACGAACTGGCAAATGTCGTCAAACACTCTTTTCAGAAGTCACGCCTCCTTTGGGATGGCGTCCATCCGGTCTTCCCCGATCCTTGCCACGACACCTCAGAGGTTAAGCATGACCCGTGAAAGCAGTCGCGGCGAATGGGCCATGAACGAAATGACTAGTGGAGATACCTGCAGAGGAATGCTTGATATTCGAAGGTTTGATTGCCATCCCAAACAGCTGATCGTCGTAACGCTTGTTCAACATGCATTGGCGCTTGCAACTATTGATCGTAGGCGAAGTCATCTTGTCGAATGTCTCTATGATTATGGGATCATGTTTGCAGTGGACGGCAGTGAAATGGCCCATGCAATCTTTCTGTCACGGCCGTCTTCGGCGATCCGATGACGATCGTTCTGGTTGCGAGTTGATGGCATTTTTTCAGTACTGGCAAGTCGGAACTGAGAGGTGAAATTTAGTACGCGGCAAATATTTAGCTTGCTAGGACATCTGGTAAGCTCAATCATGCTTGTGCATCTGAGCAACGCTTGAAATCTTGCAAATCGAACGGCATCGCCAAACATTCTTTTCCTCCTAATCAGGAACTTGACAATGTAGCCCACTTGGGCAGGAACAAAATCAATGGCGCAAGCCCCCAACCCATTCCTGACAGCTCAAAGGGAGACTCGCTGCTGAGCATGGCTAAGCAAGCTGGCCCTCTGGATGCGGAACATCATCCTCTAACAACTGTGCCTGCTCTGCCTCTAGCTTCCACTGCAGGAAATCAAATCCGACCTCTTCCATGCGATGTACGTCTGTTCGCGCCTTACCCAATTCAATGAATGCAGTCCTGATCTTGGGAAACCTCTCACGGACCCAATACTGTTTCTCCTCCCATCTTGGAGGTCGCTTGCCTCCCTCTGACGAGCATGCCCAATCGTGTAGCGTGTTGATATAGTTGGCGTCGTCAGGGAAAGGTTGTGTGTGAAAGGTGCGACCATCACCTCTTTGTTCTATCTCATCCGCTTCCCATGCCTGCATTTCTGGTTCGCTTGGCAACTCTACCTTCCCAGCTAAAACTTTAGCCACGACAGCGCCTTGCACTTCCGCGACAGTGAAAGGGATGACTTTTTGTGGTAGCCCCAGAAAGATAAGTGTGGGTGCTGGCTGGTAGAAAAGGTGTCGATATAGGTTTTGCACGCGCGTGCCGTCGCCAATGAGAGGCGCGGCAGATTTTTGCAAGCTTTTCAAAAAGGGATATGCGTAGTAATACCTGTGGAATGCGATGCTCAGTCAATCTAGAGCCCACATACTCAAGCTATTTGTCCAAGCATACCCTGTACAGTAAAGTATACGGTCTACGTCGGTGACCCTACTGCCGTCCGCAAATCGAACGGCCCGGTTGGCGATCTCATATGCCACAATTTCCGGCCGCATGTCATAGCGGTCAGAAACAGTGTCAGCAGGCATGAAATAATTCTCTGAGCGTGTCGAGAAGATTAGCGGTAAGCTACAGTAATTGGCAATGTGCCGGCCAATGTCGCTGCCAGATGCTGCGTTGCCCACCACGACCACTTTTTGGCCAGAATAACTCTTTGATTGTCGGAAATACTTGGAATGTGAAATGCGTCCCGGGTAAGCCGCATTCCATTCTGTGATACCTGGTGTGTTTGGAACAAAGGGCACGTCGTAGTGACCATTAGCTACGAGGACTGCGTCGAAAGTTGTCGACTGCTTAATCGTCTGCTTGTTGCCAGCCATATCACCGATTGCTTGTGTGGTGACTGTCCACTTCTCTGCAGCATCGAGCTGGACGTCCAAGACTTGTGTCGCGAACCTGACCAAGTGTCGTACTTTTTGACCATAGCGCTCCAAATACTTTAGCACAGTTGCATGATCTGGGAATAGAGGGGTCTCTTCAGCCCAGCCTTGGTCCGAATAACCTAGTAATTCTAACGGAATATTCGTCTCTAGCTCATCATATATGGGTGTCGTGAAAGTCGGCTTCTGGCCCGGAATGATATGCTGTTGCTCACTGTTATGGGGCACATAGTATGGGTCTGTCTGCGGGAGAGGTATCCGTGGTAGCGCGTGAATGTCTTCGTCTATTGATGTGTAATTCCAAAGTCCTCCGACGTTGTCGCGTTGCTCGAAGATCACGATTTCCGAGGAGTTTCCCTCAGCGATAAGATATCTATCACAATACGTCTTGTCAGTCGCGATGGTCGTGCAATCTTGAGCGGCGAAAGCTTCCACAAAGCCCAGCCTTACTTCGCCGCTGCAAGACCACTCGGACCAGCACCGATAATGCAGATGGATTGAGCAGTCGTCCGTCTTGCCGATGCGGACGTCATTTCGCTAGATCAGCCTGTCGAACGTCGTTTCACAACAGAACTTCCTGCGCCGACAAAGGTGGCATGTAGGCAAGGAAGGTGCGGTTGATGACAATGACCCAGCTAGTTTTCTGATGATTCGATGACGTCCGGACCTGTCCTTCCACACAACGATCTAGGGTAAATGTTTTCGCAACGGTCCTCTTTGATGGACCCTAGCAGACACACATTCCCACGTTGGTTGGACAATTCACGTGCTTTGTCGTTGAAAGCACGATCTCAGCGGATGGTTTTCCTGCTGAGGTGCTATTAAGACCATATTGTGTAACCGAGATACACACCTGGGCAAACATGCAAACAGTTGCAATTACTGTTAATTACGAATGCAGCAAATTCAACGGCTTATCAATCACTTCCGCTCCTGATCCACAGCTTGTTTTTCAGACTTTCACGGCCCATCATCTCGAAAGGCGGCTTTAGTTTACAGACTTTCGGGTGTCAGCCCCATGATCGACGCCGCAGCGGCACTTGGCTGGCACCGAAGTTGCGTTCTCGGCGCCAAACATCATTGTCCGGGAATAGCTGAGAGGTAATAAGTTCCGGATGACAATTGAGTGATCACATGGGTGCACACGAGAAACGACATCCGTAAGCATAAGCCCTGTATATAAGATCTTTAGATTGGTCCATTCGAAGCTTTGTCAACACGCTCTCACCAAAACATTGAAGTCTTGTTAAAGTATAGTGCAAACTGTTGCAAATGTCGTCACCCGTTCCAATCGCCCTCTGCGGCAAACTACCTCACCTGACGGAACATTTCAAGAAGCACGTTCAGCCCGATTATGAAGGTTTGTGATCATCCAAGAAGTAATGTACCTATAGTCGAGGGAGTCGGAACAAGATCGATTAAAAGACCCTTCACTAACGAACCCGCGATCGGCTTGTAGTTGTGCAACACTGCGATTCAGTCGAGACGGCTAAAGTCGAGCTTCCCGCGGTCCTCCGTGGCGATAGACCCGGCGTCAGACGCTTCCTGGCTGTTGTGGTCGGCGGTGGCTTTTCACCCGACGAGCTCGCAGAGATCCGCGCAGTTCAGGGACTCGAGCATCTTGTCTGGTTCTACCCGGCCAGCGTGAATATTTCCAAGCAATCGGCTCCACCGCCCGCGGAAGTGATCGCCAATGGTACGTTGAAGGCTATGCGGAAGGTTGGACTTGTGCAGGGAGTAAGGGAAGGTAATGTCGAGCCAGGGGTATACGATTCGATTGCCTAGGAGGGAAGGCGGGCCAAAACCTCGAGAGGAAACTTCATGAAAAGCTGAAATTCGCGAGAAGAGAATATCCTCATCGAGGCTGAAGGGCTAATTTACAAAATGTATGACGGCAGCATGCCGGCACTGTTCCAGTAGAGTACAAATTTGATATGCAACGGCTGGCTGTTCATAAAATACGACAAGAGGTGCTCAGACTCTCATGCGTATAGTAGCACGTTCGATCTCTCCGATGATGCCACGTCCGGCAATAGCCCATTTCTCACTCACCAAATTGTCCGTGACGGTGTCACGGAGCATTCCGGACTGGGCGTAGTAGTCGATAATACCACGAGCTTCCGGCCGATCTATGCCATCCAAGTACCACACGTCTACGGTGCGCATCACTTGCTGGACGAGCTTGTCATGGGCAATGAAGGGACTCCACAGACCGGTTGAAGAGAGCTTCCTCCGGGCTTCGTCTTTCGCAAGGCAGATGTCAAATGTCGGCACTTGAGGCCTATTTGATCCACTCGTTGCACCAATGATCATGCCGCCGTTTGGCAACTTGACCTCTCCAGAGAGGAGGGATGTGAAATGTTTGATCAATGCCAAACGATGAGCATGGATAGGGCGAGCAAGACGGTCCAGGTAGCTTGATTCTCGCATAGCATGATCGATCCCATCCATAGTAAAGAGCACTTTCGGCCGCTCTACACCAGACTTTGGATCGGTAGGTGTGCTCAATTCGGTCCAGAATGCCTTCCACACGGGCCACGCGAGATCGGCTTGTGCCGCTCCCAGTTGTACAAGTTCCGCAAGTGTCATGTTTTCCTTTAGAGGCACTGCAAGTTTATGCTGCTGACTGACACGTAGCTTCATAAGCAGCTGGCGATTCGCGTTCAGGACATTCGACAAAAGCTTGGCAGTCGCTTGCGGTTGAATGTATACGACTCCGTCTGGAGTCGAGATGGGCTCGTAAGCAGTGTGTCCGATGGTGATTTCATTTCCGTCGGGAATATGAACCACGATCCAGCCGCGTTGTAGTGCCATAGCCATGGCTTGCAATTGAAGCACGCTCTTCCCCGTTCCTTTAGCGCCGGTGATGATTGACCGGGCTGTTTGAGGCGCTTTCGGAATCTCCGTGTACTCTTCCTCGCTCAGACCTTGCTCACTTTCACCGACTGCCTCCCCAGAAGCCTTGGGGTTTGCGGACGCCTGAATCGATCTGACTTTCGAAACAGGAATCACACCGCGCGCATCCAGACGTTCAATTTTGCCTGCCATGAGGAGAGTGTCCTTCCTCACCAGAGTCGCGGGTCGACGGAAAAATGACCATGCTTGTGTATGTCTGAAAGCTTCCAGTGCGCGTAATGAGTCCACGGTTGCCTGCTGAAGACCCATCATGCGCGCATGTAGCGGCGCTAGGCGGTCTTGACTCGCATTGTCGGGGGTCAAATCCTTCAAGTCTTTAATTTCGATGGCATTGACGTTCGTAAGGGAAAGCTTCTTTCGCATTGCTTTACGTTCGCCAGGTTCCGGTGGTTTGCCGCCTCCGGCAGCGCGTACGTTCTGCGAGAGCCTCAATGTCTTCCGTCGGAGGCTGGCGGCCACAACTGCCGAAGCGGCCGTGGAGGTAGAAAATGCAGCATGCTGGACCAACTCGATGACCGCCGGTCTCTGAGCCCTGCTTGCCGTGCGCCTAAAGCAGTGCGAACATAGCGGTGATGCCAGGTTGGCCGACATGGCGACGCCGGATAAAATAGTCGATCAATCGTACACGCCCAGATATGTTGCACTGCTGAAGTTCGAACACCATTCTCAAACTTTCGGGGGTGCCCAAGCTCAACTGGGCAAGTCCGCACCCGTGAATATCATGTGGCATCACATCTGTCACCACGATGACCCCGATAACATCACGTGATGCAGGCTCGTTGGGAAATTATTTTTCACCGAGAGACAAGCAACCAACATTCTAAGGTATCTCACATACCCCGAGGATCGCAATAGAATGCGAGCAGCACGTTCGGCATCCATGCGTCAGGTTGTGATCACAACCGTGAGCCCGCTCACCAACAATAATCGAGCACGGGAATGTCGATGATATGAATTACAAGGAATCATATTCTTCAATGTCTGAGGCGTTCAACGTAGTTCAAACTTATGCACCCATACCTTTGTCTCGCCATGTTCATTGCGTTTGAGAAAGTTCCGCCTACCTCGTTGCATGTACTTCCAGACACCATCACCCTCACCAATTACTTCTACACTGGTTTCCGAAATTGTGTCCGTTGAATCTTTCATGAAGTGTGTGTGAAACATTTGTTCTGCTGCTTCGTTCGCACGAGCTTTGGTCTTAAAGGCGGCGAGCATTCCTCCGTCCTGTCGTAGCTTGTCGTTTGACGCAAAATGCTCGCAAACAAGATAGCAAGTCTGTGGTGTTTCGATCGCAGCCCGGTTGTGCTCTTGACGCGACTCGGATCTCGGTGTGTCGGGCTTGATTCTGTGACCGGAATTCTTCTGCACCATCAGGAGTCCAACTGATCCATGCGCATCTCTCCAATACAAGCGTAGCTCGCCCAGCGGTGTTCGACGTTGCTGACACGTGGATTTAGTGGTTTTCGTCTTGTCTATGAATTCCGGCGTTACTCCCAGGTCCTTCATTTTCATTCCCGCGACTTTCGGGCAATTTTGATGGTATGCCTGCCATGCAGCGAGAGTCGCATCCGCGTTACTGTCGTATACTCCCAGAACGCTCACGCTCGCCTCAGGGTATAGAGATCGCTGGTCTGTGGGCGTATGATTGAAATATGGAAATGCCAAAAGCACAGTATATGTATCAGCGGCATGATACTGATTCGTGTCAAGGCCTACTCTCGCGGCCGGACGAGTCAACTCCTGAATTTCAGCTCGAAGTCTTGCATTTTCTGATCTGAGCGCGTCGATGTTCAAGTTGTCTACTGGATCGCCTGGATCCTGCCTCGTTGATGATCGTTGTGAACCGGGTCGGCTAGCTTGCGGAGGCGGGCTAGCCTCGTCCAATTCCGTATCCAGGATGTCCCCAATATCCTCGTTCCCAACGGAGTGATTTGACGCGGCGATATCACTTTTTGTGCCGTCGAGCGTTTGCCGGATCGGCTCTTCAGAATATCGTGCGTATGCCGATGTTTCGATATTCGCATCACTTCGCTGCTTCTTAACACTGAGTTGGGATTGGTCGTTGTGTAGATTGGGGACTTGAGGCAGAATACGTTTCGTGCGTTGCGAAGCAGGAGATGGTTCTGCATCAACATAATCCCGAGCTTCTACTTGTGACGTGAAGAATCGATACCGAGCATCCGGATAATCTTTTGTCTGTTCCATCGCCTCGCGTACGGTGGCATACACCCCGGGCACGTGCCCAACACGGACGGCAACCCATTTGTTGACAGTGTGCACGTCACCATTGCCCCCATCAACGAAATCTTGGGCGTCCTCGCGCGTCGGAAACGACTTGAATTTGGCCTTTGGAAAGCCAGTAATTTGCGCAAGACAGTCGTTCCAATTTTGATATACACCAGGTTGCGCACCAACTCGCACCGCGTAGAACTTGCCAGCTCCCCTTATCACCCTGCGCCTCCGCTCCCGGTCTTTGCGTTGTTGCGAGAGTGCCGCGGATGATGTGGGAGTCGAGGTTTGTGACGCTTGAGTTGCCATTTCTTAGAGCGCGGCTCGATGCTTCAAGTATTAGGACAAGCTTGGCACGAATGCAGAGACAAGATAATGTGCTGTTCTTCAAGTTCGGCTGACCATGCCTTGTTTATGTCGTCGAAGCAAACAGGATCTAGGCTCGGTCGTTGAGTTTCGTAACTAAGCAGGTATTTATGCAGTCACGGCAGCGTTGTAGGCGCAAGTTACTAGGTGAGCGATCATATGCGAGGGAAGTGACTGGCGCGTGGCAGTGAACCTTGGAATACAGACAGCCCGTCAGAGGCGAATCCGGGGAAGGGCCTGCCCAGAAACAGCGCCGGCAGTTTGAGCGGAAAGGCCCCGGAGGAGAGGTCGGAAAACCTGGATCGGTGCCGGACGCCGCTCCGCGTAGATGTGTGAATCAGTTGATCAGGAGTCCTCGTGATCTGTCGCGTTGGAGGGAGCAAGGTCTGCCTTCCTGCAATATCTCTCAATCATGAGGTGATGAATTTCACATCAAGTGGAGTATCATACATCCAGAATCAGGACTTGAACCAAAGTCAGTCCGGATTCATGCAATGAACTAGCACGCCAGCAGCAATATCCTCCATCGCGGTTAACGGCCAATCGGCACAGTAAGCTGGAAATGAAGTTTCTCCTGGGTTTCCTATTAGCCGCCGCCTCGCTCACATCCGCCACTGTTCAGCTTTTCCCAAAGGATCCCATTGTTTCCCTACAGCTTTATGCTGACCTGGAGGAACTCGCTCGACTGGTCGATATTGCCTACTGCGTCGGCTCAACCAGTCTGGGTATCGCATCCCCATTCCGGTGTCTCTCTCGTTGTGCCGAATTTCCAGCATTCGAGCTCGTCACGACCTTCAATACGGGCCTGCTCTTCTCGGACTCATGTGGCTACATCGCCTTGGACCATGACAGGCGACGGATCATCGTCGCGTTTCGCGGAACGTACAGTCTCGTAGACACCATCGTCGATTTGAGCACGATTCCACAGGAATATGTGCCATTCCCAGGCAACGGCGACAGTGACAAAGATGGTCAAAGCGATGACGGACAACAATCGCTCGCGTGCAACAACTGTACCGTCCATGCTGGCTTCTACTCTTCTTGGCTGAGCACCCGTTCAATCATAGTGCCATACTTACAGGCAAATATCGCTCGCCTTCCAGGATACAAACTGCATCTTGTAGGACATAGCCTTGGTGGCGCCATCGCAGCTCTCGCCGGTTTGGATTTTCTCTCCCGCAATTGGAGTCCTACGGTCACTACGTTTGGCGAGCCGCGAATCGGAAATGCGGCTCTCAACCGATTTCTCGACGACCGCTTCGGTCTGAAACATAGCTCCAACACAACATCCTTTCCACAGCCAACGCATGGCCCCGAAGTATCCGATAAGATCGTTATCGGAGTTGACCACCTCACATATCGCCGCGTGACCCACATCAATGACCCCGTCCCTCTCCTTCCGCCACGTAATGTTATCATCGGAGATTATTCGCCCCACGCTGGCGAGATTTTCATCTCATCATCAGCTCCGCCTCCAGAGCTGTCGTCGGTCCGCCATTGCGAAGGAGATTCTGACATCAATTGCTCTTCTTCACAAGACAACCACAAAAAGCCTGAAGAGGAGCCGTCTGAGTCTGAAAGAAATCCTACGAGAAGCAATCTTCTCGCGGGCGTACAGCACGAGCTGATTGAAGCTCGAGCAAGGGAGGATCCCTGGTGGGACGGAGGACTGCCGCCCGAACGTTATCGCTTCTGGCAGCTGTTCTGGGCGCATCGAGAATACTTTGTGAAGATCGGGCTATGTATTCCCGGTGGTGAAGGCATTCTACTTGACGAGCAAGGCCATGCCAAAAAGTTTGATATGCACGAGAAAACCGACCTCTGAGTTCGCTTTTACCTAGTACGTCATTCCACCCCTGGGAAGATTGGAAATGGAGGATAAGACGCGGATTCCCAAGAGACCATAGAGCCTGGGGGAATCTCGTCAAGGCTCGTTTCTTTTGCTATCGACAGTGCGCACGTAAGCTGCATGTCATGTCTCTTGTGGGATTGACGAATCGATAGGTTGGACAAATACACACGTCACAACTCTGGTAATCGCTTCACGCTTTCCTAGCAAAGGTTACAGGGACCCTATTCGGGTGTGTATACAGACGCTCAATCGGTTCGAGAGTGCTTATCCACCATAATCATGGCAGAAGATATGGTATCTAGATTCAGTTTGGTCCTACGTGTGCGAATGAAGTGCCAGGCCATATGCTCCAATGTCAAGCATGGGATAGACAAATTGCATTCTCCCATTATCGCCTTGCATGGCTAATATCCAGCTTCCAACACTTTACGCCTTACTTGTCTAATCTTTCCGTTCCCTTCGTCCCATCCTCTTTCTTTTTGCCCCTTTCACTAGTCTTCGTTCTATTGTCTGATTTAGACATCGAATAGCTTGCGCAACTCGGCAATAGTGTCGTCGGGCGTCGTGACCGAGTGACCAATGGTTCGCGGGTCCTCGTAGATCTCGTAGTCGTTGCCGCCCTTGTAGGTCTTGTCGCCGAAAAAGTGGATGGTGGTGTAGTCGACGCCGCCGGGCTGCTCCTTTTCTGCGGCGATGTGCTGGAGGCAGTATGTCTTGTCCCAACCCTGGGGGAAGACATCGAATGAAATCTGGCCACCGATCGAGAAGCTGCAACATGACCCGTCAGTACATTATTGATCGTTCGACCGTCCTGCACTCTATAATCTTAAGACCACTTACGTCAAACCGAGATCGGGGAATTCATTTTTGATCGCCTCGATGAACTTTTCGCGAATCTTGTGCTCGAGGTCGAATTTCTCATACTCAATTCGCTCCGGAATGCTGCAGTTACGGCCCACGGGACTGACGTTGATCATTCCGTTGCGGAACTCGATGAATGTGCCTCTCTTGAACGGAAGGTCCAAATCTGCGATGTAGTGGAGGATGAAGGAAGACAGCTTTTTGTATTGGTCCTCGCCAATCCATTTAATGAAGCTGGTGCTGGCTAACGGCTGACCCATTCGAAATGCAGTCAAGCCATTCTCTGAGAAGCAGAAGTCGAAAAGGTTGGTGACTGGAATAGACGAAGTGCCGAGCTGCTCTTGCTGTTTCGCGAGGTCGGAACCGCCGACGAATCCAATGGCGACTTTGTGGCGGAGGGCAGAGAGGACTTGAAGGACTTCGGGTTTGACGAACTGTACGCGAGACACAACAAGACTGTGATTCAGCATAGGCTTGGTTCAAGAGCGCTACGGTCTCTCTGGATATGCGAGTGATCGAAGAGCGTTGCGGGAGCAGAAGGTGGGAATTGAATACTGACCTGGCGAGCAAGTGTGAGGGTGCCGTCGACATCGAAGAGCACGATCGTGTTTTTGATCGGACGGTCCGCAAGCAAGGGAACGACACTTGTGGCAACGGCAGCCATGTTGTCGTGATGTTGGGAGATCTGGCGAAGGCGCTGAATGATGGTGTTGGAAGTCGCGCCGAAGTGCGAGCGGACGTGAGGAATGCGCTTTGAGCAACGGATGTAGAGAGTAGCAGTAGGAACACTCGAAAGAACGATTGACGATGGCGAAATGAGTTTCCGAAAAAGTACAAACAAATAGGCGGTGGATCAACGTGATTTTATTTTTGACAGATGGCGACTACGGCCAAGCGAGAGCATTAAGTCCGTCCGAGTAGTCGATCTATGCAGCAAGCCGCCAATGGAAGTCGAGGACCCCCTAGGTATTCCTCGAGGGCGATGCAGAGAGCTCCAGAAGAACACGAGCTCTCCAGCTCTCTCCAGTACTCCGACCAAGCGACCGACCTACCACTTCGCAAGTCCGCATCTTAGCAATGAAACAATGAATGTATGCATGGTGGGCATTGGTACGTCGATTGGGTACACAGGTTGGCGCTTCTCTTATTATGTTGTTATTATTCTGTACCGGCGTGACAGAGCAGTGGAAGATACCCCTCAAAGGCGTCGTTGCGCTGCTTCTGACCCCGCGCTGGACCGTGAGAAGTGATCGGCGTTGCGCTCTCAAACGCTCCGGGCATGATATCCAATGCGAGATGAACGCTTGCGCACACTTAAGCCCACAAGAACAGTGCCAAAACGACAGAACACGAATGGTCTTGGGCCCGATTCATACATCTCAACCGCCTCCTCTCCGCTGGTGGAGGAACGATTCAGTCGTCAAGGGGAAAGTGGACCACTCACGATCGTCGGGCCACATGGCTCACATGCCTCAGGCCCATAAATCTGGGATCCATGTAGAACAATGGAAGACTCATTGGAGAAAATGGAGATTGGGTGTTTTCGGCTCACGTTCCTACCCAGGTACTCAGCAGGACTAGGTTCCTTCCATGGGCAATATCGGAGAACTCTTGAATGAACCCCATCGCGTACATATCCAACGGTGCGTGCGGGCGTGGTGCGGAACTCTCTCCGCCTCTGATTGGAAAGCCTGAGTACCCACCTGCAGTGATGGACAGTAGGAGGTGCCTAAGCAAATGTCCCCAGCTTCTTCGCCTCGCGTCATATCACACGAGGATGCGTACGTTTCAATTCTAATAATGATGATGACAATAATAACAACAACGAGCCATGCGCCTATGTGCGGAATGGCTGTCAAAGGAGTTTGCTAACAATGTGATCGCCGGTTCTTTTTTAGCACGCTCGCGTCCCGCTTCAGCCCCAGGATTGGTCCCTGCAGGTTTGAAGATGACACTTTATGAGATAGATGTTCGAGGGAAATTACCGAGATAGGGAAGGCGGAAATCGCATATTCCGCACCTCATTGCCAACAGTGCCTGCGGGAAGCCTCCGGGCCTGTTCCACGGGTGAGTGGCGCAGGCAACACTGGGCAACGCCTACAGCGGAATCGGTTGCGCACTCCCTTCTGTGGTCTTGCCATTCACTTCAAGCGATACTCAATTTTCGTAGATCGAACGCTTTGAAATGTGTCGATCATTTTCCCTTTCGTTTGCTGATATGTCGGAAAACAGCCGCAGCAACTGATGATTTTGCCTGTGCGTCGCCAAAACCATGCTGGATGGCAGAGAGAATGACGGTACTAGGCGCGCTGGATGGTGATCGACATCGTCATGTTCTTGAAACATGTTAACATCATGGCGACTCTGAGAGATACATAAATCCCGAGCCATCTCCAACTTTCAAGAGCATCATCAACAGCAACAGCAACAGCAACATCTTCACCTCTCAAAGATCACACACAACCAACCACGCCCACCAAGATCCAAGATCCAACTAATGGTCTTTACTCGTTTCCGACTCTCGGGATTCTTCAACAAAAGCAAGCGCAACAGCATGTCTTCCTCTATTCTCAAGAACGTCGTTCTCGTGGGTGCCTCGGGCAGCATTGGCAAGGTCATCCTCGATGCTCTTGTTCAAGCTCCTCAGCTCCACATTACTGTCCTCACTCGCTCCTCAAGCTCTCACACTTTCCCGGCAAACGTGACAGTCCGCCCGTCCGACTTCTCCGAGGCGGATCTTACCGCCGCGTTTAAGGGTCAAGATGCTGTCATCTCAGCCGTTGGCGCGACTGCTTTTGCCGAGCAGAAGAAATTCGTCGATGCCTCCATCGCTGCTGGAGTCAAGCGATTCATCCCATCAGAGTTCTCTTCCAACACCTTGAGTCCCGCTGTCTGCGAGCTTCTGCCTCTCTTTGGACAGAAGCTCGAGATCCTTGAGTACCTTAAGACCAAGGAGTCCAGCAGCTTCACCTGGACCGCAATCTGGACTGCCCTCCTTTTTGATTGGGGCCTTTCCAACGGCTTCCTCGAGTACGATATTGCTGGCAAATCCGCCACCATCTGGGACGGCGGCAACAGCAAGTTCACCTTGACCAATGCCGAGCAGCTTGGCCGTTCAGTGATTGCTACTCTTGAGCGGCCAGTCCAGACCGCTAACAAGAACCTCTACGTCGCTTCCGTTGAGACCTCGCAGAAGGAGATCCTTGAGGCCTTCGAGGCTGCTTCCGGGTCCAAGTTTACTGTTGTCAACACCACCACCAAGGAGCAAGTCGCTGCTGCCCAAGAGAAGCTCAGCAAAGGTGACTTCTCTGGTGCCTTTGCCCTTGTACGCGCCACTAGCTTCGCAACTATTCCCAACCTTCGCGCGAACTATGTTAAGGACGAGCAATTGTCCAACGACCTTCTCAGCCTCAAGTTCGAGAGTGTTCAGGAGACTGCTGCCCGCGTCGTCGCTGCTGCGGCCAAATAGATTGCTCCTCTGGAGCTGATGGTCAGCGATGCTTGATGAATTTCTTTGGTCAACACATAGATTCCTTTCTGTTACACTAGACTCTGATTGAATCAACTCTTAATTTCAAAACCATGAGCTTCTCACGTTGCAAATTTGATCGTATTGCGTGGTGCATGTGTAATTATCTTGCGAGTTCTCCTGTCTTGTTCCCTTACATTTGGACTATCCCGATGTCAGATAGTCGAGTGCACAGATGATCAGCAATGGCGGACCAACAGTTCGTGTAGGACGGTTCGGAAAGAACGTTATGTCAATGAAAGAATGGAAAATATCTCTACATAGCGGAACGCTTCAGGTCGTCGTGTAAATTCCACGCAGCTTCGCTGACTTCGAGGTGCGAAGTATGTGACGGCCACCTCTCGCTGAGGAGCAGGAGTAGACCGCTCTATCAGAAAGAAAATGATCATGGAATCAATTCAGGTCGAGGATTCGATGCAACATCGTCTTTGCTCTCTATTGTAAGATGGAGAAGAGCTTTTGAAGAGACAAATCGGCTTGGCATTGAGATTATGAGAAAGGGAGGTAAATCGAATGTCAGAATTTGGTGAACAAAGAAAGACCCGTGTTGGTCAAGCGAGCACCAAGAACAAATGATGAGCCAACGATCAACGTCAATCCGCTAAAGATCTGCATGCCCACATATGACCCGCCATCACGCGCGAGTAAAGCACCACCAATAGGACTTGCAGTAAGGCCGGATATAGAGGCGGCAAGAAACAGGAGGCCCGTCCTGTAGCCAATCTCCTGAAAGGGTGATAATTGAACGACCATGGATGCAGCTAAAGCGATGTAGGCTCCAGAGAAGAAGCCAAACAGTACTGAAAATGCGAATAGACCAGCGTGTGTTGAAACAGGAATCCAAAGTGCCAGGGAGAGTGTTCCAGCAATGTAGCAAGCGATTGCAACGACGTTAAATGGTCCGAGTAGATCAGAGGCACAGCCTGCTGACAACCTGCCAAGCAGACTATGATGGTGTTAACAAGTGCTGAGCACGATATGAAGAACGGACGTGCTTACCTAGCTGCGTTGAGGAGCGAGGGCAGATATGATGCCAGATCGGCGTTCATGCCGTCGTCTATGGCTTGGATGACAATGTAATTCATTGGTATGAAAACTCCAAAGGTCAAAAAGAAGAATCCGGTCAGGAGAAGGACCATAGATTTCTCGTTGAAAGGTCGTGCGATTAATGCTTTGGTCATGGGTATTGCTTGAGGCGGGGTTTTAGGCTTGACTGTCATGTTCGAGATGATGAGGAGCGAAAGGATCAGAAAGCCGGAGATTCGCATCGACCATGCAAAGCCTACGCTGGATATCAAGCGACTGACCATGATGGGAAAAACGACGCCGCCGAGACTCGTGCCGCTCGAGACGATGCCATAGGCGAGCCCACGTCTCTTTTTGAACCAGCTCGGGATTGAAGCCATACAAGGCTGAAAGACTGCACAGATGCCCAGGGCACTGCAGACGCCTTGTGCGAGAAGGATTTGCGGGAAATCGCTTGCCAACGATGCCATCGTGAGCCCAAGGACATGCATAAAGGTTCCGCCGAGCATGACCCAACGTTGCCCGAAGTGATCGTATAAGCAACCTATGATCGGACTCTGTTATTACATCCTTAGCTAGCCGCCATGCAAGATGTATCGTAGTAACTTATTTACCATGACAAAAGTGAAGAAAATCTCGAGCGAAGGGATCCACGAGATCGTGCTTGCGGGCAGACCTTTCAGCAGCGTTGTCTGATAATAGCTCTGGAATGTCCCAATGCCTAGAAGGTAACTATTAACCAAATCCGATGCTCGTGATTGTATGACGAAACCCACTGTTGAGCCAGCCGAGGCTGCAGAACAGTCCACACCAGGCGCCAAACACGACAAGCCACGCCCGAAAACCTCCGTCTGGGATGACCTGAGCATCAAGATCGATGTGTTTCCCGAGCACGCTGCCTGATGATGTTTCGCTTAAATTGGTGGACGACATCTCTCATGGTACATGTTCTGATACTGTACTGAGCGATGCGACGGATAGGGATGGTCACCTTGAGAACAAAGATTGCTGCCCAGACCATTGAAAAACGGCAGAAGAATCAAACGACGAAGCTAGCTGTCGGGTTTTATGTCGTTTTGTTGGGTTCTTTTTACCGCAAAAAATAAAAGAGTGACGCGGCACTATGCTTGATATGCGCCCTGAATATCGTGACTCTAGAGATGCTATGCAAGCATCGCGATTCGACATCGTGCAGAGAGAAGCGGAATTTCCCCATGGTGCCCACCATTGCGAATCTGGAGCCAATACTTTCCAATATACGACATCTTCGTACGCGTCCTATATGCGTGGGGCACGTGGAGAAGCGATACATAATTGGAGGTCATCGACGACGTGTCTAGCCATGCCGTGACCATGCTCTGTCGCGAGCAAGAGAGACTCATGGCGAAGGGTAACCGCACAACGCAAGAACCAGGACAGATCTCAGGCCCGAGGATTCACTCGCATTATCGATAGAACGTCTTCTTCTCGGTGCGGAATGAGATTGCCGGACGTGGCATCGCGGATCAGTCTTGCAGGTAGGGCGGGTGGCAGAGCTGTAAAACATCATCATTAGATGATGCTGATCAATGAAGGCCCGGGACTGGTTGAGATGCGCGAATCCGCCGTCGACAGCGTTGGTGAGAGAGAGTGAGAGCGGAATTTCAGCGCCGCTAATCATATTGGTAGCCACCCGCGTCGGCTCCAATGGGAAGTAGACTGAAGATCGCACAGGACGATCCTCACGAATCGTTGATTCACCTGGTCGGCTGTTGTCATAGGAGGTCACGGCTGGCGAAGATACTCACAATACCTCCAGTTGTACATTTTTAGAAAGCGGAACGCGGCGGTGTGTAAAAACGAATGAGAAAACTAGGCCGCGGTGGTGCATGCCGAGTGGAAGGATTGAGGAAGAAGTGAGGACGAGGCGACACGGAGCATTTCACGTGGAATTGTATCAATAAACTGCCCTGGGCTTGAATTCGGAGTTCAAACCCTAGGTACTCGGGTACGTACAACACTCGTCCTTTCTCCAGACAGACCTCAAAGTCCAGGCCACCCATTCATTCATTCATTCATTCATGGAGAGGCAGTCGCTCACGCAAATGATTACTCGCCTGCTTCAAATACACATATGAATTATCTCGCAGCGGTTTCGTGCGGCTTCCGTGCTGCTGTATCTTGTCCCTTTTCGCGTGCTGTAATGTGACGATCCCTTGCATGAACCTATAGGTACAATGTGCCGGGCCTTGTCGAGCTTGCGCAGTAGTAATAGTCCTCTCCTCAATCAGGCAATGCAACCACTTGCGTTCTTGTCCAGCGTCCACCTTCGTCAGCCTCAGTTGATCTGTGAGCTTGTTGCAGCTTTGCTTTGTTCCGGCATTAGCGATTGGCGTGCTATCTGCAAATCTCGTTTGCCGTAATCCAACCAGAAATTGTGTTCCATCAGGTCGTGTTTCAAATCTTCACGTTGACTCAACATCCGCTTCATTGTGAAATGCATTTCCTGGCTCCAGGGCTTGCCTGTATTTTGCAACCCGTCCAGATCGAATGCGTTCTTGCGCAGTTTTTCTTCGGTCTCTTTGATTCGACTTTGGGTTTGGTCTACATACTCTTCGCAGCGTCGAAGCTTCTCCTGCCGAGCTTCTTTGTCGGCGTCTTTGGTATCCATTGCAAGGCGCAGCGGGAAATCCGGTTTGACGTTTGAATCTGTCCGGGCAAAAGAATGATCGCGTATGAGGCTCTTCGAAATAAAATAGAACTGCTAGATGGCATTGCGAAAGCATTCTTGTTCTGGAGCACTATTTATAAAATTTCCGTCACCGCTTGATGACGATCTGCTTCGAGCCTCATGTTGCACAAGTCCTTGTCGTGCTGCAGGCTTTCGGCTTGTGTAACGTTGAATGCTTTGCTGGCAGTGCGCATGCCTCTCATCAAAGGGCCGATCACACATATAATGTTGAGTACCTAGGTAGCAATATGTATATATATAGCGTCCAGGGGGGTTCATCGCTCAAAACAGTCGATACATCTTGTCAGTCCGGTACTGACTACGGATCCCTGCACAACCCAAATACATATCGTGACATTGAGACATATTTGCCAATCGCATCCTCATGACGACTTGCCCTGGCTCTTTCAGAGCGCAGATTGCAATTCCTTCCGAAAATCCGGCTTGGCCTTTCCTGCCGCCCTGCGCGACGCTCTTTCTAGCCCTGCACGACATCCACGTCCGGCGGCTTGGTCTGTGAAATGTTCAAGGCCTGTGGGAACCATTCGGACGCCCACTTGGCTGACGACTCTCAGCCTGAGATCGCGCTCCCACTCGTTCCGCGTCTAGTGCCATTGGCTCGTCAGGTCGTGCGCCATTCCGAAGTTCACTGATTGAGGCGCAGATCTTGTCTTGAGTCTCGTCGATGGTTTTCTGTAAGCCGGACAAAATGGTCTGTATCTGTATGGCCAGCTTCGAATTTTCGTACTGCACCATCTCATCAGATTTGAGGAATTTCTCGTCCAATCTGGACAAATGGCCTGTGATAAGTTTGCGAACACCATCATCTACCGAGGAGTTACACCTGCGGAGGGAGTCATCGATAGCTGCGAGACGTTGGCGCAGGGCATCGTCCATGGTGGATGGAGGGTGGAAATGGAGATATGTTGTGGCGCTTGCTGAAAGTCTTGGGACAGGCGTGTGCTTTTCCTCCATAGCTGGATGTTGTGGGAAGGGGCGATTCGGGATGGTCGACTTCATACAGATATCTGGACCAGAGAGTTCTTGCCGATCATCATTACAGTGCCTTCGAGAATAGTTGCCTCCGCCGGCTTCATCGCAATCCGCTCCCTGCCAGACAGGTGCCCCCTCATCTGTGCTACGTGACTTGCTTCGCTCACTGACCGGTTGAGAACATGTGCCGGTGCGGCAATGCGCAATCCTTGTCGAAATCTGCATGTCTCATATGGTCGGCATCGAGCTAGCGTACATGCAGGAGCCGTAACCTTGTGGCATGTGTGAATCCGAAGCCCTGGTATCAGTGTAGATGCAATTTCGGAGTATTGGCCGGCGAGCCTCACGGCCGTCAGCTCTGCTTCGGACTCGGGGTTCATGATGGCCCGGAAGCACATTCCAGTAGTAATTCGCTGTTTGCTTGCGCTAAGCATTACCTGCAGATGTTTAGTTGGCCGACCAAGAATCTATGCGCCAGCCCAGAGCATCTTGTGGCGACATCGATGATATCACAGCGCAGTAAGTGGCGCTCTGCATATCACCATCAGCGGTGCTTCGTCTAATGATTAGACATACGTCCCCGTATCGTGTTCGCACGTCGGAACCCTGTGGCAAAAGATGCAGTGCACACCTCTGGCTGCTTAGTCCTAGGTCCATCCGCAGTCCATGGTCGTATAGTTGATGAGCTACTTTCCGAATCTGACGGGCTGGCGGATCTGTCGAATGTTGGTGCTGCTGAGGATTCGCAATCTTGGCCAGGACAAGTTGCTTCCACGAGTGTTTCTGATGCCTTCCGGACTTTGACAAACCCCCAAGTTTCTTCCTGAACATTCACAATTTTTGACGCGTTCGGATACAAAGACGCGTTGTCTTCCAAGGCGCAGATATTTGCTAGAGACTTGGATGTTTGCGACTCCGGTGCAGACACATGTTTGACCTGTATAGGTTCCGGCAAACTGGCCAATGCATGTAGAACGGCATTGCGTCTCTGACATCGTGCGAAAGCTGTTCCAAGATCCCGTACTAGTGTCCTCAATTCAGCTCGATACCTATGCTCCGCACCGATCATATATGGAAGGTCAGGTTCATGCCTAATCTCACTGTCAGACCACTTGAACAGCCCGCTGTGGTAATGTTGATTGCTGTTTGCCGAATCGGTAGGATTCATTTGCCCGGCTGTGCCGTCGCCCGTTCTCAGAAGCACTATATCTGCATTGTGGCCGATCGAGGGCGTCGTTGTCATGATTGATGTGTTTATTGCGACAATGTGGTAGGCGGCTTGGCTCGGCTCGAGGAAGCTGCAGGCTGATTTCATTGCCGTGTCTTGGATCCCGTATCAGTTATCATCATCGAAATATCCAATAATTCGTTTTGTGGATATCCATGATGGAAATCTTGGAGAATTTTCAGAATAACGGCGTTTTGCTCGTCCACCCGTCAAGATTTGATATGGATAACCCCTAATCAGTACAAACGAGTGGCGAACTTTCTCAATGCAGTTTTGCTGCTATTCATTTCGTCGTTGTGCTACGAGCTTCTGAAGGTTACACTGTAAAATTGAGCGGGTAGGGCCTGTGTCATTGTCGCCTTTCCACTGGTCAGACGTGGCCCAAGATGCCCTTTCGGGGCCCACCGCCTGCTGATCGTCGCCCTCGCACAGCATTGCCGTGCATGCACATCAATACGCCGTCCCGACATTAAATTCCGCAATCTGTTGCTGAGAACTTGTCCAAGTTCTCGTCTGCCAGCAAGTTTGGTTTCGGCTTCCTCGGAGACGGGGATTACTGATCTCGTGCGCGGCGCCAGATCCGATTCAGAGCTTTCTGAGTTAGGAGAGATTTCGCAAAGACATGGTCAAGAAGCAAGCATAGAGTCTATATTTGCTTCGGACTACTTGGTCTCATCTTCGTGATACATGAGTGCTGAGAAATTGATCGATGTGCATAAAGTAGCCTGGCTCAGCTACGGAACTGTTATGGTCGCCATTGGGGAGTTCCTTCCAGGATACAGCATTCGACCTACATAGCCGGAAGAGTTGCTTCATGTGCGATGGTCTAAACTTTGTCAGGGCATCCGTCGAGGGAAACGAGCACAAAATGATAGACTCACGGAACGATTTCATCCTTCAACCCGCTGAGGAACAGGATTGGGACGTCGGTAATCTGGGAGATGATGTTTTCACTGCGCCAATGCTCATGCAGTAGTGGGGTCAGATATCGGGCAGCCGGGAGTACGTTTGGTACCATTTTTGCGATGCTCAAAAATGTATTCTCAAGGATGAGACCGTGAACATAACCACGGCCCTTGTTCTTGACCACGAGATCAATGCTGACGGCTCCTCCGAGGCTCTGTCCGTATATTACAATGCGGCCATCTCGGAGATCTTGTCGGTTGAGGATGTATTCCAGGCCCGCCTGGGCATCGATTGCTAAACCTTTCTCGGTAGGGTTGCCTGTGGATAGCCCATATCCTCTGTACTCCACCATTAAGACGGTCACGGAGAGTTCTTCCGCAAGCACGCGAGCAATCGGCAAACGATGCCCGATATTACCAGCATTCCCGTGAAACATCAGGATGGTGATTGGCTTGGCCACAGCTTTGCTGTTTGGTTTGATCAGGAACGCGCTTAGAGTCTCGCCGTCTGGGGTTACTATCGAAAGCTCCTCCGCATCCTGAAGGCCAAATGTGCTCGGTCGTGGCACTTCTGTCCGGGTTCCAGGAGGTAAATTCCGAGGGTAGATGAGCTCGCTATCAAGTGGTCAGCGAGTTGATCGCTGTGGTGTTCTGATGTATTATCTGACTTTTGATAATAATATAATGCGCCGCCTCCTAGACCGGCGAGACTGCTTCCCAGAAATACTGGTAGTTTGACCCACGACCAGATGGAATTTGAGGTCATCGTTCCGGCGGTCTCTCTGTGGCTATTTGCCTTGTTTGTCAGTAGACTGGGGAGGTATTTTATCGAGACCCTTCGCCCGTTAAGCGACGTACACTTGGTCTCCTTTCAGAACTTATATCTCATAAGACTTCAGGTCGCAAATCGGCTGTGCACTGCGCTCGTATACTCGGAAATATAGAACGAACGAGACAGAGAGTATCATTAAATTTTCTGACTCTTGCTTGTATCTTGCTCGCCTGCTGCCTCGAACATTCGCCTGCTGGGAGCACATATCGGTAGACATGCTTGAGCGGCCCTGCACGGACCACCTAGCAACCCGCAATCCGACGCGCATGTATGCAGCCTGGCAGACGACATCCAGACATAGCAGCCTCACATTCCATACTCGACATACCGTGCTCTCTTGCTTCTTGAATCACAGACAAAGCCTTTTTCGGAATTTGAGAAACTTTGCAACAATCTAGTCTTCTCAGTGACCACAGATACCGACGAAATGATTCAGCAAACGGGCATGCTTGGTGAAGGTATGGGCAGTGTGAGGCGAGCACCACGTCCGCTCGACTGACCGATATATCAGATGGCATTCACATCGACATGAACCACCTCAAGAGCGGCGAGGTCAACCTTGGAACATCCATCATGGCCATCAATTTCAGAGACGGCGTCATCCTCGGCGCTGACAGCAGAACTACCACTGGAGCCTACATTGCAAATCGAGTCACAGACAAGCTCACACAAGTGCACGACACAATATGGTGCTGCCGATCAGGCTCAGCAGCAGACACGCAGGCAGTCGCAGATATTGTCCAGTACCACCTTGGCATGTACGGTATTACCAACGACGAGCCCCCGACGACACAGACCGCTGCCGCCCTCTTCCAAGAGCTATGCTACGAGAACAAAGACAGCTTGAGTGCAGGTATCATCATTGCTGGTTGGGATAAGCGACATGGTGGACAGGTTTATTCAATTCCTTTGGGAGGATCACTCCACAAGCAGGCATACGCAATTGGTGGTTCCGGTTCCACTTATATCTACGGATACTGTGATGCAAACTGGAAGGAGGACATGACGGAGGCTGAAGGAGTTTCATTCGTCAAAGGAGCGCTACAAGAGGCTATCAAGTGGGATGGCAGCTCTGGTGGTGTGATCAGGATGGTTGTGCTCACAGCAGCGGGCGCCATACGACATCTATACTTACCCGATCGCAACTACACCGGACCAGGGACCGACAAGGTCTAGAAAATGCATGGTTTTTGTGTCGAGCTTGTGTGCTCATCCGGATCTCTATCACGCCTTGACGGTCGTACGCTGGCTCCGTTCCGATCACGGGTGCAATGCTACGAGTGCACTCTACATGAGTGAGATGCGTTTTCTCGGCTGCGAACGGAAGAGGCCATCTCGGCCACTCATCGAGGTGGATTCCAATGGTTGTAAAATGTATAATAACAATCAGCGACGAATGAAGAATCACGAAGGTAACGCGATGGAATGTCTACAACATGTAGAATGGAGGCACTATACCAGTCACAACATCAACAAGCTCTTGCTGAGTAACAATCAATCTACACGCAACGCGTGACTGTATGCCTTCGATAAGCGCATCGGAGGGAGCCCGTACACCAAGCTGGATTGGACGAACCCGATTGTACCCAACCACAGATTCCTCCGAGATGGTAAGCGTGGAGCATGTCGTATAGTTTTACCCTCACTGCCATAGCGCAATGTCATGCTGTATTGTTATAAGGCGCACGCGGTGCTTCACATCAAGACACGCAGGTAGCACGTCCCAATTGCTTGTTCGTATAGAAGGACCGGACGCTGGCCAAGTCTTGTTCGCAAATCGGTGCTGTCCTAAGCTGAGATCGGAGAATTCGTGTATGATGAGATGTGAAGTTCTCGCCGCTTACGGAAGACAGAGACCAGTATTTGCGCCACTGCGGAGGCCCGACATACATTGTAGTCGGGTTATCCGCCCGGACGTTCACAAATAATGCGTCGATATATTCGGCGACATCGCGGCGATGGTTACTAGACAGCATGCTGGCGCAGGAAGCTTGCGTCTCCGAGGATGAGCCGTCGATCTATTGTCTGTGGATAGAGGCAGATGTGGAGCTCGAACGGCGCTGTCTTTGTCCATGCCATTACTGGCGGCAATGATGTCCAATCGGGAACCAGTACCGTACAATGCGAGAGAAACATACTTGCCATCCAACACGAGCTGCCCGACTGATGAACACGAAAGATTCGATACAAAGGCAACGGGCAAAGACCGATTGCTCGACCTGCATCACCTGCTTTGAAGAGACGGATCGTTTTTGAGCCAGAGCGAAACGACACGATGGCGCATGCTCCCAGCAGCTCGCCAAATTATAGCTTGCGGGATATATGACAAGGTACCTACTATACTCAATACAAGATAGAAAGAAATGATCACATAGGTTTGATCAAGATACCTATGCTTCTCATTTGCCCATGGTATTCTTTGGTCGGTCCAAGGTCGCTTTTCCGTTGCCATTGCCTCCAGTATACAAGCGATCGATCTGTCTTTCCATCGGTGCAGGTCTCCGCGGCGGTGTTGTGCACCGGCTACTTGGGGATCCAGCGGACTCTGATAGGTCTGGATGGTCCGGTCGTGATGAACTACCAAAGTTTACACATATGAGACGTTCCGTCATCGACATCATCGGTAATCGTGCGATGATCTGTGTGTTCAATGGTTCCGGAGCAAGTTTCTGGAGACATTCGTAGATTACCGGACGATTACTCGTTCTTGATATCCACACACATCTAGGTAGATGGTCGGGCGCGTGTACGGCCCGGGTGTTTGACTGTACTATTCAAGTCGTCCTTTGAGAGCACCTGGGCAAGAATAGAGCCTTGAACAGAGAGGTCACTTTTCCTGCTGCACGACTGGGCCACTACGCAATCATACCGTGTAGATTGCACTGCAGGGCTACCCACATGTAGGGAGGCAGCGGGCATAACGGAGCTGTTATCAGGTATCAGGTATCAATTATTTTGCGTATGGCGTTCTTGCATATCGCCATTCCAGGCCCGCTTCTTTGAGAACATCATCATACCCACCGGATTTCTTGGAAACAACATCATCGACTCCACGCCATCATCATACAGCAATAGGATGGAGTCCGTGCCACAAACTCTCAAACAGTTCCAGGGTTGGGCTCATTTGATTTCCAGGGACCTCAACCAATTTGACGGGACCAAGCTTGAAACCTCAACCTACTACTATAGTGGATTATACTGTGTACTACAATTGCACAATCATAACAACAACAGGACATATGCTGTGTCCACCTGCTTTGGGACAATCTTTGACAGTTTAGTCCCCAAGTAAAATACTACCTAGGTTGTCGTCGTTGATGAAGAGACAGATCTGCCCAGGTGTGCACGCGAGGAGAGCACGACAATCGGCGGTGGCGCGACGAATTCACAGACCCGGGCAACGTTTCAGGTAGGTACTGTCCTGTACTGAAGGTGTCGGGTTGTAGCACCTGCCCCCAGGTTCCATTTTGAGCGGGAGCGTTGTCGCTTGCTTCCAGGTTTCTTTCTTTCTTCCTGGAGCAGCAATCCATCATTCAGCCTCGACACACCCTGCATCTAGTTGTTCCCCAAGGTCTACTCAAACGATGAGAAGGGATGGTTGTTGCTGAGCTTCTTCATTGCGCCCGGCGCCGCTCTACTCTGAGCTCTGTTCGGCTGGTGCTGTGCTTTTTCTTCCTTGGCTGCTCCTGGGGGCTGCACAAGCGGGCGCGCAAGTGTCTGCGGTAGAGGGTAGCTCTCCGATTTATTACCTCGACGAATGGTCTCGGACCAACCACAATCTTCCTATAGATCCTCACGGAGAGCGGGTAAGAATAGCTCAACCGTCGAAACACCACACGCCGTCAGCCGGTGTTGATGATGCGAAAGTACTTGGTAGGTACATCCAGTCCTGTAGGGGTGTGAGCGACGATTTGTCGATAATAATAATTAAAAACTGTATGGCACGCACTCGAGGCCGGTTCCTTCTGTCTCTGTTCCCCCACCAGGACAGCATACTTGGTGTTGTTCATTCAGTAGAGTACGGTCGGATCTCTCGTCTCTGGCTGGCTAGACGCGAGCTTACCGTCCGCTTGCTCAACATCTTTTTTCTCTCGCCTGGCTTCTTGCTCTACTGTTGGTCTGCTTGATCCGGCTCCTTGCTGCACGCATCATCCGCCTTCTACGTTGCCGCTTCCGCCGCCCTTGATGTCGCGTCACCCTTCGGCAGTCTCACCGCTTGCATGATCATCCATATCCAGTACATAATCTACAACGTCCCACGGACAGCCGCTACTTACGGCTTCTCATCCCTCCCCACGCCATCACCTCACCTCACATTGACTCCAACACGCCTGGTAGCGGCGCCTACGAATCACGGTCGATTCTCCTCGCTATCCCACTCTTCTCACATGCGTTGAAGGATCCCTGTACGCATCCACTCCAGGACTTCGTTCGCGCAGCGCCCGACACGAGAGCTTTGCATGTCCCCACCCGATACGCGACGGGCGACAGCTCAGCCAGCTGCGACAGATATCCTTCGACACGCGCATACTAACAATCACACTGGATCGAGCAACTCATAATTCTTCACCTCTACTCATCGGAGCCCGTCAAAGAACTATCTGAATCATTTGGGGAAAACAACGGCAACAGCAAACACAAATGCGCTAATATGGGCTCAGTTGTGCTAGATGCCGTAAACTCGCTCTTTGCTCAAAATTCCAGTCAGCCGCAGCGTGCCTACCGCGAAGCAGCCCACCATCCCGACCCGAGTCCGCACCGGAAACGCAGCCGCACGCCCAAGAGGGCATCAGCATATATGTCTGAATCAATGCAGGAAGCATCGGGCTCTTCTGCCACCGCCGACGGTACGCGCGAGGACAAGGCGTCTCGAAACGAGTCACATGAAAACCAACAATCCTCACATCTGGCACCAAATCGAAGGCCCATCTCTCAACCACCCAGCCCGCCGCTAGGCGCACAATCCACTCCTCTGAGCGCTGAGGAAACACAGAATGCTCAAGCAACGGTCTCGTCGCTCGCACCAACGTCAGAGACTCGGCCAGATGGACCCAGAAAGATCAAGGTTCGAGACTTGCAGCACATTCAAAGCTTCGCAACCGAGGATATGGGCAGCTTTTCAGAGATCCGTAGTCGAAGTCGCTCGCGGACGCGAGGAGACGCCTCAGGGGGATACAGTCCACAGTACGAAATCAGCGGCATGAAGGTCGAAGATATCATTGAGATGGTCGCTGGCCTTCTCACCAAAATCACCGCCACGAATGACCGACAACACGAACATTTGCATCGACAGCCCCCTTCGATCGACGCCGCTTCACATCTCAATCCCCAAACAAGCAGTGTTCTAGCTTTCCACGGAAAGAACGTCCCAAGTATCACCATCCTCAGCTACCTCAGCAGAATCAACAAGTACTGTCCAACAAGCTACGAGGTATTTCTTGCGTTATTGGTATACTTCGATCGCATGACGGAACGAGTCAATTCTGGACCTATGCAAAGCTTACGCGAAGCCAATCAAAAGGCCGTTGGCGAGCAAGGTCGAAGTGTCGACTCTTCCTCCACAGAATCGCTAGCGTCTGATAAGATGGAAGACGTTACAGCTTCCACAACTGCTGGTACTCAGCTTGCGACTCCGCCGGCGTCTGGCTCTATGCAGCAAGCAGGTGCATTTCAGCAAGGCGTCCCAGGAACCCCACATAGCCGCCCAAATGCCGTCGATTCGCCAGCATTATCACCAGAGCTCAACGGCATTGAGGCTTACAACCTTTCGCATTTCTTCGTTGTGGATAGCTTCAACATTCACCGGCTTGTCATCGCCGGTGTGACGTGTGCGAGTAAATTCTTCTCCGACATTTTTTACACAAATTCTCGTTATGCAAAGGTACGTATCCACAGAGAACAGCTTGACCAGCCCCTTTGGTTGGCTTTGGATTTGACGCAGTGTGAGCATTCTTGCTAACGTGACATAACACACAGGTCGGCGGTTTGCCCCTACCAGAACTCAATCACCTTGAGCTTCAGTTTCTTCTGCTCAACGACTTCCGGCTGTCAATACCGGTGGAAGAAATCGAGGCCTATGGCACAATGCTGGTCGAATTCTACGCTCGCGAAGTTGTGGCGCAAAAGAAAGCTGCTGAGGCCATGCAAACCCGATCGCTCAGCGAGAGCTCTTCCACGACAGTGCGAGCCACCGCGTGATTGAGCCTCTTCGCTCCAGCGCCGATGAAAATGGAATGCCGAATCCGATAAAAAAACCTCGATCGCCCGTCACGAGAACGGACGTTCCGCCACCAAATCCTCTCCGAATAGACGGGTTCTTCACCAGCGCAGACGGCATGAAACTCTAGCGCGCCCATTCTCGAATTAAAGCCATCTCCTGGTCACAGGGTCAACTCGCGCACTGCACCACAAGCTCCTCCGCGAATTGTTCAGTGACCACAAACATGACCGGTAGGCGGGCGTCAGGTCCGCCATTGAGTGCAAACACACGACCAACGGCGAACACACCGACCTACCTTTCGCAGTACTCTTCTCTCTAGATTCCATATTCTTCTTCTTCTTCATGAAGCCCCTTGGCCAATTCTCGGCACAGGGTGCTTTCCCCGCCTTACACTCGTCCATGCGGTTTAGGCGTTGGCACAGCCCGCCTTTGTTTCCGACAGTACATTATACCCCAGCTTCACTTTTTGTTCGTCCAATTTTTTTATGCTCGAGAGTCGCTCTCGGGTGTGCTTTCCGCTGCGAATAGCGATATTCCGCAGCATGCACTTTTTGCTCGCTCACCAGAAGCGTCGCGTTGGATCCTTGGATCGTTTAGTCTTCTTAGAGCACGTTTGTGTTTCCTTTCAGCTTCCCGCTGGGAACTATATGCTTTGAGACCACATCACCGAAGTCGGACCTCCACGCGCGAGCTGAGTGGAGAGGAGACACAGGCGATGATCCTGCAAAGTCGTGTTGTGACGTCAGTCTTTGACAGCCTAGCGAGGGAGTTCGAGATGTTTTCTTCCACGGGCAGTGGAGTGTATCTCATCGGCAGTGCATATCGAATTCGATGAGCCGCCGTGCGACTGTCGATTGATGATCGCGCTCTCTCCGGCCATTTATTGAGTTTTCGTAAAGCGGTGGGATACGTGCGTCTAGATAGGAGTTAATGATTTCACGGATTAGAATGACTTTTTGGGTTTCTCCTTTCACTGCCTTCGCTGCCGCGCCCACTCTTCAATCCCGTCTTCCCATCTCTCTGCTTTCAACCTTGAATGCTTACCTTGTGCTCCTCTAGGCGACAAAATCCTCGTCTCGAATTTGCACAAGCTTTATGGCATGTCAAACAGGAAATGGCACGCATGTGTGACTCGGTGCTACTCGTGCTCTTCACGTATGTGTCAGCTGCCAGCTCTGCCAAATCATCCGATACACATTACACTACCGGCCGCGACAGCCACCCCCCCAGAATGACACTTCTTCGGTGGGCTCATTGCCAGGCAGAACAGAGGAAAGTGTGCTGTCAAGTCATCCAAGAGTAGTCGATCATTGTCAGTATCATGGAGGAAAGTCGACTCTAGCCGTGGCATCAAAGCATCGTCATCTTTACCCACCTGGGCACGCACAAACGACCGGCTCGCACAAGCATCCGTGAGGATACCGAGACGGGCTTTGGCCGAGCGTCCATCTGGCGTCGGCGCTGGTAGGGTCGTGAAGAACATTGGTGGTGGGAGGCCGTCGTCACATATAGATCACGAACCGGGTCGCTGTCACTTCAGATAATGAATCCAGGAGGCCTCGCATGTTTCACCGTCGAAGCTTCCAGGTAACATCTGGATAAAGGTGTGCATTGATCGCGATCGTTCTTTGCGTCTGCACAAAGCGGATCTGACGCTTGACAACACTTGCCTCGGCGGCATAGATGATGCGCTGTGACAACGACGGTTGTGGCATCAACCGCTTGTCGCGCTCCTTCTAAGGTTGCCTACGAATGTTGAATTGCTCGAATACTATCTGCCTAGTAGGTAATTAGTTATTGAAATGACCGTTGCGACTCTTGACGTTGATCCTCGTGACCTCGGAAGGCGTGAATGTCTGCTCTTTGCTGGTATACTCGCTTCCTCGACAATGAACAGCCATCTGGTGAGCATACAAAAATGCAATAAACCTGCAGAGCGGCCAGAGAGGCTTCGGGCGGAGCTTACAATATGCAAACAACCTTGGAATCATTTTTTGCCTGACGTGCGTCATTTCAACGTAGCCAGCGACTATGTTCAAGGAAGTGAATGGCTGCCAAGGCTTGCAAATGTATGTGTAACACAGGTTCGTAGTTGCCATGTGATGGGCAGGCAAGTCGGTACGGTATGTTCCGTGGTAATAAACAACACGGGCGTGCTCTCCAAGGCTCTCTTGACCTTAACCATGACCTTGAACTTTCCCTTCAACCCGGACGTCGTTGACTCGACCACCGATCTGAGATGCGCTCCATACTCCACAATCATCGTCCATCTTGAACCTCCACAGAGAGTCCATCGACTTCGAGCTGGCCTCGTTGACTTATCTCTGATCCACTTGTCGCTCCTTATCATATGAACTTGCTAGGAAGTGCCACACATCGTTCATACTTCAATTTTGAAAGTTTTCGGCAAACAGCAGATCCTCCACCATGCCGTCGACATTGATAGTGTCGCTGTAAGCACGCCATCTTCTTGCCTGATATCAGAGCACCGCATTGACTTCCGAGTTTCTCCAGGTTCCTTCCTTGTACCGTTGCTTTTCCTGAAAAGGTTCAGAAGAAGGAATGCGGCCGCATGCAGCCATTTCAGACCCACTATCAACGCGCCACCTCAAATTACATATTGCCGAGCAGAGCCAGCGAGATGAGTCTCTTCGAGAAGTTGCTGCCATCGCCATCCGCCTACACAGTAGATGAGTTCTTCCCAGAGCAGGTCGATCCCAAAAAGCGAAAATTGATCGAGGCCACGAAAGCTCAACGCTCAATGCCGAGTGAATCCTTCGCCTCAGACTGGGGCAACAATTCCATCTACAACCAGCCACGCTCTCATGTCGCGCCTTTGCCGCCAGATGGCATTAGCGCTTTCGATGCTTATCTTGAACGCCGATCGTATCAAGCTGAGCGATATCCACTCCGGTCTCCCAAACGAGTAGCCAATGGACCTGTGCGGAGCAAATTACCGTCGCGGGCTCCAAGTTCCGATCGTGGCTTCGATAATCAGGAGTGGAAAGTTGTGCCTCCGCTGCATGGCAACGCAGGTCTCGTTAGTGCCATGCGTGTCAAATCGGACTCGCAATTTGATGCAAACATTACCTGGATCGGAACCATCGGTACGTATGAATGACTGCGCCTTGGCTCGCGACAATCGTGCTGACTTGAGATAGGGTTTCCAGTTGACTCCCTTTCTGGACATCTCAAGGATGACATCCACGACGAGCTTCAGAATGAGCATCAATCCCATGTCGTTTACTGCAGTGATAAGGACATCGATGGTCACTACAAGCACTATTGTAAACTTGTCTTGTGGCCCATCTTTCACTATCAAGTTCCAGACCATGCGAAGAGTAAAGCTTTTGAAGACCACAGCTGTGAGTTGTATCAGCACAAGGCTAGTCAGCATCGCACTAACTTGCAATCAAGGGGACTACTATGCCAATGTTAATCGAGTGTTTGCGGAACAGGTAGTTGCCAGCTACAAGAAGGGCGATACCATTTGGATTCATGACTACCACCTGCTGCTGGTACCCCGTATGGTCCGTGACAAGCTACCGGACGCAAAAATTGGCTTCTTTCTTCATGCAGCGTTCCCGTCAGCGGAAATCTTTCGATGTTTGGCCAAGCGCAAGGAACTTCTGGATGGAATGCTCGGCGCTGACCTTATTGGTTTCCAATGCAAGGAATATACGGAGCATTTCTTGTCGACTTGCGCACAGATCTTGCTCGTAGAGACCCTCTCCGACGGCGTACAACTTGAGCAGTATTTCGTCAATGTCATCAGTCAGCCAATAGGAATCAATCCTCGTTTGGTGGAAGAGTCACGGAGACAGGATGAAGTCAGATTTTGGATCGATGAGCTGAGCGAGAAATTCAAGAACCGGAGAATCATCTTCGCACGAGACAAACTTGACAATGTTCATGGCGTCCGTCAGAAGCTTCTCGCTTTCGAAACCTTTCTGCAAATATTTCCGGAGATGAAAGAGAACGTTGTTATGATCCAGATTGCGACATCTGCCACTGAGCAGCTCGAGCTTCTCGTCTCGGTTTCGGACATTGTTTCTCGCATCGACAGCTTGTATTCATCATTGTCCCATCAGCCTCTGGTGTTCTTGCGCCAGGATCTGACACTGCCGGTCTACCATGCCATTCTCAGCATCGCAGATGTTGTGATGATATCTTCGTTGAGAGAGGGCATGTGTCTTACCGCTCATGACTATAGTTTCTGTCAAGATGGAAAGCTCTCTCCCAAGAAACATGGTTCTGTGATTCTGAGTGAATTCACCGGAAGCGCAGCGGTCTTGGAGGCCCATTACTACCAGAAGCTGCATCCAACTCATGTTTCGATCAATCCTTGGGACAATCGCGGCATGGCTCAAGCCATCAAAAAAGCATTGGATCTCACTGCTGCGGAAAGAGAAGCACGATGGCATCGCCTGTATGAGCTGGTTATGCATCAGACCGGTACACACTGGTCGCAAGTTCTTCAGCGCACACTAGACATTGTCTACCAAGAGCATCATCAGCGAGCATCAGTAGCTGTTCCTCGGCTTGACGTCCCTAACCTTGTGCGACAGTTTTCCAAATCAGAGCAACGTTTCTTCGTCGTCGATTACGACGGTACTCTAATGCCCCATCGAAGCAGCTCCGGCTTCCAACCTGGCTCGCCACGGCGAATGCTCGAGGTGCTCTTCGGGCTGTTGGTTGATCCGCGGAACATCGTCTACATCATGTCGGGCCGCACACCTCAGCAGATGGAGAGCGCGTTCAGTACCCTTCCTGAGCTCGGGTTGATAGCTGAGAACGGCGGGTACATTCGCAGTTTCGGCAGTAGCCATGGCGAGTGGGATGCTGTCGCCGATGAGCAGGACGTACGGGCTTGGAAGGAGCAAATCATGCCCATATTGGAGTACTATCGCGAGAGGCTTGATGACAGCACGATCGAGGAGCGTCTGTGCAGTATCCTCTTCCGGTATGACAAGTGCCAGGATCAAGAGACAGCTGTGCGCCAGGCTAGCGAATGCGCAGTTCAGATCAATGGCGCTGACAAGGCGCTGCACATTCGCGCTGTACCTGTCAATAAAGCCGTCTTGATCGAGATGGAATCTTTTGACAAGGGCAAAGCAGCAGCGACCGTCTTCAAACAGCTCACTGCGCCAACGACACGCGGTCGTCAATCTACGGTATCGCCAGATTTCCTGATGGTGGCAGGCGACGATCGCGAGGACGAAGCTGTGTTCCGCTGGGCGAATGAGCTCGGCAAGGAAAATGCTGTTCGTCACGTCTTTACCGTTACAGTCGGCAAACGCAATACGGAGGCTCAAGCCACGCTTGACCGCGGTGCGACGAGTCTACTAAATGTGCTCGACAAGCTGGCAAAGGTGTCGGTCGATCGCGCTTTGCCTTTCCGGAGCTTCTATCAACAACCAAATCAGCTGCCCCGAAACTTTACATTTCCAGCGTGAGGAGGATCCATCGGTCAGCGCAGGTGCTGTGCTGCAGAGAGAATAGCGTGGATTGGGAGCAAGGCCTTTCCTGTGAACCTGTACGATGGAGCTCCAGAGTCTTTGTCGCGTTGGCTGGTCCAAATACAGTACCTAGATATTATCATTGCGAGCATCACTCCCTGAGCTTTGCTCATAATTCTCCATAGTCGATTGTGAGCAGCCCCTAAAAATTCACCTTCATGATCAGCCGTAACATGTTAATTTGTGTATGCGTGTAGTCCAGGCAGCGAACGTAGTTCTTACGTCGTACCCGGCCAACGCTCTTGCGCATTCGTGGGAAACCGCTGCAATCCATGGATATTACGGGTTTGATCTTGCAAAGAAACAAACAATGCCAAGGCTGGCATTCGTGACGGAGCCGGCCAGGGTCACCGAACATCCGGCAGGATTCAATGCTTCTTGTTTCTTGCTGACCGCAATACCCAATGCGAATTACGACAGGAATGCCAAACTCCATGTAACCGCAGAACCATGCGGTCGACAAGAATAGCATCGAGATCGGGGATGCATACAGCCACAGGGGTTAGTCCATCCCGAACCACAAATCTCGTGCCTGTTCGGATGTAGCGAGCCAACAGCCTGTGCCCCGGCACAGACTCTAGGGCTATTCGGGCAGGCCGCAACCCGGGATTAAGAAATCTCCGGCCCGGAAACTTCGCTCTATGTGCAAATTGGCACCTTGCACAAGCTTGCCATGCATTATTTTTCCATGTGTACGAACGCCAGCTACCAACCACATGGGAATTGTGCACATCCCGGATGTACTTTGACATGTATCCCCGTCATCCAACGACCTGCCTGGCCTGGCCGCTCTGCCATCTCGTCAGCGGCGCAATGCATTATCTCTTTACGCGCGCCAAAGAATATGGTCTGTCATTAATTCCGTGTGCATCAGGATGCTCTCCCATACAAATAATTGGAATACCGTGGTAGCTGACAGATCAATGCCCTGAACCTGTAGAAGCGACCGGAATGGCAGCCGATGGCCGAGATAGGGCATTAGGCAAGACTGCTGATATCCCTGATCCGAGCTCCTGTTCATTAATCTTGTGTGGTGCAACCTATAGGGACAGATCTGAAGATGTAATCGCTCAAACTTCCAGGTCAGACGCGTAAGATCCTTCGAGTCTTCGCTTGGATGGGATGTCCTTCCACTATCCATATTGAGCACGTTTTGTTGGAAGCCTGAAGCGCCTGACGTGCGTTGTAAGCATCACTGAAATGGATATCTGTGACACCTGAGCAGGCGCATCGAACAATGTCGTCGCCGCGTTGTTTTCTAGCGTAGTATACAAGATGGTGTACAATGTTCCTTCAACACATGTACCTCAATTCCTACTCAGTCCGAACCCGTCGGCGTTCGGCAAGAATCTGACTGTAGGCTCAAGCACGTGTGTAGCGCCCTGTAAGCTTTCCTATCTCCCAACTGCACAGCTTATTCCTAGGGTGATGAATCATGGGTCGAGGAATCCAGGGCCTTTTCTCTTCACTAGCCTGTGCCTAGGGCGTGAGCCGTTTCTTTTCCGGAGGCTACCCTTTTTATTTAGACGAGCCGAGACGCATGGCAAAAGGGCGCGATCGCTCTCCTGAGTACATACCTCTTCTACTGCCTGCCGAGAGCCAGGCCAGTCTTCCAAGCTTTCCATCGATATCGTGCCATAATTTAACAGCGTTGTCCAAGTGTGCGCCTTAGCGATAAATTATACTTATCGTTCATCAGGTGGCTTAGCATGAAGCTGACCAACACTCGCCTTTTCATGACTATCCGCAATTGTGCATGCTGACAATGCCAATGAACGGTTCAGCTTTGTTCCGCACCCGGCATCCTTCATGGTTATCCCAGCGGCCCACGAAAAGACGTAGGGCGTTCGCTCCCGGCCACCAATCATATCGCAAATCTTACAAGGTGTGTTGTGGATCTCTCATAGGCAACAAAGTATGTGCTGGCGCGCGCTCGAACGTTGATTGCTCCCCGGTGAATCCGTCGCGCTTTTTGGCTGAGGTCAGCCAGTGTGGATGATGCAAGTGCTCTCCAACCTTTCGTCCAATCCGGGCACCACGCCATCCTCGCTTGTGTGAGATTTGAGGCCTCCGGTAGGATCTACCGCAGTGATGGCCCTAACAATCAAAGGCGCAGGTGTGCCATGCTACTGTAGGCAGGTGGTGTGATGCGTGTATGGCCGGGGATGAGTCAAATCGGACTTTGCGGGCATACGGGACCAATCCGGACAGAATTCGCCGGATTGCGCCTACTACGCATGGATGTTCATCGCGGTGTGTGGGTGCTTCTTCCATACGCTGATGACAGGAGATTTTTGCCCGTGTTTGAGCGTGATCTACAAGGCCATTGCCCTGTCCATGACTGTGCCATACTCTCATCGTGAGACTCGACTAGTGGTGCCGCATCATTGATATAAGCCCACGCCTCGTCCACTTTTGTTAGATCGTCTTACCTTTCACGCCTCTGACAATCCCATCATTTTGCTCTTCAGTATAAGAAGCAATTGTATCGCATTTACTTACAAACAGTCAGACCCGCTTCCACTGTCTACCGTTGTGTATATCAACGGTCTTCAAGTTGGAACAGCCCACAGGGGTCACAATCAACATGCGCTTCTTCCGTAAGAGCGACTCGGTCACAAACGACCAGGTCGCCTCCAACACACCTCACAGCCGTGCAGTATCAGAGTCTTCCCTTTCAGAAAAGAACGATACAACCGAGTCAACAACCGCCACCAACATTGTGCCAGCAATTCCGCCAAAGTCTGAGAATGCCTTGGAACAGAAAACTGAAGCCATCGGTGCCGAAGCCGAGCAACAGAATGAGGATGAAACACAATATCCCAAATCCACCAAGTTGCTTCTCATCACCATCGCCCTAGCCTTGTCCGTGTTTTGCGTCGCCCTCGACAACACCATCATTGCAACCGCCATTCCTAAGATTACCGACGACTTCAAAGCGATCAACGATGTCGGCTGGTATGGCTCGGCTTATCTGCTCACGACCTGCGCCTTCCAGCTGTTCTTCGGCAAGCTATACACCTTTTTCTCTATTAAATACGTGTATCTCGCGGCATTTCTCGTGTTCGAAGTGGGCTCTGTAGTTTGCGGTGCTGCTCCAAACTCGACTGCACTCATCATTGGTCGTGCCGTTGCAGGACTTGGCTCGGCTGGTATCTTCTCTGGTGCCATCTTGATCATCGCGAACAGCGTACCACTCCGGAGCCGTGCTGCTTACACTGGTATCTTTGGAGCCATGTACGGCGTCGCAAGCGTAGCTGGGCCATTGATGGGAGGCGCTTTCACCGACAACAGCAACCTGACTTGGAGATGGTGAGTCGCTTAAACCTGCGACCGATGTTTGAAGCTAGCTAATCCGTCTTCAGGTGCTTCTACATCAATCTGCCAATCGGCGTGGTCACTTTCGTTTTCGTGACATTCTTCTACAACCCCAGCCCGACCGCCAGATCGCTCGCCACTGGCTGGAAGGCTAGGCTGAATCAATTCGATCTCATCGGCACAGCGGTCTTCCTGCCCATGGTTGTGTGTCTGCTTCTTGCGCTGCAATGGGGCGGAAGCAAATATGAATGGAACTCGGGCACCATTATCGCATTGCTCGTCGTCACCGGCCTTCTCCTCATCGCATTTGTGGGCATTCAGTTCTGGAAGCAGGATAACGGAACTGTCCCACCTCGTGTGTTGAAGCAGCGATCCGTCGCAGGATCTGCATGGTTCGGTATCTTCATTGGCGCTGCGTTCTTCTGCATCGTTTACTTCCTGCCAATCTGGTTCCAGGTACGTAGCATTTGACTTTTATTCTCGTCACCGGAAGAAAGCCCAGAGTACAATCGCTGACAAACTTTCCAGGCCATCAAGAGCAAGACTCCTCTCGAATCCGGCATTGCAAATCTTCCCATGCTGCTCGGCGTCGTGATTCTGTCGATGGCAGCCGGAGGTCTCGTCACTTGGCTCGGCTACTATGCACCGTTCATGATTCTGTCCGCGGTACTGGCCGCGATCGGAGCGGGACTCATGACTACTTTCCGAGTGGACACCCCACAGCCCGTCTGGATCGGCTACCAGGTCATCTTTGGAGCGGGTGTCGGCTTCGGCATGCAGCAGACGCTCATCGCCGTGCAGACTGTACTTCCTGCTGCGGACGTGCCCATCGGAACCGCCATCGTCATGTTCTGTCAAACTCTCGGCGGCGCCATCTTCATCTCTGTCGCGCAAAACGTCTTCACCAACCGCCTCCTCGCGAACGTCATCTCGATCGTGCCGGATCTGGACCCGGCGATCGTCCTTGCGAGCGGTGCCACCAATCTCGCCAAGAACATCCGTCCAGAATATTTGGACGGAGTCATCGAGGCATACAACTCAGCCATCACAACAACCTTCTACGTCGCCGTCGCCACAGCTGCTTTGAGCATCATCGGCGCAGTCTTTGTCGAATGGAAGAGCGTAAAGGGCAAGAAGATTGAGATGGCTATGGCTTAAAAAGTTGGAGGGATGCTGCTCCATCAACAACAAACCATATTTGACGGCATTGTTTGTTTTCTTCGCAGAGACGATACCCATAGATTTAATGACACGGCGTTTCACAGGGAAGGGAGTCTTGTGTAGTATATAGACTTACGATCGTCACTCTTCGGACAGTGGTATGATATGGAATTGAAATCGTCACTCTTCAACTCCTCGTATTAAGTATTCAACGACACATTCGATGATCATGATACTGCCAAGAATCCCACTGATGAATGTCCGGGCAGTGGAAAGGAGTAACGATGTTCTGTATCCAGGTAGGGTAGTGTATGCGTTCCTGCGCCACTCACGTAGATCAGGACGTGAAATACGAGGACAATATAGTATATACAATCCATGGATGCCTTCATTCTGGAACGTAGGACGCATGACAGCATTCAGCGGTTGTCGGCCTGAGGCACGGTATATCTGAGTCAGTGGAGTAACGGGAGTTGGAACGATATTTTCATGTGAAGTAGCGTTCGGAGGGTCTGCCAAGAATGCGGCCACGATGTCATGTACCCGTCCGCCCTCCCGTCCTCCCGTCGGTCCACAAGTGTTCTCTCTCTCATGCCTGCCACGGCGTAGGTCTTCGGAGTTCTGCACAGGTGAAATTTGCTTCTAGGCGCCCGTTCTTGACCGCACAGTTCTCGTGGGCAGCACGGCATACCATATCTCATACGTGTCCCAAGCCACAATCTGGTGGGTTGAGTCAAAGCACTTGCCTACTGTACAGTGCACATACGCTATTACATAGATAGTCACAGTACTTGAGTACTGCAATAATAGCTAGCACCCGTAGTACACACCAATCGACCTGGGCAGTTAGGCTTGCTCTCGTTCGCGGGCGCGCTGGGCCTGCTGCTTGCTGGTTCGTCCACAGGGCCCTCATCTCACAATCACGCTCCACACATCGAACCCGCCAGCAAAGCGCCGTCGCCGCCCACCAACATCTCCTTGACACTCGTCACCACGTCCACTTCAACTTCCTGTCCCTCCGACCACATCTGACCTTTCAACCCAATACAACTCCCTCTCTACACATACCCACTCCCAACACTCACTGCGAAAATGGCGACTGAGGTATGTTTCGTCCACTTGACGCACCGCCCACCCTATCTCCTTTGCTGCCCCACCGTCAAACGCGGTGGCTGCGAAAATGCAGCTGCTCTCTAAATCTCTCGATGATTACATGTGACTGACCAACTCTTCTCTTACAGCGCGAGAGGTACATATGCCGGAGCACAGGCAACCTCGTTCTGTTACTGACAGCTATGCAGCAAGACTTTCCTCGCCCGGCTGTGCGAGCAGGCCGAGCGCTACGATGGTAAGTTGCAAAATTGCCCGAGAACGCGATGTCAAGTGCAGATATGCTGACGCACAACTTCTACAGAGATGGTCGGCTACATGAAGGTTCGTGGAAGATAGAAACAAATCAAATATGCTAGTACGGATGCTAACGAGTTGAATAGGAAGTTGCAAAGGTACGCGCACTTTACACACCAACAGACCTGTCGACACACGATCGTATCGGGAGGCTACGGCGCTGTACAATTTCGCAGCTAACACTACATCCAGATCGGCGGCGAGCTCACCGTTGACGAGCGTAACCTTCTGTCCGTGGCTTACAAGAACGTCGTCGGCACACGCCGTGCCTCGTGGCGCATCATTTCCAGCATCGAGCAAAAGGAGGAATCCAAGGGTTCGGACAAGCACGTCACCATCATCCGCGACTACCGCAGCAAGATTGAGCTCGAGCTCGAGAAGGTCTGCGAGGATGTCCTTGATGTGCTCGACCAAAGCCTTATCCCCAAGGCCGAGACCGGCGAGAGCAAGGTCTTCTACCACAAGATGTATGTACAATTGCCACGATCACCATGGACTTGCATGTCCGTCGTGCGTAAATTATCCAGATATCTAACAGATCCACAGGAAGGGTGACTACCACCGTTACCTCGCCGAGTTCGCCTCCGGCGAGAAGCGCAAGACCGCTGCCACTGCGGCTCACGAGGCATACAAGGTAGGGCGATGCCTGGTGCAGAGCCACACCACGGACAACTGAGCTGACAATGTGTAGAACGCGACCGACGTCGCCCAGACTGAGCTCACTCCTACCCACCCCATTCGTCTCGGGCTCGCCCTCAACTTCTCCGTCTTCTACTACGAGATCCTCAACTCACCGGACCGTGCGTGCCATCTCGCCAAGCAGGCCTTTGACGACGCCATCGCCGAGCTCGACAGCCTTTCCGAGGAGTCGTACCGCGACAGCACCCTCATCATGCAGCTCCTCCGCGACAACCTTACTCTCTGGACCTCTTCAGACAATGCTGAGCCCGAGGCTGCTGCTGCCGCCGCCGCTGCCGAGCCCAAGGCCGAAGCCGAAGCTGCTCCCGCTGCCGAGAAGCCCGCTGAGACTGAGCCTGCCGCTGCTTCTTAAGCATCGAACGCCCTCACCTTGACAATCGTCTATCAAGCGTGCGACTTTCTGGCGTTGGCGTGTCGGGTAGCGAATGGCTGAAATTATACAATCCTTTATCGTGTTTACATCTTCATGAATCAGTGTCGGGATCAAGTGAGAAGAGGTTCTCAGGGATAGTACCCCCCGCCAGCGGGATGATCTGAGAGCGAGCAAAGTGAATGGTGATGCCAATTGGCAGGACATGCTGAATCGAAATTTACATGCCGACTGAGCAATGAGGAATCGCTTCCATTGGAACACTCCTTGGAAATTCTCCTGTTTGACAGATGGCTCCGACTTTTCGTGCGGCTTCCGCCTTGTGGCTTATGCTTGACACCTCTTGAACTTTTCAATCTTTGGACAGCATGCGACCTGCACGCATTGCTGCTCCCACTCCCAGGATGCACCGTCAGCTGTCGTGTATTTTCCCTCTCCCTGTACTGCAGACAACGCTTTGGCTCAGCGTGACGTTGGGACCACATATCCTCGCGTCGCTGAACTCACACAAAGTCATTGCTCCGTCTTTCACCATTGGCACCTGATCTGTTTACCCCCTGCGAGCGTCCCGCCTTGTTTTGCATGTTTTCATCTGTCAATCAGACATGATTTCCCCCTACAGTCTTTACCTGTGCTCCAGCGGCAGACTGCTGAGCTTCTACTTTTCATGTACGAACTGGAAATCCAGCTACCATAGGAAATATCCCCTCTGCTTGATACGTTGCGCTTGCCCGTACGATAAAGGTACGTTCATCAATGGCCACCTTGCAAACCCAATGCTGCTCATTCATTAGCCCGCAATATCGTCGATCTTTGGGCAGGCATTGACTGGATCATCGCAGCTTACACATTCACCGACTCTTTGTAGGAATTTTATTTCTGAAGCATATATTTATCGGCAAGCCTCGCAGGAACACCGCTCCTGTTGTCATGATGAGTTCTTGCCACTCGTAGAACCTCCCCAACGCTGTGACTTCGTGTGAAAAGGTCATCTCAGGGATACCGTGCCTTCAGCGTGACATCCTGCTCATTCAGCGTTCGCAGTCTCTTCTTTCCGCAAGCCGCATTGTGCGCAAATGTTCATCAGCCCGGCAGATGTATGCACTAGGCGTGGTGCGTCTCCCCATAGGACCGTTCTGTGTATACATGGTGGGCGGCGAAACACAAGTTTGCAGGGTCCGACATGAGTCTAGCCCACAAGAGTAATCGAGACCAGGATCGTCGCACAGCTCCCCCAACCTCCTTGGCTGCTTGTTCGTCTAGTAGCGCAAGCTGTGAGATGCCTCTTTTACTTTACTTTGAATAGCGAATGGCTCGCACGACCCTCCATATATATCACTCTCTACAAATCAGGATCGTAATAGTCACTGCACACCGCAGATCTTCCCACGAAACAATCAATCGCTGAGACATTACGGTTACATGCCTGCCGTGACGTCTTCCGGCGCAACAGTCTGCACGTGAACCACCAAAGGGTTCACCTCCCGAGCCAAGCTTGGTCCCAGCCCTGTCGCATCGCCAATTCTGCCTCTCAAGGAGCGCATTTCCACCTTCCTCCTCTCCCGAAGACGATTGGTCTTTTCGACGGCAAATCATACTCCACCGGCGAAGTCCCACGAATGGCCGGCTCAAACACCCGCAGCGTCTCCGGGCGCAACGCCTCACCCTCACGGAGTCTCGGCGGCCGAAGTTCGCGCCCAGCCGCCTCGCGCGCATCCTCCTCCTCGACATCCAACTTCTTCGCCGGCGGCCTAGGCGGCGCCTCGCGTGGGATTTTCGGCGCAAGCAATGGCGGCTCCTCATATTACAAGCGTCGCCCGCGGGACGGCTACATCCAATACCTCATCCACAAACTGCAGCGCATGATCAAGGAGCTCTGGGCTTACGCGAGGAAGAACCCCATGAAGGCGTTCTTTGCGGTCGTTGTGCCGCTGCTGAGCGCGGGCGGCGCGGTACATGGACTGTTGAAGCAATTCGGTGTGAGGATTCCGATGATTGACGGCGGTTCGAGGCGTGGCGGAGGAGGATATTATGGTAGTTCGGGATATGGTGGCGGATCAGGTGGCGAAGCAGGAGGATGGATGAATCAGGCGGGCAGTCTGATTTCGGTCGCGAAGATGTTCATGTAATAATAAGATGCGCATTGGACGCCACACGAAGTGGGCAGTGAGAGGCGCATGAAAATCTGTACGGTCGGAGCCCGATGCAGCACTGGGTGGAAAAATTTGTCGCAAATATTTGCTGATGGTTTTTAACGCATGACGATTTATTGATATCCCAAGAATGTACAGACACAGTGAACATAAATCACTTCACAGATACATGATATGGCCCTTGGTTATGCGGGAACCAATGATGTAATAGCATCGTGGCTGATGTAAATGATTCTTGGGTCACTATGGACAGATCGATCGTCTCAAACGGATTGCTTGACCCAAGTCTCCACAACATCGCCAACGCGAATCGTCTTTGTGTTGTTCACATTCTGCTCGGCTGGCAATCTCAAAGCCGTATGGATCCCGAACATCACCTTGCCATCCCTCCTCCTGGTCTTGGCTAGAGTCACGAACGGCTCTTGATTCTTCTCGCCAGTTTCTTGATCGATACACAGCATCTGGCACCGGCGGCAACCACCTAAGAAGTCAAGTTGTGGGCCGCCCTGCCCGCCGACACGCATGGCTTGCCAATTGTCTTCGATCCACGGCCGCTCCGATGATGAATCATCCTCACCTCGCTCAGCGACGACGATGTTGGCGCGAAATGCTGCTGCCCGGGCGATTTTGCCATCCTTTGCGGTAATCATGTCGTTCAGGGCGTTGAGAGACGAGCGGCTGATGGTCAGGATTGGAGACTCGTTACTGAGAAGCAAGGATGATGGCTTCACGTCCTTTCCTTGAAGGTGAGCCTTCATATGACGAGAGCTTGAGCCGGCCGATGCTGTGAAACGTGCGAGGGTACAAGGGATACCGAGCATGTCTGTGAAGAAGTCGGCAATGGTACACGAAAGATATTGGCGTGCTTGGATAGCATCGTCACAAACAGTGACGTCGCGAACTCTCTGCGCCTCGTCGATAAACAGACCAGGATCTTTGGAAAGTGGCACCGAAATTTGCCTCTCGGTGCTTGAGTCGCTCATCCGAAGGACTCCGGTCTTGAAATCAAGCTCTGGTCGGAGCAGCGCCATGCGCGGATACTTCTTCTGAGAGATCACCGCACCAGTGCTTCGATTAATCACACACCATTCTCGATCCCATGCCAGCCCTGTCGAGTGAACATCCCAATCCGTCCCAAGTGGAATCCTCCAGCCTGCGCAGCTCTTGACTGGGTACACCGTCAAACTCTCGATGTAATGCACTGCTTGAGGAAGTTTGGTTGCCTCGAAGGGAGAATCTGATCTTTGAACAGGCACTGTTTTGTCTACGAAGAATTCTTGGACGAACGAGACGAATCTTGTCACATCAGCATGGGTATTCATGGCTCCTAAACTGACGCGAATGACGCCTGTCGGTTTACCATTCCTGACATCATTCTCCGAACCACATCTGAAGCCTGCCGAGAAGTTTTCGAGCATCTCCCATGAGGCCAGTTGAAGATGGGTCGCTATCCCGCCCGGGTTGCAGAGACCTCCCGTACGAATGTGAATGTTTTTGATGGCAGCTAGTTTCTCCACCTCTGCGTGACTGAGCCACTGACCCTGAGAGTCTTGCATATTGAACGCCACGATAGGACCGTACTTTTGCGTCTCTGTGAGATCGCTCGTTCTCGAATCGTACATTGTACACACATTTGCGCCATTCGCGTGCTTCAATATCGCGAGGTCATTTCGCAGGCGATCGGCCAGGGTAGTCGTGTGCAGCCGAGTCGAAGGTAAGCTCTCGAATAGATCGTCGTGCGTATGCATAGCCTCTCCAAGAGCTAATATGCTGTGAATCGGTAGAGTCCCGTCCTCCAAGCGCTCGTGTAAGGTACCTGTCTTCCTGGCATGCCATTGCTCCTGAACGCAGACGACCATGTCAACTGTGCCTCCTCCAAAATACCTTCGACGATCGAATAGATGTGAGACATCCTTTCTGATGATCACAGCACCAAGATTCGGGAATCCGAAAACTTTGGAGAAGCTCAACACTGTGAAGTCTGGGACGGATTCTGGGCTTTTGAAACATAGAGGTGACGTTGCAGCTAACGATGCAGCATCTAGTAGGGAGTATATTTCTACTTCAGCTTTTCGGGCTTTGATGTCCGCGATCCAATCTAGAGGACAGCAGCGACCATTTAAATTAGACTGTGCGGGATATGCAAAGAGGCCGGGACCTGTATGTCCGCCGAGCAGCTTGCCATCGAGCCAGGATTTCACATCAACATCACGGGCGAAGCAATGATGTTCTGTGGCCAGCTCGCGGACTCCAACCAGACTGGTATGACATTCGGCGTGATATCCGTACCAGAAGCCTCGCTGGCTCTCTCGGAGTGTTTCGGCGACCAGCTTGATCGCAGACGTTGTGTTGGACGTGAAGACGAGGTCTACCTGATCTGTATCGAAGCCAAAGTATGTCAAGGCTTGCAGTCGTATGCTTTCAATGTCGCGCGTGGATCTTACACTAGATTCTGAAGCAGAGTGAGGGCTATGGGCACTGGTCGTTAGTCTACCGGGTGATGTTCTCTGTCAAGATTTGTCGAGATCGATTCCACTAAACTGACTTGCCGTAAATATTTGCCAACATCACAGCTTGGAATCTTTGCACGAGAGTCGCACTATACAGAGTTGTTCCGGCATGATCGAGATAGATATGATCTTGCATATATGGGTATTCATGCTTGCGCATGCGCTCGACCTTCGTGTCGTATGGTTTCATCTCTGCCAGTTTCTTAGGGTCGTCTTCAACCGTGGACAGCAGTTGGGGCAGTAGGGTTGAGCATCAGTCGCCACCCACCCAACGTCCATACTCTCAGATGGTGCTCTTCTGCAAGTAAGGCGAGCGACAGTCATGCGTTTTTGATAATTCATACGAGGGATGAATCATTCGGGATATTCGAGCTGAATGAGAAGGCTGGATCCCCACGGGAGAGATCGGTCGCGGTTCACGTCCTCATTCCGCTTCCGAGCCCCAAATTTCGGTTGAGGCTGAGCCCAGTACCAACTTCGAAAGCAGACCCGCTGCGGGGGAGCTCAATGATGGCTGCCATGAAATTGCCCAGTTGCACGTAGGGATGCTTCGACGGAATGTTGCTCCGTATAGGCGTGTCAGGCTGCCGAGAATATCACGGCGCAGGTATGGAGCGTTGGTGTGAGCAGTGGGCATAAGGTTCATCTCGACTGGCGCTTCCAGTATACTACCTTGGTGTATTACCATACAAGGGTTTCCTCGACTGCAAAGTAGATGTGAATGCAATATGGCAAACCTGCACGTACCTCTTCACATATTTTTACATGCAGGATAATTATTACTGTCCCAAAGTTCAACAAGCATCACTGAATTTCGAGGACAGTTATGAAGTGCTGAAGAGATTATCGATGTTAATGGCCTGAGCGAGACAACCATTAGTGCTCGCATGGTTGTGCGTGAGAAGTACTGCAGTCCATGGGTATGTATAGTGGGAGAAAACAACGCATTACAACTTCACGCCAGGTACTGCTCATTTGCAGCCCTGGAGGCGCCCAGGTGATATATGGTTACAGTATTCAGACGCATACTGACGGGCTGGCTGTCTGTGAAATCATGGGGACCTCAGACACAGGTCGCGCGCTGGTAGAAACCCTTCTCGGGACCGCATCGCGTGACGTCAGAACGACACAATCAATCAAAGCACTGTCCGTGGTGGATCTCGATATTCTGTTCGTTCTTTCATTCAAGGGACGCTATTCTTCACCATGAAGAATGTCACTGCAGGCCGTCCTGGCGACAATCGGAAAAGGACCTCAGACAGGGGCACGGGCGAGCCGAAGTCAAGTGCGGTGGTGCTGTACGGCAATACAATACACGAGCATACATAGAAACCTCCGGGCGCAGGCGTGTGGGTGGCGGCAGGGCTACTTCGGGCGCCACACAGACAGATCAGGAGAAGTTGAGATCTTGGGGTCAAGCCACGATCCGCGCACAATCGTTCTCCTGCTGAGACCTGGACAAAGTCTCGATGGTCTCAGAATCCCTCGATCTACGAAACAGAACCCTTGTACAAGCAACACGAGCTGGCCACTTTTCGAATGACGAAGTCATCACATTGCTGGTATCGTATCGTCGCGTCACTTGACGAAGGGGATGGCTGTTCCTTGCTCCTTCCCTCGGCGCCAGCGAGGCCTGGGGAGTTGAGAATGATCTCGTGCCGCGCATTTTTCTCACCAAAAGCTCACCTTGATATCATCGTCGTTGGCAATGATGAGCCTTCCGGTCAACGTCGGCATACTGGGCCATTTTTTAGTTCATGGCGGCGACGGCAGTACGAGCAGGCCCGGGGGAGATTGGAAGCCATCGGTGTGGTTCAGTGTCCTTACCATGGTTGTGTCTGGTCTCATTTCGACGAGAGGCGAGTTAAATGTCGAGTAGTGAAACATTGCCCTCTCCCTCTCCCTCTCACGTTCTCTCTCACACACATACCATAATACTGTAGCTCACGCCGTGGCTTGACACTGTCCTTACCTAGGTAGTGTGCTATACGAACGGAAAAGTTTCGTAATATGCTGGATGTGTGCTGCATATGGATCTACGCAGGCGAGCACACTCCATCTTCACGGGCACGACATGACCTCGACCTCGATGTTTCGATATGGCAAATGCATGTGCTGTACAACGCCGTGTAGATGCAGGAAGATGATGGGCATGCGCACACGACGTCATGTCAGCACATCAGCTCTACCGGGCCACACATTGCAGCACCTTCGCCGAGAGATTTTCCCACCATTTAACTCCACCTGGGCACACTTGTCATCCGCTTCATTGCTGGGCTAGGGTGTGGCTTGATCTTCGGTGCGAACCAGACTGTCAGCTACTCTCTAGGCCTGTTGCAGGGGGCACATGCTACACTCTGGTCTTCACACAAGCCTCACCCGTTGGTGTGGGTTCATCGTTATTTTTGACTTGTGGCAGCAGCAGAGTCATCAATCTTTGGATCGTCGAAAGGGTTCAACCCAGCGATTTCATCCATGGGTGTGTTCGTTCAGATCGACGGCACTGGAGGTATCCATGGATGTAAACTAACGATGTATGCTGCGCCAACGGAACGAACAAGCAGGGGTTTGGTGTGGTTTGAGCATCCCGAACATGTTCAACGAGATCGGACGGGGGAAGATTTATCGCGGGTTGGAAACGAAATCCATACAATGACCAGTAATAGAGATGGCGAGCGAGTGCCGTTGGAATGGAGAAGAATTACCCGAGATCAAGGACGAGCGAGTGCAGTACCTCCCCTACCGTACCTAGGTCGGATTGTCATGAATTATTACCGCAAAATGATGATATGGCGAAGGTAGGCAGTCGTCATCAACAGCGCTGGAGCGCGCCCGGGCGCCCAGCAGGTTTTATCAGTGCTTTTTGTTAGCACGAGGCGCAGCTTCTGTCATCCGCGCTGTCTAGTGCTGTAAATGATGCACAGCCAATGTCCCTCTTCTCCATGAACTTGTGATGAAAGGCTTCAACCACCAGGACCACCATCTCCGAACAGTATCCTCTCCGATATCCTTGGCCTTGCGCAGAAGATAATCACGCTTGAAGACAACGGCAACGCCAACAACCACAGCATCATCGTGCGTCTGTTGAAGATCGTTCAGGCATCCGGCATTTGAAACTTCCGTGATCACCTCAGCCCTCATCTTCGCCACGGCTTCACGCTCGTTCGGTGATAAGCCACATTGCAACCGAATCTCGGAGTGGTGCGCCACTGCCTTCGGGCACTTGCTCAGCACTCTGTTTTGGAAGCACTGAAACATCTTTCTGGCATCATAATCACCACGGTCGAGCTCGGCCATCATTTCAACACTAAGCGCGGCGAAAATCGGACATTGCTCCTCAAATATCCATCTCGGCTCTGGTGTTGATCTCGACCGCTCTGTTGCGCGCATCGGCGACAATTTCCTACTGCTCAATCGACGCCGCGCGTAGAACTCCGGTCGTCAACAACAACGTTTTGCGACTCCGCGCGACAGATCCCACAATCAAATCGGACGGATACGATCTTTACGACCGGCCAACATTCGCTGCAGCAGTATTGGCTCAAGCACGGAGATGTGCGCCGCGTTCACGGATCTTTGTCTGAGTCCAGGCCAATCTGTAGGGCTCTGCACGCCTAGCACGTTAGGACAGTGGTATGTTCTCATCCCTCAATTCACCTCTCGTCGCCCGCTCGTCTCACGACGCTTATGCGCTATCCTGCGCCCATCGTATGCCTATGATGCATAGCTTTCTTGATGCGCGTGCGGCGACGTCTTCTTACCTGCAGCAGCAAGTCTATTGGGCCATCTGCTTCGGTGTGTGTGTCTCTTGCTGATGAATGGCATATAGAGCTAGATCGACTCGACACAAGGTCGCATATCGCGAGCAGCAGCATACACCCGAATTCTAGCTCTCACACGTGGGATTGATGCGATCAGAAAGCATCCCACCATGCCTAATCAACCACGCGAGTCACCGACTACCTCTGCAGCAGACCCACTACCGATGGTCGTTGACCCACCTAAGCAGACTACACCGACCTCGAGAGAACCGCAAAGAACGCCACCCAAGCCTGCTTCGGACTCGCCCAAAATACGTCATTCCGGGCTTTCTATGAGCACATCCAATCTACGTCTGACCGGCGCCGCAGCGATGGCGGAGATGAAGAGGCACAATCAAGATCCTCAATCCAGACTGGACATGTCAAATCGCCAGACAAGTCCAAATCCTGCTGTGGAAGCGGTTAGGAGCTTGGTCTCCGGTGGGGGAATGAGCCGGGCAAGTGATGCGCCCGCGCCAGTGAAATTGAGCTCGCCGTTGCGTCAGGCCGCTGAGAAGATCGTGATACCCTCTGAGTCCGCTCGTGCTCAATCGGACAATAGAAGCGCAGTCAGCGTAGGAAGTTTCAGATCGTTGGAGAGTATTGTACCTAACAATGCACTGACGGCTACCGCCCATTCGACATCGGTACCGAGGCCGCAATACACCGGCGAGTCTTCACAGATGACTGACGAGCCGAGCACACTGGATGATGCAAGAGACCGCTCAAGACCCGCAGATCAAGACGGGAATAAGGCTTTTTCATATCCCGGGCGCCCTGGAGAAGCCCAATCGGAGCAGCAGTCCAGCGACGGCGCCCTCCGAGGTATGAGCCATCCCGGCTATGGGCAGAGCAGCCCCAGATCCCCCGCGTCGACGAAGCGGCACAAGTGTCCCCACTGCGATGTTGACTTTACTCGCCATCACAATCTCAAAAGCCATCTCCTGACACATAGTCAAGAGAAGCCGTTCGTGTGCCCGGATTGCTCATCGAGTTTTCGACGGCTTCACGACCTCAAACGACATAGCAAGTTACACACGGGTGAGCGGCCGCACACGTGCAAGACATGTGGTCGACGGTTTGCGAGAGGTGACGCGCTGGCGCGTCACAACAAAGGGCCAGGGCCCTGCGCCGGCCGAAGGTCAAGTTTTGGCGGCGACGGAGATGGAACGGCGGATAGCATGGATGGCGTGGAATACACCAGCCCGGCTGATGACTACGATGGCGCTGATGATCATGCTCGCAGGGTCAGTGAGCCGAGTCGCAAGCGACAGCAAGTGGAAACTTCTGAGGATTTGCACCGCGAGGTATATCGGCAGCATTCAAGTACATACCCTCCACCTCCTACGCGCACTATGCGTGAGAGTGTTGGCTCTATGGCCCCCCCATCGGTTGCTCTCCCGAGTCCGAGCAGTGTTGCGCCCTCGCGAGAAGGACCCAACCATCCAGGCCCACTCAATGGATCTTCGACGAATCAATCATATTATTCGCAGGGCCAAGTCTTTCAAGAGCCCGGCATGATGACTCAATCTCCCAAGCCTCTCTCCCCAGGTGGGCTCCCGGAAAGCAGTCATCGACCGAGCATTGGGGATGCATCGACAGCAGGGTCGCTGGGTCGCAACCGATCGACCAGCCTGACTACGCAATTTCAGCAACAGCAATTTGGTCGAGGGTCCAGCGTAGGCAAGACTTCGCCGCGTATGGCCTCGCAGTACCCGCCAATGCAGCCCGGTGGCGCAACGACAATGTTGCCGCCACTCGGTGCGAGTGCTTTACCTCAACCTCGTGGGGCATCTCAGGCACCGTCCAATTCCCAACAACAGCATTCACACCAACCACAACATCTACATCCGCACACTGGCGGCGGGCTCGGCTCAAACGCCGGCAGCCTCTCGAGCCACGGCCGATCGTCTGGTAGCAGCATCCGCGAAGTCCTTGGCTCCGAAACAGCAGATGTTTGGCAATACGTTCGACAGATCGAAGCCCGATTCGAGCGCAAGCAGAACGAGTACGAACTGCGCATTCAGAATCTACAGGAAGAGGTCAAACTGATCCGAGCGCAACTTTCGGGCAATGCACCTGGATACGGCGGCGGCGGCGGGCCAGAGATGGGGACTGGCGGAAGGTACTAGGTCGACGATTGAATGACCGAATCGCGTCCTCGTAACTATTCTGTGGGACTACCTGTCAGGCGCTGGGAAATCACGGGGACAATGTGAAGGGTTCAATTGTATAGTAAAACTTGTGTGACAGACTACGATAGAAGACCTCGACCTTCCTGTCGACGCGTGCGCGGCTCAAGCAACATCTACGGAGTCCGCGTGCGCGTCGGCACGAGAGGGGCGGGGCAAATGAAGACAATGACGATGAGGACGACCAGTTACGATCGTTACTGTCCAAAATCAATATGTTCCCAGAGTGTGATTACGCCGTAAACATGGTTCGTGCTGCTTGCCTATCTTAACTCGATGGGAAGGATTGAGAGAGCATCGTGGCCCGACTCTCCCGAGTCCTTGTGTTTTCGGAAATGTACTGACTGGATGTAGTCAAAATGCAATGATACGTGCATTCCTAGGTAGATTGGATCTTACGGGTGACACATGTTTGTCGCGGAGGCAGCGAGAGATCTGATGTCTCTCTCCATCCGGCGGCTCCGGTGTCTCTCTCGCGACACAACCCTCTTCTGAGATGCAGAGGTGGTTCAAAATTGGTTCCACTCGTCAGTACTTTCTGCGCCGATGCTAGAAAATGTACGGCTGTGTGTACTATGCGTGTGCTCCAGATGCATGTACTGTTATCAATTGTAGAAGGCGCATTGGTTCGACAGTACAGACGGACGACGAGGCGGGACTTCAGGAAGGACCGGGAGCGACGCTGGGGACGATGACGCGGTCCATGGAAGTAGTCTTTTAGTCCTGTAACAACAAGAAACCTTGGAATCGATGCGAGGACTCGTCATTTCGAATGGGTATTTGCAAGGGATTGGGTGGGAACGATGCTCCCACTCTGCGCCGCCCAAGCCTGTTCGCCTGGCAAAAAATTGTAGGTCCGACTTTATCCTCGCGTAGGTAGTCTGGCATTCTACGTGGTAAATGTAGTACCCTCGCCATGTGCAATTTATTGTTATCGTTGTTGTTCTTATTATTACTATTCCTATTATTAGTAGTACTGTAGAGAGAATCATTTAGCTGCAGTAGTGGATTACAACAGTGGGAGACGGAAGCGATGATAAAGATGCGGACTGCTGGCTGCTGCTGGTGCTGGCGCTGGTCCTGTCTTTCATTGTTGTCAACTGCCCAGGTGGTATCTGTTGCGGCACCCCGGATTTCGGAAGGAAAACCGTGCGAGAAGCTACTGTACAGGTACCTAATTCATAAAGGATGACCACAATGATGATGATGATGATGATGATGATGATGATGAGGCTGAGAACCCAGGCCTGTCCCACTATTCCCGGGAAAATCGAACCATTTTTATCGATCGACCTGCAGTAGGGGGGAAGCCACACCACCAACTGCGCACGCTGGACGTACATACATGTAGGTCATAGAAACACGATCCAGCACATGTTCCAAGCTTGGATTCGTGTTCATAATAACATGACAACAACAAGAAGTGCATCCAACGACTCACTCCGCATCACCACAGAACAAGTAGTAGAAATCGTACATTGTTGCCCGGTCTTGTCTGTCCGGCAGTCCACGGTGAAACAATCCTTAGCTATTAGATACGCGTGTGAGATTTTACACGACAATGATAATCATCTAGCGAATGAGATGCCTGCATGTACTAAATCGTCCCATCTGCACCACCAATAATAATCATCCCATTCCTGTTCACCAGAATATTATCATTCCAAGGTGCAGGTGATTATCGTTATAGTGTACGATGATCCTACAGGGCTAGCTGCCGTCACTTTCTTGCACCACTGTTGTACTACATCATTGCCGCCAATCACCCTTTCCTCGCCATTTGCTCTCGGAACTCTCCAACGTACAATCCGCGACAAAACCCGATCACCTCCCAGTCTCGCGAACCATCCTTACAACTGCGCCTGCTCGACCCTGCATGAGACCATCCATTGACCTCGAGGAAAGAGCACCCGTCTTCTCCCAAAGCTCAAACGTTGCGACCCTGAGGGCGGAACCCACCCCGACTTCTCTCAACATTTCCACCTTTTCCCGTCTCGCTAGACTTCTCACACGATCCCCTTCAGTATGAACGGCATTCAAATCAACGGCGCCAATGGCGCACACACCAATAGTCACCACGATCCAACCCTTCTCCATCCGCTCCAGGTTCCAACGAGAGATCGAAGTGCTCGTAGCAGCCACTCCGATGACAGTCAAGAATCAAGTCCCAGCCCAAAATCTAGCAGTAGCAGGACAAGCTTCAATCGATCACGAAAACCATCACAACCCCTCGCTCCACCATTCCTCGTCTCAGCACCAGGCAAGACCATTGTATATGGTGAACATGCTGTTGTCCACGGCAAGGCTGCGATAGCTGCCGCCATCTCCCTACGGACATACCTTCTCGTCACCACTCTCACAAAGTCTCAACGAACAGTCTCTCTGAAGTTCGTCGACATCGATCTAGATCATACATGGAACATCCAGGATCTTCCTTGGAAAGAGTTCGCACACCCGGCGCGGAAGAAGAAGTACTATGATTTGGTCATAGAGCGCGATGAGGAGTTGGTCGCGGCCATGCAACCACATCTCATCACAGTGAGTCGTGATGCCACTCCGGAGAAACAGAAGATGCACAGGGCTGCAGCTAGTGCCTTCCTATACTTGTTTCTATCACTGGGCTCACAATACTCGCAAGGGTGCATATATGCGATGCGGTCCACGGTACCGGTAGGGGTTGGACTTGGAAGCAGTGCCAGCGTGTGTGTGTGCATCTCTGCCGCGCTGTTGGTCCAAGCAAGAGCACTGTCCGGACCACATCCAGATCAGCAAGGAGAAGAAGCAGCGGAACAACTTGAGCGAATCAATCGCTGGGCGTTTGTTGGAGAAATGGGCATTCACGGGAATCCAAGCGGAGTTGACAACACTGTCGCGACACACGGCCACGCCGTATTCTTCGAGAGGACCGATTACACCAAACCTCCGCATGTCGAGGTCATGAACGACTTCCCCGAGCTACCGCTTCTCCTCCTCGATACCTGCGTTCCCAAATCCACCGCTGCGGAAGTCGCCAAAGTCGCTCTCCTGAAGAAGACCCACCCGATCGTGGCCGACAACATCCTCAATGCTATCGACGCCATTACCCGATCGGTGTATGAGCGCATCTCCGGCGGCGACTTCGATCCGGCCTCGAATGCGAGCATCGAGCACCTCGGCCAACTCATGTCGATCAATCATGCTCTCCTCAGCAGTCTCGGGGTGTCCCATCCTCGTTTAGACCGGCTCAGATACCTCGTCGACCAGGCCGGAGTCGGATGGACCAAACTCACAGGTGCCGGAGGCGGTGGTTGCGCCATCACCTTGCTACGCCCTGACGAGCTCACAGCGGAACTCCCGAAGGCAGTCGTCTCCGGCCTCAACGCAAACGGCACCGCGAATCAGGGTGCCACTCTTAGTGCCGCGAATGGAGCAGCAAGCGGCGCGTTGACTCCGTCCTCATCTCTGCGTGCATTGGAACAACAGCTCGAAGACGAAGGCTTTCGGAAATACAAAACTACTCTCGGAGGCGACGGCGTGGGCGTCCTCTACCCCGCGCTCCTGAATGACGAAGAAATTGACCTCGAGATGTTCCTCACCGCCGAAGGACGTGAGGGCGTGGAGCAACTCGTGGGTGTGTCGAGCGACGAGGGCGCCTGGAAGTACTGGCGACCTTAACGAATGCTGCGCGTGTTGAATCTACTTCAAGAGCCTCTCTAAGCTTTGTAGGACCCGGCGTCCTTATTTTTGAATGAAAGGGGAGCTTTAAGCGTTTAATGTGGAGCTTTGAGTATCTCAAAGCATCGGCGAACAGACGGGAAACAAGGCGTGAAAATCATGGGAGGTACTTTGAGCTGCGAAATGCATGGATGCGACCAGCTGGATCCTCGAAAAGGTTTTTGTGGGAGGGCGTGTTCTGGGTCGAGACCCCAGCGTTTATGTCCGCTAATTCAGAAGTCTTCGAAGTTCAAATAAGGAAATTCGTCTTTGCACGCAACAGGCTCCTTTACAAATTGGGTGTCCGCGAAGATGTTGCAGTTCCTAGACCTCGCCGAAGATTGGGCTTCATGGTGAGAGCGGGGAAGAAATGTGGCTGAATCCTGCTCATGTGAGCATTTTGATATATTCTTATTGGAGGCCGACGCGATGCACGATTCTTGAGATAATATGAAGAAGGCCTACAAGGCGAATCCTTCGCATGCTCGCTCGCCATTGCCTGATTCAAGACGCGACACATGACATTAAAAATATCCAAGTGCCATCACTCTTCACCATCTCATCAACTAGGGCATCACCATGATCCCTCGTCTCTTCGGCCTCGATTCGAATTGGAACGGCCCGACAGACGACATCTGGTTCACCAGACAGATCCGCGAGGGTCAACTCACAGCCTGGGCACTCACCGTCAAATTTTGGCGCATCGAATTCGGTCTCCAGCGAGACGGCCAAACCTACAACGTCCAATGCCGCTACCAACCCAAATGGGACAATGAAACCGTCTGGAGCCAGAACGGCCCCGGTCCCGGCTACGACGGCACCTGGACCACGCGAATCGGGTGGACGCGCCTGGGTCGATTGAAGATCGAATCGCATTTCGACGACGCGCGGAGTTCTTTCCCACGCCGTCTATCCTGGCTGCAGTGCCAGTCCCTCCTGCACGGATTTGTCAACAGGATCGTCGACCGCCCGGATGTCGACTGGCGGTGGTTTGCGGACAATGTCAATCCGGCGTGTCGCGGCATCGAGCAGTTACCGCCGCCGCCCGCGGCGCTGCAGAACCATGTCTGGCAGGCGAACGCGCCGCATGAGAATAGCCCGGCGCAGAGGAGAAAGAAGTCAAATATGATTGGTATTTTGTATACCGCATCGTTTCGTTGAAACATCATCTTTGAGATGGAAGTCGTGCAAGTTCGGGATGTCCCCGCATCATAAGGTGAAGAAAAAGACACAAACTCTTCTCTTCTCAGTATGATGAAAGAGCAGACAATAGCAACGGCTGGGTGGATCCCATGGACGACCATATCGGAATGCACGGGTGGCGTGGTAGACATTACGAAAACCACAACATGAGACTTTCATCTTTTCAATGACCCTGTTGACAACCGTCTCGCTCTATGCCTCACCCGATGGACACTTCATCGATATGATAGAACGTGCAGTGTCATCGTCTTATCTCGACGCCTGGCTCAAGAAGCCCATGTTGTAGGAATACACCACTCGCTCCACCGATGCCCCTCATGCTTTCCAAATTTTCGAATATGCGACCGTCACAGCCTCTCGATCACACGACTTCCCCCGCCGAGCAGGACAATTTCCATACTGAGCGCTTCTCCCGCCTGGGGTTGTGAACACGGATTCCTCCGGCTTTATCGACGTTGCAGGTGCGTCGGCGAGAGAAACAAAGGGCAATGCAGCGGGCGAGCTTCAAAAGCCGACGTGAGGCGATGCGGCTGGCGCTGCTTGGACGCGGCAAAGAGAGAGAGACAACGAGAGAAATGGCGCCGAGCTACGCATGAATTTCGGCGCTGGGGAGGACCCTTAAAGTGCAGTCCGCGATCCGTGAACAGATTGTACCTGAAAATGTAGCCAGCTCAATAGCACGAGTAGGTAATAGATTACCCAATGCAATTCAAACCCCTGCGGTACACTCGCACGCGTGGTCGAGATATCGGCATCACCTGGACAGCACCAGCTGGTCAATCTCTCTTCGCATGATCCAGATCCATGATCATGAACTCCAGCAGGGCGTCCTCCGTCAGGCCGAAGTGAGCGGGCCCTTGGTAGAGAGTTGCATGTGCTTACGTCCCATCGACTAAACATCGGCCTTGTCGCCTTCCACGCCCTTCTACATCGATCGGTGCATATATTGATCATATCGTCTCGCTTCAAAACAGGGTAGATTTGCAAGTTTACCGAAGTTTATTGCTTGGGACTGGGAAAATAATTTGATCGTCATGACAGCGGGCAAAAGAAAGAATGCCTGGCGGGAAACGCCGTTGGTTGAATCAGTCAACTTGTCAAAGGCTGCAGGATGGTATGAGCAACTCCTTCTTCTTGATTCGAGTATTATATCTACAAGTGAATCACACAACGACGACGTCCGTGATAACGCTCACTGATGGACAAGGCTGACCTCCAACAACGTGCAGTCGCATCTTCCTCAAACTTGACAACCTCCAGCCTTCGGGCTCTTTCAAATCTCGCGGCCTAGGCAATCTCGTCCAACAGAGTCTCTCCCGTTGCAAGGATCCAGCAAATGCCCATTTCTACTCGTCAAGCGGTGGCAATGCCGGCCTCGGCTGTGTTCACGCGGCAAATTTTGTGGGACGGCCCAGCACCGTCGTGGTTCCCATCAGCACAAAACCCATGATGATAGCCAAGCTTCGAGCCGCGGGCGCGACCCAAGTGATCCAGCATGGGGCGCACTGGAGTGAAGCGGACAGGCATCTGCGCGAGGTTGTGATGAAGTCTGCGACTGCTCGTGGAGAGGAGCCCGTCTACGTCCACCCCTTCGATCATCCAGATATCTGGCAGGGGCATTCGAGCCTGGTCGATGAGTTAGCGACACAGTTCATTGAGCAGGACATCGAATCCCCTCCGGACCTGATAGTCTGCAGCGTTGGAGGCGGCGGTTTATTCAATGGCATCGCTCAAGGTATTCACAACCAGGGAGAGCTGTGGAAACGGCGAACGAAGATCCTAGCCATGGAAACCGCCGGCGCAGATGCCCTGTCTCAATCGCTAGCGGCTGGCAAGCGAGTGACGCTGCCAGCTATCACGTCTCTTGCAACGAGTCTTGGAGCTGTGCAGGTCTGTGAGCGGACTTTCAACTTGGCACAGCAGTATCGCGCATCAGGCATGTTGCACAATGCTGTTTTGACAGATGCCGAAGCTGCTATGGGATGTTGGCGGTTCGCAGATGATGAGCGTATGTTGGTCGAGCTAGCTTGCGGCGTCAGTGTAGCAATTAGCTACGGTCGCCGATTGGAGGCTATCCTCGGTCGGCCGGTCACTTCGGACGAAAAGGTGGTCATCGTCGTGTGCGGTGGTTCGGCTATGTCCGTGGAGACGGTGGAATCATGGCGAAAGCAATACGGAGGGTTGGACGACGATCTACCCGGCGATGGATCGGATTGTACACCAAGTGCTGTGAACATCCCACGATGAATACGCAAGGAATTAATGGAAACGATCATGCACAGCGTTGATGTTCCAGTTCGCACCCTGTTCACATGGTGTAAATCTCATCTGCCAAGAGCTCTCAGACCGCAGTCTGAACCGAAGACGACCCCAATGGATCATCGAGTAGGCTTTGACGATATTTCCAGTAATTAATCCGCACAGGGTCGTATGTTTGTGCCAGCAGGTCGAGCATTTGATACGCGTCCGCCGCAGTCTCCTTTTCAAGAGCTAGGATCTCGGCCAGCAGGTCTAACGCATGACTGGAGCGAATATTGCCAGGGCTCGAAAGGTCCGCGTAGGTTTCTGCGATGGGCTTCAGATCCTGTAACGCGATATCACTGTGTCGCTGTATGCCTCGAAGATAGTTCCAAGCGCTCCTGTTTTGTGGGGCAGTCGCAAGTGCAGCCTTGGTGAAAGCTATCTCTCGCTCTCGAATGTCGCGATCAGACACTCCAGGGACACCTTCCATTTCTCGGCCATTGATCACATACCAGCGATGATTCCATGCACTGTTGTTCCGGACATCCTTTCGAAGCATCACTTCGGTGAATTCCAATTCGCCTTGATCCCACAAGTCGAAACGTTGGACGAGCCATTGCCGATAGCTCCAAACATGATAGTTCTTGGCATCCAGGTCAAACATCTGCGCTATGAAGTCTGTTTCGCCATCGGATGTATTTCGCATGTTGACAATCTGATTGCGATGATGCCAAATCTGGTAATTCTTTTGGTGTTCCAGGGCAATTTTGTTCAGCCAGGCCAATTCCTGGGCAAGGTCACACTGTAGTGTGAACAATATTCTCGCGCGATACAACCACACTGTATAATGCGCCGGGTTCAACCCGATCAAGTGTTTGGTCAAATTGAGTGCGCGGGTGGAGTTTTCATCGGCAGCCATAACAGCGCGAAGATAAGACATAGCTTCGCCATATTCCTCACTGTACGCGATCGCAGCTAGAGGATTTGCTCCGCCTTCATCGGTCGGCAGAGGCTCGACATCTGCCCAGGATGGATCCGAAGAGTACACGCTCATGTCTATGGGTTGGAAAGTGTGTTGAGGGATCTTGTAAGGCAGAATAGATGTGTTCGGGCGAGTGTTGTGACGACACCAGGCTGATTTATCACTGACGGCGGGGCAACACCCTGCCCTAGGCCACGGTACGTTCGAAGGCACGGAAGGGTCCACGGCCTTTACACATCAATTCACACCGGCGTTGTCTGCTTCTGGTTTGAGCGCAGTTCGCTTTGTGCATTCGTTTCTTAGTAGTAGGCCAGGAATAACTATGCGGCCTTTTGTCTTGCTCGCAACCCCGATCCTCATAGTCGCGCTTCCCAGGCATGCTTCAAGCGGGTCAGCGATGAATGGGAGCCTGAGGGATGCAGTCATGCGACGTAAGAACAGCCGCGGAAATACGAGCATATTCTCGATCATATTTAGAATTTTACATGAAAGATGGTGGAAATCTCGATTGTTCACAGGCAGTTTTGAAGCACGTCAATTCTCGAGCAACCTCGGAAGTTTTGAAGGCTTCCACGGTCAGAGTCCACAGGTCGGGACCAGCAACCTTCCACATCGCACATTCGCTCGTGCCTCATTGCTTCTTCTTTCCGTCTTTACCTCCGACGGCTTGTTGCGCCTTACGTTTCTCTTCTCGAGCCTTGTCCATTTCCTCCATTTCTTCTGCCTCTTTCCGCTGTGCGTACCATTGACCGGCTTGGAGGACTAAGATGCCCACCAGCACAAGCGCAAGAATCGTGTTACTTGCCGCAAGAACTCGCAGACTATCCTCCCGTCCGATGTAGGTCTCATCTCGCGGGCCGGCGTCTGCGTCTTGGCCGCCGTAAGCGCCTGCGGTGACCGTTCGGAGTCCCTTGACGATATTCGCGATATACACTGTTATGCCGCACATGTACAAGACGAGGCTCGCACCATCGAAGAGCATGTTTGCTTCGGAGGGCTTGTATAACTTCATCAGAAAGCCTAACAGGCCGGTGCCGATGACGATGTGAAGTATGCGGCTGATGAGAGGTGGAGATGCGTGTAAGAACTTCAGATGATTTTCCTGAAGTGCAAAGTAGACATCGCGAGGGTCGATGGTAATGTCTGACACGGCCGGCGTCGTCCACAAGACATGGTAATCATATGGAAAGAGTGCGAATAGGATGCCGAGGAAGAAACATGTAGCTGTCGAATGGCAAGGTCAGCTTCACAATCACAAGGGCGCGCAATGGGTATTCGTACGGCCAACAATCAGGAATGTCGCGAATGGCGCGACACCTTTGACCGCCATGTCTATAATCCTGAGTCTGTCGTGTGGTGATGTGGCAAGTACGCGATCGATGTGCGATGGTCTACAGAGCAGATAGACAACTGCATTTGCTTGCTTGCAGGTGGGTTGAGACGATTAGCTTTCGAGGGTCGAGCACTCCACCTGCAGGTACCCAGGTAGGTACTGATGACCACAGCCCTGGTGCCGTGGAGCCCGAGTACGTGAATTTTAGGGTAAGAGCAGATGCTCAGCAAACGATTTGTGAACACGATCACGCCTCACAGACCAACAACTCACGACGACATTTGCCGAGTACAGATTCCTACTTTCGGAACTCGGCGGACGGCAGATACTGTACCTCGTCATGATTCCATGTTGTGAGAAATACCCACTCACTAGCGAAACCATGGCCGTCTGGTGCTTGTCTGGCACTAACCATCCCGAATTGAATATTGCCCAGGTGTACCGTTAACTGGACGCGAACGCGGCGCATTTATATTTGCTGAGTAGAAGGCCATCTGCGGTTGCCAACCATAGGTCACTTAGTGCTCGGGAATTTCCTGCCATCCGTGTTGATAGCGCAATGCAATATTACACAACCTACGCACAAAAGTGTGTTCGTTACGTTAGAGCATGAGCAGTCCGTCCGACGATGGCTATGCAGCAAGTGCCGAATGGTTCTCGACCACAATTCGTCTTGTGACGGCCGTCGTTTCGGCCATGCGAATGTGGAGAGGTGAATTTGCCGGCATCTGCGTATCGATCTACTTCGAGCATGAAGTCGTGCCTCGTGCTCAAAACCGAGGGTAAAAGTCTTCATCAATCGTTGCATTCGTTGCAGGTTCGGCTAGGCTTTGTCGGCCAATTGTCTCGCTCACGGATCCATATGCCTCTGTTGTTTTCGCATTCCTCACGACCGATGAATCGCGATCAATGCAAAGTCTTCAGACTAGTGTCCGCAACGACATCATACACCATCGATTCCCGACATGCCTCCAGGAACGAGCTACACGCGATCAGCTAGGATACGAAATGTGGTGCCGTGCGACGTACCATGCAAATATTGTTGCCATTCAGCAAGATCTTGGGCAACTTTTTCTCGACTTTGTTGGTGCGATCACTAAAATGATCAGTATACGGGTGTAAATGGGCGAAAAGGTCATCGAAAGCTTTAACGCACTATTCGGTCACATCCTCGAGCACCATATCTGCCATATTTGTCAACTTTTGGAGCAACGAAGGCATAGAGTCGCTTCGCATACGTACTGACGAAATCATCGAAACCGAGCAAGTTGCCGCTAAATTCTTCACAGACATCAGCGCAGGCTTCCATGATCGTCGTCAGCAGAGTCTGCGTTCACCTTTGTCGCCCTTCATGATGACCCAAATGGGGTGCCCAACGCATCGATCAATGAGTTCGAGAGGTAGTAATTGAGATGCCATGGTATGCGTGGTCAATTGGCCGGTTTACGGTAGGTTCGCGGGTGCACTGATATCGAAGCCTATCACTCCTGTCGTCGAGTTCTTCCCAATGCCGTTCAATCTTCCGGATGTACTAGGTACCTAGGTATCCAAAGATGATACAGTCGTTTGTGCAGTCCTCACGTGCTTGCGCGTCACGGAAGCGACCGCACGAACAGCCCTGCCCTGCCTTGCGGATGATGTCAGGGACCGCAGCAGGGGAAATTTATGTAGACTCGGGTGAATTGCTGCTGTCTTCAATGTATGGTATCAATGCGACGTTCATTTGAGTGAGCCCTATCGAAAAGCAATCACTTAATGTTATAGTCGCGAAAGTTGACCTGAGATGGTCCATGATACGGACGGTCAGCGAATCGTTGAACAATCAGCAATGCACCCGCGCGATGTCTGCGTCACATTCGCGGCTTGTCGAAGCCGCCTCGCGCATCAGGACTGCCAGCATTCGCGACCTTCCGACGGGCGCGATTTCCACTATGGCTGAGAGCGTGACATCAACGACAGCGATCCCGTTTCCTAAAGCTTCGTATTCTGGCGGCATCTATCATCGTGTGGACAAGTCTCGAAGTATCACGTTCCGATCCAGGCGCCCAAGTACCCGTAGACTCATCTGGAGAATCCCCAACGAGGTGATTGTTGATCTTCCGACGATTCATGTCTCAGCACCACCATATCGGCCTTATGCTTCCCGGGAAGCCCAACGTGCTAGGCCGACCTCTAACCCTTCACCCACCGCCAGCGATCAGAATTACTCTCAACAGGCTTATTTCGACGCTTTAAAAAAGATTGAAGCGCTAGAAAGATACAATGCGCGCAAAGAAAAGGAATCAGACGCGGCTATCGCCGAAGCTGTTCGTTCAGCGCTGCAGAAAAGCGGAGAAAGCGAGCAGAAGCTAAAAGAGCAAGTGCAGCAGTATAAGGGCTTCGTTGAGAATCGTGACGCAATTATTAGGAAACAGGAAAGAGTAAAACAAGAGGCGGAAAATCTGAAAGGGCAAGTTCAGAAGCTATGGTCGGATAACGAAAAGCTTGCCCAGGAGCTCTCAGCGGTTCGAGGCCAGGATTCGAAGAAGGCTGCGCAGATAATCCGACTGGAAGAGGCGGCTCAGGCGTTGCGGAATACGTTGGACAGTACTAATCGAAGGTACGAAAAGTATCGAGAAGACTCCCAGCCACATTGGGAGGCCAATGAAAATGCAAAACAGCGCTACAAGCAGGACATCGAAAGAGCGACCGAAACGAGGCTCACAGCAGCGTTCGCTGAGGAGACAAAGCAGTACGCAGAGGAGATCGATTTGCGCCGAGAGGAAGTAAAGAGTGAACGACAACGTAATCACGGATTAGTGCAACACAACAACGAGCAACGAGTTCATATTGACGACTTGCAAGCACAGCTTGCGAACGCCAAAACAAGCGCAAAGCGGGTCGAGGAATCGCTGGAAATCGAGAAGGAATCATTGACAGAACAGATCATGGCATTCAAAGAGGAGAGCCTTTCCCGTGATGACAGAGCGCGGCAGAGAGAAATATACAAAGGATATCGTGAGATCTGGGATGAATTCCAAAATGCTGCATACGCCGCGAAATGGTCTAGTTCGAACATCACGATTTCCTCGTCATATTGGTCAAAAGTCATGGACCGATTTGAGAAAGACCCTAGACTTGCGAGATTTCGCGAGCGCTATGCTGGCCACAGTCACGCAATCAAAAGCTTCTTGACAGCGCGGAAAGGCAAGGCTAACGAAGATGCAGTAATGATGAAAAGTTTCGTTGGCGATTTTGACAATGCTCTCGATAGAGTATCAGCAGAAGCTCACTATTCTCGAGCACTTATGAGGAGCTTGCACCTTGACGAAAGTCATTTGTACGATCTCTTAAAGAGGGCGCACGATGTTCTGATAATCCGACCAATTCGAAGACTGTGGACGCGAATTGAGACTACCGAGTCGATGGTGTCGATACCATATCGAGACCGCAGACTCTATAGGTCGAAGCTAGACGATTTCCAGCTCGTCTACCGAGAATTGCGCGAATTCTTCACGTTAGAGACGCTACTACAGGCCAGTGCCCATGACAAGGCTGTATACGTCCTGGCAAAGGCAGGGTCAGATGAGCTGGCCAAGCCTGTGAGTGATCGCTCGAGCAGCGACCCGTCAGAAAACCGCGGCGACGTCAACAAGGAACGTATGAGGCTGTTGGGTGCGGATGACAATTTGCGCGTAATGATATCCACCAGATTCACTCTCGAACAGGAGTGCGGCATGCTTGATCCTAAAGCAGCGCAAGATCATGACGCCCAAATTCGTGATCTGATTCAAAGACAACTCAAGCGCGTTTACGACGTCCTGGGCAAGGTAGGCAAACGTTCTCTCGGGGGAGCAACAGCCACAACTTCGATTAAGCGAAGCAATCGACCTGTCCTCGTGAAGACTCGACGTCGTGAGCGCAGTCAACCTGATACATCGGGAGTGACTAGCACACATGCACGTACCACGAGAATAACCAGGGTGTTAGTTAACTCATCAAAGGAGCTGCTTAAGAGCAGTAGCTCTTCGAGTACAGCAGTCGTAAGTGGCGCGAGTGAGCCTGTGAACACATCAGAGGAGCCGCAAATTAGCAGCAGCTCTTCGATTACGGCAGCCGTAAGTGACGCGCTCACGAGGACACAAAAATCAAAACGGCGGGCAAGGATCAAAAAAGAAGCGCGGAAAGCAGCGGCCGCGAACGATGCCGCAAGTGTCTCCGGGCCGATTGCTGATTCTTCATCGAGCATTAACCTGAAGCCTGCAAAAAAGGATCGCGTTGACGCAGAGGAAACTGTCAGATCGAGCAATGCGACTGCGACTCGAACGACCACAGACGAGGATGTTGTTATTCGGAAGAAAAGTACGCGCTTAGGTTTGAGCGCTTCTCCACGTTTCCAGAACTGGCTTTGTTCTGGGCAGGCCGCGCGCTTTCGGACACTTCCCGCTGCGGGCGTCCCGAATCTGTCTACAGGATTATCAGTCCAAAGATTCTCACATCGAATTGACCTCCTCGCGACAGCATCCTTGCTCACAAATCGGGCTGCAGATGTCTGGGCCGCTGGTTGTAGAGCGCGAAGAAACTCAAGCACTACAGATTTTCCTCAGAGCGTCCCAGACCGGTCCATAACACCGATCAAGTCCACACGTCAAACACCGCGACCATCTGGTCAATCTCGCCTTGAGCTCGAGCCCAAAATGGGAAGTTTGCTGGCGTTCGACGAAGCTCAAGCGGAACAAGTTGAAGATGATGCAGGCTCGGATGCTGGTATCCAGGCCGAGTCCACCGAAAGTGACACCGCTCTGACGAACGATGACACCCCTTTCGAGCTCACTTATCGGATCCCCAATTTGAGCATTTTGGAGGCCGAGTCGCCATCAGATGATGTCAATACACTCCATTGGACTCACAAGCTTTACAAAAACTCCAAAGGACAAGCTCCCGTGGTTTTTTACTGTACTTCATATGAAACATGCGAACGACAGGCAAAATTGTTTCTCAACGAGCCCATTGTGGGCTTTGACCTCGAATGGGAAACGTTTGCTTCCTTGAAAAAGCACGGTGCGAAGCAAAATGTTTCTTTGATACAGATCGCGAGTGAAAGTCAGATTGGCCTTTTCCATGTCGCATGTTTCAAGGGAACCACTCCTGAAGAGCTCATGCCACCTTCTCTCCGTACGCTGCTGGAGTCTGAGTCAATAACAAAGACGGGTGTCAACGTCGTTGGTGACGCCAATCGTATGCGTACTTTCTTTCAAATCGAAATGAAGGGACTGATGGAGTTAAGTCACCTCTATCGAATAGTCAGGTATTCGGAGCAGTCGCCCGATATGGTCAATTTCAAGCTCTGCGGCCTGGCAATGCAAGTGAAAGATGTTCTCAGACTGCCGCTGAAGAAAGATGAAACAAGAGTCAGTCGCTGGTCCAACAAGCTGAATGCACAGCAGATCGAATATGCTGCAGCAGACGCCTACGCTGGGTTTCACTTGTATCACGCCCTCGAAAACCTGCGAATTGTCATGGATCCAAGACCCCCTCGACCAGCTTTCTATGAGACATTATCGCCGTTAGTATTGCCCGACGGTACGAAGGTTCTTAGGACGGAGCGCAAGACTGTTACTTCGAAGAAAAAGGCCACAGAGTCCTCGATATCAGACGAAATCAGTGAAAGCGAGGAGTTCTTCGACGCATTGGAGGTCATGGACGACAAGGAGGATGTTGCTCGTCTGTCGTCTTCAGACAACATCTCGGGTACTGATGGGTCAGATGCCTCCGAGATCGTTTATCCAAAACTGCCGACGGAAAATATTACGAGAAGCTATCATGCAGAAAATACGTATGCTGAAACAAATGCTGGGAGCGACGCGCATGGAAACAATCAAGCGGCAGCCTTGCCGCTTAGAACCAGAACCGGCGTCGCCTTACCTTCACATCCAGAAACCCGATCGGCCGACTCCTGGGCCCAAGCATTCCTGGCCGCCAAACCTTCGATCGATCACGAGAAGGACACAGGCGCCCGTCTGCAAAAACCAGTCAACGCATCCACCTTGCGTGCGTATCATCTCTGGCACAAACAGAATTATGATATCACTCAGGTAGCCGCATTCTGCCGCCAACCTCCATTGGCGCTTACCACAGTTGCTACCTATGTAATGACTGCGATCAAGGAGGAAAGCCTTCCTTTCGATGCCGAACGTGCACAGGAGGTCTTGAAGGCCTTGCCTGCATCCATCAAGGGCAAGTATGTGAGGTTCGTTGGAGCCAGGAACTTGCCTTGATGCCTGCCCAGAACCAGACCATGTCTCTATTGCTTACAACATTTCATCTATCTATGTTGGGTCTTGAGAGCGGGGAAATATTTTGCTGGCGTCACGGGCGTTACTGGACTTGAATAAGCTTAATAGAGGTTGGAGAACCCAATCGTCGAACTGGAACTTTGAATGCAGTTTGCTGCTGCTGGTCAGCTACGTTCGTCGTTTACACATGTTTGTATACAGCGCTCGAACTTCCTTCAATATGTATTGATAGTTTCTACTGAACATAGCGATGTACAACAGTCAAACGTTAGCCTCTGGACGCAACGTTCAATGCTTCTGATACAGATTATAATACATATTCTACAGCGATTGATAGGTCCTGCGGTATTGACCGTCGCGCGCATGGGCCAGGTAACGTAATGGACCGTCTGATCACCCAAAATGCAGAATGCAGGTCCCTCCGCGAGGACAACTCGCAACCTGGATCTCTGACGAAATGCATCTTCGTTGCTCGATCGATCGCCAGACGGCAATTAACTGATGATTCCTCAACGGCGCTCCCGGCGAAGATCCATGCAGCTCAGTATGATGACTGATCATGCTGAATAGGAGTTGGCGCGAAAATTCTATGCCATCCGAGGTGACATATCACTCCTTTATTTTGGCCATTTCTTCCAGTAGCGACCATAGCCAGCCAGCTTCCATGCTCTGATAAGCTCAGGCATACCTGCCATAGCCTTCCTCCGCTCTTCCAACTTGCCTTGCATTGTCCGCTCCCAGTATTTTCCTTTGACCTTTTTGCCGATACCGGTTCCTTGTACTCGGAGCCCCTGCTCAATCCGCTTTTGTTCTCGAACTTCTGGATGCTTTGGCCCTAGAGGCATCAGATCCAAGACTCCGTGGGCCATTGCAATCTTGTACAGTTCGGCTTGCCGCCGTAATGAGATGGATGGCCCGATCCAGGTCGTGCTCCTCGGCTTCTTCATCGGGAGAAAAGGGTTTCGCGACAGGAAAGGACTTATTGCCGTGGACGAGGTCGATTCATTGGAGGTGGCGGATTCGGTTGATAGTGATGATCCTTCGGCATCTGCAGAGCCGCCAGCGTTGAGTGTTTTGAGGTCTCTCCGGGCAATCAATTGAACCTTCTGGTTGTTTGAGAGCACGCCCACGGAGGGTGGAGGATGCTTTTTAAAGAAATTGAGCAGCCTAGGAGGCAGACTTTGAGCGACCTCGATGTATTGTTTGGCCGTCAACGAGGTCGCCATATTCGCTGAATATGGATTGTTGGCGCAAGTTGTATCGACAATGATGTTCCCAGCGTACGCAGGGCCTCGAAGTTGGACTTGACAAATGTCTTGGCACGCGGATTGCGGAGCTGTCGCTGCGCGTCGTCTATGCCTAGAGCTCCCGCAGTCGTTCCTCTATGGACACTTGCATACTGACTTCGAACACACCACATCACTTTGGTTCAATCCCGTACAACCCTTCCATATTCCCACGATTGTTCCAACATCCTTTGCAGATTCTCCGGCAACCTTGTAGCATCCGCCGAACTCGCAACTATGTCCTCCCCATTCTCCATCAGTACGTCAATACCTCATGAACGGCTAGCATGGAAATGCGTGTCATTCATGTTACAGTCATGATCATGGAACGAGATTGAGAATTTCGGGCTGACTTTCGGCTCTAGATGGTGGAGCCTGCGTGGCCATGGCAGGCAAAGATTGTGTGGCTATTGCGTGCGATCTAAGGCTTGGACTACAAGCTCTCACGGTCTCGAACAACTTCCCGAAGATCTTCCCATACGGCTCGAGCGTATATCTCGGACTCACAGGCCTTGCAACAGATGTCAGTACTGTCAGCGAACTTTTCCGATACAAGGTGAACATGTACCGGTTGCGCGAAGAACGGGACATCTCGCCGCAAACATTCGCACATCTGGTTAGCAGCAGTTTGTATGAGCGGCGTTTCGGGCCCTGGTTTGTGAGTCCGGTAGTGGCAGGCATAAATGGCACGACAGGAAAGCCTTTCATCTGCGGGTATGTTGTGGTTAGCGATTCGTGATCGCGCATGGCCGCCTTGCTGATACAGACGGCATTAGATTCGACTCGATCGGCTGCATTGACTTCGCCAAAGATTTCATCGTATCCGGTACCGCTTCTGATCAGCTGTTCGGTACCTGCGAAGGCCTATGGGAGCCTGATCTCGGGCCCGAAGACCTGTTTGAGACCATTTCTCAAGCATTACTGAATGCTGTGGACCGTGATGCCTTGTCAGGCTGGGGTGCACATGTGTACATCATCGAGAAGGACAAGGTCACAAAGAGACTGCTCAAGGGACGGCAAGACTGAACCACAACGGGCGAGAGGATGGGAATTGTATACTACGTGTGCTCTGCACATCACGAAAGATTAAGGCCTGGCGTTTGCGGAGCATCAATGAAGGGCTGCACGAAAGGCTTGCGGCCATAACGAAGATCATTGCAACGAGACAATCGGACGAAGTATCATATCCACGAGTCTTTAAACGGTGTGTGAAGTACGCGCAACCTCTGCTCTCTTGATAATCGGGATCCGAAGCGACGTCCTCAGTGTGCATATGCTGCTGAAGATGCGAAAGCCAAGGCGACCACTGTCACAAGTGCCGAAAGGATCCAGAAAATCGTCGCTGTACCGAGTCGCACGTCGTGCAAGCAAGTGCGCAACCACTGCGATGAGCCGTGGTATAAATTGGCTTCTTTCTGCACCTCTCGTCTAACATCCTCAATCCTCATCTGCTTGCCCCGTTGTCTCCTTCGAACCATTGCCGTAGCTCCAGCGCCAGAATGTAAGGAGATGCACATGGTGCTAGAATGCGGCCCATTCGAAAAAGCTGTAGCGCACGGCTCGCAGCCAGGACGCGCATGCCGCCGCATCATGTTCAAGAAGTTCTCGTAGACGATCAAACAATCTTGTTTCGTGCCAATGATGTTGAATACGTATATGCTATGTAAATATGCGCTGGCTTCTTCGTGAAGCTGGCGTGAGGCCCGCAGGAGACTCGTGGGAAACTCATGCTGCTCTGGAGGTGCGAGTCTGTGGCAGAGCGAGGATCGGAGATCAACCTGAATGTAGATTTGCGCTTCTGGCGGAAATAGATGCTGATATATTAAATGACGGATATCATAGGGAAGTTCGAGAAGGTGGAGGGAGCGAGGTCTAGCTCCCATCTTCCAATACAGTAGAAGATTAAACGACCATACACCGATTTGCGTGACTCGAAAGTGGTGACGATATCTTCTGTTGGTGAGTCGAACTGGAGTCGCAGTAGCAATGAAGCAACGATATGTAGAACTGACAAGATGATGATGTTGAAGTCTATTGTAATGTCATGAATTATTTCGGGAGCATCAAGACGTGCGCTGGTTAAAGTCGATGCCTAGACTGTGTCCAGAGGGCGGCCCAGGGGGGCCGTCAATGATCGAGTACGATGCACGAGGACATCCTGATGTTTGCCCTTGTCTCCACGCGTCTCACATCTTAATCACTGCCATTGTCACTGCGCATATACTTGGTGTGGGCATCTCCAAGGATGTCCAGACAGAACGAACATTTCAAATCACAAGTACTGTGGTTGCGTTTTGCGCAAGTCCCGACGCGCACGGACCCCGATTTATGAATTCGGATCCATGTGAAGTCCTGTATGAGGCAAACCAAAAGCAAGCTGCCACATAAGATGCGAATGACGCTTGTCCATAGCAAAGTGATTACTGATGCGCGCATCGCGGAATGTCGATTACCTACGCAGATTTCGAGAAGGCATGCGAGGCGCTGCAGGAAAGGTGGGAGAAGTTCGGGGCAGATTCAAACTGGCTGGAAGTTAGATTACATTGTCAGGTATAACTTAACATGGCATCCATCATGTCCATCTACCTGGTAGATGATTCTTCGCACCGCTTCAACGCTGACACGGGATTGAAAGTTCGGTATCAAATTTCTTCGCATCAAGAAAGAGATATCTCCTGCATTGATGCAGATCGAAACCGCAGACCCTGTCGAGACTCCGTACGGGCTTGAATATGAAGACGAGGACGGTCTGGCTGTGGTCAAGTCAGAAGTCGCGCCCATCTTGTCTTGTGATGTTGTGCATTCAGTCTCCTACCAGGTTCCAGTTCTGTACTTTCAATTGTGCAACATGCACTGGCATTTGCCACCTTCTTTGGACATCATCCACTCGATCCTGGTCCCAGACTTCCATAAGATGCCAGTACGAGACGTCGGAATATTAGGTGCACTCAGCACCTCAGATCACCCGGTGACCGGCTTGCCGTCCTTTTTCATCCACCCTTGTCAGACTCAGGCTGCAATGGCAAGCTTACATATCGACCAATTCGGACAGCCCGACGACTACCTCCTGGCATGGATTGGCATAATAGGCGCGACTGTCGGCCTGAGTGTGCCAATTCAGATGGCTAGCCAGTCGGTCGAAGGTACACTCGAGAATTGACGTCTGACATGAGCACATGAGGGGAGGAGCAATGGCATGCATGACTGATGGCATCTTCAATCGCTCAATCATCGTCGTCATCGCTCATCTCCATCTCTGCACCATCGTCTTCGTCCTCATCTTCGTCATCGCTCGCGGCATGTTTGCGCTTCAGGACGCTTGCATCCACATCCATCTGTGAATTGGCAGCCTAAGTACCGACACGATTAGAAACATTGAAAGATAGTCAGATCCACGAATGGTTCACTTACAGGTAGCGGTGGGGCCGGTGGGAGGTTGAAGCTGTTCAAGGGACCAGCGATAGTCGGTGGAGCTCCTGGTCGGCCAGGGAGTCCGCTCGGGGGCTTCGGGAGTCCACCGGGCGGAGCCGGCAACGCTCCTGGCGGACGCGGCAAGCCACTTGGAGGTGGCGGAAGTCCACCAGGGGGAGGTGGCAGATTGCTTGACTGTGCAGCCTTGGGTTGTTCAAACGCTGCTTCGACGTTTGTGCCGAGAATCTTATCGAGGGTTTTTGAGCGGTTGGTCGAATAGCTTATTTTCTGTCAGACGTGCTGTCAATACCACAATCCCAAACAACATGGTCTATCGTAAGACTTACTAATGGTCGGTCCAAAAACATCGTGCCTTGAAGTTTTTCCATTGCATACGTCGCACTCTGTACATCTTTGAACAGGATGTGAGCTTGGCCGCGCATTTTCTCCGACTTCATCACTGTCACATCGATAACGGATGCCTCCGATGTGAAGGTCATGTAAAGCAGTCGAAGTAGGTCTTCTTTTTTCTCCTTGACAGACAGATTCTGGATGTACAGGGATTGATTTGGTCGTGAAGCGGTCCCCTTGTTGCCATTGCTGCCATTGACCGTAGTGGTAGCCATGATGCAAAATGAAATCAGTATCGTTCGTTGATCACGAGGAAGCGCTTCGACACCTGGGCACTATGCGCTGCTTCTCGTGGGTTATGATCTGGTCAAGCACGCGAGGCCCAGACTGTCGTCTTGCCGCAAATAATTTACATTTCTGGATAATCGCAGACAGTGGACGCGCCTCGCGAGGTTTAGCCGCAAACAAGGCAAGTGCCAACACGTGCGGCCCGCAAGCGACCACTCGCCAGGGCTGCCCCACTAACGACGTATGATGTCCTCCTCCGTAGCCCTATCTAAACGTTACGCTTCATCACACAACCTCCAATCTTCAATACGATCAGATTCAGCAGATATCTGTGCCGACAGTTGAGACTCCTCCCCTCCTGTCCGCCAGACTGTTGATCTACCTCCACACGTCATCGACGAAATTGCTCGAATCATGGCAGCACCTCAAGTACACCACCTGTTCCACGCGCCCATCAATGACCATTCCTTCTCAGCTGATCGAAGTACGCTGGCCGTGTGCAAGGACAACAACGTCGAGCTCTTTCGCAATTCAGGCGCAGGCTTCAAGCTTCAGGATGAGCTCCGAGGTCATGACAAGACCGTCACCGGCGTGGACATTGCCCCACACAGTGGCCGCATCGTGACCTGCAGCCAAGATCGCAATGCGTACGTTTGGGAACCCAGTCAGACTGGTGAGTGGAAGCCGACTTTAGTGCTTCTACGTATCAACCGAGCGGCCACTTGTGTCCGCTGGAGTCCGAGCGAGAACAAGTTCGCCGTTGGAAGTGGTGCACGTATCATTGCCATCTGTTATTTCGAGGAGGAGAATGACTGGTGGGTTTCTAAGCATCTCAAGAAACCACTGCGCTCCACTGTCACGAGCGTGGCCTGGCACCCAAACTCTGTTCTTCTAGCCGCTGGTAGCACAGATGGACATGCACGTGTCTTCAGCTCTTTCGTTAAGGGCACTGACGAGCGCCCCGAGGCAACTGCATGGGGTGAAAGGCTACCATTCAACACGGTCTGCGGAGAATATCTGAACGCGACCGCCGGCTGGATCCATGGTGTCGCATTCTCCCCGTCGGGAGATGCATTGGCGTTCACCGCCCACGATAGTAGCGTTACCATCGTCTACCCGAGTGCTCCGGAGCAGCCACCAAAAGCTGTCATTTCCGTTTCCACGCAACTGCTTCCTTTTGCAGATTTGATCTGGATATCCGAGTCTGAACTTGTCTGTGCAGGCTACGATTGTGGCGTTTATCGTCTTTCCGGCAATCAAAATGGCTGGCAGTTGACCGGCTCTTTGGAGAAGCCTGCAGGAGCGGGTAATGGTCAGGCGCGAGAGGAAAGTGCGTTGAGTTTGTTCAAGTCTATGGATCTCAAGGGTCGCAGTGGCGCCGCCGACGATACGAAACTACACACGGTTCATCAGAACACAATCAACACCATCCGGGTTTTCCAAGGGAGTCCCGAGCAGATCTCCAAGATTAGCACAGGTGGTGTGGATGGACGAGTGGTTGTGTGGACTTTGTAATGATCTATGGAGGGAAGGATTTTGGGGTTTCACGCAGCGTCGCCACGCAGTCTATTATCCAAACTTGCGACCAATGTTCCGTCATGTCCCTGGAAATATATGCTGCAAACAAACTCGTGGTACTCTTGTCGTGACGGAGACCGATCAGCTGGAGCCCAGTGATCCAACCCCAACCCTAAGCCCGAACGTTGCCCAGGTGCAGCTGCCCAGATAGGTGAGGTCGTGCCCAACAGCCAGCCCTCTCTGCACCATGACGTTGTCTCGACGATAGTTTCTAAAAGTTCCCCTCGTCCTACTCCCCATTGAGGTATATACCTGGGTAGATTCTGTCAATGCATCATCATTCGAATCTTCAGAGCTTCGGTCCCAGCTGCTTCCAGCCGACATGTGTGGACGAACTTGCTGATCGACAGATCGATGATGATCATTCACGATCTGTTGATCTTGATGCCATGGGCAGTCGATAGTGTTACGTCCCGCTCAGGCCGGGATTCAGCTCCAATTAGCTTGTCATACCGATGGGCGAAGTATGTCATTACCTTTGTTTCCTGACGATGACCTTTTACTTTGTGCCTTGACACTTTGTGCTGGAACATCCCATTTTATTTTGCAAGGAACATCTCGTAAATCAAAGTCCTGCAAACATGTCTACCGGTGTTGGCGTTTCCTCCTGCTGCCTCTCAGGCAAGCTTGCCGAAGGCACCCCCAAGGGCCATGAGACCACCATCGGTGGTCTCCACACGTATGTCGCCTCGCCCGAGGATGGCAAGACGACCAAGTCGATAGTCTTCATCACCGACATCTTCGGCTGGGAGCTGAAGAACACGCGCCTCCTCGCCGACAACTACGCCCGCGCCGGCTTCACCTGCTACATCCCAGACGTGCTCGAGGGTGACGCCCTGCCCCACGATTTCCTCGACACGGTGGAGCCGAACCTCGCGGCGCGTGAGAAGCTCTCGCTGGCCGACAAGGCTCTCAACACCGCCAAGGTCGGAACCACTTTTGGTCCCTGGCTGATCCGCCACCGCGAGGCAGTCGCCCGCCCGCTGATCGAGAACTTCATCCGGAGCGTCCGCATGATCCCTGGAACGGACAAGGTTGGTGCTATCGGCTTCTGCTGGGGAGGGCGCTATGCCATCCTCGCGGCGCAGAAGCCTTTCTCAGGTGCCGAGGGTGCTGGTATCGATGCGGCATACGCCTGCCACCCGAGCATGGTGTCTATCCCCGCGGACTTTGAGGACATCGTGGTTCCCGTGAGCTTTGCGCTTGGCGAAAAGGACTCACTCTTGGGAGAGAAGGAGATCGGACAGATCCGTGAGGTCATGGCCAAGAAGGAGATGGGAATGACCAACCAAGCCTCGGTCAGCGAGATTGTCGTGTATCCCGAGCAAATCCATGGATTCTCACTCCGTGGTGACTGGAGCAGCGAGAAGGACAAGAAGGCTATGGGTAAGTTCTGAACGCATGTTCTGAATAGTTGTGAACATCGCTAACATGTTTATCTCATAGATGACGCTGAGAAGCAGGGCATCAATTGGTTCAACAAGCACCTATCTTAGATGACAGATATGAATTACGAAGAGAGAAAATCCCAATGTTGATTATGACAAAACTCATGTTCGGCCAACAGGATGCATCTTGCAGACGGAAACGTCGGACAGGTTCGTGATGACAGTCAAGCAATTGGCGTCACGCCCGTGTAGTTTGTCATAGATGTGAATGTTGATGCCCGCCTGTCGTCATTAGAGCCTCCGTGTGCTTTCCGGTCGGTCGACCGGATCGATTGAGGTAGAGGGCTAGCATGTCTACACCAAGCCCGGCTGTGGTGCCGACATTCTGAGATCGAAAATTTAGAGCAAGTGGTGATGGAGCCAAGTGTGCAACTCGAGATTCCACTAACAGTGTGTCTTCAGCGACGAAGCTGGTGGATGTGTAGGTGGGTCCATCCTACCTGAAAATGTGAGGGAAGCGAAACACAAGTGCGCTTAGGACTGTTGATCCAGCATGGAAGAGACACTGATATGATGAACTGAATGATTAACTACCTTCCTAAGAAGGAAAAGAGACAAGCATAAAATTAAAGTTCTATGTACAAAAAGGTTTCGACGACAGGTCGCCGTGCCTGTGAGGGAAAGTGGCAATGACTCCTGCCGTTTGTGAGACACCAGCCTTTGGTACGCCGCCGTTCCTCGACGTGGCGATGCCGCGCCTCCGCTATCATAAGGGACGACCTTGTCCGCCATCACCAGGAAAGCAGGCAGGGCGTAGGGAAATGACGACTTACTCCGCACTATCTCGCCATGCTGGCTTGCACAGTCCTGGGGCTATTCTGACCAATTACACCAGCAGGACCAGGACTGGGCATGCCTCTGGGACTACCCTGCAAGACACCTTGCATGCTGCTTGAGCTGCCCAGTCTTTGCATCTGGGGCGCCGTTGTGGCACTGCGGCTTGTCGGTCGTTGCTGACCCTGAGTCGGCGTCGCTGCACCGACTGGATAGGGGCTACCCATCTGCGCAATCGCGGCGGGACTGACAGGCGTCATGCTCGGGCTTGCATGCGCAATGCTCGGGCTGCTTCCATTGTTACCAGCGCCGCCAGCCAGGCGGGCTTGCGCAATGTTGGGGCTGGCATGGGCAACAACAGGACTGTTGTTGCCATTGGTGTTTGCAGCAAGGCGAGCGTGAGCAATGTTTGGACTGGCTTGCATGCCACCGGGGCTGTTTCCGTTGCTGGCTGCAAGTCGGGCATGAACAACGTTCGGACTGGCATGGCTTTGATGAGGACTTTGCTGCGGGGGCTGCTGTTGCTGCTGCTGCTGCTGAGCTTGTTGACGTTGCTGCATCTGGGCCATTTGGCGCTGCCACATTTTCTGCGCGTAGGCTTGTGTTTGCGCTTGAGACGGCGAGCCGTTCGCAGATGCCGCCGCGGCCGCTTGAGCAGCAGCAGCCATGACGGCAGGGCTAATCGCTGCATGCTGCTGACCGAGAGCTTGTTGCTGACCGCCAGCATTGTTGCTGTCGCCATTGGCGAGATTGTACATGCCGTTCGCGCCCGTGCCGTTTGCCATTTGTGCCATGTTTGGTGTGTAAGCGTTTGGCTGAGGTGCAGGACTATGCTTTGGTTGTCCGTAAGCTGGTTGCCCTGTAGCTGTGGGCGTGGTGGTGATTCCGGCAGCAGCATTCATAGCACTTTGTCGAGCTTGTTGCTGTTGCAAGCTGCTTGGCTGCTGCTGGTGTTGTGCTTGTTGCTGCTGACTTTTGATCTGCATCTGCTGTGTTGCGAGCTGAGTCAACTGATCATCGGAGAGATTCGGATTGCTGGCACGAAGCTGATTCTTCAACTGAATGATCTGCGGGATGTGGCCAGATGACAGTTGTTGAGGGAGATGCTGCTGTTGTTGCGGAGTGGGAGGCGGAGGCATACTTGGCGACGCCGAAGCCATTTGTTGCTGCTGGCCACTTACGTTCGGAGTTCCATTTGTGACATGCTGATTGTTGGCGTTGGCAGCTTGAGCAGCCTGCTGCTGTTGTTGTTGTTGCGCATTAAACGCAGCTAGTATGGCTTGCTGCTGCTGCTGATGCTGCTGAGGAGTTCGCCCGCCTGGGCTAGCCATCTGCAAAGATTGACCAGCAAATTGAGCATTTCGCGCCTGGGCATGGGCCATCTGCTGTTGCAGGTTGCCGTGTTGAGCCATCGCCGCACGAGCCTGCTGCTGCTGTAGCTGCGCCGGACCGTTCATATGCTGTCGGTTTTCCGGCATCACCCGGTAGCCATTCTGAGCGCCGATCGGCATGGGCTGTCGACCTTGCTGCTGTGGATGCTGCATGGTCTGGCCATTCATATTGACTAACTGCTGCCCGTTGGCCTGCATCTGAGCTTGTTGGGCGAGCATATTAGGTGTGCCGGGTTGCTGCCGCAGATGCTGTTGTTGCGGCGGGCCCTGGTTGTTTGTGATCTGCTGCGCTTGCATATGATGGGAGCCCTGTTGGGCCTGCTGCTGCATCTGCTGTTGTGCCTGCTGTTGTTGATGTTGTTGCTGTTGTTGAACAAGACGGGCTTGCAGCATCCGCTGCTGCTGCTCATGGAACTTTTGTCGCTGTTCTCTCAAAGCTGCCTGAGTTGCCAGATCTTGCTGGTGCCGCTTCTTGCTGATCTCCTGAGGCGTGAGGAGTTGTCTTTGTGGGTTCGGATCAGGCTGGGTCTTGCGCTGGGCCGCTGTGCGAGCAGCTAGGAAGATGTCAGTCAGGTAGGCCATTTCACACAATCTACTTTTCTGCTTACCCTCAGCGACCTTCCATGCCTGCTGTTCCCGCTTCTTGGCAATCTTGCGACAACCATCAACAATCCAAAGGTACCGGGCACCCTTTCGCTTTTCAACTCTGTTTGGTGTCAATTTTCGCCGTGGCAGCTCGCGCGGTGTCGTGCTATTCTGTTGCGCTTGTTGTTGCAAGAGCGCCACTTGTGCCTGGTATCTCCGCTCAGCTGTCTGCGCGCTGGTCTCCAGCCGCTGGAACCATGTCTTGAAATAAGGAGTCTTCCGCATTTCTGCCGGCAGCGATTCCAATTCCACCCAGCGTTCGAAGCACTCCCATGGCGTTCTCCGATCATACGAGCTTTTATAACATCCAGGGATCGTGAGCTCGTCGGCAATGAGAGACCAATTGAAGGTGTATTCTTTGGCCAAACTGCGCACTCTTTGATCGTCCTCCCAAGTCCACTGAGAGCCATTGCGATTCTCATAAAATGATGTCGACGGCATCAAAATGTCGAGGGGTGGTCTGAAAGAAGTGCTCGACCGAATACGTTCGCGCATTTGCTTGTTCTCGGGATCGAAAAGTGCACATTCCGAAACTATCGTCTCTCGGAGAACCTCGGCACGTCTGCGCTTGAGAGCTGGTTGAGCTTGCAGCACCTCTTCTTCGTCAATATAAGAGTATCTACTTCGTTTCCTGGTGGGCGCCTTTGCTGAAGGGAGAACCCGTCCCTCGACGAATTTCGATACTGGGACCATGTCGAGAGGTTTGGGCTGCGATGACCAGTGTGCAATGCCAACCCGAGGCAGACTCCCCAAAACCTTCTCGAGCTTGCCAGCATGGCTTAATTCTCGGACCGGGACGAGAAGGTCAGGGGAGACAATCAAGGTGCCTGACACGTCGAGCAGCTCCCGAGGTGTTGGTGGGCTGACATCGTCCTCGTTTGCGGATTCTCCGGCTTGATCAAGCTCGGGGATCTGGTCGTCGCCCTGTTCCGAGTCTTGTTCGCAAGGGCGTTGTTTTCGTCTCACTTGAAGTTTGAGCCTCTCTTCTGGTGGTGCGCCGACCCACTGGGCGCATCGTTGAGCGAGCCAAGCACATACACTCTTTTTCATCTTGCGCTCGGCCTGGAAGTCGCGACGCATCGTCTTCATTTCCGCCATCAGGTAGTCATGATGAGACATGGGCACCTCGATCTCCTTGGTTTTTTCCATCTGCCGAAGTGACCACTTGTTGGCATTTTGTAGTTGGTAGATGCGCCGTAACATCCGGAAGTCCACCCGTTCGTGGAGGGTCGTCATATGATCTTCTGTGGATAAAGCCTTGTGTGCCATTCTGACAAGATCCGGGAGCGATTTTGAAAGGGCGTTATTTGGAGAGTCGTGGGCCTGTATCCGGAAGAGGGGTTCGAGATAGTCTTTCTCAGGGTCACCTGCAGCACCCTTCAGAGCGTTTAATTGTTCTAATGCAGCTGCAGCATCGCTACCAGCTGAAGCGCGAGGCTGTAGTTGGGACCTGGGAGCGAGAGCTCTTAGTACAGAGGAAGATAGAGAAGGTGATGCGGTGCTGAGCTCCAATCTAGGCCGCTGTTTCCTCCCCACGAGAGATTGCGACGAGACGTCTAGCATCGCAGCACTTGCGCTGACGAAACTGCCGACCTTCGGCTCGAGACGCGGGTGCTTGGCATCGGATGCGCTCGTATGTTTTGCAAGGGAGAGCAATGCTGGAGTCGACTTGTGCTGGCCAGTCCGCACACGATCAGGACTTTCAGATTTGCCCGAACGCATACGTGGGGTTACTACAATGGTATCGGAGTCGTGACGTGCATGCTCGAGTTGTCGCAAAGTTTCTCCTTGTTGTACCGCTGCAGGTTGATCATCTTGAGAATTGCCTTTACCTTCTCGAATTGGAGTGACGGTGGGATGAGCATCCTTGTTCTGTAGTGCTGTGTGCGTCTGACGCGCCAAAGATCCAGGAGCAGGCAATTTCCGGTCAGTACTCCTATCGACGTCTGTAGAGGAGCCGCCTCCTTCTTTTGCCTTGGATGTCACTTTCTCTTGCGCGCTCTGCTCATCAAAGCTCCGATCCCGGGACCCAGCCGTCTCACCTGCCTCTCGTGCAGCTGCTGCCTGTTCCTCCCATTTAAGCTGATCATCTGGCGTGTTGACGTCCCCGAGTGCCTGCTTCCTAGCGAGTTCCATCTGCGCTACGTGCAGCCGGTCATGCTGTTCTTTAGCACGACGCTCCTCCGGAGAAGGCCGTAACTCAGGTGGGGGCAGGACTTCATCAACTTCAGGTCGTTCTGAATCTGGAGATGTGTCGGGCGATTCTTCAAGCGGTCGAGGTGTTGCTGCCGACTGCGGGCCAACCGTCGACGATGGGGAAGAGGGCGCGTCGGCCGAGGCGTGAGTCGGTGGCCTCGGGGAGTGATGCAGTGCAGTGACCTCGGATGGCGCAGCTTGAAGTCGAGCCTCGGCAGCTTTGCGCTGCCGCAGACTCTCCTCTTGAGCCTGCTCATTAGGAAGATGGACAACTTTGGCCGGGGCTGAAGGAATAGCCTGTTGAATAGTCGGTCCAGCAGGAGAAGCTTTGTCTCCATTCAAGAGCGCGGTGTTGATCGCTTTTGACGAGGTGGACATCGAATCGTTGCCAGCCAGGGAGGAAGTACGCTCTGCGCCAGGTTTGACAGCACTGTCGATGTTGCCATGTTCGCGGCTGCGAGGGGGCGCGTGTGCATTCGAAAGCGCATCGGATTTGTTTGTAGGGGTAGCAGCAGCATCGCCATGTTTGGTAACAGGCGCAGATTGATCAGCGCCGGCGGACACAATCTTGCTGGGATTTGACGCAATCAAAGATGCTTCTCGTTGGTTGTGAAGAGGTGCAGGATGAAAGGGAATTGTGAGTTTGGTGGCATCGAAAATCCGGCCGCTGTGACGGTCAGTACACGCGACTCACAAATCGGGGGCAGACGCGACGCCATTAAGGCGATTAAATGATCGACACCTACCGGGAAAGATCATATTCGTCCAAAAATTCAATCTCGCTCTTCAACGAGGGCGTGGCGTCGAAACTGGCATTTTGAAGTAATGAAGGCGAGGTATTATTCTTGACGATGGCGTGTACAGCCAACAACGCCCGCAAATTGTCGCGATGGCCCCGGGCGCAATTCCTGTCAACAACGCGACGTCAGCCACCGACGAGTTCAGAGGATCGATTCGACGCGACCACCACGTGAATTTATCAAACAAAATAACCCAAATTTTTGTAAGATGGCACGCCAACACGACGATTGAATTTGACGAATAATGAGGTGTTGGAAGGAACTCACGTCAAGTCATTTTGTCTGCGGGTGATGGCATCGCTTTTCAGTTCGCCGCAAAGGGACATGAAAATCGACCGACGAGCACTGCATCTGTTGATCACAATTGAACAACAGATGCTTGCTTAACAGGGCGGTGTCGACAGACCGAGTCTCAAATAAAAGGCGTGAAGAATTGTACAGGATGGGTGAAGTCGTGAATGTCGAATGGCGTTGATGGATAGTGATGGAGATGCGGTGTTTTGCGACGAGCAAGCCGTGAATGGATAGAGGGCTGGAGACGAGACGACGGACGGACGGACTGTGACTGGCGGCTTTGGGAGAGATAGAGGGAGAGACAGAGGGAGCGCGGCCTTGACGGGAATGGATGGTGCAGTCCACCCACAGCACTATCGTTTGTAGGTAGGTAGTGGCAGGCAGAAAGACTAGCAGGGCGGCGACGGGGACGCGCGAGAGGGAGAGAAGCCTGGGGGACTGGGACTGGAGCAGACAATCGTGGTTGCAAGCAGCAGTGGTAGGGAGAAGGAGAGAGAAAGATACAGTAGAGCGACAGAGGACTTGGAGCGAGAGTAGAGGGAGAGGGAGAGGGAGAGGGAGAGAGAGAGAGAGTGGGTGAAGCGGAAGGCGCAGGCAGTAGTAGCATCATCAGTCCAACACCCTCTCTCTCTTGCCCGCGCGCGCCGGTGAAATGATTTTATAAACGTTCTATTGAGAATGGACGAACTCTCCCTACCCTAATCTCAAACTGGTTCGCGGGTGATGGTGGTGGTGAAGTTCTGTGTGAACCTTCAAAATGATGCTTTCTAGCCCAAGTGTTCAGATGTATGATGCACACACACGGGAGCCTACTGTGTACCTACTTGAAAAGCTCTCAGATATCTTGGTGCACCGTAATCTGGAGTCCACCCCGGGCCTGCAGCAGAAGCAAAGTTGGGGTGCATACAGATGTCGCGATGACGAGGGAATTTCTCATACGCGAGGAAGGGAGTAATTTTTCTCTCTCTGTGCATGTATATGTATGATTTCGTACCTAGGCTTTTATCAGTGGTAAGACGATTCAAAGCGTGTTGACACACACACACATTTGCAGGTGAAGGTGAGGGATGACGAGCTCGAACAATTCTGGGTGGACGCCCCGCAAGGGATCCGCGTGTGAGGAAGGCAGCGGAGGAGGTCTGCCGGGCGGGAAGCACGAGAAAAGGCCAGAGGAGGGAGACATGGATCGGGTGGCGTACACGATGGACGGCGGTACATCCTCTGCATGCCCAGGTGCCCAGGTGGGTAAGACATTGCAGCTGGCCTCGAGGTTTCAACCACGGATAGCGACTCTATCAACACGGAACATCCATGGCCCTTGAAAATCCCTTAAACCTACCCAGGTACTTAAGGTGCTGTACATGAAGACCTGCGGAGAAGCACCCATGATCATATTGAGACATCGACAACACTCTTGGTGCAATCCATGGATGTCTTGCGTGCGCGATGACATCCTCATCCGATGGAGAGAGAGGGGACAACGCGTGTTTACAACCCCACGGGACGGGCACATGTGTTTATGGATATTATGAGTGCCCAGGTGACAAAGAACAAGAATAGTAACCTGCAGTAAAATAACCACGGAAACTTCGTGGAGCAGGACAGGGCAGGGCAGTCACGGCAGAACTGTAGACTGGGCCGTGTGGGCGTCGCAACAGAGCAAAAGTACCCTGGACTGCCTGGGTGGTGGTGCCAGAGCGCCCGGACGGATGCTCGGTAGGTGTCTAGTGCCCATCAGGTCTAGCGTCACACTTATCCATGTTGCCATGGATCTATCCGCGATACCAATCTTGAAAAGTTTCAATGTTTCAAGGATTTCATACAGACGAAGCCTCAAGCAATTAGAAACAACTACGCAAACTGTGTATTGATTGAAAATGGCAGCTGTGACCGGGAAAAGGAAGCGCGAGCAAGTCTCCAGGAACATTATGAGCAAGAAGGCTACTAAAGGCGGTCCTGCAACTCAAAGACCCTCTGCAAAACCTGCCGCCACGATTGATCAAGCATCAAAACCCAAACCATATCATTCCGCCGTCAGTCACAGCAAACGAACTGCGGAGCCAACTGCCAGCCTGTCTACGGGACCTGTGCATGTTCAGATAGTCACAGGCTCATACGAGCGGGTCCTCCATGGTATCGCTGCTACCATTCCAAGGGCCAAATTAGACACTCCTTCAACAAGCGACTCGAGCGAATCGGATGTGGCCTTCTCGGACAATTTCCTTTTTGCCGCACATTCTTCCGCAATTCGTTGTTTGGCCATCTCACCTGCCACCGAGGAGGCCGACAAGCGCATCCTGGCAACCGGCAGCTCGGACGAACGCATAAACGTCTACAGTCTTTCGACCGCTCCTTTATCGGCGGCGGACCAGCGTAGCGGACCTCGCTTGCCTGTGCTATCTGGCGCAACATCAAGCACCGCAGAAAACCCGCGTAATCGCAGTCTCGGCTCCTTGAACCATCACGACCGCGCCATCACCAGCCTCGCATTCCCAACAAAGTCGAAACTATTCAGCAGTGCTGAAGATGCCACGATTGCAATCTCTCGCACCCGCGATTGGACTATGCTCTCCTCTATCAAGGCACCCATTCCCAAGCCCCAGGGTCGCCCCTCTGGCGATACTGCGGGACCCGGTGAGATTCCTGCGGGTGTCAACGCGTTCGCAATCCACCCCAGCCAGAAGCTCATGCTGAGCGTCGGCCGCGGTGAGAAGTGTATGCGATTGTGGAACTTAATGACGGGCAAGAAAGCAGGCGTACTCAACTTTGACCGGGAGCTACTAATGCAGGTTGGAGAAGGGAAGTATAGCAGTGGAGAGGGACGACGATTGCTGTGGGACGATGCAGGCGAGCATTTCATCGTCGGGTTTGAAAAGGGTGCCGTGGTCTTCGGCATTGACTCCAAACCTAAGGCGGTGATCCGGCCGGAGCCGCGAACGAAAATTCATCAGATGCGCTTGGTGCCATCAGCTTCCGTGGACGCAAGCCGGAACCTTGTCGCTATTTCAGCGGAAGACGGGCGAGTGCTATTTTATGACATCTCCGCATTACCGGACACCCCCGAGGACGCGGCCAAACTACCTCAAATACCGTGCCGTGGTGCACTGGGAGGTCCGGGTGCAGGCATTGCTGGTCGGGTGAAAGACTTCGAGATGCTGGCCATTCCGGGCGAGACTCCATCATTGCTCGTCATCACAGCAAGTAGCGATGGCGCCCTTCGTTTGTGGAGCATTTCAGACAAGGATATGACAGAAAGCAACGGAAATGGCGAAGAAACACAACAACTCGGTATGTTGATCGCGACACTCGAGACTGGCGAAAGAATCACGTGCCTGGGAGCATTTGTCCTGGATGGCAAGGGCACCGAGGACGATGATGACGAAGGCTTCGAGGGGTTTGATAACGCTGCCAACGGAGACGACAATAATGAGTCGGACGACGAATGACGGCTTTCAATTTGCGCTTCTTCCGACTGAGCTGGCGCCTCGAGATGCTGCTGATGTGCATCTTTTGCGGACGAGCGGTCATTCCCTAAACTGAAACTTCCTGTGCAGTCTAGAATCTCAGCTTGCAGAGGACAGTTTCTCCTGGCTCCTAGCCTTCTGCGCCGATCCAATTTCTCACCAATGGGCGTTCCAAAATTATTCCTCGAATTTACCCTCAGCCCACGCTTTCCTCTTGCTGCCCAGCTCCACTGCTGCCAGACCCCAATCTTCACCATGGTTATGCCCCTTGCCAGCTGCATCGATTCCCGCTCTTTCCAGACCTTGTTCCTCCGTGAGGAGCGTCAATAACCCGAAAATTACCGGGACACCGTGTTCCAGCTGAACCTTCATCAACCCATGGCTCACCGCATCCGAGATGTATTCGAAATGCATCGTGGATCCTTTGATCAGCGCGCCAATAGCGATGATCGCATCAAAGGGTTGTGTGCTGCCCTGCGGCTTTCCACTCTTGTTGCCGGCGCTGCCACTCGAATCTTTCGCGGCGCCCGCTCCGGTAAGGGTGCTCGACAAATCGGTCGTGCTCGCGCCCAAAAGGTCCGTCGCGCTCGCAATCAGACTCCCGGCCACACCAGGCACGATTCCTGCGCTCTGCGCCTGCGAAGCTGTGTACATCTTCTGCACGGCAAATGGCAGCTCATAACTTCCCGGTACACTTTGGATGACAATGTTCTCTTCTCGGACGCCGGCCTCTTTGAGCTTGGCGAGGGCGCCGGAGAGCAGCGCAGAGATGATCTGGGTGTTCCAGCGGGCGTGGATGATACCGATGCGCAACGACGAGCCTGTAATGGCAATTAAAGTGTCAGCTGTTTGTTCATGAAGTCCCATGATGCTCCGCGGGAAGAATGTTCGAGGTATCGAGGGAGGTTTGACGGCGCGCGAGGAGACAAACCATCGTATGTACGGGCTTCGCCAGGGCCTTTGATTGTTGTCGTCATTGTTGTAAAATGTTGCTGCGCTTCTCGAGGTATTTTAAGTGTTTTTCAAACAGTACTATGAGCGATTTCCTGGTTTATGATGATGAGGGTGAAATGTGTTGATTGAACAATTGATCACCAATGGTAGACTCGACGATGAACCCCTCCGTGCACTGACTCTTGCATGTGTGCAAGTGGGGACTTTTGAGCCGGCGAATATGACGTGACGCGACATTGGCCCTACAGAAATCAATCGCCTGGGCACCCCCAGGGCTCTGTCGAGTTGCGGGCAACGAGCTCGGCTTCCGGATGAGCAACGATGCAAGACATTTTGCGTTTATTCATCTGTCACCAACCTCCAGCGGTGTATTCCGTCTCATATTGCATCACTTCAAGACTTCCCGCTGACCAATCTTTCGTCGATCATATCAATACTGTTCACATAGTGAATCCGCATTGTTGCCATATTCCTATCGTGAAGCATCTGTCACGACGCCGAGCTGTTCTATGTGAATCCATCATTATTTCATTATAAGATACAATATCGCACATTTCCTCGGACTAAACGTTATGGTGGACGCTTCGCGATGATGGACTCTGCCCTAAGCGCAATCTCAGCAGTAGATACCTCTGACACCGGTCTCTGCTCCAGACCTATCTCTGTGTCATCCTGCCTGGTCTGCTCCTTGCGTCCTGAAGCCAGATCCTCTAGTGATATATTCTCCAAGGGAAATCCTGGCGTAGTTGATGATCGCTCTTGCACACGTGGTATGCAGAGCTCAGAAAAGATCGCGCCGAGTGCCATGCAGATACTGAAGCAAAGCAACAGCCATTTGAATTTATCATTGCTGGTGCCTGCATCTAGATTGTTGCGCTCTTCCTGCGAAGGTCGGACGGCACGCGCAATCGCTTGGGCAATCACCGATCCGACCTTTCCGGCGGCGGCGGCGATACCGTAGAAGGTGCAGCGATATTCGGTTGGAAAGACTTCCGCAGGTATCTGTACTGTGTCAAAGTCTGGTAAAGCGTAGTATTCAACCCTTCGAAGTTGATGGAGAACGCGGGTCACTTACAATGAAAGTCAAGGTGTTCGGTCCGAAGCTAAAGAAGAAGGAAATAAAGACCCATAATACAATCAAGAGGACATGTCGTTCCTCTTTGTGGAATAAGGAATCGAAGCTGAAGGATGCGACGAACAGTAAGACTGCCAGTATCGAAAAGGTGATGGTGAGAAGTCGCTTCCTGTCAATCTTGTTGATAAGCATAATCAAGAAGATAAGTCCGAGGATCGATGGGATGACGACGGTGTATATGGCGTTCGTCATGTTCTCACAGAGGACATTCTTGATCAACGGAGTAGATTCTACATTATCGGGCCAAGTTGCGTTCCGTTGGAGCGTGCCCGAAGTGCCGTTCGAGTATATGACATCGATTGTCTGGGGCTGGAGAATGCTGTCACGGAACCAAGTTGGCGTGGAACCATTGGCCATAAATGTCAGATCCTTGGAAGCCCAGAGCTTTGACAATACGGAAGGATTATCTGAGAAAGCAGGTCAGCATATGATTTCGAGATTGATGTGAGTGCGAAGCTCACTGAAACCCAGGCCATAAAATGCCTACGAACAGGTTAGTATCTCTCGCTTCACAGGCGGCAGCGTGGCAACTCACAACATCCAACAATAACCAACACATTGACGTTCCGAGCAATATGACCCAATTTCGCCGACCATCGAACAGATATGTCCTGAGACATTCGAGTTGAAATTGCTTGAAGGTGCCTTTGGTCAGATCATTCTTGGCCCTCGATACCGATTCTTCCTGATCGTTTGCGTCTGTTCTGTGGATGCTGTCTGTGTCCGTCCGTCGAGCGTACTTCCGCTCGACGTCGTATATGTATCGTCCAGACTCTGGCATGTAAAGTCGAAACGCGAGCGCGACCAGCGTGGGTAAACAACCAATTCCAATTACACTGTGAGCCAGTCAGTAACATCCAGGATGGTAGGTGTTGGGCTCTTCCTACTAGCGCCAAAACATGTCGATATCTGTTCGGCTGTTGCCTTTGGTCCATTGCAATGCGGTGAGGCCGGCGCCGTAAGCACATAATTGTCCGAGTGGCTGAAGTTTTGTTAGCTTGTGATCCAGCTCCTTAAATCAGAGTACAGCCTCGTGACTGACTTGCATAAGAAAGATTGCAGCCATCAAGCGACCGCGGGATCTCGTCGATGACCATTCCGCCCCGATGCAAGCGCTGAATCGTGATTGTCAGTCAATGAACCGCGGAAATATCGTGAAACTGCCATGCCTCACCTCAGCGGATATTCGGCGCCGATGCCAAAGCCCATAATGCATCTCCAGAATAACAGCCAGCCTGTAATATCCCACGTCGATTGACCGGGCTCGAGTGGGTTGACGTAACCGCGCGAACACTGCAACAAGCCGATGGTTGATATGATCACAATCAAAAGTTCCTGATCCTGTGTCAACGCATTGATTGAGCATCGCGAAGCGAGCGAAACCTACCACTCCATACAATGCTTTGCGGCCATACCTGACGAAAATGGTTAGCCAAGGGTAAGCACAAAGGTGATGGAGATAGCTTACACGTCTGCGGCGATACCGAAAACCACCTGTCCGATAGCGCTTGCACCCAATGTCATGGCATTGAATGTGAACTGGAAGTCGGCCTCCTCATGGTAAACGTACGACAATGCTGGCAGGATGACATTGCTGCTGAACAGATTGTAGGCATCCGTCAAGAAGCCCGAAGCTGCGACGATGAAGACAAGCCAGTTGAAAGCGCTGCCGTTGACTGCTTCGAGGAATACTCTGTGGCTCTCTGTGCTTGCACCTGTTTCCTAATATACAAAAGGACATCAGTAAATGTTTGGCTCGCGCCGGGACGTTGCGTTGCGCTGTCTCACAGGGAAGCCGGCACCAAAATCCAGCGGATGATCGCGCCACAACCAACGCGCGACTCTGCTGCGTGGTTCAACCTTCGGCGACATGATTCCCACTAGGAACGAATGCGCATGGATGCATTCAAACTCGCAGTACCCTCGCAGGACAATCGGGGGCCTGTTGAAGTTGAGGACGGCATGTCAAATTTCCTACGCTGACGCCGCAATTGTATATAAATGGATGTGAAGGCACACAGCTTCGTGGGCAGGTAAAGCTGCTGCGCATTATGAAGCGCGACACGTGCGAGCGACTTTAGGTGTAATAAGTACTGTAGCATGCATGGCGTTTCCCTCTGGCCAACGTTCACGGCATCAGCCTACCGATCCCTCCTGAACATATCTGTATTCGATGCTCAGGTGGCGTGATCATATGCACTTCGTCATACACTATGTATTATGTGTGCAACCGAATGTGCAGTACATGTATTCCAAGCAGCCGCCCAAGCATTTGGTTTGGGTGAAAGGCGACAAGTTTGCAAGTATCCCACGTGTTGGGGCTATCGATTCGCTATCATTAGCGGCGACGCGTTGTGAGGAGGGTTCGCAGCGGGCGGAGGGGTGGCCTCCGATGGGTACAATCTGAATGATGAATGAGTACAGCCTAGAGCCTGTGTGATGATGATAATCAGAATAATGATAATAATAATTCCCTAGGCACAGCCAAGAAGAGTGCAGTCCAGTGCATACTGTTCATTATGCACCCTCCTCGCCGTTCGTCAGGGCAAAATTAACAGCCACTTGCGCTTCATGCGATCTTGCATCACATTCCATCACATTTATTTATTATCCACGATGGCACATGGTTCCTCGCACGCCTCGCAATGGACGCACCCTCGTCGTTACACAACAATCATACGATAACTCATTTCACATCAGGACAAGCAAGATCATGAACAGTCACGAGTATCTCCTTGTTGATACGGATGTGCAAGGCGAAATCTGAATGGACGGGATAGGCTTGTTCCAGAAGACATACGTGTTGCGCGCTGCGCAATCAGCCAAATGAAAGCCCGCCAGGACGCGCCCGGCAGACCGGCACGATAATGTGAAGTGCTGCGCGTTTGCGTGGCCCCCAACAATAAGCTGCATTTCTTATTCTTTCCTTTTTTCGGCACCGGTGTCGTCGAGCGCGTCTTTAGGATGTCTGAAGTGCACATCGACCATGGTGTCAATCCTTTTGCCTAAGGATTTACTCATCTAGTAGGTGCGATCGCCGCGGCCTGGGAGATGTCCGCCACATCTGGGCCATCCGTGCTGTGTGTGCAGCAGCCGCACTTCACGTCGGTGGTTTTCGCTACTGCAGCTCTAGTAGTTCTGCGCAGTGTGCCGAGAAATGATTCTACAGTATGCTTCGACAAATTTACAGATCTTACCCATGTATATACAGTCTTTTCGAGGCGTGCTGCACAGTCGCACGCATATGTTGGCCACCTGGGCAGTCGCCTTGTTGTGTCGATTTCCCCATGCATGCCGCCCTTCAGACGCCCAAAATTTAGGAGGACTACCTCTTCGTGCACCGGATGCACAACCAGTAAAGGATGACTACAGGCGTCGCTATGCACATCTAGATTAACTAAGTTTGTCCTCGCGAGCATCTTTAAAACGACATTCCTCTATCACGACCTGTTTCTTCCAGGATGTGATCGCATATGATGATGCTTGAACGAAGAGTGTCCCCCATCTGCAGATTTGAGTCACATCTTTGACATTTTCAAAAAATCAAGCAGGCCACTACGTCCCATCAACAGATCAAGAACTAGCAGCGATCTTCCGAAGAAATGTCGCGACAAAATTCGGGCCTAGATGCTCTAACAATCCCACGCCAAAGATTGACCACCCAAGAATCTCCTCCGACAACGTACTGGCTAGGAACAGTATACACTTGCAATGTGCTCATCAAATTCGAGAACCACAGATCAATTGAGGCACGATCGTTTGAGTTTTACCCCAAGTCCTGCATCTTTAAATCTGGCGAAGGACGTACAGTACTTGAGCACCACTTCTCCGAGCTTCTTTCGTCTGGAAAGTATCATCCTTGGAGGCACGCAGTCGTACACGATCCATTTACTGTGGCGTTCACAGTCACGGAAGCACGCGAATTTCGCATTCTGGTCGACGGCGGGCCTCTAAATGAATCCCCCAAGTACGAGTTTCGTACACCTGACGACTATGCTCTGTTCAACACACAATTTTGCGGCAAAGGCTACCTTGGAGAATTCGTCCCCAAGGAGATTGATAGCAACATAAGGGATGGTAAATCCCACAGCTCCGTAATCAAAGTCTGGGAAGAAAGCGGTGTCGAGCGCGAGTGCAGCGTGACCTTGCCGGTTCTCGATGAAAGGAAGAACATCAAGTTTCCCAGCATACCTTTTCGATGGTTCAAGTGCGAAGAGTATCGCTCGTCAGTTTTCGTCTCCAAGGTCGCTCTCAAGCTTACACTGTACGCGTCTAAAGCTCATTCGCCAGGTGTGTCGACATTGACCGCGATCTGTGTGTGCCTTGCTAATTGCTCATCCAGGCCCTGTGATGATGACCGATAGGGCCAGAAGAAGATCGTCTTTACTCATCAGGGGTAGATCCTTTGTCGGGAGCGCTGCAAGCAGTAGCAATGGTTCAGAGGAACTACCATTTGCGGAACCCGAACTCACAAAGCTTCGTGAACGCTACGGCCACTTTGTTGTTACGTTTTCCAATACTGACGGTGAGATTGCCTCTCTGCTTCATCGTCGGAGTGACTAACGATTCAGCAGATTGTCGAAAATTCCGCCAGATGCATGAAGAGCGTCTTGCTCGTCACGATATCGTTACAGCATCTCCTGTGGGAACTCCGATGCTTTCGCCATCACCGACTCCTGATCAGCCGCAAACCGAGATACCCGTCGATTCGCCATTCGCACTCACGCCTCCGCGGCCAGTTCTACAAGTGGAATCAGTGCAAGATAGTCCGATGCCGCTGCCTCTAAACGACATGTTAGAGGAGTCTGCCACGTATCCGGAGCTCAAATTGCCCCCGTCTGCCAGTCCAATATGGCCGGAGGATACGTCAATACATGCCAGATTTCTTGATGTTGCGGGTAAAGACCTTTGTCGCCAGTGTGGACCGGCTGTGGCGAATACAGCGTCCGATGCCGGTTACCTCCTGCAACATGATGATATCTACAAAACTCTGAGGAATAACGAAATTCGCCTGCTTCTCATTCGGCCGGGCAGTTATGATGACCCACTGTCGTGCTCGCTTCAGGCCTATCCTCTTTCAGGCATTGATGATACCTCTTATGAAGCAGTTTCGTACTGCTGGGGACGTGTGGATCAGACCAAAGATATAATGATCAGCGCGAGCCACAGCTTCAAAGTCTCTAAGCACCTGTGGGAGGGCCTTCGTCGCCTTCGGTTACAGTCTCACGAACGCTGGGTATGGATAGACGCCGTCTGTATCAACCAAAGTGACATCGGTGAAAAGAATCAGCAAATTCCATTGATGCGTCGCATATACGAAAGTGCAAGACGAACACTAATTTGGATTGGAGACATCGGCATGGATGGCAAAAACTGTGTACGAACAGTTTGGGCCGAGAACGACCAACAAGTGGACGTTCCAACCCTTTGTTTTTCTGGTAGCATGAGCAAGGACTTGGTTCATGGCGTCGAAGACATCAAAAGCGCCTTGAAGAGATTCTACGACGAAATATGCAAGAGCGGATCCATGGAGGTGTGGTGGAAACGATTATGGGTGATACAGGAGTACCACTTCTCGAAGAAACCACCGATTGTCTATGTTGGTTTCCACAGCATGAACTGGGTAGGGCTTTTCAGCGCCACTGTGAGAATAGGAAGCTAACAACATTGATGTGCTTGTAGAAACACTTTGCCTACATGATGAAAAACATCACCGAGCCTGATGATCAGCTCGCGCCATTTCATCGTTTAGGCACGAGAGAGCATCGTACCCTGTTTGATCTTCTCTGCTCTGCTAGATCCTTTCACTGCAATGATCCCCGCGATCGCATATACGGTCTGCTCTCCATGCAGTCGCCTCCGACCATTGAGCCGGACTACAGCAAGAGCGTGCTGAAGGTATTTGAGGAAACCTGCTTGCATCTCATACACGAATCACGCAGCGTCGACGTCCTTCTTGATAACAGAGCAGATCGGACGCGCTGGGGCCCTAAGAACGTCCATGATGTTATGCCAACGTGGATGCCTGATCTTCAAGTACTGCTCTCCAGAGATATCGTACAGATCAACGAAAGCTCAGCAGGCACGGGTCAACATGGTCGGACAGCATCCGCGAGCCTCATTCGGTACATCAGTGGACAAAAGGGCTACGATGTGCCAAGTTTGTTGAGCGTAAGGGGCATAAAATTCGAGCGAATCTCCCGACGCACAACAAAGACCGACTTTGCGCGATATTTTGATAAATCCCCAAGCGGCAGCTTAGTCTACTACAGTGCGAAGAGGCGAGGTTACCTGCTTGACACTATCCTCAACAAACTACAGTATAGCTCCACGACGGACACAAAATTCGACCAACTTGAAAGAAGACCTTACCTTAGTCAGCTCATGTTAGATTATGTTTTCGAGAACAAACGCAGCTTCGTCGGAGAACACCAAAGAAGGATGGAGCGTGTCCCCAACACTGCCATTCACGCCTACAAAGCACAACGCGAGAAGGATGTGGCATTCGTTCACAATAAGCCAAAAGACGTAAAGTACGTCAGAGATCGCTGGCAGATGAAGATAGACAACGCAGAGCTCGACATCTTCATCCCTGAACGACTTCGAGATCTTCTCAATGACCATACGCGACGGGATCGGGAAAACATCATGAACGATTTCAAAATCGCACGCGATTTCGAGAATCTCTTCGCCTATGCGCGCACCACGGAAGACAAGTATTACTTCATCGGGGCAAACTTTGATGCTCCTATGAGGGACGATGTCTTGGCTTGCGATTCTGTGGAAGAAGCCAACCAGTGAGTATTCTTCGGATTGCTGTTCTCTGATTTGCATGCCCGAACCTCAACCCATCGTCGTGCTTCACCCTGACGTACCACTGTGCTCGACTTAACTTCCCTTCCGTTATTTTCGTGCTCGACCTCGCGTCAGCTTTCACCTGTCATCATTCTTCAATGCCCCTGTTGTTATATCCGCAAACTGTGCACCGTAAGCTGACACTTTCCTCTTCCTAACAGGCTGGCATCGCGCTATGGAACCGATGAATCCGATCCAGAGTACCACTTCTACAACGCCAAGAATCGCGAACGGGACTTCTTCATCACGGAGGGCGGCTTCGTTGGTCTCGGCCCTGCGAAGCTCGAAGAGAACGATCTGGTCATTGTTCCGATCGGCTCCAGCCTGCCCTGGATCGTCCGGGGACATCGCAGTGGCGATATCGAGTACTACACTTTTGTTGGGGAGGCGGTGGTGCCAAGCATCATGTCAGGTGACCTCCTTCTTCAGGAGGCGGCAGTGGAGGAAGACATTAATCTCAGATGATGCTTAACAGAGCGGACGAGGCGGCGGTTGAAGTTTCGGGTGGTGTGACGCGATTTAGGAGCATTGAGTGACAGACGAGCTGGTGTTCGGAGCGTTCGGAGCGTTCGGAGCATTTTGTTACATATGGGTTCACTGAGCTTGCTTCCACGCAGAGTTCAGGGGTGTTTGCAGACGTTTCAAGCCTTAGAGGCATAGATGTTTACCGCGGTCAGACCTACGGAGCATAGATATACGAATAATGAGAGATCAATGCATGATAACGAAATCTATCTACAAATTCAGGTGGGCAGGCTGGTCGTAGTCCTTCGGTCCTCTCCACTGTTTGTCTCGTTTGAACGGGATATGCCCCTACTTGGTAAATATGCTTCTTCTTCGTGCAGGGATATCAACAAGTCGTCAGTTCGGGTCAACACGTAAATGGAAGTAACATTCCGAGCGATCACATGAGTGCATGAGCAGTGAAAATACCGGACTCTTTTGATGCGAGAGAATTTAGACAAAAGCGGAAACCTGATTCGGTGCTATGCCAGCTCGCATTGCTGCGTTCCCGGTGCTCTCACACGCACGGCGTGCGGACACGGCATGCTTCCCATCCAAAAAGAGAAACAAAGCGAGAAGTCTTGTGACGCAGAAAGAAGGAAGAAATTTGCAGTGCCTCGCAAGGAAAAGGCACGCAAAGGAGAAGGACTCCCACAAAATGGTATAATGGTTGAAAGGTCGCGGTGAATCACATGAAGTCGCCACTGTGAATGGTCAGTATAAGTCCTCGGCCTAGAAGTGGTCTACCGGGCAACTTACTCGTCAAGGCCGTCGTCGTCATAAAGCGTTGTATCGGCCCTGCTCGCAATGTCACGCGACGCCGTCAAAGTCGTCTTTGTCTTTGCCGCCTTGGTCTTCTTGCCTCCCTTCTCAGCGGCCTTCTCTTCTCGTAGTTTCTCATTGCTGAGCGCTGTGAGAGCGCTGGCAATCTTCTTGATTTGCTCGCTGTTCATCTCCTTTGAAAGGTCCTTGACGAACTCTTTCATGAACGATTCATATTGCGGCTTCTTTGCATGCGCCGCAAGTAGAGGTGTGACAGTGTCCCGCATCTTCTTGAATCCAGCAACACCGACCGGCTGGAAGATCTTAAGCTTCGTGAGATCGATCGCGTCAGCTGGGTCGTCGCCCGCCTGAACCGTGACAGCCTTGACAGCAGTAGCCCGGCTCTCAGGGACACCACCAACTCCTGCAAAGAGATCTTCGGCGTTTCGCAGATCGGCCTCCTTCTCGGTCGCGCGTAGGCGAGCACGTCGCGTAGCCTCGTCCTCCTCTGAATCGCTTTCGTCAAGTGCACCTTCCAATCGTGCCAGTCGCTTCTGCTCAATCTTCTCCTCCATTCGTTGCTTCTTGGTTTTGTGATTTGCCTTGGCCTCTGCTTCGGCCTTGGCTTTGGCCTCTGCAGCCTTCTTGGCCTTCTCCCGCTCGACTTCACTGTCTTCAGCGGCATCCCAGGAATCTAGTACGTCATTGGAATCCTCCTCGTCGTCAAATTTGCTGCGTCTTGCGATCAGTGGCGGGGAGGAGCCAGACGTGCTGCTGCTGTCAGAGTCATCGTCGTCCCAAGAGGCGACTTTCGCGGGCGCCATGATTGCGGTTGTGGTGTTGCTTGTACGCCCAGGAGGTTGCGTATGATCAAACGAGCCGGGCTTGAATCTGCGGGGCTTGTGCGGCCGAGCGAAGTGGGAAGAATGCTGTGAAGTGAGACGGCTAGTGAATGCGAGTCGTGTGTCTCTCAGTTTTGAGTAATCTAGACGAATGGCGTTGCAAGATCAGACTAGCAGTAATAGAGGAGGAAATTTGGATTGTGGGAAATATGGGATGTGGCAGCGAATACTGCAGTAAATACAAGTGGTGACTCGGACAAGGTGGGCCGCTGTGACGTGAACAAAAGTTTGGGTTGCTGTGTGGGCGCCTGGATGCCGGATTGTATCGCGCACGTAAGCGTCCCAGCACAGCATCGTACAGTAGTATCCCAGTCCCAAAAAGATCCTTGGAACTCCTCAATCCCACTCATCGCTGTATAAGGAGTGGCTCAGGTAGTGATGATAGGCTCGTTTGCAAGCAGGCCAATATCATCAGTGGTGACTAGTGCTGCTGGGACCGCGAACTTTCCCGATCGTCACAATGTTCGCTTTTGCACTCCCAGCTGCGTCACATCTATTTACAGGCACGTGTCGCCTCCTCCCCAGGGCTTGCATGATGTTGCATAGAATCATCATGCCAATCTCCCACCCACAACCATCGGAAAAAATCGAAATCACAGAAATTGTCGTTAAGCGTCTCATGTGCTTACATCAGTTCTGTTTGTGCTCATACCTTTCATCTTGGCCTGTTGGCGCGAGATAGTCTTCAATCATCGGAGGTAATCCTGGTCGTCCGAGGCAGTATTCATGCCCAACCCGCCTGGATTCCAGCGCGATCTGGCAACCAGCGCAGTATAGGAATGGGGAACGGACGCGATCGACAAACTGTCGTCTTCTCCGGAATCGGCCCAGAACGCCCGCGTGCACCCACGCCTTGCGCATATGCTGGACGATGCCTGCCAGGCGGATGATATGCACGCGCACGGAATCCCGCTCGCCCTGCAGGACAGAGGGCTGCGAAGTCATGCACAAGGATCCATCATCGTGCTCGCCCGATTGAGCAATGACGACTCGGCCTTTGTATGATCTGTCGGCGAGCCGTGGCAGGACGTCGGTCCATGCAAATCAATGATCGCTGATATGCAGTGCTGCTTTTATCAGGCTCTCTATTTTTAACTGCGGAATAAACGTTAGGATCTGTCCGGGCAGAAGTCACGGCTGCTCCGCGCATGAATTCGTGCCTCGGATTGTTGCATGCTCAAACGTCTGCCACGCCGTCATTGTCCTCGATGCCCCCACTCGTAGTCGGTCCGACACGTGGAGGACGTTTCTTGAACAAACGATACCATGACACTTTGTTGTTTCACATAATTCAATCTACGAGAAGCATAGCCTGGGGAATATTGCTTTGATTACGGACTCAGCGGCAAGACATCCTTTGGCGCGGCGACTTGTGTTATAACGATCAGTAAGAGACAATTGCACCTTCGGTAGGCATGTTCTGAGTGAACATCAAAGGCATACAGACATCAATCCCTTTCCGGCGGACAGTGTGGTTGTGTGCGTGTATCATCAAAAGTTTGCAAACCGACATTGCTTCTGTGAGATACTTATCAGCAACCCATAATTCGAATCGTTTGTGATTCAACGCAACAAGAGATGAACCCACGACCAGCCGCACGTCATTTCGGATGTCAATCATTTGTTATTGTTCCTATGGATCATCGGTCGAATCGGACAAGATGAAGTGATGACTTACTAGATATGAACTTTCATCGATGACTGCACTTTCCCGCCACTTTGTGGGGCGAAGCCGTGTTGAATCGTTTTAATTAAGCTGACAAAGATCCTCTTCCGATTTGACCGACATCATTTGTGCTGTCTCCCAGGCCACAACGATCACGACTTGCACATGTCATTTTGATACCTCAGGCACTAAATATCTGCACGTGACGTATAACTGGAGTGTGAGCCAGGACTCTTGTGCTGCCCAATTGCGTGGTCCGTATCATTCAAGCCAGCAAGCCGCAAGCGCGACAATGCTCCACCACAAGCTGTCCTGTTAGGTGTCTGCAATAATTCGGCTTCATCATACTCCTTGTCCCATTCCCCAAAGCACCTCTCTTCGTCATCACGACTACCACCACCTTATTTCCTCTTCTCACGCCCGTCACGAGTCTCATTCGCTTGTTCGACGCGTGCTTGATTCACTGAATTTCATGCGCCACGCCTGGTCCGCCTGCAATCATTCTGAGGACACTCCCATTGCAGGCAGCATTGCAGCGTCGCAAAACAATACATGATTTGTTTTCAATAATTCGCCCAGTTCTTCAATCATGGCGCCATTACCCATCAAATTCCAAGAGCTTCTTCAACTGACACAAGTCGGCATTCTGGTATGTTGTCAGCGTCGCGCGCAGAACTCCTATGTGCACATTTAGTCGATGAATGCTGACCGAACCATTCCAGCCTGGTTCGATAGGCTTCAACTCGTGTACCCTTGAATCAGATCATTTCATCTGTGTACGGCAGCAAGCAGAGGGAAGCGCATCGCCCGATGTGGTCATCATCAACCTCAAAAATGGCAACAGCGTCATGAAGAGGCCGATCAAGGCCGACAGCGCCATTATGCACTGGAACAAAGAGGTCATTGCTCTCAAGGCTGGCGGCAAGACTCTGCAGATATTCGATTTGGGACAGAAGACAAAGATCAAGAGCACGACTATGAACGAGGATGTGCTGTTCTGGAAGTGGTTCAGCGAATCTACCCTTGGTCTTGTCACAGATACCGGCGTCTACCACTGGAACATTTTCGACGCAACTCAAGCATCGCCACAGAAGATGTTCGATCGCAACCAGAATCTCGCTGGTTGCCAGATCATAAATTACCGCGTTAGTGACGATGAGAAGTGGATGTCTGTCGTTGGTATTTCCCAGCAACAGGGCCGTGTCGTCGGTAGCATGCAATTATACTCAAAGGAACGCGGTATCAGCCAGGCCATCGAAGGACACGCCGCCGCCTTTGGAACGTTCCGCATGGAAGACGCCCCTGCGGACACAAAGCTTTTCACATTTGCCAATCGTTCCGCGACTGGCGCCAAGTTGCACATTGTCGAAGTCGATCACCAAGCGCCTAACCCTCAATTCCAGAAGAAGGCTGTGGATATATATTTCCCTCCAGAAGCGACCAATGACTTCCCCGTCGCCATGCAAGTATCGCGCAAATACAAGGTCATTTATCTTGTGACAAAATACGGCTTTATCCATCTCTACGATCTTGAAACCGGTACGACCATTTTCATGAACCGTATCTCGAGCGAAACGATCTTCACAACCGCTGGGGATGAGGACGGTTCCGGAATCATTGGTGTGAACAGAAAGGGGCAAGTTCTCTCCGTGAGCGTCGACGAGAATACCATCATCCCATATCTGCTGCAGAACGCCGAGAATGCCGAACTTGCGTACAAGTTGGCATCTCGAGCGGGCCTCCCTGGAGCTGATTCACTTTATCAACAACGTTTCGACCAACTTCTATCACGAGGTGAATACCAGGCGGCTGCGAAGACAGCTGCAAACTCTCCACAGGGATTCTTGCGTACACCACAAACGATCGAGAAGTTCAAGGCCCTGCCCGCGCAGCAAGGTCAACTTTCTGTCATTCTACAGTACTTTGGCATGCTTTTGGACAAGGGCAAGCTTAACCAACACGAAACTCTTGAGTTGGCTCGTCCAGTGCTGCAACAGAACCGGAAGCACTTGCTAGAGAAGTGGATGGGTGAAGGCAAGCTTGGTTGCTCCGAGCAACTTGGCGATCTCGTGCGTCTTCACGATGTTGCACTCGCACAGCAGATCTACCAGGAAGCCGGCGCTGCACAGAAAGTTATCGCCGCCATGGCCGAATCGGGCAATTTCGAGCAGATCATCCCGTACTCACAATCCGCTGGCTACACTCCTGATTACAACGCCCTCTTGCAACACATCGCACGGGTCAACCCAGAGAAGGCCGCTGAGTTCGCCACGAGTCTTGCTCGCGAGGACGCTAGCCTCATCGATGTTGATCGTGCTGTGGACGTCTTCCAGTCTCAGGGCATGGTTCAACAGGCCACTGCATTCTTGCTGGACGTTTTGTCCGCTAACAAACCAGAGCAAGGAGCGCTTCAAACCAGGCTGCTCGAGATGAACCTCCTCAACGCTCCCCAAGTCGCAGACGCCATCCTTGGTAACGATATGTTCTCGCACTATGATCGCCAGCGCGTTGCTCAGCTCTGTGAAAACGCTGGTCTTTTGACTAGGGCTCTAGAGCACTACACCCAGGAAGCTGACATCAAGCGGTGCATCGTACAAACTGACAAGATTCCGCCGGAATTCCTCGTCAATTTCTTTGGTCAACTTACTGTTGAACTGGGTCTTGCATGCTTGGACGAGATGCTCAAGTCAAACATCCGCCAAAACTTGCAGGCAGTCATCGACATCTCCAAGAAGTACTCCGATCTTTTTGGTCCCACCCGCATTATTGATTTACTTGAGAAATACCGGACTGCAGAGGGTCTTTACTACTACCTCGGCGGTATCGTCAACATCAGCGAAGACAAGGATGTCACATTCAAGTATATCGAGGCTGCCACCAAGATGGGCCAATTGCAGGAAGTTGAGCGCGTTTGCCGAGAGTCCAACTTCTATGATCCAGAACGCGTTAAGAATTTCCTCAAGGAGCAGCAGTTGACGGAGCAGCTTCCCCTCATCATCGTCTGCGACCGCTTCAATTTCGTTCATGATCTTGTGCTTTACTTGTACAAGAACCAACAATTCAAGTCTATCGAGGTCTATGTCCAGCGCGTTAACCCCGCCAGAACTCCTGGCGTAATCGGTGGTCTTTTGGACGTTGACTGTGACGAGAACATTATCAAGGGACTTCTCAGCTCCGTATCGCCTCAGAGCATTCCCATTGACGAGCTCGTTGCCGAGGTCGAGTCACGCAACCGTCTGAAGATTCTGCTGCCATTCCTTGAAGCGACCTTGGCTGCTGGCAACCAACAACAAGCTGTTTACAATGCTCTCGCGAAAATTTACATTGATAGCAATGCCAACCCAGAGAAGTTTCTCAAGGAGAACGATCTCTACGACACCCTCACAGTCGGAAAGTACTGCGAGAAGCGCGACCCCAACCTCGCTTACATCGCCTACCGCAAGGGCCAGAACGACCTCGAGCTCATCAGCATCACGAACGAAAATGCCATGTTCCGTCCGCAGGCTCGCTACCTCCTTGAAAGAGGTGATTCAGAGATCTGGTCTTACGTCCTTTCAGACAACAACGTGCACCTGCGGTCGCTTGTCGATCAGGTCATCGCAACCGCAGTTCCCGAGTCATCGGACCCAGAGCTGGTCTCCATCGCGGTCAAGGCTTTCATCGACGCTGATCTCCCCGTCGAGTTGATCGAGTTGTTAGAAAAGATTATCCTCGAGCCGACCACCTTCAGTGACAACGCCAATCTACAGAATCTCCTGATGCTCACTGCTGCGAAGTCTGACCGAGGCCGAGTCGCCGGTTATATCCAACGACTTGACAACTACACCCCTGACGAGATTGCTGAACAGTTGGTCGAGGTTGGTCTTTATGACGAAGCCTTTGACATCCACAAGAAGGCCAAGAACCATTTGGCAGCGACCAGCGTGCTCGTTGACCACATCGTCAGCATCGATCGAGCACAAGAGTATGCCGACCAAGTCGACACCCCTGAGGTCTGGAGCAAAGTGGCCAAAGCCCAGCTTGATGGTCTTCGGGTCACAGACTCTGTTGAATCATACATCCGAGCACAAGATCCATCAAACTTCGCCGAAGTCATCGAGATTGCCACGCACGCCGGGAAGGATGAGGACCTCATCAAATTCCTTCGCATGGCGCGCAAGACATTGCGCGAACCTGCCGTCGACACTGCTCTCGCATTCTCTTACGCAAGGACCAACCAATTGCCGGAGCTCGAAGACTTCCTGCGCGCAAGCAATGTTGCCAACATTGAAGAGTCAGGTGACAAAGCCTATGCTGAGGGCTACCACGAGGCTGCGAAGATCTTCTTTACCTCGATTTCGAACTGGGCCAAGCTCGCCACCACACTTGTGCACCTTGGCGATTATCAGGCTGCCGTTGAATGTGCACGAAAAGCAAACAATGTGAAAGTCTGGAAGCAAGTGAACGAAGTCTGCATTGCGAAGAAAGAGTTCCGCCTTGCGCAGATCTGTGGTCTGAACCTGATCATCCACGCCGAGGAGCTCGCAGAGCTTGTCACTCAATACGAGCGAAATGGATACTTCGACGAGCTGATCGCCTTGTTGGAAGCTGGTCTGGGCCTCGAGGCTGCCCATGGTGCGCTATTCACCGCCCTGGGTGTGGCATTGAGCAAATACCACCCTGAGCGTGTCATGGAGCATCTCCGCATTTTCTGGGGACGACTCAACATTCCAAGGGTTATCAAAGCCTGTACCGAGGCCCACTTGTTTCCGGAAGTCATCTTCTTGTACACGCACTACGATGAATTCGACAACGCAGCTTTGGCCATGATGGAACGTGCAGCCGACGCCTGGGAACACCACACTTTCAAGGACATCATCGTGAAGGTTTCCAACGTCGAAATCTATTATCGATCATTGAATTTCTATCTCCAGGAGCAGCCATCCCTCATAACGGACCTACTTCAAGTGCTGACGCCTCGCATCGATGTCAACCGAGTGGTCAAGATGTTCGAAAAGTCAGACAACATCCCGATGATTAAACCGTTCTTGTTAAACGTTCAGTCACAGAACAAGCGGGCAGTCAACGATGCCATCAACGACCTCCTTATTGAGGAAGAGGATTACAAGCAGTTGCGCGACAGTGTGCAAAACTTCGACAACTACGAAGCCGTGGCCCTTGCGCAGCGACTGGAGAAGCACGAACTTGTCTTCTTCCGCCAGATCGCTTCGAACATTTACCGCAAGAACAAGCGTTGGGAGAAGTCCATTGAATTGTCAAAACAGGACAAGCTGTACAAAGACGCGATCGACACAGCTGCCATCTCTAACAAAGAAGAAGTCGTCGATGAACTCCTCCGATACGTGAGTGGAACCCTCTCGACGATGAAATATTCAAAATTGATGCTGACCATCTCTCATTACAGTTCGTCGATATCGGCAGCAAAGAATGCTTCGTCGGCATGCTTTACACCTGCTACGATCTCATCCCGCTGCACACTGTCATGGAGCTCTCTTGGCGCCATGGCCTAAATGACTTCACCATGCCGTTCATGATCAACTACATGGCTCAGCAATCCGCCACCATCGCTGAGCTCAAGCGCGACAACGAGGAGCGCAAAACCCGTGAGCTCGCAGACAAGAAGGAAGAAGACACCGGTCCCATCCTAGGCCAGTCCCGACTTCTTCTCACGCAAGGTCCTGTCGGAGGACAGAGCCCCGCGCCATATGCCAATGGCATGATGCCGCAGCCGACAGGCTACCGAGGATTCTAGATGATGTGAATAGTTTTGTGTTTGTAATGAGCGAAAGAGTACATGGCCCCTTTTCAAGTTAACTCGATCTCCGAAGTGTGCAGATTTATTTTGGAGATGCCGGTGGTTTGTCCAAGATGTCGCCTCATTCGATCGATGTACCAGTTCGAATCTTCGTAGATGCGTGCTAGAAGTACTCGAGATTGTAATAGTATTGTTTTATCGATTTATGCCTTCATCCGCCTGTTACCTCGGCTCCCGTTCTGCGCTGTGGAATCATTCCTCATAACTGGTGACGCCTATGTACATGTGCCTGGGATGTGGATGTGATGAACCACTGAATTTACTCACGACACCTCAACGAGTGAGAGAGATATCGAATACAATCTCACGTTGACACGGGCTATAATGAACTGCCAGGTGGTGGCTATTAACGAAGTGAGTCAATGTGGTATGCAAAATTACAAAGCGAGTGAGGGTCACACTTGTACAGTTCATTACTACCTCAGAGGTGGTGAACATTCAACTGTCCAAACCCGTGGACAAACTGGACGCTAGGGTTGCACCTACCCTAAGATGATTCCTGGCATCGTTTTTAATGGCAAAACAAATAATCTATCTGTACTGGCTAACATGTGGCAGAGAAGCCTCCAGAGACGACCAGAATCGAAGCACCATCCTAGGAAGTTCGAGTGTTTTCCAGTTTCGTGGCGAAGATATCCGTGGCACCAATCTCGCTGAGCTGGTCCATGATTGTTGCTAATTCTTTACGAGCAACCATGGCAGAAACACTGACCCAGTCCTTGTCTTCGAGACCAGTAATCGTCGGAGCTCGCCTTCCGGGAGTGATGGTCTCGGCGACGGCCAGATTTTTGCGCTCGACGTTGTAGACGCAGAGCACGTACTTCTGCGCTGTGATGACTCCGCGGATTCGTGTCGCGATGAGATTCACCAATTTGGGATCTGAAGGGTGTTTGGAAGAGATGAGAACTGCAGTGGATTCGACTACGGTGTCGATGGCTTTGAGGCCAGCGGCTCGCATTGTCTCTCCAGATTCTGCGAAAAGCATTAGACATGACTCTGGGCATCGGAGTATCGTTTCCTGACTCACCAACAAGGTCGACAATGCCGTCAGCTACTCCCAGGGCACAAGCAGCTTCAACACTGCCACCGACAAATTTGATGCGGGTTCGCAGCTTCGCGGTGGCATCCGCTCCATCCTCTTGAGATGCTTTTTGCTCAAGCTGTCTGAAGTACTTCTCCGAGAGGTTCGTGAAGCTGGTCACAATGTTCTTGCCGACGAGCTGCTCAGGTGTTTGGATTTCGCCGTGCTCCGGGACTTGCACCTGAAGTTTACATTTCCCGAATTCAAGGTCCATGATCTCCTCGACGCCGGTGGTCGCAGTTGGAGGTACGATGGCTTCATGTTCGGCCACCTGGTCCCGGCCGGTGATGCCGAGGTCGACACGGCCTTCACCTACGAAGGTGGGGATGTCTGCTGCGGGCAGGAAGACCAAGGCAAGCGGTAGATTCTTGACGAGTGCGATGTCCAATCTGTTGTGACGGTGGAACTGAATGTCGGAACCCGTAAGGAGATCAAGGCAAGCCTGTTGCAATCTTCCTTTCTTGGGAACCGCGAAGAGTAAACGATCGTTCAAGCTGTCGCTGTTGTTAAACACTTGTAAAAGCCCAAGGGTGTCGCGGCCTTGTCGCAACACGGATTCGAAACGTACTGATTGACGAGCTCCATTCTACGTTTTGAACGCCGAAAGGGGCGTTTCCAAGTTCAATATGAGAGGTTTCGAGCAATGCCCCAGAAAGACGAAGCTTTTTGTGGTGATAAATTGCAGCCAATGGGTGTGGATAGCCCGTTTGAAGCTGTCTACCGACGCCTGACAAGCTGCAGGTAGGCCAGACTTTATCGCGTCAATCGAATTGTAGGTGGTTATGCCAACGAGGAAGACAAGACACGAGCGATGTAACACGCAAAAGACAACAACCGAAACGGTGCGAGAGTTTGCGATTTCACCCGGGTACGATCACTACCAAGGTGGAGAGGAAATTATCAAATATAGACAAGATTCAGACTGAATCAATGTCGTGAGGCAGCGCGTGTGTACAACTCGGCCATACAATTGGCGTATCTAGGGACAATTTGCGAACAACTGCCGATCCGACGCCAATGACTGTCTCCTTGCCCCGCCATTTTCAAAAATTTGTTGCTCGTTCAGATTTGGGAATGACTTGAGTTCTATAGGCGTTACTCGTCCGGGTGCGGCGGCGGGGCGCGAGATTAGTCATCAGAACGCTAGACCCCATTTGTCACGGATCGGAAAAACCTTTCGGAGCAAATTAGCTCTTGGCAATTTCGGACAGTGAGCGCACGACAAATGCCTCTGGCGGACTAGCAGAAAGTACAGCGTTGATCGATCTCGAAATCTCGCCCACGAAACTCTCAAAACACATTATACCACCGTCAAAATGGATTCCGCTAAGTGAGCGCTCACGGGGAAATAGCCTGTCCTCGAATTCGCTGCTGATTCGTCCTGCAGGGTCCCAGTCAAGCTCGTCAAGGTCACCCGCGTCCTCGGTCGCACCGGTATGTCAAAGAGCGTGGAGCAGAGAATTCTGACGGAGGAGAATTCTGACGGAGTAAAATTTCAGGATCCCGTGGTGGTGTCACTCAGGTCCGCGTCGAGTTCATGGACGACACAACCCGAAGCATTATTCGCAACGTGAAGGGCCCAGGTAGGAAAAATCGCGCATGCATCTGACAAGCCTGGCATATCTGACGATCGCGCAGTTCGTGAGGACGACATTCTCTGCCTGCTCGAATCTGAGCGTGAGGCCAGGAGACTGAGATAGGGGGTGCGTTGGTGGCTAAGCGCGGCGTGGAAGATATCATGGATTTTGAAACACTACAGCGACATGCACCGAGTGGGCGTTTTTTGTGGCTTTGGGCGCAATTGCGATGGACTTGAAAAATTCAAGCTCGATTACAGCATGGTAGCTCCTTTACGACAGCGCCTGATGGAATGACACATTTCTTCACACACCATTGTGTTCATCATTTCTGCCGACGGTCTTGGATATGCGTGCTTTCGGCATCTGGCTTATATGCTCCCCAGGCGTACACGCACTTCATGAGACCATTGAGATTTACCATTCCCGATGTTCGAAACCATTGATCGCCCTGTCTGTGTAGGCTGCGCAACCACAACGACCCAGGGTGAAGTCATTGCTCCAACACGATCAGCGTGGCGACTCGTTGCGTTGTGTCGTTTGTCGGTCACCCCTGTATGATGCCCCTTTGTACAGCATCTTGACCCCCTTCTATAAAGCATACGCTTGAGGGTCGAGAGAATCGAGAGAAGGCAGCTGAAGTGAAATCGACCAATCACAGAGGTCGTCGAACATGATACGCAAAGGGCTGTGAGCATACAAAGCCAAATGGAGAGGGGTCCGGTTTCTGTACCTCTCATTGCATATTGACAGAGCATAAAGTTGCCGGACCGTGTGCTGGGTAGTGTAGCCTTTAGGCAGTACGGCGACGAGGGTCCGCCGTTACGATTGAGTTTGTATGCGCAATTCATAAGGGACATTTAGCAATCCCGAGAGAATTGCATCGTCGATATCGGCGATGCCGAGAATCTGACAGTTGACGATCGCGTTGACCTGTTCGCGTGGAAACGGTGTCTTGAGCGGCGCAAAAGAGCAGAGGAATCATTAAAGAAGGTGCACTGCCCCATGCCGATTACTTCCTGTTGTAGTCATGCAGGGCGGCTAATCCACCAGACATCCAAGTGGTATCCGTTTTGTGTTTGCGCATCGGAGCTAGAGCGTCGTGTATGGCAAAATGTCCTATCGGGTATGTCCGTCTTTTTGTGCTCTGTGCTGGGGATTACAATGCTTCACCCGGCACGCAGGTCCCGAACATGCTGCAGCATTGGTGGAAGGAATACAGTAGAACTTGACGTGAACGATCCCTGTGCCCTGACGCATCCAACGCCCATGATTGAAATTGCGCATCGAAGATTGTACAGCAAGACGAGAGCTCAAAGCGTCTCACTGTCTGCCGATGCTGGATGCCAGTACATCCAATAAGGTTGTGTCGTTTCTATCACACCTCCAACTGATGTGCGAGGAAAAGTCCCAACCCTAGCGTCCTGGGCCCGCCCCTGTCCCAGGGCTGCTCTTCTTAGCGACCAAACACGCTCGCGTGGTAAGGTTTGCCGGCAACAGTACGGATTCGCGGACATGTTGTCTCAAAGAAGGCAACTGTGTTGTCCCGTTTCAGTGTAGGAGGCGAATTTGCTTAGTCCCGACTCCAGATTGTGTTTGCTCTGCTGGCGAATCATCACTGGCGTGCAGCTGGGACATTTTCGATGCGCTCGGACATCAGCGAACCAGCTCACAGAACTTCCAAAGGCATGCGACCTACTGTCGATCGCGCCTGGCCAATGAGTCCAGCCGACAGATCGCTTTGGCCCGTACGATGGATGTTTCTTGCAAACATCCTTGGATTGCACTTTGTTAGATGTTCTACACTACTCCAGCAGCTGTGATCGCCCGGGAGGGACATGTCCAAAAGCGGTATCAGGCGCGTTGCGATCATGTTCGCTGGCGGCTCTTGCGGGCACTGCTAAGCTGAATGGTCTCCACCAGACCAGCAGTAACCTTCACGATCTCGACAGCTATGATGCGCTCGACTGGTCAAGCCATCTGCACAACGTGGGAGTGCTGATGGATATGATTTCCACGACTCCAGCTCGGTCACGTAATAGACCCTTTCGTCGCTACTTATATCAACCGTGTTATCTGCTTGGTCGGCAGATTGAAAAGATTTAGTGAGCGTCTTTGAATTTCGACCTGGAGTTAACAATGGCATCGCGGCCCGTCGAATCAGGAAGCAGCACGCGGCCAAAGAGCAGAGAATCTCTTTCACCGACTGCCAGCCGGCCTGAAAGTAACAGCAGTATGTCCAATCCTTCAGATTCACCCCCAGCGGAACATGACCGACACTGAGGAATCTGCAGGCAGCAAAGCATCGTCGCCGACCGAATCGATCAACTTTCGTTTCTTAAATTTCGGGAATCCCCAAGAACAGAGGAATGCCAAAACCAGGAGAGATGTTCGCAGCCATGTAAGTGTGTTGTGCAAAGTCGACCATCCTGCGTCGCCACGACTCATCTATTATGAAAGGTCACCACAAGACAACATCGCATACAACGCCGTGCAAATGCTGAGCAGGCACAAGCCGACCGACAATCACCAAGCGAAGCAGGTTCTTCGTCTCTCAGTCAATCGCAAACCCCGGCACGCGAGGCCAGCAGCGCTGAAGAGGATACCTCTCCATCGCTACCTGAGCAATCTGTCCCACCCACTACATTAAGGCGCATCAACATGGCAGACATATACCCAAGTGAATGGCATCCTCATCTCAGGCCGATCATGGTAATTACCGGAATGATAGTGTAATGGTTCTGAAGCTGAATCTCGTCGCAGGATCATTACTTACAAAACATGTCCATCGACTTGCCGAATAACGACCCGACTAGTAGAACGCTCCTGGCTACACATTTCATGGCATTGATACTCTCCGACCCAGCACCAATACATGCAGTCATGCTTATTGCATCTACACATCATGCAAAGATCCACGGCGCCGACGCACACACAATCAGTACCCTACAGCTAAAAGGAATGGCAATTCAAGAAATCAATCGCGCGCTCACAGAGCATGGAGCTGAAGGTCGGGCCATCTCCGATCAACTGATCCTTGCCGTCGCCAAAATGGCGACGTACGAGATGCTATTTGGGGACGCCTCGCAGACATTCAGCCTTCACATGGCAGGTTTACAACGCATGGTCACTCTGCGCGGTGGGCTCCAAGCGCTGGGCTGCTACGGACTGCTCGAAAGCAGTCTCCTCTGGCTCGACGCAAACGCTGCGGCCCACACAGGTGTCCTCTACTTCCCACCAAGCTCATTCCCATCTTCACGCGGCCATCCCAAGGCAGACCAACAACTGTTTGTATGGGGAGCCCAGACTTGACTTCGACACTTCTTTCCAACTACTCTTCTCTTGGTGGGCAACATATCAAATATCCAAGCAAGTCGTGTGAATTTTGGAAATCAGGCATAGGGCGGCGAAAGGGTATCGAGTTCTAGATCCTGGCCACGGCTGTAAAGCGCCGATTGTGTTTCTCATTCCGACATCTTCTATTCGACTCAGTGCTGGCCACTGTGTGGACCCTTTATTTTAGTTATGTAATAAGACTTGTCGCCTCTATCCGAGTAGTGTACCGGGAGGCCGTACACACGACACTCAAATCTAATTCACATGTTCCTGCCTAGAATGCAGCTTTTTTCCCTGAAAAGGATCGTCGCATTATCATGAGGCAGAATGACCAGCGAAGCCTTGATGAAGTAGCAGCACACAGGTTACATCAAACTTTTCTTGGGGTCGGACAAATCCTCAAGGGCCATTTCCGGCGGACGGAGGAGAGACCCGCCATTTGGGAGCGGCGCGACGGCGGGAGAGAGGTACGAGTTGGGCTCAGACATTGGCATTCATAACGGACGTAGTGCCAATCGCCCTATTGCTCGTACCCGTAAGCGCTCGCCGAGGAAGATGCGGTCTCGCAAACGAACCAAGGGCTCTCCCGCGGCGAATCGCCTAGACTCCTCGCTCAGGACATATTTTGGGCCAGGCAGCATTGCGAAACGACCCGAAGACAGCACTGTAAGCAGATCCACCCGTCAATTGACCCCTCATGCATTACATGAGGGAGAAAATCAAGACAAGACTCATCTGGCGCCATCCTCAACACCACCCGACGTGGGACCTGCGGTTGGAACGCATGGCGCAGCGCTAGTCCGAGACAGGAAAATACACAAATGACCCGTGGGATCGAAGATGTTGATAATCCATAGGCAAAAATCACTGTGAATGCCGGGTCAAATGCCTCAGGCAGAAACCACGACCGAGCCCTAGCCAAGCGGGATTGTGCTGTGAGGTCATTGGCATGGAGGATATTCCCAGACGACAGCGCACACTTTTTTCCCAGAAGCCATATTGACCACACGAAGAATTGGCACATATTCTGACCAGCTGAAGTCGCAGCAGATCCCTACTCAACCGAGACAGGTTCCTTCCGTCACCGACGGGATGGCCGGCCATGTGCGCTGTCATTACTGAGTGTTCTCTCAAAGCTGGGGTCGCTGCGCAATTCCCTCCCCTCCACCCCGGTTCATCCCGTCCGCTAGAGAAAATGTCCGGGTTCCGATTCGGGTGGTAGACCTTTCGGAGCAGGCGAGATCGGCAAGGTATGCATTGCCGTCTAGGCCGAAATAGTGAGTTATCCTGTCGATCAAGCACTATATTAGTCCCCTTCACTTTTAGCACTGCTCGGTGGGTCCGCCGAATGCTACACATGGGTGTTGTTTTATTTAGAAGGAGGTGAATGTTCTTGGGCAAATCAGAAGCGGTTGGAAAGTCTGAAACAACCATCTTTGGCTTTGCGCCTCTGACCCTCCGACTCGGAACACATCTGCACGTGACTCTTTACCTTGCGATACTGACACCGCGGCATCGACGAGTGCTCGTACCTTGTCAAAGGTGGGTCATCGAGTAGTCGATTGGCTTTTTGACGCAATTTGCAAGATCGTCAAAGGACCCCTGTCCGTAGCGCGACGACGAGAACATCATGTACCCTCCTCATGAGGACGTTAGTGATGTTTGGCCCTTGCAGCGACGTCTCCTTTGGGAGATTCGATATCCACGTACCCAATCAACACGGAAGAATGGCAGATGCAGGAGAGAAAAAGCTACGAGGAGGCACGCAAGCGTCGAGCGTGGTGAGCATAAGCCCATGTGTCCCTATTGCTCCTTCCGTTCCAGACAGGCTCGACGCTATACACGTGTGAGGAGGACGATCCCGATTCATAGAAACGGGACAGGCCAATGAGGACGTAGTAGGAGGTACTCGCTGACCCCATTGGGGCGTTGTCGTTTCAGCTGTTCCGCTGTTTCGGTTCGCGTTGTCAGCTTTGGTCAAGCTCGACGGCCATCACGGACTTGAGACTCCGAACTGCCGGATATGGAGTCGGTGGTGCAGGCCCTCCTTAGCTGAGACGCGTGGACATGCTCATCTTCAATGCCTTCTAGTGACGACGGATTGGTCGTTTCTGTCCACACACTGGAAGCTAGGATACGTGCCCCTAACCTTCTCGTCGGACCAGAAAGGACATTGAAGCCAGGGATATTCGTCGGAGACTTGCCGGGGGAATAGTCGTATTTCCCGAGAGGATTGGATTCAACTAAGCGGGTCTAAACGAGCAATCTCATTTCACTCACACGCTAGCTCATAGTGTACTCGAGTAGCATATTCACATAGACCAGCATACACAGAATAATCTGTCAAACATCCTCGCGAACAGACTCTTCGAGTCGATCGCTGTGCCCCTCACCTCGTAAGATCTTTGCCCTCGGATGGGCGGAACGGCTCTGTCACCAACTTGCCATAACACCTTCTTCTGCGTGTCTCGTCTTCTCCAATGCCTGTCGACGTGCGGTCTTGGACCGCCCGGGTCCGTCGCCCCAATCAGACAGCCTCATTAGTGGTCGTATGCTCATTCGTAACGGCATGGATCTATTTGACAATCTTGCAGATGAGATCCTGAGAGTCAACTGAGTCGCCTTCCTTGACGGAGAGGTTCTCGATCTTTCCGGAGTGAGGCGCTGAAATGACCATTTCCTGAAGAATTGCTCGTTAGTTTTGTTTTGGACGGGAAAAATCACGACTCTGGAATCGAACTGGACTTACCATCTTCATGGCGTTGAGAATGGCGATCGGGTCGCCCTTGTTGATGTCACTGCCCTCCTTGATACGGACATCGATGACCATACCGCCCATGGGCGCACCGACTTGGCTGCTGTCGGTGCTGTCGGCCTTTGGTCGGCTCAGGTTCTCGATACCGGCATGCTGGTCAGTGATGGTCACTTGACGGATCTCACCGTTGACCTCGAAGAAGACCTCGCGCTGGCCAGTCTGGTCGCTGAGAGGACCAACAGCCAAAAGCTTCAAAATGAGGACCTTGCCCTTCTCGATCTCAATGTGGAACTCCTCTCCGATATCGGGCTTGTTGAGGAAGTAGCGCGTCGGCACGACTGACAGGTCACCCCATTGCGCGACCTTCTTCTTGTACTCGTCGAAGACCTTCGGGTACATGACGTAGCTGGCGACTTCGGTCTCAGAGCAACCGCCGTATGTCTCCTTGAGCTTGGCGCGAACCTCGTCAAAGTTGATCGGGTCGAAGTACAAACCGGGACGTTTGTCCATCTTGCGGCGCCCGCGGAGAGCTTGTGTACGGAGCGGCTCTGGGAATCCACCGTAGGGCTGGCCCATGAGACCCTCGAAGAACTCCAAAACTGATGATGGGAAGTCCAGGGACTCGGCCTTCTCGTGCAGGCTCTTGAGATCAAGGTTGTTTGCAACCATGAATTGTGCGAGGTCACCAACAACCTTGGAGGTAGGCGTGACCTTGACGATGTCGCCAAGCGCATCGTTGGCCTGCTCGTAAGCCTTCTTGGTCTGAGCCCACTTCTCTCCAAGACCCTGTTGAGCGGCCTGGAAGATCAGGTTGGTCAACTGACCACCAGGAATCTCGTGCTCGTAAACCTCAGGGTCGGGACCTGTGAGACCGGCCTCGAAAGGTGAGTATACGAGACGGACTTGAGCCCAGTATGAGTCGATTTGACGCAGGTGGTGAGCGTTGAGGCCGGTCTCGAACTCGGTGCCCTCTAAAGATGCGACGAGAGCGCCGATAGCCGGCTGAGAAGTGGTACCAGACATGCTGTCGGTCGCGGCATCAACCGCATCAGCACCGGCTTGAGCACAAGCAACCATCGATGCAACACCGGTACCGGCAGAGTCGTGGGTGTGCACGTGAATGGGGACATCCGGGTACTTCTTGCGGATTGCGCCAACTAGGAGAGTGGCAGCCTTGGGCTTCAAGCAACCAGCCATGTCCTTGATCGTGATGATGTGAGCGCCCATCTTGATGATTTTGTCAACCAGGCTGAGGTAGTATTCGAGGTTGTACTTCTTGGCTGGGTTGAGCATGTCACCAGAGTAGCACACGGTTCCCTCAACAACACCGCCGGCCTTGAGGACAGCTTTGATACCGACCTCAAGCTGCTCAACGTCGTTCAAAGCGTCGAACACACGGAAAATGTCCATACCGTTCTTCTTGGCCTCCAAGCAGAAGTGGTAGATGGCGTTGTCGGGCAGAGAAGAGTAGGCAACACCGTTGGCGCCACGCAGCAGCATCTGGAACGGGATGTTGGGCACAGCCTTGCGCATCTTGCGCAGACGGTCCCACGGGTCCTCGTACAAGAAGCGCATAGCAACATCGAAGGTCGCGCCACCCCAGCACTCCAATGCCCAAGCGTTGCTCAAGGCATAGGTGGTCTCGCGGGCGATGTTGAGAAGATCGATCGTACGCATGCGAGTCGCTAGAAGCGACTGGTGCGCATCACGCCAAGTGGTATCCATGATCAATGTTCCCTTGTTCGCTCTTACAGCCTTCGCGAAAGCCTCAGGGCCATCCTCAAGAATGATGTTTCTCCAGCCCTTCTGGCACGGCTGCGAGACGTCGAGTGGCTTATCGTCGTGGTCTGTGAGAGTGGGAATGACAACCTCGCTCTTGAGCTTTGACTCGCCGATTTGTCCAACGACTTGAGGGCCGTTGACGGCCACTTCGGCCAAGTAGCTGAGGAGCTTCTGTGCGCGGTTCTGGCTGCCGACGAGTGAGAACAGCTCGGGAGTGTCGTCGATGAAAGTGGTCCAGCAGTTTCCGTCAATGAAGGTTTGGTGGGTGAGAAGCGAGGCAAGGAAGGGAATGTTGCTCTTCACGCCTCGAATTCTGAACTCGACCAAGGCACGGAGCACCTTTCTGCGAGCAATTTCGTAAGTGGAGCCGTGGCATGTACACTTGACCAACATGGAATCGTAGTAAGCTGTCACATGGGTTAGGATCGCAAGCTTGCCGAATTGCAGACCAGCTTCAACTCACGAGTAATGACTGCTCCAGCAAATCCGTTACCACCATCGAGTCGGACACCGTTTCCACCAGCAGATCGGTAAACTTCAATCTTGCCAGTGTCTGGGCTGAAACCGTTCGCAGGGTCCTCGGTGGTGATTCTGCATTGGATGGCGAAACCGCTGACAGGAAATTCTTAGCAACAGGAAGCAATATTGAAGACCACTCTTCTTTTCTTACCGAATGCTGATGCGATCCTGAGTCAAGCCAAGTTGCTCAAGTGATGCGCCAGCCGCGATCTGAATCTGGGCAGCGACAATGTCGATACCAGTAATCTCTTCGGTAATGGTGTGCTCGACCTGGATACGCGGGTTGATCTCAATGAAGTAGTGGCGGTTCTCTTGGTCGACCAAGAACTCGGCAGTACCGGCATTGCGGTAGTTGGCCGTCTTGGCGAGTTTGACGGCATCGTTGAGAATGGCGTCCCGAGTCGCCTGCGGCAGATCCTTGGTGGGCGCGAGTTCCACGACCTTCTGGTGACGACGCTGAACGGAGCAGTCACGTTCGTACAAGTGCACAACGTTACCGTGGCTGTCGCCGAGAATTTGAACTTCAATGTGCTTGGGTCGGTAGAGGAAACGCTCGATGAAGACTGTGCCATTGCCGAATGCGGATTTGGCCTCGGATGTAGCTCGCTCGAAGGAGTCTTTCAGCTCCTCCTGTTTCCAGACGACTCGCATACCACGACCACCACCTCCGAAAGCGGCCTTGATGATGATCGGGAAGCCATACTCGTCGGTGAATTCTTTGGCATCCTGTCAACGCGATCAGTGAAACATTCGTCGGCTTTGTAGATAGATTATTGTGTAGACTCGTACCTCAAACTTCTCAACCGGGCCGGGAGTACCAGGCACACATGGCACGCTGGCCTTCTCGGCAAGCTTTCGGGCCGAAACCTTGTCTCCGAGATCCCGGATGGTCTCTGGGCGAGGACCAACCCAAATGAGGCCTGCATCTTCGACACCTTTGGCGAAGTCGTAGTTTTCACTGAGGAAACCATATCCAGGGTGAATCATTGATACACCTGAGAGAGGAGAGCAAGAACGTCAGCGAGCCGAGCTCTGTAATCGTGAAACATGATCCTCAAAATGGTAAAGAAAGCTCGGAAATCCGACTTCACGGCTTGATGCTTCCATTCTGTGAGAACTTCAGATCGCCATTTCGAAGTCTCTCAGAGCCATAAATTGATGCCTCAGATCGCAAAAGTGATCGTTGCTCACATCTGAGTGGAGTTTCAGACCGACGAAGCATCTTCGAGTGGGTGAACTCAGAAGACAGTCCCTCCGCACCAGCGAGAGTTCGGGAGCGATGTGCACTGCACTCACTCGTCAAATTGAGAGAAATTAGACATACCGTGTTCCTTTGCGATCTTGATGATCTCGTCTCCAGCGAGGTATGCGCCAATCGGTGCTAGTAGATGTCATTCAATATGTGTCCGCTATTCTCTTGACCGCTCAACTCACTGTACTGGCCACGCTTGCCAATGACGTATGCCTCGTCGGCCTTCTGCCTGTGCATGGAGAGTCGGTCCTCGTAACTGTACACGGCGACGGTCTGGAGAGACAGCTCGTGGGCAGTACGGAAGATACGGATCGGGATTTCACCTCGGTTGGCGACAAGGATCTTGGTCAGCTGCATGATGGAGCTGTTGGCCCGTAGGCGAGTGTGGACGGTGTTGGCATGTTGGTGGGTCTCGCCGTCGTGGTGCGGCGTACCGTAGTCGTGCTCCTCGTCGGCCATGATGGGCACAAGTTCACCGTGAGAGGATCGGTGAAAGATGACAATCCCTTCAAAGTTGGAGGAACTGAGGGAGGAGGAGAGGAGAAGTCAGAAGAGGAGGGAGAGTGGAGTACAGAAGAGACGGGGGAAAGTCGAAGAGGAAGAAGATGTGGTTCGTTCTCAAGAACCTTCTTGTCCGAACCTTGTCAGCTGCGATCAGTTGAGCCAGGGAAAGAGGGCGGTGGGTAATAAGATAGCAGAGACAGGAGCCGAAAAGACAAATGTTCGGCGATAATACGTTTCCCAACACAGCTAGCCACACACAACACACACACACACACACACACACACGCGCGCGCGCGCAGCTCTCGGGCGATAGCTACTGTACAACAACGACTCTAGCACTCACGACTAACGACACAACGCTACCTACCAACCTAGGCGTTGCAGCAGGAACCGCGATGTCCACGTCGAATCTCATCCGAAAGAAAGAAAGCTTGGAGCGCACCTCGACGTAGCCTCGTGCCGACCGCCAAATAAACAATTCGTCCCCGAAAACATGGCGGAGGCATTGGAGTCGCAACGACATGACCCCACACTCCACTCATTCTTGTGTCTCCGTCTTCTACGTCCCCACTTCGTCCTCATTCGTGCGAACGAAGCGTCCCGACACGGCTGAGGACACCGAATGCAATGGACATTCTCTGGTGGTCAGGGCGACCGGCCTGGGCACATGCAATCCTTCGGCAATGCATGTGCGTTTGACCGAGACTTTGCAGGACGACGACGACGTCGAGCAATGGCGATTCCGTCCACCTAGGTCTGGACGCATTTCGACGCCGGTGAGCTGCCAATCGTGGGGAATGGATGGGACGTCTGGAAATACCCCAGAGGAGGAGGGAGCTATGACGACGAATAAAGTCCGGCGCGTACTCGGCTTTGGCCCGAGGTCAAGCAAAATCTCGTGGTCGTCGCGCGGTTGTCAGAGAGCCACACGGGCGATAAGCAACAGCAGCCTTTCAGATGTCAATGACTGGCCTAATCGTTCCGACGCCCGGCAAGACAACCTCCGCGGCCTTAAGCGTCTTGTTCTCGTCCGGCGCAAGAAATCTACACTGGAGAATGAGAGTGTCCTCGATTGAGACGACGATGAGATCAGAAACACCATTACGCCCAGAGAAGCTCAAGAGAGTTTCAAAAAGTTGTGCTGTGACATCATCGAACCATCTTCTTATCGCAGACACCTGTATTCACTCCCACGTTCAGTCGTCATCACGTCCCGGTGAGGATCGACGGAGAGGGTGTCGCAAGAGATAACAGAACTCATTCGAGCAATGTTCAGCCTGTAACTGTACAAACGCGAGGGAGATAGAGACGAGGCCGACCTCTTTACCGCTGCAGCACGCCAGCGTAGCTCGGATCCAAAATTCTTCACAAAACCCCCTCAACTCCATGGGACCATGTTCGTCTCCAGGGATCGGCACCGATTGAAACACGTTGGACATTGCATACCTTGCTAGTAGGAACTGTTGATAAATGCGGGCAACCTCACACGGGCCCCTTGCCCTCATTCGTGTCTGACTGGTGGAGGCCAGCGCAGGTACGACCGGCTTCTCCGCAAAGATCTATATAGCTTCCGGAAAAATCTCGTGGTCCAGCCATTGGGTCACAACGGAACATGCCCGCTGCGGGCGATATTGTGATCATGAGAGCCACGGTATGTCAGGCAGGCATGGAGAGAGAGATGGCCAGAGGGAGAGTCAATCAGCATGTGCACATGATAGCACAGTACCCAGTACCGACGGGAAGCGAAACAAGATCTCCATCCTAGCCACAACAGTCCCTCAACACGAAACCACTCGCTCAATTTCCTCGACTCCTCCCACCACTGATAACAATCTCATAATCCCTCTCGCTTCTGGCAAAAAGTAAAGTTCGCAACAAGCATCATCGTCCGTGAGACCATTCCCTCCGCACATCCGTGCGACGTTGAGCCAATGGCGACGTGTGATGCAGCCTTGGTACGCAAAACCAAATCGGCGCGGCCAAGCAGCATCGGACACAAATCTCACGGCGAACGCCAATGCCTTCCTCCGCCAAGCTCGGGAATCCACACGATTCTCGCACAGCGAATCCTTCTGCTGCGTACACGTATCACGGACGGGAGAGCTCCAACGTTGAGCCGCATCATTCGCTTGGGGGAATCCCACAGCTACAGCTACCTTGGTCGGTGAGGTGTCTCCGAAAGTGTACTAAGGTGGGTATAAGGCTGATTCCCTGGTTGCTGATGGTAATAATGATGATGACGACGACGACCATAACAGACACGTCGGATCTGACACGTTTCTCATATGTCATCACGCGCGTCCCGTGCATCCTGTAGATGCATGGATGCGCAGCTCACTATTCGAAAGTCTTGTTCATCAATTAGCCTCAACATTTTGCTTCTGACACTCCTTACATGTCGTCCCTCCCACGAAGCATAAACAATATAAGATCCCGCCATGATGTCTCAACCCAGTTCGGGAGCTTGTAACCCGTCATCTTAGATCGTTGTCAACGGAAACCGCTCGGAGAGATTCCGGGAGAACATTAGCGAGAGTCACGCGTTGAACTATTGAAAAGTATGGATCGCGGAACATCGAGCATGAGGCTCGATATCATCCACGCGTGGGGGGACACGACCACAGAAGATTTGCCGAATGCCGCGCATCGGGAAATGCACGGCATGGCGGCACGCACTTCTCAACGGAATATCGGCGATGTGAAAGAAGTGCGGGTATCACGATGCGAGAGATGACGTCGGATTGCTTGACCTCGCCAACGTCTGCGAAGAGTCTATCCTCTCGCAAGACTCGCTCGCACGTGGCAGCGGACGAAGAGCTCGCTGACGCGAGCGCCACATGTTCATCACCATCCTGGCATACATAATCCCACATCTCTACGAGACCCATTTGCCGACGATCGTGCGTCGCTTTGCAAAAAGTAAAAAGTTCGGGGAACGTGTGCATTCGCAGAAAGTTAAAATGTGCCATGTCATGACCAACCAATCCAAAGACATTTGATCGCTCTGAAATTCTATTTCTGATTTCAATAAAGGTTTATATCGTGATGCAGTAGGCCGGCGGGCATCAATGGGCTCGGCTCTCATCATCTAATGCTGAATGACCCATATTTTGGGTTTCGTAAATCTTCATACAATCGGGATCCCAGCCCAATGCTCTCCTCTTATACAGGTCTCGTGTCATAATCATGCCAGTCAACGCACATCATCCGAATTTTGCACCTCATGCGGCCGCACCTATGGCTGCGTCCTGGACCTCTCCATGAGTGGTTCGGTGTGTGCCTTCTGTGTCGCTCTTCATACCACTGACATTGGACATTTTGTGACTTGAACAGTACTCGATGATCAGTCGCTGCAAGTCGATCAACTTGTATGGCTTGCTCATGAATCCTTTCATGCCCGCCCAGGCAGCACGTTCCAACGCGCCGTCTGTGACATCGGCAGTCACCGCCAAGACGGTAGGCGGTGACAGGCGGTTCGAGGAGTGCAATTGACTCTGCCCTGTCGCTGCAAAGACATCCATCGAGAGGATTCTCTCCGTGGCTTCGTATCCATCCATTAACGGCATCCAGAGGTCCATGAGGATGACATCCACGGGACCATTTGTTGAATCGTCGGGGTGAAGCAGGGAATGTGCCATTTGTCGGACTGCTTCCGTTCCATCATGTGCCTCGAGAACGTTTTTATACCCGAACTTCCCAAGCATGCTGACTAGCAGCTTACGATTGATTTTGTTATCTTCGGCCACGAGAAAATTGAGAGGGTACTTTTTGGCCAGATCTCGATCAAAATCTATGTTCTTGGAAGCGCCAGTCTCACGCTTCGTTTGAGAGAAGAATTTTAAAGGCTTGGTCGCCTCAAGAGGTGGCGACGATGGAAGTGTCGGTGCGGCAATAGCATCGCTTGTAGGGGGCGGAAGAGCATGGACATGTTCTACCTCATCGTCGAGGCTCCGTGGCGATGGTGGAGTCGATGGCACTGTCAACATTGCTGACCGCTGCTTAGGGGGAAGGACAGCATCATTGGAATCATGTCCGACGGTCTCCTGAAGAGCCTTCGTCCACTTGTAGTGCGCCGCACTGGTCGGGAGTGATGTGGCCGGAAGATTCTCGAATTGATCGATACTCGCAAGCTGCGCCTTTTGGGGATGTGGTGATCCAAATGGCGAGGATGGCCTGCTGAGGGTCTCACCGGCATGCAATGGAACCTTGATCTCAAATTGTGTACCGCGATCTGGTCCCTCGGTCTCAGTGCGGTTGCAGGTGAGGTCGCCGCCTAGCTTCCGTGCGATTCCTTTAGCGACCATCAACCCCAAACCGAGTCCTTCACTTGAGCGCGTAAGAGACGGATCTTCCTGTGAAAACGCCTTGAACAGCCGAGGGAGAAAAGCTTCAGGAATGCCGGGGCCGTTGTCTGTGATTTTGATGGAGATGTATCGTCCCCGGTTGCTCATTCTGGCATGGATCCGGATCCTGGCAGCAAGAGTGTCGGTGAACTTGATCGCATTGAGGAAGACGCGCGAGATGAGTTTGCTGAGGTCCATCTCGTCGATGAACAGGGTATCTGGGACATTGTCGTCGACACTCCATTCGATGATCTTGGTGCCAATCGTGCCGTCTGACTTCCGTACCCGCACTTCGATTTCTGCTCCTTGAGCGGTCTCTACAGCAACAGCGGAGTCGGGTCGACCGCCGACCTTTAAGCTTTCGTCGATGATGTGTTGAATGAGTTCCCTCAGGTCCGAATGACGGAGGCCGGGTGCGATGGTTCGGCTGGATGTGTGAGGGATTGCAAGTTTGGGCGGCGAATTGTCCACGTTTAGTGCGCCCTTCAAATCCGAGGCAGAAGAAACCTCGGTAGGAATGCCATCACTCATTGATGATCGCTTGCTCTCGGAGCACTGGCAGGTCGATGCGCTTCGCATGAGCTTCGGGACCTTGTTCGACCCCTGCGCATCCATACTACGCGAGGCGTAGTCTTCTTGGCGGCGCTTATTCGGTCTCGTCAGTGGCAAGTCGCTGCCCGCAACAAGGATTTCGGGTCTCTTCTCCGAGACAGCAGAAATGGGAACAGCGGAGTCGATCGAATCGTCCAGTAGCTCAACAGGGCCATCGGGTACGCTCATATCCATATCGTACGCGTGGACGACATTGTCGGCAGCCTCGACTACCCGACGCGAACTGTCCTGAACAGCCTCTATGTTCTCTTTGAGCGTCGCGAACACCCTCTGAAGGCTGGGGTCCATCTGACTACCGCCTGCTTCTTGGACAGTAGCATACATGACATCTAACATGCCCACAACTCCCTGCATCGGGGTCCGCAATTCGTGTGAAAGGCTGCCGGCGTACGGCCGGAGGGACTGTGCAGCGGAGACGGCCTCGTGAGGAATGATGCGACTCCGGTCCAAGACTTTGGTGGATTCCTTCACGAAGCTAGGGCCTTTGAGCAGTCGGGCGAGTATCATGTCCTCTAGCGAATGCATTATCAATTCCACTGTCGCCCACCGGAGCTTCCTCGCTCTGGCGGCCTCTGGTGACCACATGGCACCGAAATGGGCGAAGCACTTTCCTTCCGATTTCAGTGGCAGGGCCATGTAAGACTCGCACGGGTAGGGCAGGGTGTTGGGGTTTTTCGTGATGAATTCTCCCAGGCGGTCCGGGATGAGAAAGATCTTATCATGTTTCATATACGCGCACGGGCAATCCCATGCAGCATATTTGGTTGACGTGACAGTGTTGCGAGAGCCTGTGCCGTCAGTGCTGGTACAATAGTGTAACGCGGCAGCCATCAAGCAGGACCCCGGCTCTCCCAGGGGCGGCATTTCCACCGCGGTATGTTGATCATCAATGAGAACTCTCTTCATGACGAAACAAATTTCCGCGCCTAGCATCTTCGACATGCCCTCGGTCACGATGGAGAAGAAATCATCGTCCGTGGCCTGGCTGAGAGTCGTTTTGAGCGCAATGAGATCCTCCAAAACCTTGCTTTCCGAGTCGGAGTAGAGTCGGCTAGTTTCTTTGGAAAATCCGGTATCGCCATGTTGCAGAACACCTTGAGTGCCATGATGTGGGAAACATATCGTCTGCCTGCTCGGAACATCTGCCTTTTGCTCGTCCCCCTCTGCCCTGCTACTCTTGCTACCGCTACCGCCGCCTTCCACCGCGTTCATAATTGTGTATGCTACACCAGACCTTGACGAATGCCGCACCCGAGGAGCCGCTTGGCCGCGCACACATCGAGATTCCAAGGCTGTCGTCGTTGCCCTTGCCAGAGTATGGTCACCTGACAGGCAGGCACAAATTTCAGTTGAGGAACGTTGGTGGAGCAGATCAGAATATGATATATCTAGCGACGTTAGGACACTCATGAAAGAGTTGCGCTGATTCCTCTGCACTGGCAAAGACTGGCAGAATTGAGGATTGGCCGACTGGCTGCCTTCCAGGCTCCGTCCGGCGATTTCCGATCGGCGACCAGTATCGGATTGTTGGAGGATCGTGAAGAAAAGTGTTCAGGTTGTGGATGCAATTGCAGTGCGCGGGATGTGATACCGCCACTCGAAGTGTGTTTCGATGTTCGAGGTTCCGAAAATGGCAGGATCGGCAATCCTCCAATAGTAAGTGGAAGCGGAGCGTAGGCTGGACCTTCGACAGGACAACGGTTGTGATCGGAGTTGTGAGCAATACAATGCCTCTATGCGAGCCGATCGGAGTACGATTTCGTGAAGAGGTCGCGGATGATGGTCACAGCACTTTGGCAAGGCTTGGAGTATGCCAGACGTTCGCCTGTCCAGACAGTGGCACTCTTCGGACAGATCCACGTCAGCCGATGCTTGTAAGCATAAGAAGAGGATCTGCCGCTATCCAGCGAGCCGCTGACATGCGAATCTCGGTGGCCCACGTTTCCGACTCAGCAGGACGTCGACGGCTTACGTCCAGACGGGGTTCCCAGGCCGGGCGTTCACTATCTCTGGGCCAACAGGAGCGAAGTGGAGAAGAGGCATATCCAGGCTCTCATCAATGCGCCAACCTGCCTCACCACAGTGCGTTCCTGCTTTTTGCCTGACTCGTGTACTGGACTAGGGGATGACGGGTGGAGGGGATGGGCAGTGACCAGGGCGCTTTGCTTGTCCAGGGCTCGAGAGGCGCAAAAGAGGGAGCCCTTGTTTCGTATGGAGAAGCGATGGCGGTAACACAGGCGGAGGAAGGCTTGGATGCAGTCGGACGGTGAGGTTACATGCGCGAAGCACGGCGGGCAGCACCGACCGTTCTAGATCGCGAACTCCACGACACACTTCGGAAGTCGGCTTTGAGAGGGAACCGTCTGTGCGGCTTGGCGCGAGAGGGAGACGGAGAGTCTGATCAATTGTTTTTCCATACTGCCAATAGTTATTCCCATCGTTCGTGCATGGACCGTTTATACCATGACCATGGTGAGAACACCTAGGTAATGAACGACACTGACTTCGCACTACTGTGTATGTATACGGAGCCCTGTCGAGGATGCAATCATCGTCTTTGTTGCGCAATTGAAATGCAGGCGACTGCAGCACCTGGGCGGCCCCAGAAACAGCGATGATTATTGCAGTATATGTCCAGTGCACACCTGAGCACCTATCGTTCTCATGATGGACACCTAGGTAGGTCCACCAACGGCCAACAAATGAAGCATGCACTGGCATGCTAGACTCCCGCTACTGTCATGGGCAGAAGACGACAGCACGAGACAGAGCTCATAGCACGCACGTCCTGGGTAGGCCTGTACCAGTAATAATGATTGCGAGCTTGGCCTATTGAGCCCAGCCCATTGTGGAGCTCTTCACAGATGTCTGCACACGGCCAATCATGAGAGGATGAGAGCCCTCCTGACTCGGGTGGCCTCCGATCATCGATCATCCATGTCCCTTCCTGGACGTACTGGACCTATGCCTTCGCGTAGCGTGTTCAATTTATGCTTCGCCTCTAGTGAAGTAATCCACGATCAAGTGCTACACCTTGCGAAAGACTTCTTCGTTCGGTGCTTCGTTCATTTGCCTTTCGCGCGCGCGTGTATGAGTTTGTGTGTGTGTGTCTGCCACACTCGAGCTTACGCACCTGCAAGGAAGCAATCCCTGTTGATCGCGAACGCTGCAGATGCGCATGAAGCGATGGATGGAAGTGTGGCTGTGATGATTCCCTGCGGACAACGCACCGTGTGGCAAATGGGCACCAGCAGGTGTCGCTACGATAGGCATTCTGCGTCATGCAGTCATTGTACATTGTACATATGCATCGCGAGAAACCGGAACCATGGTACAGAATGTGATCCCAGTCGCTGGACGCAGATACATCATTTTGGGCGTATTCGACCATGGAACCCACTTACCACACCGGCCCATACAGAACTCGTTCCAGCATTGACGTAAGCGCTCACTGTCGAGGGCTATGCCTGGCCTTGTGGGCAACTACAGTAATAAGTGCAGCTACTCTCACGATGCCCCTTTGCTCGAATCTCTTCATTTTTGTCGCTCGGAGTCCGTCGATACGCAGGCACTAGGCCTACGTGCTTGAATGCAGTCGCATGCATAACAATGCAGGAGACCCAAAAGGGTTGATGCTCTGGAGAAGAATCGTACCGTTTTCACACTTTGGCGATACACAATTGACTATACCCAGGTACGCAAGAAAAGGTCGCATCTATGCCTATGCCCACAGACGTCATGGAACCTTATATGCTCGGAGCGGTGCGCCTGTGTTCGAACGGAGGGCACGGCCCGTCCGCATGACTCCGAACCATCGCCGGGGAGATGGCTCCGTTTCATTTGTTGCGGCGATGATTCTTACATCTCGAAAGAACATCAGCCATGATCAGATTGTTGTGCAGAATATTAACCAGATGTTCCGTGGGTGTAGTGCTACCGCAGAGACAAAATCACCACAGGCGAGCTCACCACAGCGCCGCGGCGGTATGCACCCGTGTTTCACAGAGCGGAAACGGCTAAACGAAACCACCAAATTTCAGGTTCCCAACCATTTGTTGGCTGTTCTAGAACGGCCTGCTCGCCTGCTTTGGATGGTCCGCAACGTTGCAACGTTCAACTTCCACCGATCCTCCCGCGTCTGCATCTCCACACTGCAGCACACGCTGTGGAGCAAGGAAGGGATGAGTTGGAAGGGCGACCACACACGATGGTAGATGACGCTGCATCAACGTCGTCATCACTCGCAGACATATCTTCGCATTGAGTGATGGGTGATCTGTTGATGTGCGCGGCACCCAAAAGCACTGTGCATTACACGACCACGGAATAGTGAACTCTCCTACTGTACGCTCAATCCTGGTACGTGTCTGGTCAATCACGAGAAGAACGCACATCTCCTCAAATAGATTTTCACGACAGTGGCGACGGAAAATCGGCGGATTGTGGCTTGAGAGAGAGGCTACATTCCCGACCGGCAAGGGCGGGTTTCATTAATGACGATCGGTGTCGATGAAACGAGATGCACAATCGACAAACAATTTCGTACATTCGCCCATCCGGGTCTGCTTCTCATGTTATCTTATTCCTTTCGGGAGTGCCGAGATAGGATCCGCGCAACTGCGAAAAGGTCGAGACCGTCGTCGCCCGGAACGACGAGCTTCCAGTCGCTGCGGCAAGCCCGCCCATGGCGTTTCCTCTCTAAAACTGCGGAGATTTCGCGCTCCCCAGCTTCGATGGCGTGCGCAAAAGCGCGGCGTGCGCAACTACACATCTGTGCCATTTAACCGTTCTCTGCGGTGAGTTTCGAAGTTCTGGCTACCAAGAAATCATCAATGTGCATGATTCGCCCACTTGGAACACGAAGAGTCTTGTCAAAGTAGCAGCAGAATTTCTTTCATTCTGTTCATCATCATGTGATCCCTGGGAGAAAGGACGATTGGTTAGAAGGTTCCACGCGGGTCAAGAACAAGAACAGTTTGATTGATGGAGAACTCCGGTGGAAGCACTATTTATTAGCATCGCGACCGCTTTCCGTTCTTGTCTCGGAAAATGATGATCGTCGCTCAATCCCATGGCCTGGACCTTGGCCCATCCCGCTTTTTGACTGCAGGACTGCATATGCGTGCGAACATGCTGAGAACAACTCACATATCTCTGCCAGGAAATGCCAGCTGTGATGACCAAGGATATATGACACAGTCAGCATGTAATGTAAAGATATAGGACGCGACGGACGAAAGGACTGTGGAATTTCCGTGCTTGAACAAGGTGAATGCCATCTGCACATGGTGCTCCACCAGATCGTCGGCGTAGACCTCCGCACGTGCTCCGGAAGCCTCCTCTCAGGAAATACGGCAGACGGTCGGTATCCCGTAGCACAAGCGATCGTAACCGTCGATGCCGCAGAACAACGTTGACAGCCTGGGAAGGGTTGGATCCCTCCAGAGACGCTCCAACGCTCGTCGTGGTTGGTCGCCGATATTCCATCGTCACACAACGTACGACGTCTCACCAGGCCCACGAAACTTTCGAGCATTCAACCAGGCGGGCAATGTTGTGAAGCAAAGCACGTGATCAAACAGAATAGTCCTCCCGCCTGGACGATCCGATCTATGAGTTTGCTCCATAAGGTTCACAGACGCGTCTAGGCTAGGCGGTCTCAGATAATGCGATCCTGGTAGCCTGATCTCTGGTTATTATGCAATGCTGTTCGGTTTCACATCGCCCAGATAGGCTGACCTTCCCATGATACGCGGATTCAGAATCCTCCCCTGCCAAACTTCTTGCCAGATAGATACACACACACTGGAGTCCATTGGCGTGCTAGGGAATCTGCAATGGTTTTCGGCTGCGTGGATGATTCAGGCTGCGAGCAGCAGCATTCGATAGTTACGGCGCCGGCATGATCCAGACTTTGCTCTGTCATGATCGCTTCGGGGTGTTATGCACGGCCAGCGCTACTTTAGCCATCAGTCAGACCTTTGGATCTGATCACAGATTCAAGTCCATCATAGCACCATTTGGGAGCAATTCAAAGATCGTGGAATTGTGGTGCGAAGAAAATGCGGACCTCGTCCAAGCCGTGCGGGAAAACACTTGCTCCGGTTTGAGGTATTCCGACTGTGGCGTAGTCTTGGATGAGGATACATACTCCTTGCCCATCTGAATAATCAAACAACTTGTCCCTGACGCTGCAGCATATTTGCCCCCCGTGTGTAAATAGATCGCATCTTCATAGAGTTCGAAATTCCGCTCAATATTCGAAAATGCATCCCAGACAGCCATATCCAGAACGAGCAGCAGGTATGAACGGGGCCTCCCCACGTGCGATGCTTGCGCAAATCCAAGAAAATGTCATTGAAAAATTTCCTTCGCCTTTCCTCGACACTAGAAATAAAAAGAATAGAAAAAAGCAATGTTGGTAAGTGTCATCTCTCATAACGTGGTAGTCCCGATGACCCAAAGGCGTCGGCGTGACTATCGTTCACGGCTGTAGTAGTGGTATCGTAGAGTCCAGTGTTTTCGTCATCAACTTCGTCGATCGTGGGCGCGGTTGGGGCTGAAGGGGTAGGGAAAGGCGGACGAGATTCAAAGTAGTTACTCGGTGGCGCACCTGACCGGGTCTGCGAGGAGGGAAGCGGAGAGCGTGGAGGTTGCCGCACAGGCTGCTGATCGAAGAGGACTCTTCTTTGCAGCTCTCTCTTGTCATCAGTCGGTGGCAACGGCGGCTGCTGATCGCCAGAATAGCTCAACACAGGAGGTGAGGAGGCAGCGGCCTCGTAGGATGGTATCAATGAGATATCATGTGCGGCATGGCTCGATGTCGACATGGGTGCCGGCAGGAATGCCGATGAATTTGATGTGGTCGCGTCCATAGGTGGGGCGCTGGGCGGTTGCGCATTGGGGAAGCAAGGTGTTGACACATTTTCATCACCTTCAAGATCTATATGTTGATCGTCCGGCAAATATGGTGCTGTTGGAGTATGATAACCAGCGGGACCGGCTTCTTGCTCATCAGGCAAGAAAGGTGCCGATGCGGGAAATCCATCGGGGGGAACCTCCATCCCCGGCGCCTGGCTGGGCAACAAACGAGCTTCGGCCCGACGCATGCGCTCTTTTTCGGATAGTCCGGTTTCATCATCTGTCCTAGGCATCGGCACCGGTGGCTCGCTATTCATGTAAGACGGAGCCTGCAAAGCGAAGTTGGCGGTCCCAGCACCTGCACCGCCGTCTTGCTGGAAGTCGTGCCAGGAAGTGGGTGGCACGTCGTGATTTCGCCACTGAGGATCGTCATATCCGTAGCCAGGTTCTTGTTGGCCGTATTCTCCTTCATTACCGTACCACACTTCCCCAGCTTGCGGTACATCAAGCATCTCGGGAGGAGGAGCTGTCTGAGATGAGTATGGCTGTGGCGGCGAGGGTTGGGCTCTTTGAGGCGAGGACTGTGAGAGAACAGCACTTTTCTCCATTTTCCGTTTGCCTTTGTGTCTTTCGCTGTCTATAGTCCCGACGATGATTTCGAAAGTAGAGGAAATGACTCCTTTGTCGCGCCGCAAACGTGCTGTGTCCACGATCGCTGAGCCGCCGAATCCAGATGTCGATCGCTCACCATCGACAATGGTAGAATTAGTGCCATGGTTGCTGGTGCTGGCTAGACCTCCCCAGTTGGCTAAATTCCGATCTTGGGTGGCAAGCCGTCCTTGAATATCGACCAAGACTTCCACATAGTATCGGAATCCGATCATGGCACCAGGTACGTTGGAAATTGTCGGAAACACATCGTCCGGAATGTGAACTTTACCATTGACCTCGGCCGTTAGCGAACCTGGATTAACAACGAGAGGTAACATGACTTGAGACAGATCTTTGCGAAATACGTGACTTGAGCCGGCGCCGGACAGTGATAGTCCGCCGAGGCCCGTTATTGACTTGGGATAGTAGTCCTCAAATTTGCCTTCTTTGCCTTTTTCTGTTGGTCCCAAAGGAATCGCGGGATGCATGTCGACACGAGCCTGTCGATAGAGAGTAATAATGACGCCGTACAGACTTTGGACGAATTTGGTGTGATTGACGAAAACGCGGACGGGCACGCTATCATGCCGAAGGCAGCCTCCTACGAGCGGCTCTACAGTTGCTGTAATCGTCTTGCCGAGGAAGGAGTTCGTGCTGCCGTTCGTCCGCGAAGCATCGCTCTGTCGCGCAGTCATCCCGTTAGACTCATTGGTCCCTGGCCCATAGCTTGCACTATCAAAGCTGAACTCGCTCAAAGAAGGACTCCTCGGCGTGTCGGCATCTGGTCTAAGACTGCGCGAGGATGAGGTCTCGCTCTGGCCGTGATTGCTGCTAGGATCTTGAGAATCAAGACTCCGCCCATTTCGATCAGAACCTTCAACGGCTTTCCGAGGCTGCTGTTTGGAACGTGCCTTCCGCGACAGTGGTTCGAGGGTTATGGTCCTGGCTTTGGGAGGATAGATGGTCGCGATGTCGATACGATCCAGGAATAAAACTTTCTGTTCGGTCTGAAGAATAGGGTTAATCGCCACTGGTCGTGTTATTGTTGCTGTGATTAGGTATCTGATCTGGCCTCGTTCAAACTGCGCGCAAAACCCATTAGCACGGCGGCACCAAACGACGCATCGCGCAATAGCAGAAGAAGACCAACCTCTATGCTACTAGGGAGATCCCGGTCGGGAAACTCGAGATTGAATGCAAACTTGTATATGCCTTCGCCCAACCTACCATCGCCACATAAGACACATTCGTCCTCGAACAACGTTGCGAACCCATTCCCAAAATACTCTCCCGATTTGCTGCCTTTTCCTGTGCCAATTTGTACGTTGCTCACGCGGTGGTTGGGCGAAGGAGGGGCGTTGGCGTTCTTGAAGACTTGTACGTAGCCGTGGAGTGAGATGACGATATGTGTGATGCGCGTCGGCTTAACCACGCGCAGCTCGAATACTCCGGACACGACCTCGCCCGGAGAATATTGCCTCTGCGGATTGTCGACATGGATGCTGTACTCGGCGAAACTTCGAGACTTGGAGCTGAAGGGTGAGGTGAAGCGCGAGATGAGTCGACGACCGGACGATGGCGTGGACGAAGTCGGAGGTAGGCGGTCATCAGCAGGCGGCATGCTGTTGCATGCGGCGCACTCAAAGGAGAGAAGCCCGCGGTGGGTGTTGTGAAGATCTCAGCGACATGCGCGCGCCGACGGCACGACCTGGCCCCTCGCGGTGGTGGATAGGTCGACAAAGGCCAGAGATGCCAAGATGATGGTGACGGTCGGCACCTCGCTGGTCGGGCTCATGAGATCTCGGTCGACAATACAGTCTCGGAGCATAGACACATGCGGACCGGGGCGCTACGTCGGTAGAGCGCATTAGAATATAGCCGTTCAGGTGAGGGAAACAGGCGCGTTCTAGATTGAGAACACTTAGGGAAGAAAGTTTAGGCCGGGCGAAATGCAGACGGAGTTGTGGGACTCCAGGGCTACAACAATCGTCACTTGCCCAGGTGATTTACAGCAGCAAGCGATGCGAAGAAGACGCCCACTCACTTCCACATGCCCGCATGCCAAACCCCAGCATCGCCGTACCCATTATTATTATTATTCTTGTTTGCGAGACCTGAAACAGTCCAAAGCACACGAGAACAGAATATTTCTCCGTCACAATTCACACCAGTATTAGCAGACACGGATGCGCAGTACCACGTACGTCTCTCTGGAAGCGAATCTGATCTGCAGTTGGTCCCCACCACCACACTGTCGCCGTTCGCGTGCCTATAGGCTACACGTGTACCGGGTGTTCAGGTGACTCTGACAATGCATGGAAAAGACAACATTTATTACATTTATAGCACCCTACTGCATCTCCATACCGCCCAGGTGTTGTGGTGGCCATGTTGATTGCTCTGCAACGACCCCGCCGTCTCTGTTTCGATTCTGCGTGCGATTCGAAGTCGCAGGCTAGGATTACTCATCAGCCAGGGAGTGAGATGGTACCTATCTAGGTAGTAGATGCGAATCACAGAGAAGGTATGGTAGATGTCTAGCAGTAGCAGTGGGCCGTACTTTCTTCTCATCATGGCGAAGGTCAACGGGACTTATGGGCTGTTGGCAGACGTACGCGAGCACAACGATGGGTGCACCGGCAACCTGCAAGAATGAGGCGCAGCACTGGTAGGAATGAACAACCTTGGGACACAATGAGACCGCGCGTGCAGGGCAAGGCGCAACGATGTCCACGAGCGGCGTGCATTGAGTCCTCTCTCACGTCTCCCGGGCCTGCTAGTACATTGCAGCAGCGAACAATCTCCTCTTTCAGCACTCTTCTTCTCCTCACAACGGATGTACTGCAGCCTTGTCAGCAACGCCATAGCCCTGCCAAGTCAGTGTTGTCCTTGGCGCACGATATTAAGCTCGAATGATGGATGAGACGTGTGAGAATTAAGCTTTCATACCTATCGGTCCCCAGATTCCCGAATTGCCGGGCAAGCTTGTTCGAATGGCCGCGATGACGGCCTGGTGAGAGAATCGGGCAGTAGAAGTGGTGCTGTCAGGTGGTGAATCACGGATTCCTCTCTGGTCGCATACACTGAGCATAGAGACTTGCGTACTGCGCAACACTGTGAACGCTCAGCTCGATGTGACAACGCATGCCTTCGTCAAGGAAACGTTCAGTGGGACCTTCCACAGTGGGCCAGCGAATTGGGGCCATCCATGGGTATGCAGGAGGGGGACATCACTCGCATCCATGGATGCTGTCAGAGCGCTGAGGACGACGGTGCAGTCATGACGTATCATCTGCAACAACAATAGCAATCACACCAGTTCATGGTCGGTTAGATGCTCTGCAGCTTCTAGCTTCTTCTTGCATACATACCGCGTCCGGTCGCCGATAGTCCGGGAAAGCTCAGTGCAGCACATGTGCTATTGAGTTTACCATGTTTTCTCATCATTGCGGTTTCCTCGGTCTGCAGCCACAACATGTCATTACCATGGTGCACATGCAGGGTAAAGCACGAGAAAACATGTCGCGAAGGTTTTTATCGCAAAATTGTCTTGCGGTGGTTTTTTCTTTGTGAGGTGCCATCTTGTACTCACTTCTATAAATATATCCTACACGGCCAGCGAAGGCTGCTTTTAGAGAGGGAGAGGGAGAGGGAGAGAGATCCACGCTGGCTCTACTGATTTGATTACATCAAACTGGCAAACCACTACGCAGTTGCACCGATTCGGATGCTGCGTGCATCGAAAACAGGCTAAATAACAAAAGCGAAAAACGAAGGAGATTCGTGCGTCAAACTACGCATCGCACTCCGAATTGCTGCTGCACAAAGAGTCTATTTCTGCATTCTCATCCCTCCGAGCCATGTCTCGTTCCACACCGCCGTGCACTTGCGATCTCGCTGCGGATCCGACGCACGCCAGGACCTCGGGACCGGGGACCGACAAGGCTTATTAATGAATCAGAGATCTGTTCGGCAAGTCCCATTGCGAAGCGAGCTGCTTCGTATATCTACCTACCTAGGTAGGTAAGTAGTCTGCCCAGGTGTGCTTGGAAGTGCTGTATGTTTGCTCGATATCATTCAACACCATTTCCCCAAACTTCGGACAAGGATTAGACTTGGAAATTGCACAGGTTGTTTAGCAAGGCAACAGCGCATTCGGCATCAACCGTGTAGGTCGATCCACAGTCGGAGAGCGACCAGGGAAGAGATAAGCTGTCTGATTACGAGCCCAGGTGTAGCAAAGAGCCCTTTCACCGTGTCCCCAGCCCTATCTCGCAAGTGGGGTTCCGCCGAGGTTGAGCCATGATCATTCTGCGGAAACAAGCCGACCGCACAGCGACATGCTCCCGGATTGTTCCCTAGTCTGATGCACTGTACTGTATGTAACCTTCGAATCACCATCGACAGTCCCCCAAGTCTTTCAAGATCACCGAGACCTCTCGAATAGATAATCTGCTCATGCGTTCTGGCGGATTTCCGAGTTAGCGCGGACTGACATCCGGGCACACACAGCGGGATCATGGTTCCTCTCCAATCGACGCCAAAGTGACGACACCGTGTAGAGCTCATGTCTCATGTTGATGCTAGGCTCCACATTAACTACACGTATACGGACGTAAGGGAAATGTCTATATTGGGAAGATGGCAGGCAACGGTATTTTCAAAAACGCTGTCTGTGGAGCAACTCGTGCTGGTGATGATTCCCGTGACAAGCATTTCCGGAATCTGCTTGAAAATGTTTGCACGAGAGTCGCGACGGCGGAAAGCATGACAATACCCCAATCATTCAACATCAATCCACATCACCTCCTAGCAACCTTCGGCTGAGGAGCCAAAATGATCGTTGAGCGGAAGATGTATTGTTGCAACGTGTAGATGTACTGGCGAGGGTGCGGCTATCCATGTTCTGGCACGCAGTCCGTCCATGTCGACAGTATTGCCTTGTCCTTTGTACATCATCACAACAACGATCAAACCTATCGTCTTGCAATCAATCACCCTCGGAATCAATAGAGATGTTCCCACAGTGCCAAACTTTGCTGGTGTGACAGTTTTGAACCTCATAAAAACTCGCAATATTTCCAACCAGCCCTGGACGTCGAAATCATTGGAGCGACCCGCCCGCTGGCGTCCATTCAACTGTAGCTTGTTTTAGCTAATACCAGCCCCAAGACGACGCCGAAGGGGGAGCTGACCCCAACGTCGAGAACTCCGAGTCGTCGCGACGTCACCTCTGCTCGTCGTCATGACTAGCCCACAACGTTGCCGCCAACGAGTGCGGTCGAACGTGGCAAATAAAAGGACTGATTGAAGAGAGAGTAAAAATTTCCACAACCACAAACTACGTCCAACACTGCTTACTAGCCTCGGTATCGCTCACGAAAGATGTCGGAAACACACATCATTGCTTTCCTCTATCCTAAATCGGACAAGGTCGACCGAGTGAGTGCTTGAAAGCACCTTCCCATGCAGCTATCCCTCCTCATCCGTGAGCCAAAAATCGAGAGCTGATGACAACCACCTTCTTTTCGATAGTTCCGGGAGCTCATGAAATCTATGTGCCGCTCCGTGCATGAGAAGGAGGATTACACGGTGCGCTATCTCATGACCCAGAAACTTGGTGCCAAAGACCCGGAATTCATCATGATTGAAACGTGAGTCGCTCCATCTGACCACCCCATCTGCAACGAAGGCTGCATGTTTGCTTGTGGTACCGCTTCCCCTGGTGCTGACCCGAATTTCTCGTCTGGGATTAAAGATACCGCACCCAGGAAGACGCCAAGAAGCACGGCGACGAGCCGCACTTCAAGGAGCTCTTCGGTGCCTTTGAAAAGGAGGGTATCTTCGCAAAGCCGGCTTATATTGCGCTTTCAAAGGGTGTGGAGGGTTTCGATTCCAACCGCAGTCTTCTTTAGGTGTGTAAGTATAACGGACTCAGGACATGATATGCTTCATCATCAATCATCCACAGTTTTTGGCCACGGTCTCATGTCGTCGTGAAACTGCCTGTCAGCGGCGTGTCTAGAACACTCTTGCCTACGAAGACCAGGAATTGACCACTGGGGATAACCCAAGATTGCGAGACTGTATCCCAGAAGCTGACGTCCTTGCGGCGGAGCTGGAATGAGACCTGTGCCGAGCTACCAGGTTGGACGGTGACCTTGTTGAACCCTCGCAGGACCCTCGTGGCCGCCGATCCGGAGCTCGTACTGCTGGCAGGTAATTGAATGTACAGCTGCGCGACTTCTGCCGCCGAGATACCACCTGTGTTGGAGATCATGGCGGTAATCATGCCCACGTTGTCGAACAGGGACGTCAGGCCGGCAACACCCACCAGTGCGTTGTTTTGGTTTTGGCCAGTGGTTCCATTCGTGTAGACTGGAGCAGATCGAGCGTTGGACGGCGTTGCGGTAGCATTGATGCTCATCTGCAGATTGGAGTATTCAAACGAGCTATACGTCAATCCGTACCCGAACGCGAAGCGCGGCGTAACACCGCGAGCCAGGAAGCTGCGATAGTCGATGTTCACGCCCTCGTCGAAGTCGCATTGCGGTGAGTTCGAGCCTTGGGCTTGACAAGCCGTCAGCAAACTTCCGTAATCCGATGCTTTCTTCGCCACGGTGTATGGCAATCGCCCAGAAGGGCTCGAATCTCCGTAGAGGAGCTGGACCACTGATCGCCAGGCTTCTTGTCCTGGCAAGTGGGCAAAGATGACCGCAGTCACGTTCTTGTTGTCGATCCACGCATCGACCAGCCGCGTCCCGGCGTTGTGGATGACCACAATGGTGTTGCGACAGTGTGCCGCAACATTTTTGACAAGTTGATCGCTCTCTTGGTCTGCCAGGCCAGGCCTGTCCCAGGCTTCCGAAGCGTATTCATTAATGAAGACGAGACAAGCGTCTGATGTTGCCACGACGCCTGGATCAGTGGATGTGAAGTCATGGAAGAGGACAGTATCGTCCTGGTAAGCTCGCTGCTGAAGTGCTTCAAAAGGTGTGCTGATATATGAAGGGGTGTTGGATCCAGAGCCACCGCCAACGATGAGAGTCCCCATGAATCGACTGGGCGCACTTGAGACTGGCGAATTTGATGCAAGATCCTGAAATTGCTGCTGCTGCAATCCAATGGCTTCCCAATTTTGCGCAAATGTACCTTCGCCTGGATCGAAACTGGTCTGCGCCACGGCATCGTAGCCAAATACTGACAAAACTTTTGGTGACTTGAGAGGCAAGCTATTGTTGACGTTCTTGACTAGAACATGGCCCTGAATCGCTTGATCAAGCAAAGAAGGCTTCGACGCAGGATCTCTAGCATCTACAAACGTGTGCGGCGCGAGTAGATCTTTCGCCATCCCAACACCCGTGCTAGGAAATAATGTATCATCCTGGCCGAATTGGTACCATGTAGCAACGACACGAGTCGCCATGTCAACAAGTCGTGTCCGATTCATAGTTTGACTGTCCACCGCTCGCGCAAGTTGGTCTTTGTCCCAATATTGCGAGTTTGGCATTGCCATATCGAGACCGGCATTGGCAGATGGTAGACTGCTGTGCTGACCGGCCCAATCACTGACCACGAAGCCCTGGAAGTTCAATTCGCCCTTTAGAATGCCATTCATGGCCTTGCTGTTCTCGCAGGCGTACGTGTTGTTGATGCGGTTGTAGCTACACATGACACTGCCAGCTCCAGCATAGATGAGATCTTGGAAAGGCCAGACATACAATTCGTGCATAGTCTTATCGTCCAAGTTGGCCGACGTGCTGTGAACAACGCCGTCATGGCCGTTCGTGATCGGGTTGCGGTTCGTCTCCTGCTCGTAAGCGACAAAGTGCTTGATGCTCGCAATGACACTTTTCTGGAGTCCAAGCACGCTCTGGGCTCCGAGTATGCCGTTTAGGTATGGGTCCGAGGCGAACGCTTCCCAGTTCCGTCCGTTCGTTGCTAGTCGACCGACGGGACCCACGACCGGGCCCAGAGCAACGTTGACGCCCTTTCTGCGGAACTCGGCACCCATGTAGAATGCACGATCATAGGCAAGGCTCGCGTTCCACGTTGCTCCTATGTGGAGTCCGGACGCGTAGGCGTAAACTCCATCTGTGTCGCGCACACCATTACCAGCATCATGAAGGCAAAGACCTGGGAACCCTACTCGAGGAACTGATCCCGAAAGTCCAACGCAGCCTGTGTTAGCAGTCGAAACTCCTAGCGTGATGTTGTTCATCTCCTCGAGGGTCATTTTCGCTACGAGACTCTGGGCTTTGCTGTATGCTTGAGCCCAGTCGGCTGCACCATATCCTTGGGCTATGCGTTGTCAGCCACGAGGTCTTTGCCAACCGCAGTACTTTATCATGGCGCCCTTGTGCACGGAGTGGTAACATACGAGAAGGATACACTAATGGGCTTGTCCATTCCGCACGAGCTCCGCGGTTCCTCAAGGCCAATAGGCCCAGCAGTGGTAGAAGTAAAATCATAATCGCACCAATCGTGACTACCACCTTGTGTCTACGATAGAAGTTAAGAAATTTGCCGCCTTTAACCTGTTCTATGAAAGGTGTGCGTTCGTTCGTTGTTTCAACTAATCCGTGTTTCTCCATGTGGGAAGTAGGGTCGTTGGTGTCAGCATTGATCAGCACCACCGTCAGGGGTTGTCTCTCGTATCGTTCAGAAGGAAGGGAGTGGATGATTTGATGCCGATTTGAGTAGTTGTCGTTGAGATAATTCAGACACTGGAACTAAGAGGCACCGAATGTATGGGTAGACCTTCTCACGTTGTCGCATTTCGTGACATAATCCAGGGATCCATGTTTATGCTTGCCATAATGCCATGGCGACCGGGACTGGCAGCTTTGATTGGTAACAAACGTAAAGCGCGCTAGCGGGGTGGACAAGCAGGAAGTGCCGACCAAGTAGCCGCTGCCCAAATTTTATTGAAAATTATGTCCCTCTCCCTTTAACGCGGGGAACCCCAACGCGGTCCATACCCCAACGCGGTCCACAATTTTGAACACAACAACGCGTCAACTTCAACACGCAATGGCTACACCAAAACGCGTGCAATCGTCCCTAAAAGAGGGGAGTCTATTGCTTGCGATGTCAGCTGTCAGATCAGGTGCCAGCCGCTCCGTAGCAGCGGCAGCGAGAGACTATAAGGTCTCAAAAACGACGTTGCTCCGGAGACTCAAGGGAATCCCCTCTCGAGAAGATTGGAAGCCAGGGACTCTGAAGCTCAGTCCTATTGAAGAGAGTGTCCTTGTTCAAGACATTCTTCAGCTGGATTCACAAGGGTTATCGCCTACAATCG